CCTTGGCCAATGCCATATTTCAGAAGACCCTATATAGAATAGAAATTCTACTACCTTTGGCCAAGGCCAACATTTCTGCAAGAACTATATAGTGTATATTCAGCCAAGGCCAAAATTCAGATCTCTCTATATAGGTTAAATTTTGATGACTCCTGGCTGAGGCCACCATTTCCACAAGAACTACATAGGATATCTGTAGCCGAGGCCAAATTTCAGACAATCCTATATAGAATGCAAATTTCTTGACCCTTGGCTGCAGGCACTATTTCCACAAAAATCTATATAGGGTACCCTTGGTCACAGCCAAATTTCAGGAAATGCTATATAGGATCAAAATTTCATGTGCCTTGGCCGAGTAGAACATTTACACAAAGATTCTATATAGGTCCACTTGGCCAAGCCCAACTGTCTGCAAACTCTATATAGGATTGGAATTTTATGACTCTTGGCCAATGGCACTATTTCAGCTACAATCTATATAGAAAAATGGCGGCTGACCCCAAAATGCCCGACAACCTATATAGACTTTAAACTGCACCTCCCTTGGCTAACTCCCAAATATGCGACTCAGCCTATATAGCCTACTTATCTTGGCCAACCCTATATCTCCATCCTATATTATATTCTTGGCCAACACTCAGTTTTATGAAAATTTACACAAAATATTCCACCTCGGTTATATGGACATTTGGGTATATATTGGCTGAATGGGCTCGAACTCATCTACCTGTAAATGCCATTGCAGGGTCATCTTGCATTGACACTCTTATGTTGCCAACTCACCACGAGAATTAGTGTATGGCATGGGTATTACTAACCCACATGGGTTGTAAGTATGGGTATCCATGGGTATGGGTGTGGGTCAGCAGTGAGTAACCCATGGAAACCCATGGGCCATCTTATGGGTTTGTTGTAAACATAGGGTTCCAGCAGTGTGGTGGTGGCATAACTGCATTGTACCTCTATGAGGTAATTCAAACCTGGTATCACACATAGCTCAGAAGACCCATCTCATCACTCTGAAAGCATGGCAGGTGACGACACAAAGACATGCATACTACTATTGTGCTATGACTCCCACACTGCAATCCATGGGATACCTATGATGGGTCTTGACCCATACAGACCCATAGCTGACCCATACCCAACCCACAGAAAAGCCATACCCATGTGATGTGGGTATACCTTGTCAGACCCATGGAATACCCATGCTAGACACTAACGAGAATGCCATCACAGTGCCTTCATGATTGGGACCTGACATTAGCCCATGTCCCAGTCCCAGTCATCAGCATCAATGGAAACCTGTGCTGAACATGCCATCAAAATGTATGCACATCATGACAGCCGAGCTCTCACAAACACAGTCAGGGTCCTTTTTTGTTTCAAAAGCATCAATGACATCAGCCCAGATGATTCCACCACCAGTCTATAAAGCCCTTTCACCTCTCCCAGCACCCAACTGGAGTTTGCTAAAGCCTCCTCTTGCATCACTATGTACAAATTTAGCACATGCGAAGTGATAACTGGATGTGTAAGAAGAGATGAATGCTGCATAAAATGCACAGCTGGTCATACAAAATCTCACACTGGTGAAGATAAATCAAGCGCTCCACAATAAAGAGACCAAGAAAAAGTTGGACAAATCCAAGCTCTTCGTTGAGAGTAAAGGATGACATCTCACTGCTCAAGGTGCAATTGATGAATTGGCTTGCCATCAGAATGAGAAGGAAAACAAGGAGTTATGCAAGAAGGCAAGTAAAACTGCCCGAGACACAAAGAAGGCAAATCGTGCAGCACAGGATGCTCAATAGAAGAAGATGCTTGGCAAACACCAGGAAGCACTGGAACTCTGGAAGGCTGAATGTGAAAAGCTCTCTGCAAGCAGTGCATGCAAGAAGGATCTTCCGAAGCATCCTCCGAAACCCAAGAAACTGAAGCCGCAGACAGCAGTCAATGCCGAGGATGAATCAGTGCCAGGGGTATCAATGTTGATGAGGAAAGTTCTGAGAGTGGGTCAGAATCAGATGGGTAAAGGGCATGTAGTAGTTGGATGGCACTGTAGAACATCACAAAAACAACAAAGATGCTTGACAAGTTCAAAAGCGACGGTGTGCTCGAGATTTGAGTTGACAGTGTCAGAGGGCGTGCGCTGCATAACACGCACTTCAGAGCGATTGTGCCAGATGTCACTGATGTCACATTTCTATCACGGGTGTGAAAAGGAATACTTTTCCGTGACATTTGACTTGCGACGAGTTTATTCAAAGTATCTTCTTTCATCCACCGGTTTCAAAAATTCAAGTAGACAGAAAGTCCCTAAAGATACTTTTATAACTTTGTATGAAATATGGAGGCACAGAAATATGATGTGGAAGAGCTACACGAGAAGGTACAGTTTGGTGTGAAAAGGACTGCCGGTACACTGTAATGTGTGGATAATTTAGGTCAAAAAGTGGATCGAACTACTCACAGCACAAAATCGCAGATTATGGATGGGGAGAAATTTTAGAGACTCTGAGATTCTGTCGCATTATCCATACATTATGACATCCTGAGATTGTCTTTCATTTTGCATCGCGTGAAATGTCGAAAAATGTATATTTTCTATGATTGTGACTTTCATCCAGGATTTGGCATGAGCTTTCCCGGCACGTGGTCATACGCGTATATGCGTAGCATGCGTCGATGTCGCGCATGAGTCCCCATACTAGACAACACTGACAGTGTGACTATATGTGCCCCCACTGCTTTTCTTTCATAGACCTCTGATTACATCTGGTACTCTGAATAGTGACCAGTTGCGGGTGGACGAAAAGATTGTCTAGCTTTCTCGACTCCGATGGCCCCCACACTGCGCATACAATGTCATTGTGCACAGTGCAGCAAGAGCACCGATGGGTATGAGTTTCAGACCAAACAAGTCTGTGCTAAGCACTTGAAGTTATATGGGCTACCTTGTCCTGCACCTGGGGTGTCACTTCCTTCCATCTCCCAACCCTTACTGGCAACTACTCGAAACAATGTTGCCTTGCTTCCTCTGGCTTCTGCATCCAGATCAAATGATGTTCAAGACTCTGGCCGAGTAAAGGTGCTATCACTTCCTCGGAGATGTTCTCTAACTGTGATTTATAGCCGAGCGCTTCTCACAGACATGGTGTGGACTTTGGCGACCTGGGAGATGCTGCCATGAACTTTCCTGGTGTTGATCTAGAGGTGCACGCTATGCCTTCGCGAACCCCATCTCCTTTTCCTGAACCCATCCTGGAGCCTCTGCCTCAGCTTGACAATCATCCTGGAGGCGACTATCGCAAAGTCAAGCTGCCCTCAGTTGGTACTCCTGGTTTAGACCGAGATCAAGATGAGCTGCCACACATCTCCATCCCGGCTTTCAATGAAGAGTCTTGCATTCGTATGGCATACCTGCATGCAGTAATGGGTAACACGTTTGAGAATTTGACATGGAAAGCTGCGACACAACAACTAAACCGGTCACTTGATTGTCTGGATGCACAAGCTGGCGAACTTCCTATCAACCCTCAGCCAGCTCGGACTTTGGCTACTGCTAGGCAACGTCTTGGCATCGATCCAGATGCATGGATCATACAGTATGCCATCTGCCCAGTCTGTTGGAAGCACCACACTCTGAACGAACTGAAGGAGCTCGCATCACCGGACTGCACTGTTCCTGGATGCTCGGGTAAAATTTATGTTGAAGTTCTTGACTCCAGCGGTAGGACCCGACGCGATCCCATCAAGATTAACCCACAAGTCTCCATCGTCGAGAGCATCCGGCGTATGATGATGCACCCAGGTTTTGCAAGATCGCTGTGCGATTTTTGTAGCCATCAAGCCGGACGCAACAATGATGAAGACTATCAAATGGAGGACATCTACGATGGGGACATGCTGTTCAAGCTGCAAACTGGTACCGTCTGGGAAGTTAACTCCATGGGTACTGTTCGTGATCGACTGTGCGAGAATGGTGCAAATGCAACAAAGCTTGTTAGCCATCGCTATGGACTAGCGCTCTCCATGAATCTTGACTGGTGAGTTCATACATAAATGTCCTAGGATATATACTATGCTGAACTTGTTGATAGGTTCGGTCTTCTCTCTGGATGACCGCATTCAACGGGTCCAATCTATCTTGTGATCAACAACCTTCCACGTGAGCTTCGGTACCTTCAGCTCAACGTAATTTGCCTTGCAGTTCTACCCGGTCCTGGTGAGCCGAACCAACAGCAGCTTAATCATGCGCTGGAGCCAGGCATCAAGGAAATGATTAGCCTTCACAACGGTGATGCTGAACTTTGTCTGTTTTTGAGAGCATTCAATGAACAAATCATTTTTAATCAGGCATTGAGATGCGTGTTCATGATCAAGATTCTGCGAAAGTCTACGCCAACTTTCTCTGCGATAACTGCGACACCCCTGCCGCTCGCAAGGTTAGCGGCACTGCAGGACACAATCATGATTTTCACCCCTGCCTTTATTGCGACATCGATATCCTGGACATCAACAAATCCAGTGGCTACGATAATTGTTTGCAGTTTTGTACCAACTACATATGATTTGTCACTACTGATGAGCGAGTTTCAGCTCGGGAAGCGAAAGACGACTACAAAATGCTGAAACACGCATTCTCTGCAAAAGGGGTCAATGTTCGTCGCGAGAGTGCAATCCTCCGAGATCATGGGGTTCGCTGGAGCATTATGAACTTGCTCACTGGCTGGCTTCCTTCGTCCCAGACGGTTCTTGACTTCATGCATGCAGTATTTTTAGGTGCTTTTATACTCGTCAATCTTACTGTTCTAATCACTTATATACACACTAGGAATCATTGCCCATCTATTTCTCGATGTACTCTTCAAAGGGTACATGTTCTCTGGCACTGGAGGTGATGAGTCCCTGAAACAGAAGTTCGAAGATACAGTGAACTCGGTTCACTAGCCCAGTCATGTTACCCGACTCCCAAAGAATGTGAGTTTGTTGCTGCGATGCGCTCATCTGTTCACCTTCCCGCTCTACAGCTGGGTGAGAATCAGTCCTTGAAAAAGGCGGACGAGTGGCGCCGTCTCCTTACCATCACACCAGTTCTCCTATGGGTATGCTGGAAGGATGAACACGATCGCATTCCGAACATCGAGCCAACTATCCCGCCTAATGCAAAAACACGACCAACACATTCTCGAAACTGCAAGGCGCTCTACTTTGCCATTCTTTTACTATGTGCTGGTGTCTGTATGCTCGTGTCGCGCAAGATCTCCATGTCACAAGCACGTATTGGTCAAGACTTTCTAACACAATACAACCGCACTCTGCAGCAGCTGGGCATCGACCTGACTATTAACAACCATCTGTCGACACATTTTGCAAAGTTTATCAAGCTCTATGGGCCCGTATATGGCTGGTGGTTATTTCCATTCGAGCGCTTCAATGGGATGTTCGAGAAAGTCAATACCAATGGCCACGATGGTGGTCGCATGGAACTCACGTTGATGCGATACTGGGTTCGATGCCATCTAATCTACGAATATCTACTTGCTCTGCCTGCGAACGCTTATACAAAAGAGCGTGAGTACATCGAGGCAGTCATCAAGTCGGAAGGATGCAGTGAACGTGGAGGTATGATGACGGAGCTTGCTATCTATCGCAGTGAGGCGACCACAGGTATTCAATATCATTGTCATTCTTTGCAAGGCACATTTAATTGTTGTCACCTGCAGATCGAGTCAAACTGCCCAGAGTACTGGGGAAGCATATCAATCTGCGCATTTTTCTTGGTCCAGGAACTGGCGGTATCTACTGCCTTGCTCTCGACTATTGTCAACGCTTATATCCAGATCTTCATCTTATCGACAACCTTTCGCTCGATCACGGAACAGCTTTTGTTGCGACCCGAGTGGCCCGCATGTTAACTTACATCCGTAAGGACGGTATACGCTATGGTTCAGATTCAAACAAGCGCACTAAAGCAGATCGCTATGCATTTATTGTGGATAAAAACACAAATGAGCATTGCCCCGTCGAGATCGCAGCCCTTTTGGGTATCAAGGTCGCGGAAAAGGCACTGCACGTTTGTGTGGTCATTCGTCGGATGGTCTCAGATGAGGATATTCCCCCATTCCCATGGTGCACGTAGTCTGTCCAATCAATCTTCTCAGCTCATTGATAATATGCTGACCGATGTTTTTTTAGTTCGGATCTCCTCGGGATTCACGTGTCCTATGCCAACCGCTTCCACGGTTACGAGATTGTACCTGCGGTAGCACTCGACGCACCTCTTGCACTCATTCCGATCCATTCTGAGCGCATGGGACAAGAACTATGGGCCTCTATTTCATTTGATCATGTACGTCGAAGCTACAGCATTACAGACTCATTCTCATACTGACGGCACAATTGTACAATGGAACAAGACGGGAAATGAGCTGGAGGTTATGGACGACGACGACGAGGTGTAGCTGGCGAAGGGGTAAGATGACAAATGGCAATGTATGTGCAGAATTGGAGACAGGTTCGACGCTAATCATCGAAGTACAGGTCATCGTCGTCGTCCTCGGCAGCGTTTTGACCTTTGCCCGCATCCCCTCCAGTGCTCACCTTCACTATCTTTCCCTTCCCTTTCTTCTTCGCCACCTTCTGCTTCGATGATCCTTCTCCCTTATCCTGTGCATTTTCAGCGAGGCGCGCTTTCTTGTTCTTCACAATCACAGCCTTCTCTTCTCTCATTCGCTTCTGCTTCTCCAAAGTCTCTTCCAGATCTTCATCATCGCCCCATGCCCTGCCACTGTTCACGATACGACTCTCAACATCGTATTGCTGGTTCGTCTCGACTGCCAACCAGTGCGGGTCAATCATCCACTGTCGCGCTTTGTTCTTGAGGAGCTTGGACACCTTTGGCGGCTCATCGATGGTCTCTACTGCCTTGATGCGTGGGATGTACTTGCTCGATGGCGTGGGATCCTGAGCGGCATCAATCTCTCTGAAGAGATCAATCAACTGTTGTATATGATAATCAGCCTCGGAACCATGTGCCCTCAGCGACATGCTTACCACTTGGCTCCGGTATGTGGGAGCCTTTTATATATAATGCCCGGTGAACTCTCCCTTCTCATTTAGCTCGTCCTCATCGTCGGACATCAAGCTGTCTGTGAACGCGGCATCATACTTGGGGTCATGCCACATTGATTCCTTCGGCAGATGTGCACGTTTGCGCTCGCGAACCTGAAGTTCCTGCATCGGTATGTGAGCTTATGGAGAATAAACTCATTAAATTATATCACGTACACCCTTAGCGCGGCTGGTCCTATGCGATGGCTTCTTCTGACCTCTGGCTGGCAACTTCGAGTTCGCCTCTTCACTCGGCAACACATCAATCCCATCAATCTCTATCTGCGCAGTCACCGATCGCCCACGTCCTTCAATCTTATGTGCGTCGCGCAAGGCTTTTTGCAGTGCCAGAAACTTCTTCTTGACACTATCCTCGACATCAACTCTTCCGAGTGCTCGAACAGCCTTTACAGCGGTGGGTACAAGCTCACCACCTTGCTGCATGATCATTCTAACCAGGGTGCTGATGTTTTCAAAGTTCTCGACTGCATCCCACCCGAGATCCCAGCGGAAGCGCATCAGCTCAGTCTTGGTCGCGGGGTCAATCGGTAAAGGCTCTCCATCCTTCGGCCACCATGGCAGGCTCGTCGGTTTGAGGTTTGGAATGCCCATGCGAGTCTGAAAGGCCTGGCGAACGAGTTCCTACGTTTTCCGAGTAAGTGCATCATCACATTCATGTGAAATCTATCACTGACTCGGTATGAAGTGTCCTTCAATGCGGCGACGCTGTCTTCAATCCGCCTCTTCTCCTTTTCGTCAAGCACCTCGTCATCGGAGTCCGAACCCTCTGCACTACCATTCGACTCATCAGACGAGACGCAACGCTCCTGCAGGTCGGCGACTAGCGTCTGCAGCCCCGAGATCAAGTCAGCCTGCTTGTCCAGCCGCTCCGACACTGCAGTGTAGCGAGCACTATAGGTATGCAGTAACTTCTTCGTTTCTTCTAGCTCTGCCTGCAGCATAACCTTCTCCTCCTCCAGGAGTTCAAGCCGCATCTGGTGGTTGGAGACCTGCGCAACGAGCGCAGCCGTCTTCGCCCTTTTCACAGTTACCCCTTGCTCGCCGTTAGCCGGTTCATCCGCCATGCTGGTGTCGATATGTGCAAGACCGAGTAGAGTTGCTGCGTCAGAGGCTGAGGACAGACGGGCAGTCGTTTGCATGGGGCGAAAGGTCTGCTTACTCCCGACCGCGATATGATGCCTTGATCCATGTTCTCGCCCATCATCCGTGTGCACTGAGCGCTTGCGCGCGACATGACATTAGTTAACCTAATCCATCGTGATTTATATGCTTCACTGCGGGATTGACAGATGAGTTGCTACATCAATCAGGGAGCACGGAATAGCTAGCTAGGGGACGGGTGGTAGCTGGGGGTGGTGCAGGCTCCCTGGAGCGGTTATGATATGTTCATCAAAATGTTCGCAAAAATGTTCAGTATAATGATAGCAAAATGATCCAAAGATTTGTAATACTCTGTACATTCTCGAGCTTGAGTATCTACAGAAGAATCGTGCAGGAATGATCGAAAACTTGACATTCTTCTCGGATTTCACCGACGTCAAAATCCGGGGCGTTGTGCTGTGACTTATGCCAGGGTCCTGAATCACGCTTTCTTGGAGCCACTCGATCACGTGGAGGAAACGCGATTTCAACGCAGTACTTGCTCCGCTGTCTCCTCGAGCGCAATCCATATCGCCTCCTTCACGATCAACTGGCTGCATGCTACAATCTCGTTCCCTACATCTGACTGGTAATGGCAGAAGTTGGCTCTCCGCGCTCGTGTGCGAGTTCTGTTGAAGATGATAGTGACGCTGTCAACACCGATTCCGCGAGGGTTTACTTTGGACCTCTCCAATCACCCGAGAAGAAATTCGCACCTCATGCGAAGCTACGTACTCCCCTGAGAAGATCGGCCAGGTTTTCTCATATACCTGTCAAATCGCTCCTCCTCTGTGGATCGAGCGACGAGGAAGATTTGCACCCTGACGAGGGTAAGCGGTCGCCAGAGGTCTCGGATCCTGACGGTGCGTTCGGCGTATTCTGTTAGTATTTGCTGGATGAATTAACAGGAACAGAGTCGATGTTTTACACCGATTCTGCTCACATTGAGCCCGTAACTACACCCTCTGAACCTCATCAAGTTACAACGACGGAAGATTCGGTAGCAGAACCGGCGCGAAGGTCTGCCGTGTTATCTGACATTGGAGGAGTTGACCCATGCTCTGCTGAAAGACCGCGAGATGGGCAAGAGATAGTCGATGAAGGAGGTCAGTCCGGCTTGATGTCTCGGGAGGGTACGCCCATGCACGATGATGCTCCGCCAGATGGTGAGCCTGTTTCGATGCGGTGCGATCGCTGACCCAAAAATATAGAATATGCCGTGTTAGAACCCTCATCCTTGTTGGCTAGCAAGATATTGCGCGCACATGACAACCCCTCACCTCCACCAAACCTTCCAGACATCGGACATTACAGAAGTATTTCACCCGTACGTGACCACGTTTGCTGCTACATCATGCACTCCATTAATTAGGTGAGATATATACAGGATTCTCATATTCCAGTGACCTACGACAACGCCTCTCAACAAGATCTCATCAACTTCAATTCTTTCTCATTTACCTCAACATCTCCTCACCCTATTACCGCACGTGCGGACACTGAATACCATCCTACTCTAACAACCGTGGATGATTTGCTTGCTCTGTCTCCAGTTCCCAACCCAGATACGACCGACGTCAACCGAGAGACCACCGCGTCTGTTGACGAAGAGGATCAAGTATTAGTGGAACTCTCTCGCGATGACTCTGAGCCTGTTCCATACTTGCATGATGCTGTACCCATACCTGAAGCTGTGCCAGACCCTGTCACACCTGTGCGACGGTCTTCGCAGCGGCAGCGAAGCCGTAGTCCACTTGTACCACAGGAAGCTTCTCTACAAGACAAGCAAGGATCTGAAAGTAATCTGAAAACCCCAGGCCTTCTCGTCAGGAAAGGAAAGAACAGGGAAGCCACTCGCGAGGAAGGGTCCAGCAAGACCCGGGAAAGTACGGTCGTAGCGAACGCGCAGGACTTACAGATAATTCTGCTTCAGACATTAATCTCCACTGACACCAAGTCCATTGAGAAGACCAGAGAAGGTGTAACTATGGACAACAGTATTGCTAAGGTCGACGAGGACGGTCCCACATTCAAAATAGAGCAGAAAAGGCAGGGCACGCAAGCCTCGTTTGAGCGCGAGCTAGGTTCCTTGTCTCCAACGTCTGCAGGTCTTTTGATGCAGCTACTTCCTACCGCTTCTCGTTCTTCAGATGGCGATTCTACATCGTCCGTCGCAGTGGAGCCCATATACACACTGTCCCCACCCTCGTCGTCTTGTCTCCCCATCTCCTTACCTTCTCAATCCCCTCGATCCCCTTCCCCTACACGTGTCTCCGATACCAAGGGTGGACCTGTAACCCCGTCTTCCCCGACTTTTCGTACGCCTGCACGCCGGATACCGATTGCGCAAGCCATTGCACAAGGCATGTTATCTGCGCAGAAGCACGGCTCATCATCGAGCACCCTCTTTTCGAAGACCACGGCTGGCACCGGCTTTCCGGCCTCTCCTGTTTTCAAGCGGACTGCCCTAGATGATCCTGCCAGGAGTCCTGCGAAGCGCATCCCGGTTTCAGAGGCGATGGCTATGGCTACTCCCGCAAAAGGTAAGGTGCCTACTCGACTGGGCTCGCCCATGCGTGCATTTTCCAGGGAACGAAGCAGGTCCGTCGAGCCGAAGCCACCTGTGATTCAGAAACAGCGAGCGAGCTCCGCTGAACCTACCAGACCTATTCTCGCTCTTAAAGTTGGAAGAGACGGATTCTTTGCGAAACCACGTTCCTCCGCCTCCGACTCAGATGCGTCAACTAGTACCCCGACAGGAAATAGTTCAAGACCAGAGAGGGCCCGAGTCATATTGCCATTCCCCATTGTGGCAGCGCCACTTCTCCAGCCGACGATCCCTGAAGTAGAAGAGAATGATGCTGAGTCTCCCGTACCTCCCGTTGGTACTTCGCGCCTCCCTCTTCCCAGTCCTTCGAAATCTAGTCCAACGAAACCGAGCTCTAGCCTGAGGCAGCCATCAGCTTCCAGTAGGATCCCAAGGATTGGTGCTAAGCCATATGCAAGGCCAAAAACCCAGGACACAGACGCAGAGAAAGATACAAAGTTAATAGTGTCCGCACGCCGAGCAGCTGGTGCCAGTACAAGTACTAACGCTGTGGCGGCCACTCGGACAGTCAGTCTACCCACTCGTTTGAAGTCGCCGCTTGTATATTAATCACATTCAACGAGCAGGCCCAGCCCCTCAGAGTCATGCGCCTTGCTCGTGGCAACGGCAAGAGCGCGGAAGATTACCCCTCCAAACATCTCGCCTCGCCGTCAAGCAAGGTATCAGACCCAACGAATGATAAGCCGGATTCGACGATCTCCGCGGCCACTTCCTTGAAGAGGAAAAGAGACTGCGAAAGGTCGAAGGCTTCACCACCGGGCATGCCTATTGTGATGATGAGAAAGGTCATGTCGGGTATGTTCAGCCACACGTCGAAATCTGCCCCGATTCTTGCTGTGACAATTCCGCCGAACGAACAAGCTCAGGCGGAACCGAGTACTATCAAGGGGCAGGGCCCTATCAAGATGCGGCGAGTTGTTGACTGGAAGAAACCTCGGCAATTTTTTTGGGAGACCGCGCAGAAGCAGCCAGTAGAAGAAGAGAACACCCTACAGCAATCTTTTCCCGATAAACAGGACAATGTGCCCATTCTCCATCAATCACCCCGTTCGCCACCACATCGATCCCCAACACCTATAGCTGGCCCTTCCTGTGAATCGTCCCTCTACACCACGTCACGAGAATCGAAGGTGACGTCTGCAGAACCTCCTTCTCCACCTCAGGTCGAGCCTTCTACTACCTCTGATACTCGTCGTTCCGCTCGTTCACGGCGGCGTGTAGGACGTTCATCTGATGTATTCGGAGCGATAGCTGCCACAACTGTACAACCGCTTCAGCCACGTCGGAAGCGTCCCGTGGTCATAGAGCCCAGTGTGTTCTCTGGGATGAGCGCTTTGGCTTTGAAGGCCCTTACTACATCGAACACGACGAAGAATCAACAACAAATGGTAGCGCTGCAGACGGAGGTGATACGGAAAGAAGGGTTGAGGCCGGAGAGTCCTACTACCAAAGTCCGGACAATACTTGACCGCCAGAAGGAGATGAAGGTGCAAGAACGAAAGGAACGTGCTGAAAGGAGGGCGAGAAGGTCAGCAGGCGAAGGAACCTCTGAACCCGACGGAAGTAGCGACGTCGGGGATTTCAGCATCTTAAGCGTTGACGTGGACGGTGTTCCCCTCAGGCATCGGAGAGGCCCTGGTGACGAGGAGGATTACGAAACTCCCGACCGATATGAACGACCTGCGAAGCGGGGAAGAACAGAGGCAGATGAAGCAGTGAAGGACGAAAGGCGAGTCAGATGGGATCGTGGGCTTGCGACTATGGTGTATTTGGACGACAGTCCTTTAAACCCTCGAAAGCCTCCCAAGGGCGAGCCTGTAATGAAGGGCTGTTTGGCTCATACTGCGAAGGTATGCGCTTCACAGCCTGTCTCCAACCTTGAACTCAAACGTCTCTCGTAGGCTGTTCGCTTGGACACGTTGGGGAATGTCGTCAACGCGGATGTTCCTCTGACTGATCTTGTCCATGAGAACGTCGTTGTGAAGAAGTTCGTGTATGATGATGACCCTGCGGAGGATGATCCGCCCCAAACCCCTCCGCCTGCTCCAGCGGCCAAGGTGACGAGAAATAAAAGCAAGAAATCCAAGAGCTGAAATATCGGTTTCTATACTCATCATTGGTAAATTTCTCGCTCGAACTCGCATGATCTATATCATCTAGTCTACTTGCGTATTATTGCGTCCCGGTGATTATTTCTATACCACTGTATGTCCATACCAGTCGAATCATATTGACGAATGATCTGCATGAAGATACAAGTTGGATGTAACGTACATAGACACACACTATCTACAGTCTTCACCGCCATGTAGTGAGCACGGATCTTCTTTAACTGATTTACTCACTTTCCACCCCTGTAACTGATGGTAGGAGAGGCCTGGTTTACCGGAAGCACGAACACCTCGGCAAGGTTGACATGTGGTGGGCGGGAGGCAGCCCACACAATTTCCTCGGCGATGTCTTCAGCGGTCACTACGTTACGACAGTCAGATGGAAACCCAGAGTGAGGGATGAATGCAACCCACATGGCTGGAGACCCTCGTATACTTTATCCGCGGCAGCCTTGTCACCTCCGAACCGAACAACGGAGAACTCGGTCTCCACCATACCTGTATAGTTGCACGTAAGAACGTGAATGAAAGGATTATCTGAGGTGGACTGACCGGGCTGGATCTCAGTAACCCTGATCGGTGTATCCACCACCTCCCTCAGAAGAGAACCTGTGAATGCCCTGACAGCATGTTTGGTGGCACAATAAATGCTACCGCCGACATAGGGCTCGCGTCCTGCCTGAGGTTACAGGAGACGAGGATCGAATTCTGATTTAGACAGACCTGCTACGGAACCGAGGTTGATGATGTGTCCAGCCTTCCGAGCCTTGAACTCTGACATTCAGGTAATTTGTAGAAACAATATCGAGGTTAGGAAGACTCGTATGCAAATATCACAACCGAGCGCATACCCTTGATAAACACCTGGGTCATGGCGATGAGACCGAGGACGTTCGTCGCAAACATGTTCTCGACGTCTGCCGACGAAATGTCACCGACGCGGTCGACACCGTGGACGAACCCAGCGTTGTTGACTGCATATGATAGTCATCATTCTGTAAAACCCACGGACCCCATGGTCACTCACCGAGCACATCGACCTGACGAAGCTCTGGCGGGATCTTGTCGAGCAACGATGCAACCTGCACCTTGTCTGCAACATCGAGCTGGATGGCGGTAACCTTCCCACCTTGTTGCAGGCCCGTTTCCTTATGCGCCGCGATGCATGCGTCTGCGACGCTCTTCAAGGCGTCGGCACGCCGCGCACAAAGGACCAAATTCGATCCGCCCTACTGTCGAGACTCAGATCATGCCTCGGAACAATTGGCATTGGCCAGACCTTCGCAAACAAAATGGCAGTCGCCTGTCCGAATGCTACTGTAAACTACAGCGCACTGCAAAGGGTGGATGCACTCACGGCTCCGATACCGGCGCTCGCGCCAGTGATCAGGACAGTCTTCCCGAGCAGACGAGAGGCGTTGAAGACCGACATTTTGCGAGAGAACACAGTCGCAAATGTCTGCTGCTGCCCACCAGCTGCTTTGTATGCTCGCGAAAGCCTCGGAAGGAAGGAGAGCCGGGTGCCAGCTGGGATGATCACTGGATGCTATCTGATCAATTGCTATCATCATCGTCCGCATGAGTTGTGTCATACTTCTTCGCGCTTTCCCAGTGCTCTGCGCTTCACACTACTCGAGATAGAACTGGGGATAAGTCGACAGCCTGCAGATAGGTCATTAAGCTTCGGTGCATCGCAATCTTAAGCAATAAGCGGTGGCGTCACCGGTTCGAAATGGATAACGCGAGCTCGAGCCTGGGGATGAACGACGAAAGACGCTGGCGCTGCTTACTCTCCTGGTTGAAGAACCAGCATGGCATGGATGTTGTCGACGCTTTGCTCGTCGAATGCAGAGACACTAAAGGTCGAGTGCATTCATTCTGGATATCAATCCTGTTTCTGACGTGAAAATGTCGCGATGGAAAGATGCTGGGAAGGGTCTGTTTGCTACCAGAGCATGCCCTGTAAGTCTCCAGCGAACCTCAATCCTATTGCCAGAGATCGAAGCTAACTGCAAAATTGATGTGTGAAGCCCTCCACAGTGTTATTCACAGTGCCTGCTAAGGCTATGATCAACATCAATACCCTCTCTGCGATCTTTTCCCCTCGTGTCAGAGAAATGACGGCTGTCCAGCAAATCTCGCTCTATCTGTTGTTGCATCGACCGGCACAAGATGAAGATTCGTTGGATCTCGTCTACGGCCCGTATATCTCGACTTTACCTCGAGACTTCTCTAGTCATCCTGTAACGTGGTTCATGAAAAGACATACGTCCAACGAACATGACACAGAAAGCCAGTTGCTCAAAAGTCTACCCCCAAGCGTCCTTGCTGCGTTGGAGAATTTATCTGCACGATTCCTCAAGGATTGGGAGGTCGTGAACAAATGCATGGTAAGCCCCGTGACATAGCATTGCCTTGAAAATCTATAGGATCACCTAGAACGAGGAGCCTGATATTATGACAATGTCATCCCGATCCGACTTCAACAAATCGGGATGCGCGGGGGATTTCAATTCTGTCGTGGACGATTTTCTCTGGGCATGGCTCAATGGTGAGCAGGATTATGTGGAATTATACTCAAAAGAGTCTAATGAAATCGAGACCTGCAGTGAATACACGGTGCATATACTATCGTGTGACACCGTCTCAATCAGATCCAGATAACCTGACGCTCTGTCCTATTCTTGACTTTGCAAACCACAGCGAGACACCACACATCGTTCCAGTGAATGACTTAGACCTACCGGGTACGAAGGCGTCAAATAAGCTCACCCGAAATCTCACGTTCGTATGCTCCTCCGACATTGTCGAGGGACAACAACTTTTCTTGCGATACGGGGGTCATCCAAACCGCACACTTTTCGTGAATTACGGTTTCCTGGACAATTTCCCACCCAATGCAGGTGCCATTGGCGAATTCTCCGCAGATATTGATCTGCAAGACGTTATGGAAAAGCTCTTCTCAGAAAGTCGATTCCAATCTTGGATACGGCAGGAACTGGAAGATGAAGGTTACTGGGGGTACTATCACCCATGTACTCGCGTAAATATACTGACTACCGTCTTCTTAATTACAGTGATTGGAGCCTTCATTCGTCGCCCCAGCCCGCGCATCCCTCATACCGCATGATCACAGCATTGCGACTGTACCACGTCGTCGAGAGTCTGGGTCCACAAGTGCCGCCCGACTCGGCGTCGGACGTAATCCTCAGGTCTTGGAAGGACACCATCAACGGCCGTACTTCGTCAGTTTCAGAAGACAACGAGAGGCTCTGGAGAAATACATTACTCGATATCTGTGAACTTGTCGCCGCAAGAGCGCGAGACGGTATGCGAATCACGTTGAGCGGTTCCGGGACGAGTGGGTGGTATTCTTGGATGGAGGAGAATGTCAGGTGCTTATGGAGGGAAGAGTTGGAAGTGGCAACAGCTGTTGCGTGCAGCCTACGTGCAGGAGAAGAATTCTGACAAACTTGCCAAGTACACAAGCAAGAGAGCATAGAACCGGGTATTGTCTATCATGTGAGATAAAATGAGGCAACTTAGGTGCACACTTCTTTTCCTGCAGGTCGCGGTCCGCTCTCTCGGAAACTCGGAAAAAATAATTCTCAGCGCCCAGCGCGCAGTTGCCAGCGTCTTGGCGATATCTTGAACGATTCACCGTTGCCATTCAGGGAATGTTCCCTGTAACGTTGAGCATCGCAGTGCACGGCCGCATCATCATGAAGCGCCCACGCCAGACATAGTTCAGCTGTCCTAGAACATACCTCGAGTCGAAGGGATTCCAGAATGAAGATACGAGACCTAATAGGATAGAGCATGCTATACGGGTGCGGCAATAGCTTCTGACAGCCGCCAGGGTGCTCGCCCGAGGCCAAGCTTCGGCGAGGAGCTTACGTAAGGCAGTGAACGTTTCAAGTGTTTCCGTCCACGGTGTTGATCCCTGCGCAGTGCCTTCCGACTCTGCGTATATCTTCGCCACCCACGGCGCCCCTCTTTCTCCCCGTTTGACGATCTCGCGTGCTCCCATCTGTTCGTCGAGGACGCTACAGTCCTACAGCCACCTTATACCTTGAAGCTCGAGTCGCGATGGCTGTTGAACCCCTCTTGAGTACCAGAGCACAGCGGGCCTTCGTGGGTACCAGTATGTGCCGTTTGCGCCATACATTTTGTCCAGGATGCTGATCATGTTCTTTCACAGTCGTGTTGCGTTGGTGTTTCCTATACAGAAGTGGCCGATCACGCGTTCTGACTGAAGTGGTCTTGTTTAGAGGCGATCGTGGTACTTGTGATGGTCGCGATCACTTTCGCATTCGTGAGCTTACATTTCGTGTCACTCCAAGCTCCCGTGGATGCTCATGTCTCTGAAACTGGGATTAGGTGGAGCCGGACGTTGATTATACCATTACTCGGTACAAGGTATGAGGTTGAGTGCGAATGTACCGACCCACTTTAACCCATTTGATATGCAGACATTGCCATGTTATCTGGCACTATTCGCACTGGCAGAGTAAGTCTACAAATTTGAGAACGTTCGTCAACTCATGGTCTATAGGATCTTCGAGCTTGTGATGACCTTCGATGCGTTGAGATTGCGAAATGTCATTCAACTAATCGGAATTCTTTGTGAGTTACTCTGTATTGTCTCTAGGATATGTGTTCCAATCGTATGCAGTGTTCCACATGGGGCTCACGGTTATGGCTGCCCTACAAATTCACGAAACGAGAACCGCATTAGTTTGGGACAGTGGCAGTGTTCTAGTAAGTCTTAGTTCGAAGAACAACATAGCGGAGAAGTCACATTTCCGCAGAACACTTCTGGTCCCGGGAGTCTATGGCATAAAGTATTACCCTTCTTGGTTGTCACACCAATTGTCATCGGTGTGGCGTGGTTCGTTATGCTCTACTTTTTCAGACATCTTTACTACGAGTTTGGGTATGGTTTTTCATTGTGCTTCGTGGGCCCTTTATGACGCTTGCTTGACTAGATGGGCGATCTTCCACGTCGTTGGCGCCGACCCAAAGATGAAGAGTAAGTGGCCTGTGACTCTCCGGATAGCGCTGTGTTCTGACTCCGTTTGGATAGCGATGTACCAGTACTACCAAATTCTGATTTGCCTGCTGAAGTTCGACTTCTTCGCGTTTACTGGTGTCACCATGCAGGTACGTATGATCGCTATATCACCTTTGGGTCCGTTATTGAAGTGCCGTCAAGTTGCTTATCATAGTGCTAAGAGAAAATAGCGCCGAGTTTGGGTTGACGGTGGCCGCTATACCCATCGTTCTAATATTGCTTGCTTTGTCCGGCATTGCCGTGCAAAGAGAGATCAAGTGGTGCGTCTTTCTGCAACGAACGTCCCACAGATCTGTGACGCTGTAGCAGGTTGATGTCGATCTCTCTCATTTTGATGCTGGCAGCTCAAACATACTGTGAGTGATCACGTCCGCTCATATACAAGACGATACTGATGTCGTATCGACAGTCAGTAAGTTCACGCGTCAACAACATCTAGATCACGTGGATAACGAAGTGCTTCAGTCTACAAACTTGTTCGTTTCTATGAACCGTCATCCGACCAGCAATACCTCTCGACACGAGCTACACTAACAGTATTCAGTACGTGACGCGCATACCTCCGGGATCCCTTCGCTGAACAGTGTCCGCTTCATAGCCATCGCTGCTTCACTGCTACTTTTCGCCACGTTTGGCATGGGCGTGCGCTGTTTCGCCGACTTTGACAAAGGTCTCGATAAGTCGAAGCTCCACGGTGGGTATTACAAGCCTCTCGCAATAAGTATGGTGCATGACTTAATCGGTGATTGCTTTTTTGAGATGTCACCACCGGGCCGAGGTACTCATCCTACATCTTCGATCCAGCAGGGGAGAAGCACACGCGGAAACCGTCCTACAGCGCAGGCGTGGAGATGGCGCAGAGGATCTCTATCGAGTAATCTTGGTGATACACTAATACCCTTGTGGATGTGGACTTATGATGGGTGGTACTTCACGATCGGGCTCGATGGACATGCTTTAATAATGCTTACGCCTTCTCAGCTGCTCCGTAGTGACACCTACCTCGTTGTACATCTATGATCTAGATACCATTTATTGCACGACACTGGAACTATTTTATTAACTGGAGCTTGCAAGCTTATGAGCCAAAACTCGATGCTCGTGGTGGCGCCTCTTGTGCCAAATTTGGACGCTGAGACGCGTGTCACGCGCTTCGCGTTACAGTCGCGTCGACACTTGAATAGCAGCCACCACCATGGACGACCGCGAAGACCCAATCTCCCAGTTCTTCCCCGGCAACAACGAGGTCGATCTCTACGACGTACTCTCTGTCAAATCGGATGCCACCTCAGACCAGGTCAAGAAAGCCTATCGCCGCCTCGCACTCACATACCACCCCGACAAACACGCCACCGCCAGTGACTCGGCCAAGGCGGACGCGTCTCTCAAGTTCCAGCAGGTCGGCTTCGCGTATGCCGTGCTCTTTGACGAGAAGAGAAGGAAGCGGTACGACCTGACGGGGAAGACGGATGAAGGCCTCGACCTCGCGCCTGGGGAGGACGGCTGGGACGCGTACTTTGAGGATCTGTTCGAGAGTGTCACGAGAGAGAAGCTGGATGAGCACAAGAATGAATATCAGGGTGCGTCTCGTGCCAGCATTGTGTGCGTAGTCACGCTCAATACCCACGAGTTTCAGGCTCTGCGGAGGAGGTAGAAGATATTAGGAAGGCGTATCATTCCTGCAAGGGTGCCATTGGAGAGATCATGAAACATATTCCCCACTCGACTCACGACGACGAAGCGCGGTTCGTTCTCGTCATTTCGGACCTTATCCGCAACGGCGAACTCTCATCGCTACCCAAGTGGGAGTCGAGCAGCAAGGACGAGAAGGCGAGACTCGTCCGCAAGAAGCAGAGCGACAAGGAGGCGAAAGAGGCGGAGGAACTCGCAAAGGAGCTGGGCCTATGGGAAGATTTCTACGGGAGTGGAAAGCCGAGCTCGAAGAAGGGAAAGAGAAAGGGCAAAGGCAAGCAGCAGGACGAGGATGAAGATGGCGGGGAAGACCATTCCGCGCTGCAGGCTCTCATCCTGAAGAGGAAGAAGAATGTGGATGGCTTTTTAGACAGTCTCGCTGCCAAGTATGCGGAGCCGGAGCGTGGCGCGAACGCGAAGAAAGGCTCAAAGCGTCGTGATGGCCCAGTGGATGACGAGGAGTCACCTAAGAAGAAGACAAAAAAGAGTTTCGATCCCCCTGACATAGATGACGAAGAATTCGAGAAATTGCAGCAGAAACTGTTCGCAGACAGACCGAAGGGCGGAAGTGCACCAGGTGAAAAAGGAAGGAAAGCAAAGGCTGAAGGTTGGAAAGCGCGATGAGTTAGTTACTCCTTGTTCTCGTTATCATCTGATGTTGTACTATATCCTCATTTTATGGATTGTTGGCTGGATCGCCTCCTACACGACCCAGTAAATTCAGCATGAGATGATCCTCATTATGGTACAGTAGAGTGATAGCAAATAAATTACAGATAGCGAATGGAATCTATTCCAAGACTGCGCCTCGCATGAATAATGGCTACCAGCTCTTTGATTGATTCCTCTAATATCACCACGTTGTCCAGCAGCCGTGAAAGGGTGACGGTGGTTGTCTGCAGTTGTGCTTCATCCTCCTCATCCTCATCGTACTCTTCGCGTCTCTCGCTCCATTGCGCAGACGCACTGAATACGTCCTCCTCGTCGGCATTCCACTTGCGTGGTTTGGCAGGAGTCCAAGGGCCCGAGGAAGGAGCAGGCGCAACGAACGGTTCCACCACAATCGCACCCGTCTTCTGATAGTGCGGACCAAACGGACTCGCGTCGACAGCCCTGTGTCCGCGGGAAGGAGTCGCAGGTTCTGCCTGAGGCACCTTTGAAGCCTTGTTCTTTTTTGGCGTCAAGAACGATACGAAGGACGACGATGCTGACTTCGCCTTCGGCTTGTGCCGTGGGGTGCTAGGTTCTGCGGGAGCAGATGCAACGGTCGTGGCAGAACTTGAACGCGTAGTACCACTACCGTCGAACTCCAATGCAAGTGTGAGAGCGTCCGTAAGGTTTTCTGAAAACAGTAAACCCTGCCGCCGCTCGATGAGGAACTGATCAAAGTTGTCGACCAGTTGCCTGTACCGCTCCAATTGTGAGACAAGTCCGTGGAAGACGGAATGTACCACCGGCCGCGATTGCTCGTCCATACTGGAAGCGGGGAGGGAGTTGTGCTCAGACTCGAGCTTTTCCTCAATGCGGAAATCGATGGAACGGTCATCCCCATCATCTCCGTAAGTCAGAGTGCTCCCGCTCGTTCCCCGTACCGTCGAAGAACTTGCCTTGTCTTTGGGGGCAAACGTCAACCAGCCAGCGAGTGATCGGTCTGGACATACCGCCAACGTGGCTAACACGCCTGTCAACGCCATGTTCATTTCTGGTGGATTGGAGAAGAATCTTCTGAGAGATTCCAGTACCAGCGAGAGCACTGGATCATTGGGATTAAGACGATGCTTCAAGCTCGCTCTCGTCTCAGCGTCAACCTCTACCTGGAAGCAAGGTTGACTCTGGATCGAGATGAGGGCATCTCGGAGGTAGTGGTCATAACCAGTGCTGAAAGCGTCTTCGTTGTGGTTAGGATCAACTCGGGAGACGAGAGTCAAATACAACCCCATTTCCCGCTCGTGGGTCCAGTATGTGGTCTCGGGTTGCATGAAGACAACTGACGCTGTCGACGATGGACTATCGCTCGTAGCAGGTACCTTGATATCATCGGCACCGGGGTATATGAACTTCTCATCACCATCGTCATCGATGGTTGGGGAAAATTTTGGTGCTGCCAGCAGCGCCGCCGGTTGAGGGAAGCTAGTAGCTTTAGGATCATAAATGACAATAAACAACCTGTCCACACATAATGGACAGTACTGGAGGAGTAGGGTTTGCAGGAGTTGCAGAGCGGCCGTTGCAGTTGGCTGGGACTTCGACCGAAGGTTGCTCAGGAGCAAATCCTTCAACGTAAAACGACCCATTGATGTGAAATATTCCGATTGCCGTCTCGAGTCCGGAGCTTCCATCTCCAAAAGGACCATGGCGGTGCTCTTGCGTCGCTGAGCCTTTGTCTGCTTGGAGACAGCAGCACTAGACTTCGCACTGGGAGGTACATTGCCGCTGAGATTAAGCATCGACTGTGAACGGGGACGGATACGGTTGACATCGTCGCTGTTGTCCTCACTCATGAGGAAATCGATGAGGAGATCGCCCAGCTGCCCACATTCCAGTGTCCTGATCATGATCTCAATGTAAGACATGACTGCGACGGCACTTCCATCCGCATCTGAACATTCAAGGATGGACGGATAGAGCACGTTCTCCAGAAAGACCCTTCGAACTGCATCCAGGATCGACTGGACGATGGCAGAACCCACGAGAGTCGACGCGTCCAACCCATCCGGTGTGTCGTGTACCACATTGCGCCGCAAGACGTCTTGTAGGAACTCGAGTAACTTCAAGAAATGGTCGAGACGCGCCTTAAAATCGGGACTCGATGAATCTTCAATACCTATCGCGTGGTTCTTCTCTTGAGCAACCTCAAGCTTCTCCTTCTCATTTTCCGAGAGTTCGATCGGATCGCTACCGAGTGTCATGCCAGTACCACTGGCGTTTCCCTTGGGGGCCGGTGGCCGGATGTCCAACTTGGACGGCAACAGAGAGTACACAGCTGAAAGACCGGCCGCAAGTACCTCTGAAAAATCTCCGTCGAGGATATACTCGGCAAGTGCCAGAGCCGCGTCGGTAGTGGGATCGGACGAAGGAAGGGTGTCTGAGGTAGACGTGGATGACGATAATGCAAGGCTTTCCTCCGGCGTCGGCCTCTGTGTGGAATCTCCCGGGGACATCGCAACATCCATGAGGAAAAGAAGGCCAGCGCGAGCGAAATCGCCAATCTGGCCTTCACGATGCACGAAACGGAGGAGATAGTTGAAAAGCAGAAATTCGTATTCGGGTTTCTTGGTGGTGATGGAGGACGCTGGGGCGGAACTAGTAGTGTCCTGGGAAGGTGTAGGGGAGGATACGGATTTGGTTCTAGACGCATCGCCTGCGACTCCATCTGAAGATTCTTCTGCCCGCTGCTCCTTTTGTTTTTGTTCTTCTTCTTCCTCCTGATCCTCTTCCTCTTCCTGAACCGAGAATAATGGTTCGGGGCGATACCACTGCTTGTCGTGGAAGAATATCATCAACAAGTCCCGATATGTGCGAATGCGACTGCAGAGAATACACAGGAGATTGACCACTAGAAGACGGACATCAGTTTATATCCGAATCATGATAATGTTGTGACGCACAGTCCTCCTCGTACTCTGACGGCTGGCTTCTCGTGGTATTTCCGGCGGCCCCCATGACCTTGTTTCTACCGTCAAGTTGCTCTTGTATATCATCCCCCACACAATTCCTGAGTAGCCGGAGCACGGCTTTGTGTACTGCGGAATGTACAAGGAACTGCTCGTCGAGTAGCACTACCATGTTCTGGACTGAGCGTAGTACTTCGGCTTGAATACCAAATGGACGATCAGATTCACTGAGCTTGACAAGAGTACCCAAGACATCTGCAGGGAACAAACATGTGTGCCACGTTAGAACGCGGTCGCCTCTGTTCACAAGAGAAACTGACCGTTCTTCAACAAATACTCTAGGCAGGCACCCGTCCCGCTAGCATCTGATCTATGAGGTCGCGCACTGAGCTAAACAACTACAATATTCAACTCACCCTTCCTCTGTGCGTGTCGATTCCCATACGAGCGCGTCGACCATGGACTGCAGATGCGCGGGTACATCAGTCGACTTTATACCCCGAGATAGCTGACGCTCGTCGGGTTGCAATAACGTCGTCTTAAGTATTCCTGGTTAGTTGAGAACCGGTCATTACAGAGAAAGAGCACACCTTAACCAGAACCCACGACTTGTGAAACTCCAGTGCATGGTCGACCTGGAAGGAAAGCTCAGACGATGCAGTATTTCTAGCTGGTGTATACATACCTCGATTTTCAGAGTTGGTTGACTGCCTGATCTTAGAAACTTGGAAAAATAGTCCATTTATCTGCCAGTGCGCAGGACTGGCACTCCAAGATGTAGTAGAAGCCTGACTACTGGGAGAATGGAGACAGGTAACACAGTCACGGTCAAATGAGCACGAGGCTAGCAATCACCGACCGACGGCGGGCGCTTAGGAAGCGCCGCTACTTGACTCCACACCAGAACGAAACCAGCACCGGACACGCAGACGTCTGTACATACATAATATCTGTACACACTATCTGCTTTGAATGGAAGGCCAACTTAGGCTTGCGCGGATCGGGGGACACCTGAGGTACTAGTAGTAAGGTCTCTTACGCACGCGCGAGCATGTTGATCAATATCTGAATCACTCTTCTTTCTAAGTATTGTGAGGCTCATATCATAATCTCTGTTCTTCACCGAGAACAAAATCGTCTGCATCTTCCGTGCGCGCTTGCCATGGAATACTCTGAACATGGATGACGCAACATGATTAACCCTGTCACCGATGCTTCTCATGTGCTTGGACCTGGTCTATATCGTGGCCGATACGAGGATGTCACTGCTTCAGGAGGAGCCTCAGGCCGGGAGCAACTCAGAGCGGTTCAAAACAATTCAGGGGGTCGGATTTTCCCATGTCGCGATTGCAGATAAATACGGTTCTCCCACTGCGCAGCTTCCCCTCTCATAGCGGATACCTTCATATCACCCTTACTATCATCAGACGACCATGAGCGAGGAAATTACCCCTGAACTTTGGGAGCGCTCTGATGCCTACCACAATTCCTTTCTCATCGGTCCCGACGAACCCCTCGAACACGCGCGAACCAGGAGCGAGGCCCACGGTCTTCCCGCCATTGCAATCAGTACTGCGCAGGGCAAGCTTTTGAATTTGGTTGCTCGCTCCATCTCTGCGAAGAGGATCCTTGAAGTTGGCACTCTAGGAGGGTAAGCCACAAATAGTGATAAAGAATAAACATCGGCTTCATACGGTGGGATCCCTTGCAGATATTCGACGATCTGGCTGGCTCGCGCACTTCCTGAGGATGGTCAATTGATGACAGCTGAACTGAACCCCAAGCATGCCGAGGTATAATTGATTCAATGCCCACGGTCATAGGAGTGCTGAGGATTTGGCAGGTCGCCGAGCTCAACGTCGCACACGCTGGATTGTCATCCAAGGTGAAGATCTTGGTCGGACCTGCCGCAGAAACCCTCGCAAACCTGCATCCAGAGCAGCCCTTCGATCTAGCCTTTATCGACGCCGACAAAATTGGGAACCTAGCATACTTCCTCGAGGCGAAGCGCCTGGTTAGGAAGGGGGGTGTCATCGTACGTTCAATTCCTCTCGATCTAGTACCAAGAGATCATGATTTGACACTATCTGTCGGCGATGCGGACTTGCTGATTGGTAGATTGTGGACAATGTTGTGCGTGGAGGAAGCGTCGCGGATCCATCCACGAAGGATAACAACTCTGAGGGGGTGCGTAAGTTGCTCAACTACCTCAAGACTGATGTTGAAGTGGATGCGACCACCATCGCAACGGTCGGCGAGAAGGGGTATGACGGTTTCTTGTATGCTATTCGCCTTTGAACGCATCGTGGGGTGGTGCGCTGGACAGTAGGAAACAGTAGGTACGATCTGTAGCTTGTGTATTAGTTCACTATTCCATCATGATGAACGGAAGATATGAAATGTACCAAGCCTTTGACCACGGAAACGCGAGGCAGGGTTCATCCAGACAATAATATCGCCAACATGAACCTCAAAAGGATTCAACCTCTGATCATGATCAGGAGTGGAACGTCGTTCTCTTCGGTAAGGATACAAAAGATTCAAGATGCTGTAATTGAACGAAAATATCTCGAAATCAGAAAAGGGCAATTGCAACACCCAGTAATTGTCCGATAGACACAATATCAAGAGAATTCTACAGTAGTGTAAATAAGCTCACTTCGCTAAAGACTACCGATGGCTCCCGGTCAAAGCCCATGCGACAACATTTCAATAGTGAGAAAGATGGTATCGAAAGCAGTTACTCTAAAGCACGAGGAAAGCAGCAACGATTGCTGTGACGGCTAATACACCGCGAGACATCGCAGTGGAGGTAGCACCGTTAGTGACGTTCGAAGACGCAGGAGTAGCGGATCTAGTAGAGGACGGCACAGATGCGCTTGCAGACGAAGTTGTGTTACTAGCAACCGCACTGGTGATATCCGCTGGCCAGGAGAGCGAGCCGCCCGCGCTCAAGTCGATGGAGCCATCCGGCTGCATCACACTCGGATTAGCAGCCAGGACCATCCGTGTGTACCTGTGTTTAAGAATCAGACGTGAATGCAACACATCAACGGACTGCGCGTACATGACATTCTCCATCACTGAACTATATGCCCACTCGGGGACAGAGGACATGTCGATATTGCTACCCCACCCAGCAGCTCCGGCATTCCCGGACGTCTGTTGCGAAGCATACGAACTCATCGCAGCCATGCTGGAGTCGTTCGCGGCCATTGCTGACATCATCGTCGAAACAGAGGTGTTCGCGTTGTCAATGCTAGGCGGGTTAATGATACCGAACATCCCCTTCTCGCTATGAGACATGCAATCAATACATAGAAGGTGTTATGGAGCGACAGCACCACTGACCAGTGTCCCGGAGTACCGCAGTAGAAGAAAACTGACTGAGTATCGTTGACAACCTGCGTGAACGTGAAGCCTGTATTTTGCTCGCCCGATGCGAACGGAGCATCCGCGGTCTTGTTGCAGATTGCAAGCTCTGATGATTTGGTCACAGTGTGATTATTCGCGCCCCAAACGTATTCTACTGTGTCGCCGACGGACGCGTTAACGACGAACGGCACATAGCGCAAGATACCCTGGGTAGGCGCGACAATAACGGTGATGGTGGAACCGCTCGCCACGGTGCTAGAAGCAGAGGCAGCGGCAGGCGGTGGGGTCGCTGTCGTCATCGAACTCGGAGATCCAAACGACGCAACACATTCTGAAGAACGGTGAGGTTGAAGAAAATAGCTGATCATGCGAACTTACGTTGTACGCAATTATCATAGCTACTCCCGCCCCAATTGCTGCTTCCGGATCCGTAAGACGGAGTCGCGGAAGAGTACCACGCAGATGCCAGTGAAGAGGACGACCACACGCTCGAAGAGAGCGCAGCAGGTGAGGATACGTACGAAGCTGTGGCTGCAGCCGTCGATTTATCATAGTGCGAAGATACAGCGGAGGAAATCGCATGGCCCGAACTCGAGGACAAGGATGGTACCTCGGTCATCATAGACTTGTCTGCCGAAGCCACAGCAGAAGACTTCCATGAATCGGAGTAGGCTGGAGACGCATACGGCGACGAAGTCGCCGCATAGCCCCGGGAGGGAGAAGTGGTCGAGGCAGACCACCATTCAGCCGAACCTGACCCTGACGCTGCAGCAGATTCAGAGGCCAATTGCCTACCGCGGTTGCATCAGTGTATTTCACCTGGTGAAATCGCGCGAAGACACGTACGACGAAAGCTCGGCGGTATCAGACATAATAACACCGTAAGGTGCAGAGACGGCAACCTCATCGCCAGATGAGCTATCTGGCGTAGGACGACCTGATGTATAATGTGCGAAAAGCACGACAGTGCTAATGAGTGATGCGTATGCCACCATTGCGGGAAAACAAGGGTCAAAAGTTTTGACTCAAAATGCCGTCGAGGTGTGGGTGACGTCGAAAGGAAGGGATAAATGCAGCCTCCCAGAGGAAATTGCGAAGTTTTCTCTATCAAAGAGAGTGATCTGGTGGTCATGAAAGTCAGTAACATCTCTGAACGATAAACAAACATGGTTTACCTCGAATGAACGAAGAGTCAAAATCTACTCGACTAAGATAGGAGAAAACAAAGAAAGAAGAACGAAGAGGGTGAAGGATCAAGACGGATGAGCAAACTTATAACTGGCCGGCATGAGAGAAGCGTCGGTGGATATGATATTTTCCATGACGACTGTAACGAAGAGTTGAGATTGTAGAACTTCCCGACAGAAGCCAATCGGCTCGTATACTCACGCCATTGGTGGGATCGCAGTTAGTTGTTTCGCATTCCGGTTGGCGAATGAGCGTCGACGAATCCTACTTACCCAGTACGGTGACCATTAGCAGACGACAACGATTTCCTTTCTTTTTCATCAGCCCCTCGCTACTGCTGCAAGCCTGACGATCGAGAAATTCCACGATCCATGCGGTTCACCACGAGTCAGGTGTGCACGCTGTAAGCCTGTATACAACCAACGGCGATGGCGATCCGCTGCATGGAGTATCACCGGCGTGGGTCACATCTTTTACAGTTGCTCATTGGCATTGAACATCATCCAGGCTAATCAACTTAAACTACACAATTACCTTTGACCCGAATCACAGCGCATTGGACGTGAGGTGAACTGAGGTGAATGCCCTGTAGATGGCAGAAATTGTGGATGCCTCGTTGTGGTTGTCATGGTTCAACGAGGGCCCTCGCGATGGAATCAGGTCCATTCGGAACAGGCTTTCTTCTGAGAACGTGCTCTCGATCCGCTGAAGCGCTAACGCAATGTGACCACCGCACTGTCATGGTTTCAGGGCCTTGTGCGTGATCGAATGGCCCACGGAAAACATTGCATTTGGTAGCTGAGCATTCGTAGCTATGGCCCTCCAAACAAGGCTCTCGGCAATCAATAATGAAGCAGCGTAAGTAAATAGTGAAAATGGAAACGACTCTCAGAGTCGACATCAGCATCGATAAATTACGCATAGCCCACCGGGAGACCTTCTTTCGCTCTTAGGCCTTAAGCTTGACAGCGGAAGGGAGGCCAACGCGGCTGCGATCCTGTTTCCCTCGGATACTGCCAGCCGGAGGAGTAGGTGCCTTGCGAGGGGGCATTCTACCGATCCATGGTGCGGGGTCATAACCAGGCGCAGCAGCGGTCTTCGGCACAGGAGGGAAGGTGAGAGGCGAATAAGCAGGTGGTGGGGATATGGTGGACGCCGGGATGACCTCGTCATCAACCTCGGCGAAGTGTACCCTAGCATTACGCTTCGTCATACGCAACTCCTTCAGACGATTCAGGGCATCCCGCGAGTGAGTACGGCTACGATCGACCAAAGTAGTACCGGGGAGGCGAGCGTCGCTGTCAGGGGATGTAAACTCGCTCTCCTGACTGGAGGACGGAGGGAAATCTCGTTCCCGACGATTTTCTACATAAATATGAGCTTCTCGTCCGACGCGAGGCATCTGAACTGGAGCGTCAGGAATTGTGATTCTCAGTTTAACAGACGCGCCACGGTCGCGCTCTTCAAACAACCACTCGGGCAGGTCAGAACGGCTGCGAGCCTTGTTTATGTGATATGCCTTCATGGCACGGGTGAGACGAGACTCCTGTCCTATGGGAGTGGCTGTGCCATTGATTGGGGATCAACATCACTGAATAATAAGGTCATTGTAATGACTGTACCTTCGCCGGCGTCAGGCGAGAGACTGGCAGCCCAAGCCTTGCTCACATTGACCGTGAGCGTATCAGTGACGGCAGCAACACGCTTCCAGAGCGAGGAGCCAACGCTGTTCGGTGGAGTGGTCGGAACGGACGACTTAGCTGCTCCATCGTCGTCGCCCTTCCTTTCATACGGAGGCACCTCTTCAATACTGGTGGCGGAGGATGCGTACCCTGGATGAGAGCCTTGCTGCGACGATGCAGAGAATACCGACGACGATGACGACCAGGATGAAACAGATGCGTCTGACCTCTTGCGGAGTGCGGCAGAGATCGCGGAGACGCCATTGTTATCACCCTTCCCCGTAGCAACAACGGCCTGCCCTACTTTGGGTAGAGGTAGAGGAGGCGGAGGCGAATACGCGCGAGAGTTTCCTCTACGGTCAAAGGAGCGCGACTGCGCGGGATGTGAAGGCAAACTTCCCGCAGAGCGATGATGGCGCAGAGAGTGTTCTGGGAGACGATGAGGGGGCATGGGGGCAGCGAAGCTGGTGGGAGGCAGGCACTCGCTCGCGGTGCTGCGATGCCGCGAGACGGTAACCGGTCCAGTTTGACCTGAAACCAGAGATCCAGAGCGCGACCGGGGAGAAGGGCTGTTCGGCAGTCCAACTGCGCGAGAATTGGCGCGACTTGAAGGGCGCGACATATTAGTCAAAAAGGGTGCTTAGCTGAAGAGAAGTTCAAAGGAATGTGTGCGAAGTCCAGCTTGGCCGACGAAGTGTGAAAAGACACAGCACAGCTGGTGGAACGACGAAAGAGAGAAGAAGGGACCGCAAGCAGCCTGATACAGGAAGAAGAAAAGTAGAAATGCGTGAGCGTGCCAATGCAGCGGAAGATCATGCGTGCGGATAAACAAATGTTCTCACCAGTGCTGGGTTACAGTTGCGGACAATCAAACGCGGTAACTATTTTAGTCCAATTATGTAGAGTCCGGACAGTGCCGGAAGCTTTCGGAAACTGCACAAATGTGATGCTTATGACTCAGAGACTCGATTTGCACGAGCCGATTTCACTAATTCTTATTATTTCCTGTTTTGGACCCAAAATTTTGGCCAACCCCATAATTAATTAGATAAAAATACGAAAAAATATGCAATCGACTCCTTTCAATGAGTAGGGCATAATGCCACAAACAGATGAAAAATATACATCCAAAAATATGGCTATAGAAAATGCACAAAGTATACCTAGAATATGGAATTTGTCATTTAAAGTTACTGTCTTAGATAGCATTCTGACCATTGCCAATCTAGCTATGATGAGCGGGTTCGTGCCAGAGGCAGTTTCAGCTGAAATCTGCGCGAACATGTGAGAACACCTCAAACGTGTGGCGTGAGAACAAATGCGTAAGTAGCAGTAGGATCCCTTACGGAAGCTGGTTGGGTGAATTTTGGGTGGATTCGCAACATTTGAATGAATCAGAGGTTGCGGGTGACTAGCAGGTGGCCAATAGTACTCACTACGACCGCAAAGTGGCCTATAAGTGTCGAAAAAATCGCCCAAAAATTTGGCCATCCAAAAACCTCGTGGGAAAAACTATCTGAGTGCATTTTTGGGGGTTTTAAACCTCCCTGAGTCTGAATCTGAAGTCTATTTGTCTCAGAAAAATCTAGTTCAGGCGCTATCAAATTTACCGTGTTTGATTGTCCGCAACTGTACCCTGATTGAAAGATGGGATGTCCAGAGGGACTGCCAAAGCTTTCAGTGGGCTGTCATCGCGGGAATTTATGACAGATGGGCCAGCGTGGCAGAGAGCGTCGGTCGCACAAATAGTATTTGATGACATCTTGATATGGTGTTGCAAGTCGTCAGGAGACCGGAGCGCTTCAGATTAGTTCGGGTGTTCATCTACCGAACTATGGACATTATTCGGTGGCCGATCTTAACGAAGGCAAGTATGTTTTTGAACCAGCTCGCGAAAAGCGTCATGTTCTTTGTAGGCGATGCGAATGATGTGGACAAGGCTGGACATCGGTTCCATAACGAGAACGTTCACGGAGCGTGCCGAGCAACCGACGCTCACGGCGGTTGCGAACCCGGAGGCCGGAGGGTGCTCCGGTTCACCGCCCTATGCCGCCCAATTTCTGCAAAGTGGCGAAAATAGTTGTCGTGCCGCTCCGGAGTTCTGCTGGTCTTGCTCATGATGGTGTGCTCATCGTTGGCTCATCGACCCACAGGGCAAACTGAATATTTGGGATCGATGGACGTTTTGGAGCACGGCACTTTTCTCTGCACTCGCTTAGGATTAACTCTCCAGGTGTGTACACGCGCTCACGTGCGAAAGCTTTTGGCAAGTGACAGCGGTAATGATGACCGTACCTTTGCAGCTGGTGTATCTCATTACCTGGCTTGAAAATGTCTGTGTTGCTCGCTGCCCAAAGGGAGACACTTCCAACCATGAAGTCGCTCTCATCCTCTCTAGCGAGCAGTATTCGGTGGGCAAGCACTTCCGAAAATAGAGATAAGTACAAGATTGTGGTTGTCGGCGCGGGTATGTGCCTTGCCTATAACTCTTGTGTGTGAGAGTTGTGTGAGAGCCCTAACAACTTCTTAGGTTCCGGCGGCTTGACGGTCGCGAACCAGATTTACAGCCGATTCAAGGCCGCTGGCAAACCTCTAAACGAAGGGGATATTGCCGTAGTTGACTCAGCAGAATTTCACTATTACCAGGTCAGTCCTACGGTACTTTTCATCTGTACTTTGATGCTAATTACCTACACTGACGTCAGCCTGGATGGTTCGTAGTCTGCTACTCGAAGCGGTTCTAGTCTGACACGGATGATGCAGGACTCTTGTCGGTGCCGGTTTGAAGCAGAAGTCCAGCACTCGACGCCCTCTTGCGTCACTGATCGGCCCCCACCTTTCTCATATACCAGAAAATATCAAGTCGTTCTCCCCCGAGTCCTCCTCTGTAACCACCACCTCTGGCCGCACAATTTCGTATGACTCGCTTGTCGTCTCGGCTGGACTCCAGACAAACTGGTCTGCAATTTCTGGGTTGTCGAATGCTCTTTCTGATTCCTCATCGGGCGTATCTTCCATTTATTCATTCGAGACATGCGACAAGGTTTGGCGTGACATTGACGCGCTGAAGTCTGGCAATGCAATATTTACACAGCCTGCTGGAGTAATCAAGTGTGCTGGGGGTGAGCCGCTCCCGTTCTTACAATAGGTTAAAATACCTGAGGAATGCAATTCTCTAGCGCCCCAGAAGATTTTATGGATGGCATGGGATAGATATAGAAGAACTGGGCGAGGCGACAGTATCCATATGGATTTCTACACCGGCATGCCTACGATGTTCAGTGTAAAGAAGTACTCAGATGCGCTCAACGAGCTACGGACGCAACGCAGTGTGGGCGGATACTTCCAACATAACCTCGTCAGCGTGGATGCTGCAAACCGCAAAGCCACCTTTAAAAGGTCGGACGGTTCCGACGTTAAAGTGGATTACAACCTACTGCACGTCTCCCCTCCTATGGGGCCCCTTGATTTCATCAAAGGTTCTCCGATTGCCGACGAAGCTGGATGGGTCGCAGTAGACCAGTCGACGTTACAACATGTGAATTTCGACAATGTCTGGGCTCTAGGCGATTGTTCAAACTTGCCTACCAGCAAGACTTCTGCGGCTATCACGGGCCAGGCACCTGTCCTGACTGAGAATTTGTTCTCGTTAATTGACACGGGCAAGATTGGCAACGCGAAATACGATGGTTACACGAGCTGTCCTGTGAGTTTCTTTTTGTAAGCATAACACGTACTCGGCCTTGACTCATGATGACTGCAGTTGTTGACAGGATACGGCCAGCTGATGCTCGCAGAGTTTACATACGGTCTAGTGCCGAAGGAAACATTTGCCAACTACCTTGGAGATCAGTCCGTTCCGAATAGGCTAGTGAACCTGCTCAGATCCTTCGAGAGGTGACAACTGACTGTCATTTGCGACAGATTTTACTATCATTTGAAGAAGGACTTGTTCCCATGGGCATACTGGAACCATATGGTAGGGAATGTGTGCTATTTTGTGGAGCAAGAGAGCTAATGATCCTAACGCAGCTCAATGGTAATTGGTTCGGTGCATCTGGCTTTATCAGACCCAAATTCCCTCCGAGCACGCCAGTGTGACAGCATATCTACGATGTACGTGTCTCTGGGATGTTCCCGACCTAGTACAGATAGATTTCAAAACTCCATCGTCATTCTATGACAGGCTGGAAGGGTGCTTCCCTACACAAGCGAACTACGGAATACATAGTGCTCACTGCCAGAAAGTATTAGAAGCCAAAGATGTCGTCAATTTCATCGCGTTTCTTTTTCCTCTTATTTACTTCGTTTTGCTGCTGGTGCTCGCCGTTCCTTCTCTGTATGCTCTGATCATTCGGTAGTAAGGTAGGACCAGAGGACGATGACTTGCGCTTCACAGCTGTGCGTACGGAGGTAACTACGCCGACGTCAGACATAACGTGGACGAGACAATGCCACTAATTACGTACCGACTGACATCGCAGCGAGGTCAGAATCACGGTCCGCCGCTTTAGTACTCAAACTTGGGGATTGCTCCACCTGGAGTAAATTTGCTGTCGTCTCCTGCACGAGAGCACTGGAGCGCTTCACGGTGTTTCCCAAATCTTCACCAGGCTCAGGCACAGTTGCTGGCTGCGGTAGTATGTCTCCTCCCGATTGTGCGTTGTCGTCAACAGCGTCTTTCTGCAGGATGTGTTTGACCGAGGCGGCTTGCGTAGGCTGGCAACAGTAAGGTGAGATTGGCTAAGAAGGCAGCTCGCAAAATACTCGCATCAATTGCTTGTAAAACTTCATAGAAAGCATGCTGACAATGCACGATCGTAGCAGAAACCTCTATCAAGAGGGAACCCAACCGAGATGCAACAGCTGCTAACGTAAGTACAAGTTGTAAGAATGCGCCTGTTTGCATGATCAATGTGAAAGAGCTAGTCGCACGTTAGATGACATTAGAATTGCCATGACACTGACTTACTGGTAGGCCTCAATCAAGCGTTCACGCGTCTGCAAAGATTGAGATACGTGCGATTGTCAACAGTGAGAGTGTCTGTCTACCTTGGTGACCAGAGCACAGCACTCGGAACATCTCCTGAGGACAAAGAGAACTGATCGAGAATCTGGAAAGTGTGTCCAGGAACGCTTTAAAACCTTGGGACTGGCAGGACTTTCAGTCGAAATGCGGGGACTCCAATCGAAAAACTCACGTCCGCGTAGAGGTATCACCCCAAAATGATAGCCTCTCGTTTTCAACCAAATTGTACATGTCCATATCTTCTAGACGTTTGCCATATTTCCTTGTCTCTGCAACACGCTGCCAGAACAGCGCTGTACGATGCTGGTTTTTCCCTTTGTAGTAGAGTCTCTCCAGAATTTGAAGTTCATTGCGATGAGCCAAGAGGGCAGCATTAAGCCGTCGAGTGCAGGTCTTAAGTTGCTTCAGCGCCGCGTCAATGCCTGGATACGATGTGGCAACCAGCGAAGATCGCGGCAAGCAGGTCGGTGGTATGGGCGCAGCGAATCGAGGAGCAGACATGGAGCTACTTGCCGCCGGCGCTTTCCCGCTTATATCCCACCGGCACTCACGACCAAGTGACAACTTACTTTCTGCTCGTTAGTAACATACGACGACGAGTCTCAATCCGCAACACTGGAGTGTCTGTGGCGTCTACAAGGACAGGATGAGTGGTCAAGGGGGTCAAGATGCGAAATTCTTCCAGCGGGGGAAGATACAGGTATGCAATCCTACTACTCTGCTTACGTCCTTCGGTCTCAACCCAATCCAGGAATTTCGTGCAGAGTTGCAGGCTGCAGAAAGCAAGGACAAGAAATTTACGAAACGTAAGACTGTTCTGAAGAAGATTGTTGCCAATATTACGATGGGCAATGACAGTTAGTGTAGCTGTTTCATGTTACACGTATCGAGAGCTCAATGTATCACGATATGTAGTGTCACCGTTGTTCACGGACGTCATCCAATGCTTGGGCATACCACTACTTGAGATCAAGAAGAGTTAGTGCATATATGCTTCTCTATGGCATCAGGCCGGTGACATGTTCTGACGCGCATGCAGTGGTTTATTTGTTTCTCGTCTGTTATGGCAGGTCAAAGGCAGACCAAATACACCTCGTAATCCCTAGCTTTCTACAAGTATGTTCTATCTGTCAATGTCGTCATTCTGTTGGTGTTGAAAGCAGCTCAGGATTGCAATGACCGTAATCCACTTGTCCGCGCTCTAGCAATCCGGACGATGTCCTACATACCTATCCCAGTCGTTACCGAGGCACTGACAGAACAACTCCGACATTGTCTAAAGGACCGGGACCCATACGTTCGCAAGACTGCCGCTATTTGTGTTGCTAAGCTGTACACAGCGGATCCACGCAAGGCCGAGAGAGGTGGCTTTGTGGAGATGTTACGAGATTTGATGCTCGATAGCAATGCCACTGTCGTCTCTAATGCAGTGGCAGCCTTGTCCGAAATTGGTGATAGACAAGACGGCGTCATCTTCAAGTTGAATTTGACTGTGGCAAACAAACTCCTGACGGCATTGGGTGAGAGTTCGGAGTATGCACTCTTCTTAATTCTCTCGTAGATGTATTGAATTGACGACAACTATCTCAGATGGGGCCAGATCTATATATTGGATTCGCTGTTACGCTATGTGCCCGAGAGGCATGAAGATGCCGAGCTTATGGCAGAGCGTATCATAGTCCAACTACAACATGCCAATTCTGCGGTGGTGTTGACAACTATCAAAGTTCTACTGTATCTCATGAACTACATGGACAACCGCCGTCTTATGGAGTACATATGCAAGAAGATGGGCCCCCCGCTAGGTAAGCCCACAGGGCTCTTTTGTCAGCATACCTTATCATGGACCGCTCCCAGTTACACTTCTCTCGTCGGGGCCGGAAGTTCAATATGTAGCGTTGCGGAACATTCTTCTTATTATTCAGCGGCGGCCTTCAGTCCTCAAGAATGATGTCAAGGTATTCTTCTGTAAATACAACGATCCAATATACGTCAAGTTGGCCAAACTCGAGATAATGTATCGGCTTGCACGCGAAGAGAACGCCAAGGAAGTGTTGGCAGAACTACAGGAGTGAGTCCATAACTCAACCGTGTCAATCTACCAATCCCCGAATTCATGTCACAGATATGCCTCAGAAGTCGACGTTGATTTCGTGCGCAAGGCTGTGCGCTCAATTGGCCGTCTGGCCATCAAAGTCGAACCTGCCGCGGACGATTGCATCCAAGCGTTACTAGATCTCATAGAGACGAAAGTAACATATGTGGTACAAGAGGCCGTCATTGTCATCAAGGATATTTTCCGACGTTATCCCGGGAAATACGAAGGAATCATCCCTACTCTCTGCGAGAATCTTGATTCTTTGGACGAACCGGAGTCGAAAGCAGCGATGATCTGGATAGTGGGCCAATTCGCAGATCGTATCGACAATGCGGACGAGTTGATGGATGATCTCACCTACACCTTCATGGAAGAATCCGTTGAGGTACGTTTCATCACTCCACCCAGGTCTCATACTGAGATCGTCTCAGGTTCAACTAGCACTGCTGACTGCGTCAGTTAAGCTGTTCATCTACAAGTCTCAATCGGATACTAGCAAAGCTTTGGTTCACAAAGTCCTGAAATGGGTCACAGAAGAGGTAGACAATCCCGACTTACGAGATCGCGGGTTCATGTATTGGCGCCTTCTCGCTATTAATCCAGCTGTAGCTGGAGAAATCGTTTTGGCTGAGAAACCGGCGATTACCACGGATGCAGACCGAATGGACAGAGGAGCATTGGACCAGCTTCTACTCCACACTGGGACGCTGGGAAGCATATACCACAAGAATCCGGAGGTAAGTGGCCGCCGTAATCACGCTCCACTATTATCGGTGCACTGATAGAACCTGACGACAGACATTCATCCGCAATGCCGCAGGCAAGGCGTTGACTGACAGTCCCGCGCTGAACACGTTATCACGACAAGTGCTCGTACCTGTTGCACGCAATAACCTTCCACCCACAGCGATACGCATCCCTGGCCCTGGACCTCCAGAGCCACCTAAACCATCTGCGGAACCCGTGCGGACAAACGGCAGTCTAATGCCCGTACCGACGGCCTCGAGCTCCAACACGGACTTGATCGACGTGAGTGCATCGCAGGAGGGAGGTGAGGAGGGCGATGGTGAAGGCGAAGGTGAGGAAGAGGAGTATGCTGCGGCGCCCATGGGCACCGTTGATCCCTATGCGAACCTGGACAATGCCTTCGAGGGTTACCTTGCGGATGAGCCACGGCCGCAGACGAATAACATGTTATTACAGGCGTGATTTGTTTGCATTGCATTGTAATATTCCTTTGATACAACACCGAGGCGTGCTTTCCCAAGATACAGAACCAACGTGAGATATAGTGTGAGGGCAGAAGTGAATCATGAACTATGGAGCATCGATCTGACACTTTCAGACAAGGTCCTTTTCGGCCGTAACGAATTGTAATGCTACAAGTACACAGGCTTAAGCGTTTGGCGACTCAGTCAGTTTGCTGTCACTTACCTCGCCCAATCCATACATCCTCCGGTGATAACTTATGCGAACCACATTCTTATCCGCGACATGGCCTTTGTCGGGGGATCCTGAGGGCAGATGCATAACCACGGACGGATTACCGCCTTGCACTACATATATTGGCACGTTGAATGCGCTGCTCAGGGCCTGTATTTCTGGCTCTCCACCCCATGCGGCCGTATCCCGTACTGAGACACAGTATTGTTCGAGCTGTGATTGGCTCATGAGCCCCGTGTCGCTCGTAGCGCCAGCGGCATCTTCACCTCCAGATGACGGAAGAAAGGGTATAAAATCGTCTGGATGGCTGCGCATATAGTCTGCAGCGGCGTGGCGACAAGTGGTATATATAGCTTGGCCAGGGGGTAATATTGAGATAAGAGCAAGTTGGTCCGCTACGGCCGAGAAAAGACAGTGACCGTCTGGGCTGATCTATGCCGCCTTCAGTGTACCCCAGCCGACAAGGTCATTTTCCGCTCTCACCTCAAAGATCTCTACTCCTAACTCGTCACATACTCGTTTGATAGTTTTTTCTTCGTCTGCTGCTTCTTTCTGCAGCCGCGCGTCTCCTTCTGCGTCGGCGGGCGCGAACTTTTCCGCAAGCGCAGCAGCTTTCCTTGCCTTTAGACGCATGCTATCTCAGCCTCGACGTTTCGGTAAGAAGAGAGATATTCAAATTAAACAGACCTGTCGAGCTTGATGTCGTGACTTGCTGTCGTGCTTGCTAGGAGGCGGGGTATCTGCGGCCTTCTGTATCTGCATTTCGTTGATCACCGTAGCGGACTCGGCCTGTACAGCCTGATTTCTTGAGTCTAGCTGAGCCATGAGATCATCCATGAGTTCGTCGTCGTTCATGCCGGGATTCGGAGGCGTAGACGTGTGTGAAGATGGCAAGAGTGCCTTCTTCAACTTGCTCCTCTTTGGTCCAGCCATTTTTACAGCTACGACGCTCTCAGGCAGCCAAGCAGCCCGGTGTTGAGTGGAATTCAGGTGGAGTCTCGGAGCGAAAGGACCGAAAGTATACCCGCAACCGAGCAGGCGCTGCATACCTGGATTTGGAATGTGTAGTGGTTCAGCAGTAGCCTCTGGAGCATACTTCCGATGCTGCCTTCACCTCGTTCTCTGCCATGATCTAACATTTCTCAATTTTCACCAGAAATAACTTAACGACTGTACATGTTCTGCCCATAGAATGACCGGGTTTCTGTTCTAAATTCACAGTCTCCCACGTGACAGGAACGCGATCTAGTAATCCGGCCGGCTCCCCGTCCCTTGCCCTCGATTTCACTACAGGTTTGCCTGTCTCTTGGCGCGAAAAGGTCGCCACGCACATACTACCCCTCTCTGCTGGCTTCTCGTTTAGTTGAAACATCTACCAAGATGCCTACTCGTGTCCCCCTCCTTTTTGTATGCATTCTGACTCACAGGGTCGTTCACTCACAACCTCACTCACTGTTATCTATAGGGTACAATGACAATGGGTGAAGCTGGAAAGAATGGTGTACGTACAGCAGACTTGAAAGAGTGTCAGGGAATCCTCGACGTCTTCTTCGCACACGGGCACATGGAGCTTGATACTGCCCGAATGTATGCTGAAGGCACCACTGAGCCCGTCAGTATCTGCCGTTTGTGAGATGCGGAAAAAATCTAAGACATTAGCACGTATAGCTTTTGACGAAGTTAGATCTCAAGGGTGCTACTGTTGACACGAAGTGAGCATTCTTGCGGCGCAGACGTGCCTGTGACGGCGTGCTAACTATCGTAATAAGAGTATACCCGGTAAAACCTGGAGACCATGCACCCACCGCCCTTCGTTCAACGTTTGAAACTTCGCTCAAATTCCTCACTCCTCTCAAAGTGAGAGTACTGTATCTTCATGCACCTGACCGGAGTGTACCCTTTGAAGATACATGCCGAGAGATCAACGAGTTGTACAAGCAGAGTCTTTTGTAAGCCTTATCTGAACAGTTGTCCTGAATTGCGTTTCATTCCACGGGCTCTTATCAAAGTCAGATTTTCGGTTTGAGTAACTTTGCATCTTGGGAGGTATGTCACCAACACAATAGCATCTGAAACTTTCCTACAACGAATGACTTATATATCAATAGGTCGCAGAGGTTGTTGGCATCTGCAAAGCAAATGGTTGGGTCCAACCGAAGATTTATCAGGCGTGAGTCCAGCGCAGCATTTGTATTAAATTTATCCATGATTCTAACCGAAGCGGTCAGAATGTACAACGCGATCACTCGTGACATGGAACCGGAACTCGTTCCCTGCTGCCGCAAGTATGGCATTCGTATTGTGGTTTACAATCCACTTGCGTGCGCCATCCGTAGCTTCTCGTTCTCGTAATCTTGCTCATATGTCTACCCCATCTACTTGCGCGGTCTAGTGGAGGCTTCTTTGCGGGCAAGGTTACAGCTCCAACTGACGAGGCACCCAAGGGCGGACGTTTCGATCCGAACAGCAAGATGGGTGCTATGTATCGTCAGCGATACCTGAAGGGTGAATATTTCGAGGCACTCAAGTTTCTCAAGGGCGTTGCGGTATGAATTATACTATTCATGTCATTTTCTTATTCTAATCGAATTTGGCATTTACCCCCCTCAGGATGAACACAACTTGCGACTTACAGAAGTCGCCCTGCGGTGGTGCCAGCACCACTCGGTCTTGACGCCTGAAGATGGCATCATTCTAGGAGCAAGCAGTGCTGCACAGCTGGAGCAGAATTGTGAAGACTCAGAGAAAGGTCCATTACCAGAAGACGTCGTGAAGGCTCTTGATGAGGCTTGTAAGATCGTCGGTGCCTCTGCGCCGGCCTACTGGCGGTAAACGGGCTGTCTCTCACGTGCACGAAGAAGATTGTATGAATTATGAACGGAAGCATGTACCGTTACAAATGATTGTATTGTTGGCCCCACGCGACTGCGGTGGTTATGCTCGTGTGGAGAAGGAGATGTGCTCTACTACTTACTAGCATGATGGTCCAGATGCCAGGCCCGTGGGCTTCAACGGAGGTTGAGCCTCTCCGTTTCGCCAAAGGCTCCAATTGCAACTGCAAGCTTCGGGTCTGTCAGATGCTCGTGCGGACATACTTACGAGCTTCGAGGGCCGGGACGGACATCCATAGGTATGTCCTACTGGGCCCACGCTCTACATTCGCGGCCGGCGCAGTCGTCCGCACTGGATACATTCGCAGCGCAGGCTTCCTGTCTTTCTTGCCCCTCCTTTATCCCGTCTATTGGGGTGTCAGCGAGGGCGGTAACGTCATCTCTCCGACAGGCGAGATGATGTGGTATGGCATCCTCGACTCGATCTCTTCGTGGGTCCAATCTTCCTGTTCTTCTTCCTTTGGGCCTTGCGCGAGGCTGACATCAGTGCGCTTGGTTTGATGTCCAGCAAGTACACCGACACGGGCTACTGCCCTGGTGCTTGATACCTGGTCCTGCAGGTGCAGGTGCAGTCTAGGGTACGACAGCGAGAGCTGGCAACGGAGGCACTGGTCAGGTCGCAGATAATGTCAATGGGACCGCGGGTGTTGTAAACAATACTGTACTACTCCTTCAGCCGCGGTTTGACGGGCCTTCAGCGAATGATCATATGCACTATACGACACATTCAGCTCATTTACAATTGTACGAGTATAATCTCTCTCTTTCCTTCATGACATGCATCTACGCTACTTTACATTTTCAACTAAATTTCGAATTGACTACCCTCCCGAGGTTTTCGTCAACATAGTGCTAGTCTTTCTCACAAAATATTGTATTGTCAGACCGCGCAAGCAATCAACAGGTTTGTGTCACGCTTGTAATCGTACAACAATGCCAACAATGGTCATCACACGGCTGGTTGAGAGCGCGCTCGGATATTGTGATGATTCACGACCAAAATCGTTATATTGTAGCGCAGAGTACGGACCTTGCAGTCCAGGTCTACCCGTGAGATCTTGAGACATCAGGGGCAGCGGATGGAATATATCGATGCGGTATTTGCATCACCAAACACGAGCCTTAAGCTTGAGCCTCGTCAGGTCGAATCATCCAATATACGGTACCACGACTACTGTACTCCAAACAGATGTGAACTCAAACGGACGGTAAACGGAGCACCCCTCAGGCTTTCATACACATTCGTCTAACTACATGTAGAAACTACTTACAATAGCGGCGAATACGCAGGGTCATCGTTATTCAGTACTTGACTCTTCAGCAGTAGAAATAGCACCGTTTATGGTCACCAACGAATTTTCTGTACTTTGGATCAATATCATATTACAATTCTAAACCTAAGGACCTACCCATGAAGGGAAGAGTGTGCCCGAGTTTGGAAGCAGAGTACACGATGACAGCGAGTAAGGATCTCCAATGCACAGCGGAATATTTGTCGTTATGGTGGTCGCGCTCTTGGTTGAAGATGGTAGCTACCATCGTCCAGCATATCTACTCGCAGCTCAGTACTGCATTATTCGCTTTGCAAGGATAATCGAAGTGCGCACCCCCAGAATAGGATCCAAGAATATATAATCATCATCTTTGAGACCCCTCGTAATCCCCACGATTTCGAATACAACATCCAGGCATTTCAACCGTGATTCAGCATGATGGCTCGCTAACAGTCGATGCAACTCAGCGGACGCGGTCAATGATACGAGCATACAGAGCTTTAACGTCAGTCCACGTTCTCTATCACGGAAAGCAGTGGACTTCAGCATGGATGGACTGAGTATGGCTATGTGTTCGGAAACTTCTGCCAAGAGATGCCAATATTGGTCATACCACTGACCCTGACTGTGTGCTGGCACGTTGAAGTCCACGGGGCTGGACGGCTGGGAGGACAAGCAACGAGTCTGATGCAGAAAAAAGACACTCCTTGCGCGCAAGACAACCAGATTGTGCCTAGAGATAGCAGGAAACACATACTATGTGTGACGTCAAATAAAGCAATCGACAGCGTCCTGTGAGTGACATACCGATAAAGTTGCGAAGTCTTGTTCAAACTCGACACTGAGTAAGGTTGATTCATTCAGGACAATGCAAGCAGCTTTGTCCAGGTACAGGAGCTGGCTGAGCGCACAGATCTGCTCCCGGGCCTCAATGTTTGGCTCTTGCAATAGATTTGTCCCTGTTATCGCTGGTGATTGGAAGCGTAAGCTGTACTGCATAACGAGATTTGCTGCTTTCACGAGCTGATCTCGACCCTCCTGCATATGTTGCTTGATGAGAAAATAAATCGTAAGCACATTGTGAACTTGAAGCCTTGTCACAGGGTGACCGGTATTCAAGAGTGCCTGTTGTACGGACCGTAGCTGATACGACTCCGTGGTGATAGTGCAAACTGCACGATGCTGCTCTTGCCATAGACGACAGCCCATCAGCTGAGCTGCGTATACCAGCACTGGGTGAACAACCCTGCCGGATAAATCTGCAAGCAAGATGGCTTGCGTTTTCTCTTCCGATAGAAAGAGGCCTAGTTGACCATGATGTGAGATGAATAACGCACGACTAATACATGTTAGACATGGCCAGAACAACTGCTAAACGTCACTCACAACTCGTCTAGATCCTGATAAGACGTCGACGTGGTGAGATAATGAGAATCGACTAGGGGTGAGATAATTTCACTTTGAGAAGCAACACTTTGCAAGGGGAGAGAAGTGACCAGAGGGAACGGCATTTCGACATTTGGCGCGAGATTCACACCCGGCGTAAATGGGTATTGGGCAAAGATTGGTGGAAAGCTGGCCAACGAAGACAAAAAGTCGTTCATTTCAACTGTTACGCAAGATGACGATGCCACTGCAGCATCAGAATCAGTTGCTGAAAGTTCACTGAATGGAGGATACATACCGGACTGCGAAGGCGCAGCCGAAGATGCTTGTGACTGACCCTCGAAGTAGGCCAGACGTTGCTCAAGGTCCCGTGTACGCGCGATGAGTGCTTCAGTTAAACTGCGCTCGATGTTGTCTTCATATTGGCAGTCATACTCCTTCCCAGCAACCTTGCATGTAGTACAGAAGGGGTGCTTGGCATCGCATCTCTACGTTGCGCCGCGTAAGAGGGAAGATCAACTGCAAGGAGAGAGAGTGATATACCTTCTTCTTCCTCCTAGAACACGCACTTAAGTCATAAAGGAACAGCACAAGCAATAGAACGAACCTGCAAGGATAGCACGCAGCACCTTTCTGCAAGAGGGGCCCCTTCGATGCCACAGCATTGCTGCTCACATATATACATTGAATCGGACGTCGCGCTTTGGAGCATGGCCCACAAATTGGAGTAACCCCGTCGCAACGCTGAAGTTCTGTAAGTTTTGTCATGATAAATGTTTTGGGATGTCACTCACTACTTTCCGTTCCCTGATGTGCCAGACGGGAGGCGTTCAATCAAAGACACCCCGTAAATTACATTGGCCAGGACTTGCCTGCATGCGCCGCACGTCTTCGCCATGAAACAGACAAGAGGAGTTGCGCTCCGTGTCTTCACGGAACGGTTGTCGCAGACGAACAGGTCTCGGTAAGGACGATTAAGGTTTAGGGTCGAATACTACGCTTTTGAGAATGGAATTGGTGCAAGCTACAAACGATTGGAGCGAGACGCACTCTCAGAGCGTCTAGTCTACCTACCTACCTACCTACCTACGCGTTTCGGAGCCGGTGACGCATTGCGTGGCCGGAGTGTGTAGACCCGATTGGCGCCCTCAGGGCGCTTATGTCGCCCTTGCACCGGAGTTGGCCCCATTTGTAACAAGTGCAACTTACGTGCAGAACATCCCCCAAATTATCCCCCTTGGCCCGAGGTCCGGTGCGAAACCCTCGAAAAATAGTTCCTGGGAGAAATTTTCCTGGAGACCCCTCAACTTGGAAGGATTTTTGGGCGGGGGCCCATTTCTCACCGCAGATGTTCGATCCCATTTTCCTCCGAAACCGGCCAGCGGGCCGGGACCTTCGGGGCGAAACCCCCGAAAATGACCGTCCTAACCCCCGAAAATAGCCTCCGGCGGGATCGATGAAGCTTGAAGCTTGAAGCTCTAAGCGAGTTACGGGGGGTCCTACTGGAACTTCCACAGTACTTGGAACAGATATCCAACACTGTCTTGCTGCCAGATACTCTGACTTGAGGCATACGTCTTGATGGTGGAGTGGTCAATTTAGTGCACCGGAAAGTTGTGCAGTACAGAATCTTTGATACACTACGCACCGGTTTCTTTCCATGGGTATCTATCTGTTCTTATACAAAATATGCTAAGTAGTGACACTATAGAACAATACGGATAACAGTTCTAATCGAGCTCTAGCCAGGAGCAACCCTCGTTGACGGCACTGATCGACCTTGCGACGATCCGTTACTTGCTGTACTGGATCGATATTGGAAAAGGTCATGTAGTCGTGACAGTTTCTCTTGTTGGGAGTCAGGCAAGTCAGACAGTCCCGGACGTGGTGGAGATCTAGGCGATGTCTCCGCACGACTGCTGACCGGCGAGCTAGCTGTAGCTGCGCCGTTGGAATCGAGATCTGCAGTGGAGGAGATTAACGTGGTTCAGCGATATACAAGTCTCCCTTACATGAAAAATGGTTGGGAGGGGTCAACGCTCGCTCACGCTGATTTGACTCTAGCTCTGTGGGGATAATATCAGGTGAGATCGCGGAGCGACGATCATGCCAGACTTACTCGACAGAGTATTCGCAACAGCCACGTTTCTCTCCTCGTCTTCCGCCGCTCGACTGGCCAACGCTCTTGTAATGTATTTGCGGAAGGCAGTCCCTGTCGATTCCAATATCTTATCGACCTTGGGCTTTTTGTGAGGATACGCCTTGAGGAAGTGGTGAAGCTCAGTGATTCCTTCCTTGTGCATCGCACCCGTGGTCTCGCTGGAAATATGGCTGATGATAGTGTTCAGCTGGTCGTCAAGGTCTGGCTCCGTCGTGATCCCGTTCGTAGAAGAAGCGCTCGGACTTCTCGCATGGCTGGATGAGGATTGACGTTGATGATCCGAAGTGACAGAGGATGATGTTCCGTGAGGAGATGTCGCACGACCAGGAGAGTACGGTGCAGGTTGATCATGAGCCACACCATTGCTTCGCACTGGGATTTCTGTTGCCGTCCGAGCTGTCGAATTTAGAATTCGATAGACGTACGGATAGACAATTGTGGCGGACGGGTCGTCGAAGGAGGCGGAGAGCAGATCGTATACATCATCTCCATAGTGAGCTATGAAACATAGCACTCAGCATTTTTTAACAACAGAAGGGTAACATAGCAGAAAGGTAACCCACCAACCACGTGCTGAATGATGACCTTGATTGTTCGCAGAGGCATATCACCGCATGGAACCTTGTTGGTGGCCCGAGCACGCCATTCATTCGGTGGAACAGACTGCAAGAAATGCTCCACAGCAGGAAACAGCTCCGCAGTATCGAGAACACCTTTCTCCAGATCCTGAGGAATGTTTCTCGCCAATTTCCAGACACATTTGAGCACCAACTCAGCAACCTTGGCCTCTTGAGACTCTGGGTGAGTGCCATTCGTTGGGAATGGTTTCACAATCTGGAGCAACAGCGCAAACAGTGCCCTAAACAACGAGAACGGCGGCTAAGATGCACGCAAGAGGTTCAAAGAACGAAAACTAACCGGAAGACAGACATCCTGCGGCCAGTGGCAAAGAGGCGCAAGATGATCATGTTAATGAATCGTGACAGATCCTTGACTCTGCTATCTGGGCTGTTGTCTGTTTGAAGGAGGCGCAGGGTCAACTCCTCGAGTAATGATGTCAGAATGTCCACCGTTAGTGACTCCGCAAGGAAAACATGGTCACAGAATGCATTGAGCGTCTGGATGAGGTGCTTCGCAAGCCGAAAATTTTCCGGCTGCGTGATATTCTCCGGCCGTTCAAATACATGCGCCATCTGGAGGGTGATAGTCTCGATCAAACCTTCAGTATGCTCTGCAAGTTCCTGATATGCTGGAGACGACGGGCCATCTTCAGGGCCCATCTCTAGGACCTTCTGAACTTTCTTCAAGGCATCCACGCTACGTGATGGGTCATTGCTGAGGATGCTGGAGATCGTGACCGTAATATCGTCCGGCGAAGCAGCTGGTGGTCCAAAGTCCGTGATCTCATTTTCTCTGTGACTGTTTAGGTGGCCATTGCCGTTCACAGCACGTGGAATCACTTCTTCTTGATGCAGTATTTCACGGCTTGATGCAGACGACACCGCGTAAGACGACTGTACATCATTGTAACGCGATCGTGGAGGTCCTAATCGAGACGGTACGAGGCTCTTTGGTCGACCTATCGAAGTCGGTGATGTTGGACCAGGCAGATGTGATGGGCCAGGCAGTTTTGAAGACCTTGCCGGGGAACCAGGACGAGCAATACTAAGCGCGGGAGATGCAGACCTGACAGTACTTGCAGGTGATGCCGGACGAGCAAGACGAGACGATGGAAGGACAGCCGGACTAGCATTTCGAGATTGTCCAGCTATTCGAGAAGCCGGTCCTGCAGCTGGGGAACCAGATCTAGCTATGCTGGTCGCCAAACGAGAAGCATGTTTGGTGGAAGGGGCAATCTCAGCCTTGTCTGGGGTGCTTGCTCCAGGGACACGACGTAGGCGTTCCTCCAATTGTGTCTTGTCCTTTGGAGAGAGTGGCCCGACAAGCGACCAGATCGTCTCTCCAACTAGGGAATATCCTTCGCTATTGCTCGATTAGCTCAATGTCATCGACATAACTGTAGTACCATCTCACCCAAGAGTAGTAAGCACTGACTTGCGCACTTGTGGATCCTTGTCTGATATCGACGCTGCAATGACCGGGAAGGCTTTACTCGGCTCGCACGCACCCGTACCAAATCGTTTCAAGAGGCTGCCAAGTTCGTCGAATGTTCCTTGGCGAGTCTTTGCGACCTTGGACTTTAATCCGTGCTCGAGTAGAAGTTGGAATACTCGACTATAGGCATAGACCTTTGGGAAAGTCTGAACGATCTGCGATACACGGACCCGCACCGGCTCACGCGCATCCCCCAGCTACGAGAAATTCAGTAAACGTGATAAATAAATGAGGAAATACTGACTTTGTAAACGATGGTGGGAATAAAACACATGGCTTCCGCATCAGACAGCTGATATTCGACACTCTGCAGGAAAGCTAGAACTGCCTCCACGACATCCAAGCATTTCTGAACTAGGTTTGATTGAGGTTCATGGGCTTTTATAGAGACATACTTCAAAGCAAGATCAGAATTTGCCAGACAGATAGCTTGAAAGTCTTCCGATGACAGCCCAGGCATTTCATCTCCAGCCACAGCACTGGTGTAGAGCTCTTGTAGAGCATTTAGACCAGAGACATGATCGTTCACAGCGTTGTGGTCGTGGCTGAACAGAAGGGCGATCAGATCTCTAGATGCGTGCGGTTCCATCTGATGTTGTAGTAATTCTGCGAGATCCTTTCTAGTTGGGCCTGCTTCGTTAACCCACTTTTGAGCATCCTTCGCCAAACGTGCTCTCTTCGCATCCTGATTGCTACTGGTAAACGGCAACGCGGGGGCAACTTCAGCAGGTGTTGTTTTAGAAGTTGAAGCGACTGGAGCACCAGGCCGCTTCAAACCAGTGCCGAGTTTACTTGGGAGGCGAGAAGTGACCCCTTCCACCGGCGTTTCCGAACGGGAATCTGCTCGAGCAGTCGTGCCTTGAGGTAACTTGCGACGCACCCCAAGCGACTTTCCCGGCACTGCGACCTTTGAAGATTCGGGAGCATCCTGAGGTGGTGGGCTTTCCGGAGGTGTTTGAACGGGAGCGGCTTTCGTTGGTCCCGCCTTCGTTGGTGCTGCGAGTGCTGATGGCTTGGTAGCTACAGGAGCTGGTGCACTTCTAGCTGGTGCAGCGGCGCGGGCTGCCTGTAACAAAGGAACGACGGTTGACCTCGACGCCGGCTTCAGCGAATTTGCCTGCTGAAGAATATAGTCATATCCCGCGTATGCTACAAGGGCGGGCAGAAGGGCTTGCGCGCCTTTCCTGACATCGCCGTTGCGATCGTCCAAACAAGCGATCACTGGACCAGCCCAGTTACTCAGATCCAGCCCAGAAGGGAGTTCATGCGCCTTGAACCAGTCAACGATCCATCCCAGGAGAGATGCTCGTTGCACTGGGTTCGTCGATTCCAACGCAGTCGCGATCCCGGGCACCATAGCTTCAACCCCTTCACATGCAGTGGCAATAGATGTGAGAGTTTGGATCGCGGCAGCACGAATGGGTGCCTTCTGATCAGAGAGCACGGTGGCAACAGGCAGAACGAAAAATTTAGTGTGTTTTTCGAATGGCTTGCCCATACCGGTTGCAACTCGTGAGACAATGTCGAGCGCAAGGGACTGGACGGTCTTATTTGTATCTGTGACCCGGGCTTTGAGCACTTGACCGATCTCTCCTGCACGAGCCATCTCAGTAACCGGAAACATGTGCATGCATGTAGCACACTCACCCATATTAGGCTTCAGGCGTTTGTTCGAGCCCTGGTCCAAGATCACCTGTAGCGCTTCAAGTGCCTCCTTCTTCGTCTTCCAGGCATCGCTCTTGGCATCGGTGAGAATAGCGGTTCCTTTGAGTAAGCTATCAATTTCCACACGAGGAAAGAGGTCATCCAAAGGATCAGCTTGTGCGGCACCGCCCTTGCCCAGACTGGCTCCAGGAGCTGCTACCATGCTGGCAAGATCTGCAGAAATGCGCGTGGGTTCCGGGGTTGGAGTACCTTCCACTTTATCAAATTCGCTCAATATAGTGGCCAAAAGCTGTGGATTGAGATCCTCGAGTAGGTCCTTGATAGCTGATTTAGAATGTTAGTTTCCGTGAACGAGGAACGTCTGCAAAATAACCCACAGGAGCCAGCGAACAGCTTCACTGCGACAAGCGTCTTGGTTGCACTTGTTCGTACAGCAGCGTTGGAATTCTTCAGCGTCGTCTTGAGGAATTCAATCAGGGCGCGAAGTGACAGCCCCGCCAACCCAAAATCAACGAGAGCTTGCTCGATCCACGTTACTGCATCCGCCAGCATCTTAGGTGCTTTCTGTTTCGACAGCGGTTCGTATGCTACGGGAAATCGTGAGAGACCTTATTCAGACCTTGACTTCAAATCACACACCATGGCCCAACACGAACTGCAGAGATGTCTTCTCTGCAAAGATCAAAAGGGTCTCGCCGGCTGGTTTCTTCAATTTTGAATCACCCAGCTTCTCCGTTAGATGGGGTACGCAAAGGGCGACGCAGGACCTTCCGAATGATGGACATTGTTCCGCTAATATGTTCAGAATGCCATACAATTTGGCAGACACCTAAATTATGCAGTGCGTCAATGGATGCATCCGTGATATAACTGGAGTCCAAACAAACCTGGAAATTCTTCTCACTCCACCCCTTCTTAGCCAAGAACCGGACGACGACTTCTGCGTCTAAGCTACCTGCAGAATCTTGCACCCAAGTAGTCATCTCCTCCAACCCAGCTAATCTAGTCTTCCAGTTTGAGTCTCCAAGATCAGCGACATAATTGGGTGGAACGAGTTCTGCAGCAAGTGCTTCCGCGTCTTCTAGAGTATGCTTGAACTTGAACGTGTCGAGAGTTCCGGGAGCTGGCGCAAGAACGCCCTTGGAGGGTTTTGATGCTGCTGCTGCTGCGGCAAGGGGCAGTTTCTTTGCTGGTCCGGCGGGAGGTGGTGACGCAACTGCGCCTCCCGGTGATACACCGGCCGCGGCGGACTTTTTGGCCTACAATTACAAGCCGCATGCAAAAAAATTAGCATATAGACGATTCGAGAGTGTGGGAACGAACCAGCATTCTTGCCGGGGGCTTCTTCGAGGGTTTGTCCTCAGTTGGAGTGAGAACTTCATCATCAAGCGGGGTGGAAGGGGCGGTTGACGAAGCCGCCGGCTTTTTGGTAGGCGCCTTCTTTGGTGGCTCCTTGGCTGCAGGGGCAGCTTTTGGTGGCCCACTTGCACCAGCCTTTGCCTTGACCGTAGCCTTCTCGTATGCCTCCTTCACTTTAACTTTCCGTACGTCGGCAAGATTCTCCATTAGAGCATTCAAAGGTCTCTCCCCGACCATCTTCATCAGGGTGCCCAGACAAATCGCTGCCTCATTGCGAGCACCTTCGAAAGAGTCCTCCAAAAGGGAAGCGAGCGTATCGGACAAGGGCTTCACCTGTGGAGGAGGAACGGGAATGGTAGAAATCGCAAGGCACCTCCCCAGGAACCTCAGTGTACCTTCTTTGACCTGAGGATTCTTCGAGTTGACAGCAGAAATAATGTCTGGAATGATATCAGGCAGGGTTGTCTGAAACAAATCGTCATCAGAGGATCGGCTCGAGATACAACGGGGGCACTTCGTCTTACTGTTGTGAATACGGCATCCAGTGCAGATCCAATAGCATCTGTCACAGTAACTTTCCGCTCCTTCATCCTCTCTAACAACGGAGACACGATGCTCTCCCTGTGCCTGCCAAACCCGCCCATCATACCCTTCGCCAGGGCCTCTATACAGTTCGCGGCTGTCATGACACAGTTTACGTTCGCATCTTTGTGCACACAAGTTGCGAGAGCCTTCGCAACCTCTCCCAGCTCGGAGGAGTCCTTGATCCTCGGAGTGGCATTAAGAAGAGTTAACAAATCATCAAGCGCCTCCTTGCGCTCCTTCCACTTTGAAGATCCCAGCGACGGCCGCAGCGTTGCTGATAGCTTAGGGACGATGTCGACCTCTTCAGCGAACATGCGCGGATCCGGAGGCGCAGACTCTATTACAGGATGTTAAGCGGCCAGAACGAAGATCTCACTGGACGCACCAACCTTCTTCTGCGGCAGCTTCTTCCTCGTCACCTCCTCCCGCCTCTGCTTCTCTCGCTGCCGCCCTTGTCATCCTCTCTGGCTTCAGACTACCCTTCCCCTTGCCGTCCTTCTCCATCACCTCAAATGCTTCCTTCAGCTCCTTCACTTGTACCGGCTTCAAGTCGGCCAGCCACGACTCTATACCGGGACCAATGTATTGGTATAGTGTATGCGCGAGATGCGTCCCTTCTGAACGAACTGTCTTGTCAGAATGTGCAAATATTTTCGGCAATGCCTTCAGAACTGGCGCCGGAGGAGCTGCTGAAGTCCCGAATACTCTGGATAGGTGTCAAAGATGATCACCTGGGACGAACTGAGTAATAAGGCGTACCGCACGATCTCCCTTAGCGCAGTCACACATCCTGCTACGATCTTCGGTTGCTTGGCTCCCAGACCGGGCAGGATATTTTCCTGCACAAACAGTTATAATCCCATTCGATACGTTGGAGAACTGTAGGACGTACCACAACCCCTGCTCCACCGTTTTCAACTTCAACATATTGTAATACAAGCTCTATAGCTTGTGCTTTCGTGCCGGCGCGTGTTGAGCCGAAGGACTTGTCCACTAACACCGGGACGACGGCCTCTCTCGTACGCGCAGCATTCTCTCCTGCAAACTTGACGAACGCCACGAGGCACTCTACTCCTTTCTCCTGCGCAACTGCGTTGCTGTCCGTGACGATCTTCTTTAGTAGATCCGGGTTATTGATGTAGGGTTTGAAGGCAGGATCGGAGTCGGAGGCAGTTGTGTGGAATATCTTCACCAAAGACTCATAAGCACTGACACGGGCCTTCCAGTTCTTGTGGACGAGACGGTCGGAAATTGGGATAGAGTTAAAATCCTCCTCAGGTGGTGGGGCGCCGTCGTCCATGGCCCGTCAGTAAACGTGAGTGTCGTCAAGTTGGAATGTCTAACTCCGAGCGAACTTCCGCTTGATCCAACGCGGTCGGTCACAAATTTAGTGACGTGCGTGACCACCTGATCGATCTTCACCGTGACCGCGGCCGACTCGTCACCTTGACAAGTCCCCTGCTAGACATCGAACATCGGAATGCAGTCGCAGTCCCCGTCTCGACCAGATGCGCATACGTACCAGCTGAAGCTTGAAGATATGCACGTCTTGACACTCTCGGACCCGAATCGCGCTCCTGATTTCACGCCTTCGGCACCCCCTTTTCGGATGTAGGATCGGACGGTCCTTGCTCGCCTTTTACATGCGTTTCGCGTAGGCGTGTACTGTACGCCACCTCATGTTCACAGCCCTCCCAACTGCTGCTGGAGAGTGGTAAGCGTTTCACCACAAGTTTAGCTAGCCGTGAGTCTTGTTCCTATGGATCATGGGTTGGGTTATGGGCGACCGTGGAAACCGCCGAGGATCTGCACGCAGCTTCGCAGCGCTTTTGCATGCACTCCATATTCATTATAGTTATCCACTGTCGGCCGATACTCGCTCGAAAATCCATTGCGACCACTGCGCGCACGACAAGAGACATGAAATCATGGCATTCTCAAGCCTTGAGCGATACAGTACTACCACACAGAAGTGCGACATAAGGTTACTCGACGGTATAAGTAAAAAAGAGCATAGAACATCAGCGATGCGGTGAAGTATGGAATACATACGTGAATGTAAGTATGGAATGTAGGTATGCGACTCGATGCAGAAGACTATGTGTATACAATGCAAAAACTGAGGCCTGAGTACGTAGGATGATAGTCTATAAGATACTATAGAATGGTAATAGAATAGTACCTGGAAAGCGAGGATGAACGGTGGACAACGACGAGCAGGGTCTGCGACGACGAGCAAGAAATGATTACACAGATAGCAAGCATTAAAAACGAGTAAGATGCGTGTTGATGGGATGGAATAAAATAAGGAAGTGTGGTGCACTGACAAAGCATGGCATCATACGAAATGCCCCATCGATTCCGCGCGCCTGGCAGGCAGAACCCGCCACAATATTTTAGTGTCTCGTCCATGCGGAAGAAACGATTAACAGCGCTCGAGGTTGAAGGCAATTCGATTGTCACCAGCGGCCCTGAACAATTGCCTGTAATGCGTAGGACCAAGACTTTCTGTGAGCATTGACTCGTGCGAGTGAACCCACTCGACAGGTGGTAAAGCCCGTATCGTCCGCTCCAACCCCCCTCCTGGCACTTGTTCCTCCTTGACAAGGACGAGCATGCCTGTCAACAGGCACTGTAGTAGATGCAACAGGTCCGCGACAGCAGGAACGGTATGTCGCAGGCCAGGAAAGAGAGCGCTGTGGAAGACCATCTCCCACTGTACGCGCCTCTCACGCGAGAAAAACGACGAGGCGTTGGCGGGAATCTGTAGACGCATATTGGGGCTACGAGGGAGACCCCTGGAAGAGCGGTATGGAGACGGGCACTCGATGTCGAAGAGCAGGCGTGGGTCGAGAGGGGTGATATCACACCACCCGAAGTTCTGTACGAGCTGAGCGCGGATAGAGAGGAGCCATCTCCGGGCTCGGGCGTAGTTCGTTCCCAGGGCTTCGGCGCTCGTAAGGGGGATGCCTGTCCGTCTTGCCCATTCATCCATGTGCGCGATGTCGTTGCTAAAGACCAGTTGTGGTGGTGGGGTCGGCATTATGAAAATGGGAAGGGGAGATATGGCGGTATGGACGCTTTGCCGTAGACAACGTAGGACTGCACGAGTGAATTGGAGTTTTACTGCCACGTCCATGACATATATATGTTACGCAGAACATACCGCAAGGCTACGGATCGACTCGGACAGTCGCAGGGCGTGTTCCAGCACGTAGCAGTGTGGATCAGTTATTAGCGTCACCTGAACACGTTCCGGAGGTGAAGAGATGGGATCAAAGGCTCGTCGAGGTATGTCGCGGAAGATTCAAGGTGGGGGAGAGGACGAAGAGGACATAAATCGCGTCTTTTTTTGAAGGACAGGGATTGCGCCAACGTAACCTAAACGGGGACGCTGCGATCGCAACGGGCGGCGGCCCCATAGAGTAGGCACAGCGTTCCGACGCGGCATAGACACGAAACGTGTTTCGATGAGCAAAGTGTCCGGTTTTTGCGCATAACTGTGTCCAGATTGGTCACAAACAGAGATCCAATCCCGCCTAAAGTTCCAGCCCCTTCCGCTTCGCCCGGCCCTGAACCGAATATTCTCACCCGCCTTTCTTTTTCTGGACAACTTTCGGACCAAAACATCTCCATTTCTCACCGACGTCGGTCGCAATCTCGGGCGACCGCCCACCGGCAATTCTGGCCACGACTCGGCGATTGGTAGCCACGCTGTTTTCCGACTCCATTCCGCCTTTTCCAGCGACTTTTCTGGCGCTGACATACGCCTTTGTTTCCTAGCTCGGTATGTTCTTTCCGACATACCCACGCCGTTACGTATCCCTCGCGACCTGACTTGGCAACCGATTGGCACCAGGCCCATGACAACTCAAACCGAAAATGGTTATCTGCCTGCCATAATCGTCGTCCGCCGTGCACTTGGACCGGGCGCCGCCTAATGCCCATGAGTTATATACAAACTGACAGGTGTCTCAGTCAAGCTGTACATTCAGCCTTCTTAAGGCCGGTCACAATACTTAGCATGAAACAGCTGGTAGGCGTTCTCAATATTGTTGTTCTCCTTCGGCGACGTTGGCTGAGGTGCCGCAGACACGGCAATAATATTGTTGCAACGGAGAAGCGGTCGTTAGCACCGCGAATATCGGCGGGCCCATAGCATTGTAGTACGAGTTCTATCCCAGAACGGTTCTACTTCGAGCTCTGGACGAATGGTGCTCTTCTCATACGGGCAAGCATTAAAGCGAGCTACAGATACGAGAGCTTGACTACATGCTCCTTTCAGTCCATCTCTCTGGTAATGGTTACAGCAACCGGGCAACGGCCGATGTACACTGACGACACCCAATTCTCGCCGTATTTTGAGATGGTCGTGCATTTTTGAGGCCAACGCGACGGCCCATCCGTCATCTCTGCATTCTGGGGCTAATAGGGCCGGACTCGGTTGACCATGGGCCACCGTTCCACAAAGGTCTGGAAGAGCTCTCAAAAATCATGTTCAACACAAGATCGTGTCGGTGTTTGTACACATCTTCCGGCGGAGCACGACTGCCCGCCGCTTCGTGATTTCGTCAACTTGAAAGATGCAGAAGTTCCTCTACGTGGAAAATCTTGCGCATGTACACTGTGTTACCTGGTCTTGCAGTTGCTGCGGTCACTGTACGACTGTCACTATACGTTTCACTCTGATCGGTCGTGTTCTTGGCAATGTTACTTGACCTCTGCAGCTTCAGCCTCATTCCGAGGTATTCTCGTTCTCAACAGCTTGAGCAGTGTCATAATACATAAGCTCTTTCTCCCACTGAACGTTTATGACAGGCATGCAGGAGTGTAGACTAGATTGTTCGGATTCGATGGGCGCGCTTATGTCACGTCACCCCTGGTCTGCGCCGGAGTTGGCCCTATTTGTAACAACACTCAGTAAAATCTTGTAAGACGATTGTAATGCGTGACGGGTCATCGCCTGCAGATGGGAGGGGATATTCCGAATCCCGCATGCATGCTACCAATGACAATCTCAAGGTTCACAGGGCCCGGGGTAGGCTCGTTAACCAGCCTCTAGTATATAGGAAGAAAGAGTCGTTCCTCTATATAGAGGCTGGATCCTCGTATGACGGGCTTCTGAGAGGTCCCCCGTGGGAACTGCGGAGTTTGAACATGCCGACGGCAAAAACACGCACAGAACTTTCAGGGCAAGCGAGACGCGTCGCGTATCTGAGCGTGCCCACGACATTCATATACATACTTTTATTCATATATCCGTGATTATGCAACCCTCGTCTGTTCGACAAAGTCCAGTAACAGACACCGAAACCACTGAGGAGCATCCTGAAGCCCCGACGGTGAGCCAACCACTCGAACACGGCGAAAACATTACAAACGACACGTGCAACAACGAGTTGTCGACAGATATACAAAGCGAACCGGTAAGATACACATGATGCGGCTATACAATTTTTGAGTGTCTGCAGACTGACTGCGAATGAACAGGACACCGAGGACCAGCTGCGAGAAGTATTCAGTCCTCTCCTCGCACCGCAGCTCCATATGCTGCTAGTTCTCGTGGCGCATTATTAGCACATTCTACCCCTTATCTCCCGTATATACGTTTTTGTTGAGCTCTTTACACCTGGCCACAATACACATCAAGAAGTGTATCAAGCAATAGCTGCATTCTTGCGGAAGAGGAGCAGGCATGGTGAGTGTATGGTCTAACTGCCAGGGCCATACATGCGACAGGCCGCATTTTTCTTGAACGAGAGTAGCCAGCCATTCCCGCGAGTCTGGTGGGTCATCAGTCATAGCCAGGAGGGACAAGTTACAGGTCAAGAGGTGTCTACTTGCCAGGAAACGTGGAAATGTGTATGATTGACTGACTACGCTAACAGGTAGCTCAGGTACGTAATAAGCACCTCGTCAGCCACGGTGTGTAAGCTAGAGCATTAAAGTAATTGCGTAAAGTGGTACGAGATAGTAAAAGGAAAAGAATAAGGAATTATAGAGATGGTAGGAGATGGTAAAGGTGAGGGGGTAGTGTGAGGGTGGGAGAAGTATATGTAGGCTGGTGTGTCGGACGTACACGACATTTGTAGTCTCCCCATATTCTGCCCGCGAGGTGGATGCCTGTAGTGTGCCACATCTGCATGATTCGGACGGAGAGGCGATGGAAGTTGTGAGTGGGTGGAGGGTCACCGTCATCATGGATATGAGGTACAACACCGAGGAAGTAGTACGACGTGTATTGAGGCCACGCGACGTCATCAACGAATAATGATCTCGCAATGCGGAGGATGGGGTCGGAGAGTTGGGTGGTGATCTGAGCTCCGGCGAGGAGCTTGGACATCTCCGAGAACACATCACGAAAGGCGAGGCAGCATAGCGGCTCAAATATGGGGCATTGCACGAAGATGTGGTGAGGTGTTTCCAGTGCGGAGCATCCAAAGCAGCACCATGGCAGCGTGTCACCGAACCGTGCGAAGCGTAGGTATGCCATGTCGAGTTGAGCAGAACGGGCATACAACTGCACAAGTGCAGAGTACGCAGAGGATGCACGAGTGTACGGATGGTCCGGGGGCGCACAGTGACTGTACAGGGGCAGGGAGAGTGTATGAGAGGGCGCGAACACACTGTCATCCACAACAGTTGTGATGAGGGATTGGGTGATATAGGTGGAGGGGTCAGATTCGATATAGCCATCGGAGGAGGAAAAAAGAGTGTAGTCATCCATGGTAAAGGTAGGTACAGGAGGGGTGGGTAAGGCAAGAGTATGAGAATGAGAAGCGAGATGGTCGACGAATGCATTTGCAGATGCAGCGGGGGAATTAGAGGTTATATGAGCAGGGGTGTACGTAAGAGTGAGTAATGATTGAGGAGAGGAGGCAAGGATATCACGAAGCCAGCGGTAGAGAGAGCGCGCAGGAAGCGATGACCACTGATGTGGGAGGGGAGGGGAGGATGCCGATAGGGAGCCATTGATAAGACGGGTGGAGTTGAGGTGGTCGGTGTAGAGAGGCGGAGACGGAGGAGTATGTGAGAGATCGGTAGGGGCTTGGAGGGCGGCAGCAATGAGACCATAAACTTCGGCGTGGAGGATGGAGGCACTATTACGGAACGATGATAGGGAACATACAATGGTTGATGAGGGTGTGGTGGCGGCGAACGTGACAGAGCGATATTGATGGAGGGTAGGTGTTGCTGGGGTCATGGAACCGTCAGATGCAAAAAGAGGGGAGGAAGACGGGAACAGCGGAATTTGAGAGGAGGTTGCAAGGGCTTGTACAGCAAGCTCAGCAATGGTGCGTCGCATGTCGCGAGGCAGGGCAAGAGTCCAGTCACGAGTGGCCTGTGGGCCACTAGATCTCCCATCAACAGCACGAGTGTCATCCTGTTTGACACCAGAGCTCCCCGTTCCATCTTCAATTGGTCCATTGGAGGAGTGCCTATCAACGAGGTATTGAAGGGTGATGGACTGCAGCCACTGTTGCACAGTGGGCCAATCGGAGGCTGCGGCGGTGAAGCGAAGGAGGTGGGGGACGTTTTCGAGAGGAGTGAGAGTCCAGGATGTGGGAGGGGATGAGGCAGGTGGCCGTGGAGACCACGATGCAGTGTGGTGTAAGTGTGAGAGACCTGCACGTTCAAGGTTAGTAATCATTGCAGGAGATGGAGTGGTGGAGAGTAAAGGAGGTAATGATCGTAGAAGATGTCGGAGGGACACATCGCCAGAAAAGAAGAAGGATTGGTCAGTGTGTCGAAGAACAAGTTGCAGCCGACAGAGGTCGGTGTGTGCAGTAATCCAAGATGAGGGAAGATTGTGAGTGTGATGAGTGAAGAGGCGAGGTGTTGGGAGCGAGTCAAGGGGAGGTACGCAGTGGTTGAGTGCACATGTCCAATCAGTGAGCGTGATACGGGCCATGTTGTGAAAGGTGGTGTGGTGGTGATTGAGATCGCGTAGTAGTCCGGTTACTGCAGCACTGTCGTTCAGACGTGAAAGGGAAGGAAAGTCAAAGCCATAGTGGCGGAGAGGGAGGGTGAGAAGTTGTGAGTTGAACCGAAATGGGAAAGAAAAGTATTGGTGAACGCGAAGAGTGATAAGGTGTTCGAGTTTGACAGCCTGTTGATGGGTGATGGGCTGGAATGCAAGGTGTGGAAGTATGCGAGAGATAAGGCACTGAGTGAAAATTCGCCGTAGGACAGTTAGTGGCAAGCAGAGAGAGAGATTGGGAAGATCAAAGGAGAGGATAATGTCGCGCAGTTTTTCATACTGGTGATTTGGGTCATTAATGTGAACTCGCAAAAACTCAATATGCGTGGTGACCACACGGACATCATGCCAAATAACGGTGTCCGAAACGGGGTCATCAGGGGATATGGAGGGCATAGGTAAGGAGTGAGGTGTGTTAAGAACGTTCAGAAGGAAGATGAGAGACTTCAGCCAGTTCGTGAACCAGCCGTACATTACCTGGAAGCGCTCCATCATGAGGCAGGAGCGCTGAAGTGAGTTGTGTGTAGTAGTGATAATGGCTGAGTCATCAGTCACCTTCACCATGGTGAGTGGTAGAGTCAATCGATCAGGTGGAAGGTGTGGTTTGCACGCTCGATGCTGTAGCAAGGAGATGATGAGGCCATCACTGTGATGGGTAAAGGAGTCAGACAGCCAGTGATTTCCAAGGCTTGTCGTTAGAGTGGACTTCAGAGAAGAGATGGGTCCGCCTTGCTTTGTGACACCAGTGATGACGAGCAGTTCGGTGAGGCCATAGGCAGTCTTGATGTGATAAGGAACATCTGATTGGGCGGAGATGTCGAATTGTATTAGAGACCATGGCAGTCCGTAGGCGGTAACAGCGTCGTAAAATCCCTGAGGCTCAAGATGGTCAAAGCCCTTCTGTTGGTCACGGCGAAGGATATGTAGTGGTGTATGAGTGCGATTGGACCAGCATTCAAGTTGTGCGAGGAAGGAGGTGAGGTCTCATCCTTGACTACCTGGCTGTGTTGCGATCTGTCCATCGGGAAGAACATGGTGCTTAGCAAGGTAGGGGGTGAGATGGAAGTTCAGCCATGCAAAGGGAGTGTTGAGCAAGAAATTGTTACAGCAGACGCCTCGGTAGTTGGAGAGCAGGGTGCGTGGCCTGTGTTTGTACAGAGTTGACAGTGTACAGGGCTTGACATCTGGTGGAAAATGGGAGTGAGAGATTTTGAAGTTAAGGAGGTCACGGATGAGTTGTAGTGAAGGGTCATGGAGAGCTTTAATCCACCATTTCTCCCAGCCGTCGGGTCCGGGGGCCGGTCAGGGTTTGCCACGTCGCAAGAGGAGGCGTAAATCAGACAGGGACATTAGTTGCGGCCAGTTGAAAGGGTCATGGGCGGTGCGTTGGCAGATTGCCATGACAGACGGGGTGGTAAGCCAGGGTTTCAGTGCGGGGGGTCGGGGCTGACGCGTGAAGAGTGCGTCAAAGTAGGAGCGCATATGAGACTTGACATCATCGGCAGCTGTGATGAACACATCGGGGTCGTCTTCAGGAGCAGTAGCAAGAGGTGGGCCTGTAGCATCGTTCAAATGTTGGTATAGACGTTTACATGACCCTCCAAGGAGGACACTGTTCATTTGTGTCTTTGCAGTCTGGGAAGCTCGGCGCTGAAGCTCCTTGTGTTCTTCGTGGTACCGTAGTTTGTTGAATGTGCGTCGAGTGTCAGTAAGGAAGGATAGGAAGGAAGGGCAGGATGAGTGTGTGCTAGAGAGGGAGAAGAAGGCATAAGTATAGGAAGCGACCCATGGTGCATGAAGGGCGAGTAGAGGCACAGTAGCATTGCACTCAGTGTAAATGAGTCAGTTAATGCGACGTATTTCGGTGAGAATTAGCCGAATAGAGGGGCTGGAGGGCTTGTGCGGTGGGCGAGAAGGAGTTTGGGGCTGCTCGAAGGCTTCGGCAGCTGCAGAGTGGAGAATACGGGTTAGCTCATGGTAGCAAAGGTTGAAGGAGTCTTCATCGTGCACTCCGAAGTTGTGGAGTGACGATTCCTGCACAAGTGCATCGACCTTGTCAGCGAAGATCGCGAACTGAAACTTTTCATGTCATCAGGGGTAGTAGAATTGAGGAGGGTAGTCATTGGGTGGGACTGAGTCGTGTAATACTGCCGAGCCGGTGTGGGTGGCTGGAGGAGCGAGAAGGAGCGAGGCAGAAATAGCGCAGTGATCTGTAGCAGGGATAAAATTGTCGTTAGCAGTTATTGTGCCAGTGACAAACCCGGAGGGTGAGTGGGCAGCGCGGTTGATGATTGACTGGCTGAGGTGGTTCTTGAATGTAAACATGGAATGGGCGTCAGCATCACCGCGGTAGGACCAGAGATCGATGGCCTGCATATTGAGGAGGAAAGCAGTATAGTGCAGGCGGGGGGAAGCGTTGGGTGGGGAGGTGGCAAGAGTCTCTGTGGAGGAGATAGAAGCATTGCAGTCTCCTAGAATACACCACGAGTATTTAGCGTCACGGCAGAGGTCAGTAATTGTGGACCAGAATGAAGATACTGAGAGTTCGTCATTTCCCGGATCCCAAGGAGCATAAAGGCCAATGAGACGGTAAGGGAAGCCTCGTCCGGTGGTTGTAGGTATGATTAGGTCGAGGATAACTGCACGTCCGCGAAGCTGTGGTGGAGTCGGAAGTCGCTGTGCGTGAATCGAGTCTCGAACACCAACTATAACACCCCATTTGCCGGTGCGAGTGCCGGAAATAGGGACACCAGGTTCCTCAAAGGTGGAGTAACCTTGAACGCGGACTCGTGAAGCATGAGGCAGGGAGGATTTTGTCTCGTTGATTACCCAAGCATGAGGTTGACGTGCGGAAATGGTGCTGGTGATTGCAGTCATTTTTGAGACATTGGCCAAGCCATTAGCATTGAGCGCATACGTGTTAAAGGTGTTAGATGCGAAAACCACGGGAAGAAGAAGAAGGAGAGTAAAAAGTAGTAGTACAAGGTGATTAGGGAGGGGGCTAAGAAAGAAGGAGGAAATGGAGGACAATGAAACCAGAGAGGGGGCAGTTGAGGAAGCGGAGGTAGTGAAATAAGAACGGGCAGAAGCATCATTGACTACAGTAAATGGTTGTCCGCCACTCTTCTCCGTACTTCGCCTATACCCGCCATCAGCATTCTCCATTGGCCGTTCACTATGGAACGATGGAGGATGATCAGGGATACTGGTAGGCTTTTCTGAGAGAAGGTGGGAATGACGTACCGGTTCGATTTGCATAGCGCTTAATTCAGGGGCCGGTGTGGGTTGGTGCACACGCTGCCTCACGTGGTAACGGGATGTATCATCAGCGTCAGACTCGGGGCACAGGTGGGCATTGATATGGGACTCTGGCGGGGAGGAGGTAGGAACAGGAGCACCACCACCACCACCACCACCAACATTAGCACTAACCTGATAACGTCTTGATCTAACTGCAACTATAACTATTGTAAACTTATCTACTACTGAATTCTTGCTATTGACAGTACCCCTATGGTGCCATTCCCACTTCCCCCGCCTTCACGTCCTGACATCCCCTATTCTCGCACTAGCTCCCCATCTCTTCAAACTGACTCCTCTGATGCTGTAGTGACTGGTGTCGAACTTATGATCTCTGGGCTGAACCGTACCTCTGTCCAGTCCGCCCATGCACACTTTTCGCAACTACTGTCTGACTACAACCTCGCCAACCCGACACAGGCTCTCCCTCCATTGCAGATTCACCCCGGTGACCCTCACAATGCCGTCGATTATGTCTTCATCGCCCTTCAGCCAGCCCTCAGCTCTGATCTGCGACCAGACATCCTTGAACATGTCCGTAAGATTCTTGATGGCCGCAGCAGTCTGCATGCCGCTTGGAGAACTGGGAGTGGGCCAGACCGAACTCGGCGAGTCATGTTCATTATGAATAATGAGCAGCATGCTCGAGGAATGCAGCCGAGGCTCGAGAAATGGCTGAACGACTGTGACATAGCCTACCAGACATGCATTCTCAGCAAGCCCTCTGCAGGCTCCTTTCGCATCACCTTCGACATCCTCAACCCCGTACATGTCGCCCAGCTTCTCGATCAGCCTCCAATCTTTGACCGGCGCACATACCCGGCCACTCAGTCTCGCTCTATCACTCCCATATATGGCCTTCAGGTAGCCGTAGCAGGATGCGGAGAGTTCCAGGGCATCGAGGGACGGATCAATGCGTACATTCGGTGCCGCTATGGTGGCGACGCCATTGCATTCAGCCAAATGGCAATGGATGGCGAAGTATACACTGTCGTCCTCAAAGACTGGGGCACCACGTCTTGTCTCCTGTCCGACCCTTTCGAATTCCTCTCGGACTTCTCCATACCACGCTTCATCACCCTGTCACAACCTATTCTTCTGTATCTACTCAACAGCGCGGGCGTTCCCCTTAACCCTGCCTACCTCTCCCGCTCTTCTCCAGCCGCCGCCTCCGATCAGCGTAACCTACAGGCACAGATCGATGTCTTGCGACAGCAGGGGGTTGAGACCGTACACACCTTTAATGAGGTACTCAAGCAGCAGCACTCGTTGATATCTGCGATGCAATCTCAGGGAACCCATATCATGTCGGCGGTCTCCATGGTCGCATCTTCAGTCAACGTATCCACTCAACTGTCCTCACTTGAGCAGGACAGACACGTCGTCCCGCTACTCATCATGCCACGGTCACATGACCATGCTATGCCGTTGGGTCGATGTCAATATTCAAACTCAATGATTCCCACGGGGGACCTCTCAGAGGCCTCTCACACGAGGTTCGAGACTAGGGCGCCAATTCCTTTATAGGCTCGAAAGGTTTCTAATGTGGTCAACAAATGTCTCTAATGCGACGTAAGTGCGCATATGAAATGGACTACAAATTATATTCAAAGATAACAAGAGGCGTGCGGAATCGGAATCCGCGACATCAACATAGCCCCCCCCCTTAGGGTTCCGGGGTCCTTCCTCCCTATTCGGAGGTTTCTACAGGTTCCGTCGCAGTTTCTGCATAGTGCACGCAATACCTCACCAATTCTCTTAAAATTTGCTTAGGACCCCCCATAAACTGTGTCAAACAACATGTTGAGAAGGTCCTTTGTAGCTTGCAAAGGAGCAACATAAACAGAGATTGTGCAGTCTCTGAGCGGAGACGTGCGCACTCCACGTGACTTTACAATGGCTCGGCGAGCAAGCCGCGCCACCAACCTTGTGACAAAGGAACAAAGCTCATGCCTTACAGGGACTTGCCGAGGCTGCAGATGGTCACGTCACCCCCCTCCCCCCCGGTATCAGGAGTCCGTCAGAAACTGCAGTTGATATCTTCAGTTTCGGTATCGCACGCCTCTTGAAAGATAAGAACTAAAACCGCACTGGGGCCCTGGCAGGGCGCGGCTGGACGTGATGTGACACAAGATCGCATTCGGCGCCAATCGAATCCGAACAATCGACCGCGCTCTCGGCATGCAGCTGGCGATTCTTCCAGCTAAGTGGCACGCATTTCGACGAAACTGACTTCAGGTACGTTGCTTACGAATCATCACGGAACAGCAAATTCGTGTGGTCATGCATGAAATTCAACGGGGATAGGCCAATCGGCAACGAGAATTTCCATCCAGAACGGTCCATTGGATGCACTCCGAACAGAAAATGATGAAGAGAGTTTCGTCGAAATACGTCTATCGTTTTCGACTTAGTGACCGTCGCGGTGTTTGCGTGTTGATCATAAGTCTCATTACAAGTTGGTATTTGAGTCTGTTGTCCCACAACTCTCGGATGATAAAAGCCCCTTCAGATACACTATCCTCCGTGCCAAACCCATCGGATACTTTATGTACCATCAGACGCACAACACAAGACGAGTTCGAGCAAATCTCGAGCAGATCCGGCGCCTCCGCGAGCACGATGAGAAGACCGGCACGTGACCAGGATCGGGGTGCCTGCCAGACTGAGAAATGATTCACCTTCCTGGCAGTCACCAACTTCAACATACATACAGCTGTCTGACTCGCCCCTCGACTTCACGAGGAATCCATCCCTCTGGAAACTGCTGTACTTTCATTGCAGCATGGCACTGATCAACAAAAATGAGATCTTCGACATCTGTGCAACTTTCGAACATTTTCTCGAGAACAGCGAAGTACGCAGCTTTGGCGATACTCTACCTGTGGCCGTCGTTCACAGATCTGTCGCTTTGGAAGATATCACCTCCTCTGGCGGCCATACTTGCCCTGTCAGAGTCGATCGTGCAATCTAACGGTGCGTACCAGCGCAGTCGTGACCACCAGAGAGTGTTGATAAACGCAGTTTTCAAGCCGGCACTATGTTCGAACTCGTCCAGGCACTCAACGATGGCGCGGGGGTACTCAAGGAACGCACGTCTAATCCTATCAGTCTGAACGCAGGCTGTGAATTGTTCACTGCATTTGTCACACTATTTCCCCATGAATCCGATGTGAGCGTATTCGTATGAATCCATCTGGAGATGTCCCACTCATTTGAGGCGCATGGATTGATAGAGCTTCGCCGAGCTCAAGTTGGAACTTGTGAGGCAAGGAAGAAAGTATGCCGCAGAGGCGATCTCTTTTCGAGACAGGATCGCAGAGCTCACGCTTGGCTTCATCAAAGACGACTCAGTCGTGCGTGATTTGACATTCATGAAACATAAATTTACTCATATCGTCCAATCAGATACTGACTCATTCGCATTCACGTGTTGTTATGAAGGCATTGCTCCATGCGCACAAAACAAAAAGAATTTCGGTCTACGTTACAGAGGCACGGCCTAGAGGTCTAGGGTATGCCGCGTTGGTCCCCTTTATGCCAACATACTTACGTAGACATATTGCAGCTTAAACACATATGAAACTCTGACGGCTGCTGGTATACCCTGCACAGTAGTCCTCGATTCAGCGGTGGCGTACGTCATCGATCGAGTAGACTTTGTCCTTGTGGGATCAGAAGCCGTAGTAGAAAGTGGGGGGTTGATTAATGCCGTCGGAAGCAATCAGATAGCCATCATTGCTAAAGCAACTCATAAACCATTCTACGCTCTTGCTGAGAGGTCAGTCGTATTCTGGTGCCTAACGCTCGTGCACTTTTTCATTGCGCCCTGCCAGTTACAAATTTCACCGTCTCTTTCCGCTATCACAATATGACCTACCAACACACAATCTTAACATCCTGTCCTTCCCTTCCCTCCCACAACGACCGGCTGGTTCGCAAGCACCACCTTCTTCAGTGCCATCGAGCTCTAATGGAGGACTTATATCCGCAAGCTCACCGAGGGAGTCAGATAGAACGATGACGACGGAACAACTCTCGCGTAATCCTGACGTGGATTACACCAGGTGCGAAAATATTTAACTGCGGGCTTGGTAGCCGTATTGATTGACGCTCCCATTCAGGCCGGACTTAATTTCTCTGGTCTTCTCTGACGTAGGAATACTGACGCCAGAAGGAGTCAGTCAGTATCTGGTCGGTATGTTCGCCGGGTGAATCCACGAATACCCCGTGCGTACCCGATATTTCGTACGTCGAGATCTTGAGTTACGATAGAGTTCGCGATAACCTTCGGAAAATTTAATCAAGGGAATCAGACTAGGTTTCTCCGGCCACGTGTATGATCATGCTGCTGCGACCTCGACAACGAGCAGATTTTTATGGTCCACCTTGCGATCAATGGCCCGACACTGATAAGCAGCTTAAACAATTACTGTATCGGCACATTTGCAGCCAGAGTTCGGGACATAGTGCGTGCAGCGCAACGTGTGTCACTGGCCCGTGTACACATATGGTAGTGTGTGTCTCTACGCTTCGGAAATGACATCGATATCATCAACTGACCCTTCGATGCCGTTGCCTTGTGTACATATCCAGCACATCTGAGCCCTGCCGTCGTAAGCTCTATGTCCTCGTTGGACATGGCAGACATTCCAAGGTGTAGTAAGTTTCCTAATGGGTTCGCGGGACGAGCTTCAGTTTTCAGGTATCTCGATCAGTGACGGCACTTCGCGGCCTCTCGCCCAGTCTGCTCGTCGCTCATCGAAAAAGGTTGACAGTTGAAGGACATCTGGCTCGAACTTGCTGGGAATATTATGGCACCAATTTCGGGCAGGACTGATATGTTAGCATGCATCTATCGGTATGTGCTTTATTCTGAGAATGTTTTTCCTGGCCTACCAGGCCCGGATTCCGGAAGATGTGTTCAGCTCGTATCCCTGCCGGCCCTTTCTCAACGGCCCCTATCGTGAATATACAAATTTCGACCCGAATACCCCTGCGAGTTAACGTTTAAGCTTTAGCATCTGGAAGCCGAGCGTTCCGCAACGGGACAGCAGGTCCTGGACAAAGGTCACGACTTCCGATCAGCGTTGCTCGTGTCTTAGGTTGCGTACGGTTTCCGGACCCGTCCTCATGCCCTGCGTCTCACTCCGACATCTTGATATGCTGAGTAGTTGTTTATACCAACAGGCCCGATTCATTGATGTTATCTGCCTGCGTCACGGAGGCCATTCTTCGGAGACCCTGGTCATATTTGTCGGATCTCCTGTGCCAGGCGTTGGAATCATATAAATTGTGGGCTGTTCATCCACTCATCTCAGTGTTCGTTCCGTCCCACACCTCCTCTCATCCCCTCAACTTGCGCTTCCCGCTATGTGCCACTGGCGTCGGTGAGCCTTCTACCTCCTGCGTGTCCTCGCAATGACCCCTCATTATCTCATCAGAGTTCGAAACCACTACAGGCGCTGTGGGCATTACATTGATTTGGTGCGTTCCTACCTTGTTGGCCGTCCACTCTAAATTGACTCTGAGGTCATCAGCCTGATGAAGAGGTTGGGACTCTCCGTTTCCCTGATCTAATTCATTCGCTTATGGCGCTTAGATTCAATGCGCCGATCGCTACTGTAAATTCAGCTCGACGCACCCGAATGACTGTGTTCCCCCGCAGTGCACCGAGTCGTGCTGGCAGTAGTATGTCGACATGTCCCTTCCCGTGACTCTTGTCTAATAAGTGTTATCTAGCCGCCAGTTCCCGCAGCAATACAGTGAGCTTTTCTTGGGAAACCTTACCGTGCCACGATGATCATACCGCTTCTCATTAGCACCCGTCATCGACAATTTCTGCCCCGTGTGCATTCAAACCGGTGCCGCGCATTAATTCCCATCGACTGCTCGAATCGAAATCCTTGTACTTGTCGCCCAGTCATTAGAACAGTGTAGTTGTACTCGCTAATCTCTTTCGTCGCTGTGTAATCGGAGTACAACTATTCTGATAGCAAATGAATGTACTGTGGTTTGAGTTGGTTTTCTAGAATTCAATGGGCTATGACGTTCAGTGACGGGAAAACTGAGATCCTCGAGGGACCATCAAGAACAACGTTGCACCATCATCATCAGTGAGACATTGTGGGCTGTTCGTGGCCTAGAGAAGATCCTTCGCCTAACATATTGTCCGCCGTGAAGCCAGGTGACGACAATAATATCTGCATGCAAAGGCATAGACACCAATCAACGGAGACTTCAATCTTGCCCGAGCGCCTGAGACCGGTATCCTGGACCGCCCGTGCGTCAGTCATCCAGCCAAGGCAATGATAACGGGGCGATAACGAGCGATAGACAACCTAGAAGAGACTGAAAAAATTGTGGAAGGCAGCCAGGACCCAGGACGATCGTATGTCAAATGTGCTCGGAAAAACGGGATGCATGCCGCGTGTTGTTGGGGGGGAAATCCATCGAAAAGCGCAACGACAGTCGAACAGCTCAGAAGATAGAGCTCTCCACGTTCCCTGTCCGTCAGTATGGAGTGACGCAGACGATCGTCAGGAGAAGTAAGTGAGGACGTGGGGACTTCGAAACCTGATGAACAGACGCAAGATCGTCTAGGGCTTATTTGAACGGCCTTATCGCCTGCGTCTATTGCGTACTGCTCGTTGATAGTGGCCAGCGCGCGAGGAGTACAGTTGGCCACGGGTTTCAATCACCTGCAGTGCTGAAAATGGTATGCCTCGACCAGCAATAGATGGACTGAAGGGATTGCGAAACTTGCTAATGCCTCCGGGACCAGTCAGATGACGACAGAGATAACGGGCGGCAAGACGGAGGCGGAACCTTTTGCGGCGTGCGTTGTCATCGTCCCAGGCGCATGCGATCTTCGCCCAATCATCGACAAATACACCGTGCGGAACACAGAGAGAGCCCTGATGAAGTATAGCTTTCGCATCAAACTTAAGTTAATGCAGATGAGCAACGCTGCTTGGCCGCTCCAGGAGAAATCTACAGAAGGGAACTGGAGAGTAAAATTAAACAGACAAAGAACGGTGACGCTCACCGCTGCAGTACAGATCGCGATGAAGGGTTATCAAAGACAGATCCGGTCAGCGGATGAAGTATTGACTCTACGGTTGTCCACGTTCGTGAATTCCGACGACTTATCGATGCCCAACATACGTCTTCTTGCATGACAGGGATACGATGGTCGTTGTGCGCATTACGCGGGACAAGCATACCAGATGCAGGCCAACGTGTCAAAATAATGCCGTGATAAATCACAAGTTTTGTAGAATCACTGGCGGTACCAAGGACAAAAGGGGGGCCGATGATCCCGTCGTCTATTTCCTTTCTATGTGAGAAGGCATAAAAAGGCGATAGACCGAATATGGAGCGGAGCTGGGAGGAGCTTGAACTCTCATTTTAGGCATGTGAGAAGGAACGTTTTAGAAAAATTGGCATTGTTCCACTCGATCGACCGTATACATTCGATTCGAACCGTGCAATTCTCCCTCAGTTGTTCCGCTCAGCCACATCTAATCTCACGTGAATACTCACCCCCACGTAGGCGAACACTCTCGACTTTTTCCATCCTGCGAACGCTTCTGCAGTATTATGTTCTCCCTATCACAGAGCACTATGGACATCTATACAGGCCCGCCGCCACTTATAGTGAGGCCATCTTTCTCGACGCTTATCTCTCTCCCGATTGATCTCCACGAACAGAATTATTCAGTCAAACTCGCGAGTTCGGCGCCCTTCACTCCCACTTACGTCAAAGGCAATATTTCGAGATCAGCAGATGCAGCTCAGCTATATGCAAGCCGAGTTCAAGGCCGTCAGATTCTCCTAGAAAATCCTGTCCGCGAAAGCAAAGAGAAAAAAGCAAGAGAGGAGAGGAAGGCAAAACGCCTTGCGGAGAAGGCCAGAAGAGACTCGGGAATCATTGGTAGACGCGACGCCCCGCGACATGGCCTGTGGCGACTGAAGCGGGAAGAGACCAAGTGAGATAATCCACCATCTTCGGCTCGTACATGTGTACCCACAATCTACGTGTCAGGTTCTCTCTATTTCTACCGCTGCATTCTCTATGGCTGGGCTACATGTCGGAACTTCTTGCTCTTCCACCTGCTCCGTCCATCCCTATCGCCCGGGCTGTCGCTGAAGCGGTTCCGAATGCCGCAGCAATGCATGCAAAATTAGTGAAAGCAGACTTTCATGGCTCCCTTGTGACCGGTACGTGTTCCCACTGGTCGCGCATCCCACCAATTGAGCACCCCCTTCGCGCCCAGTCCGGCAAAGTAAGAATCCATGTCTCGTAGGTCTCTCGGGCATCGTCGTTCATGAGACAGAAAACACCTTCAAAGTTGTCACGAAGAACGATCAGCTCAAATGTGCGTGATCACTATCTCATATCGTCCACGCTCTTCGGCTCCCACTGATGTCAGCGCAGTGATTCCGAAGCAGAACACTATCTTCGCTTTTGCGGTTCCCCTTTACTCCATCAGTGGATCTGACCTGCCTTCGTCATCTACGTCGGACCATGGTTCCGCGATAACAAGTGCGTCCGGAGATCCTGCAGCACCCCGATCAGAACGTGCCCAAACGGTCCTCGATATGCCTCATGTCGAGTTCGAGCTCTACGGAAACCAGTTTTGTTTCCGAGCCACCGAGCGGGCAAATCGTAAGTTCAAGCACAAAGAGACCATTGAATTATAACCTAGATAGCAAGACATGTCACCCACGCTGTAGATCACAGTCTACGCGGGGCTGTGCATCGCGTCAGGAGATACTGTCGTGTATAGAACACCTGTGGCGTCATCGTATTTCAGTACGCATAGCACGTGCGGACCGTACAGCATTGCTGATGTGTAGATTAGAGACTGTTCATGTCCTCATCCCGAGTGGAATACATCTAGTCACTTCACGGCGTGTATTGTGCATCAACTTGGATCCGACTGCTTGACCTTGAAATCGTCCGCGCGTAGAAGTCCTTGCACTGGTTTCCAGCCTCGCGAAGACGGTTTCGAAGGAGTGTTGCCGCCGTTTGATGAAGTCGGCGTTGTGGGGTTGTGGGATGTTTGTGTAGGTGTTTGACCGCGGCGTGAGACTGGGGCGAATGGTGGATATAATCGTTCCCGGGCTCCGGCGCTTGTTGGTGGAGGAATCTGTAATCCCACGTCCGAATATCAAGGCCACTGGAAAGCATACCGGTAAAATTGGACACTCACAGTCACTACCGCCGCCAGGCGGCCATTTGTGACCTTCGGATCTTGAGCGGAGTAAAACTCAAGAATAATCTTCAAGGTATCTATCGATAAAAACGTCTTAGGAGGAACCTCGCCGAGATAGGAGAAAATGACTGGCCTGCGACTCCTACTAGATCCATCTCTGTGAATCCGAAGTGCTCTACGGCGAGCCGTGAGGCCCCAGGTGATAACGGTTTGTGCGAGGGTGGCGTTGGTAGTGACGCAGATGGCGCAGGAGAGGCAATGCGCACGTCCAATGATGGCGAGTGTGGACCTTCAACGATATACTGTGCGAGGATGTAGCATGCAGCCGCTACGATTCGTGGGGGGTATAAGATGCATAATGGCGTTCTCAATCTGGTCCGCCTCGTTACACCCACTCTGAAAATCAGGGAGCCTGCAGGCAACTCACGAATCATTGGCGATAGACCACGCATACTCTTCCAGTAGATGGTCACCTTGGTGTACATCGAATAGATCGACCAGCTCCGCGTGGGGGCTATCGACTACGAAATCGAAGCACAGCGCTTCAAGGAGTGCTTCTTCTGTGTGCAGGATAGATTCCTGATATCCATCAAGCTCCTGCAGACATGAAATTTAGCGGACATGAATAGATAGAGGTGCATAATCATGCCTTGCTGTCGTCGGGTATTTCACCCGTTTCGACTTTAGCAACCTTCGAGCAAAAGACTTTGGAGACATCGCGAAGCTTTCTTCCACACTCCTCGGTCTTCGTCGCAAGAAAAATACATGATGCAGCAACGTCCTGAACAATTAGCGCACATTGATAAGCCTGCTTGACACAATCAATATCAGATCCTACTTGTCGGTGATAGTCTTCCATCGAGTAACGCATGTAGAACCGATGAAACCACGTAGCGGCAGTATACATCGCGGATGAAGGTCTAAAAGGAGGTGAGAAGGCGGAGATCCCACTAAGAGGGGAGAAACGTACAGTTGCAGAGAAACACCTAGGCGGAAAAGAAACTCAACTCCTCTGGCTCGGTCATACAGCTCCCTCTCTAATGAAATTTCGGACGTCATCCGACTTGGAGTAAATTGCAAAGAGGAGACAGGAAATAGCCATTGCGAGGTAGAGGTTGATGCGAAATTTGTTGCTCCCATATTGCGGGCAGCGGTGTGAGACAATGTGGCAACTGTGGATCAGAGCGATGAGAACGCGCTCTGTCACAGTCACGGAGGTTAGTCACGACATAACGGGACCCCGGTCACGTCGACACGTCTATTTCCGCGGCGCGACTCCTCAAGCCACTTGTACTGATCTCCCGCTGAAACTCTGCGTGTTCCAAGTGAAGCCTTCTAAAATCATTAATTTGGGGAAATCCGTCAGCTAGTCTCACCTTACGGAACTCTTGCAGTAGCCCTCAGCCTGATGCTGGCGACTGCAGTGGAGATTCTCCACACTATGGTCGTAAACTTAGTCCTATGGGATCATACACGCACACTTGACTCTACAGGTACACGAGACATATCCCACACGTCCGAGGTAAGCTTTGAAATTTGAACGTTTGAACCCCTCGATCGACTTTGCAACGATCATCGCGCCCGCAAGGCCTGTAGTCTCGCATGCTGGCGGAACCCGGCTGTTCACTGGTCGTGCTCGTTTGTCCCACCCCGTGCCTCTTCGCACCTCGCCGGCATACGCGTGTTCTATAAGATCTTCAATTTTTCCGAATATCGCGTCCGTTACTTTTGCATGCGTGATGCAAGTCAGCGGGTGCTGGACGGCCACCGACTGTGCGTGTTACAGATCTCACATGTGAAGAGTGCACAGCCCGACCGCTCTCATATGGTATAGTGCGCCTGCGTTCTTGATGCCCTTTCTGACAGCATGTTTTCATTGCAACTATTCTGGGCGTGCTCGAACCGTTTGCTGCATCGCGTTATTCAACTACTTGCCGCGCTGATCCACGCCTCGTCACTTCTCAGTCGCCGACTGTTGCATTTGTTATCGAAATCTAGTGCGGCCGACAATGTTGACAGCATGCGGGTGCCCGACTCAACCGTCTCTATCGCCCCAATCGCGACTTACACCGGTTACAAACGGGACATGGACGCACACCCACGACTGCAGACGGCTGAGGTGTTTGACAGCATAACAATACAGAGCAAGCACATCCACGCATCGATAGCACTACAAAACAACGGTAACACTACAAAGCAACGATAACATCGTCGACTACCCTGAGCACACATAATCATACCGACGCTCCCGAACATCGACTGACAACCAGTCACCCTCTCGACTACTGTTCCACGTATACTCTCGCACCGTTGACACAGACGACTGTGACGGACTCGGAGATGGAGGACGTTCGGCGGGAACGCCGGTCGGATCTACATGGTTTATCCAGTGTTGGATACCCTCAACAGAGCCGACGGAGTCGTGACTGTATTTCTCCCGCACGATGGGGTTGTTCGGGACTCCAGACAAACTGCCACAATCGCCTTCGTCCTGGAGATCCATGAGCATACTGTCGACTTCTTCAGCATCAATGGCTGATGAAGTGTCCGACATGTGTGCTGCAAGGCCATCTTTTGTGAGCTTTGTATCAATTGCAGGGAGACGTCGTTGCTCACCACCACCTTCGCCACTCCAGTCCGATATAGAGGGTACAAGGGGGGGTCTACGGGTAAGAGGTGGAGGGATTGAGTTGACGACCTCCAATCCAATGGTGTGAACTGGTTCTGGTACCTACATGCGCAAGACGAATTTGGTGAGAGCCCATCAACAACACTGTCACGACAGCAGGGATAATGCCATGAGTGCTCTTCGCTCCTCCGCATATGAGACTGGCGGTAGAATATCGCGGACCAGGCACGGTATTTCAACGGCAACGTATTCGGGCTCGTCACTAACCTCAGGTATTGTCCAGCCTCCGTCGACACCTACTGCTGAGGCGAGCCAATAGACTAGAACTTCTTCCACGGTAGGATCCTGTTCATCTGACTTGAAGATTGGCGATACAAAGGCCCGTGTCCACCCTGCGAATCGGTCGTCAACCCTGTCTATTAGAGGGTACGAGAAGAGGCGTACCTTTCGAGAAGGCACCGAACACCCAACCAAAATACGTAGTCACCACAAACCAGTGAGAGCGCTCAAGGAAACAGACGTCCCAGATCTTCTGCTGATTTTAGTTGATTTCTCAACTATGAGATCATTTTATCGCACCTTGCTCCACAGCCTCTGACTGCAGGTATAATCCCTGCCTGCGCCATGCGGATTATAAGGAGGAAGCTGCAGCGAACAGTCAGCTTGTATTCCACCACGGTGGTTGAAACGTACTGCTCCACAACCTACAAATGCCACAAGATCTTGCGGGGAAAGTATCCACGGTGGCTGTATGACCACAGTGACTGAAGGTATTGGGCACCCTCTGGGAGACAGAGGTGCAGCAGCGGCACTGAAAGTGGTGTACCGGAATATGTCTTTGTCCATGTCGATATCACGGGCATGCTTCTCAGGTGAAAAACTCCAGTCGTCTGTTTGTGGCATAGTGAGATGTAGAATGCGTTGAGAGGTCGTCAGGGGGTATTCAATGACCCAACGACAGACTCTGCAGGATGCGTAAAGCATGAGCAACGAAGTCGAGTCAGTGTGCATGAAACTCGCCGCTCAATATTGGAGACCTGCCCCACAGTACGCTCGGGGGATATTGTAGTATGGGGCGCATGGGAGGGTGAGTGCCTCTCCCATAGTTTTATCGTCATTGTCTACGTCCAGTGGCGCAGAGGGAATTCGCCGATCCACGACTGCGAACCGTCCGATTGTCAGTAATGCATTGAGTAGTTGACATCTATGTAAGCTCACAATCCAGCGCTGATTGGGAGAAACCTTTGGCCATTACATGTATGGTCTCCAGTCTCCTAAATGCCTGGGGGATAACCGTGAGCTGATTTTTGTGCGCTTTATGGCCAATTGGCGGCATTGGTTCAGCGGTGACGGCGGAAGGCATATCTGGCAGAGTTGCCACAGACATGTAAAATCTGAGCTTACTTGCGGCAGGTCTAGCCATAACGGCCTGGAATGACTCCCATAGACTGTACGTCATGGTGGCGGAACTTAGAGGAAGAGATATATGGCCACGACTTCAACGAGGACTACGGCTTAAAAATGCTGGGAATGAAAGGCAGCTAGAACCATGGAAACGCTACAACAACCATGTTGCTCCTGTGGGTGGTACGGAAACAAAACTGGAACAAGGAAAGAGATTGTTTGAGGCTGATGGTGTGACAATACAAGGACAGACCGTGACGAACAAGGCGTGCCTGAACAGGATGGAAATGCCTAAAAAGGACAAGAGCCGCGCTTCTGCCCGGTATTTTTTGCGGAAAAACCTCTAGGTTAAAGTAAAGCGCACAGAAAAACTGTGGGAAAAGAACAAAGAATTTCTCCAGGAAAAACTGTGATTCTCAGCTGCTGATTGGACAATCACAGTATTTCCCACAAAAATTCATTATGCTTTCTTCAAAGTTTTTTCTCGCGCTTTACTTTATGAAATTTTTCAGGGTTTTTCCCAGAGAAATACTTGGCTATGCATCTTGTGTCCGGCAGGTGTGAGTTGTGGTAACACAAGAAGCATAGCCCAGTATTTTCTGTGGAAAAGGGTTAAAGTAAAGCTCACAGAAAAACTACGAAAAAGGAATAAAGAATAATTTCCAGAAAAAATTGTGATTCTAAGCTGCTGATTGGATAATCACAGTATTTCCCATGAAAATTTATTATGCTTTCTTCAAAGTTTTTTCTCATGCTTTACTTTATGAATTTTCTCAGGGTATTTCCCTGAGAAATACTTGGCTATGCATGTTGTGATTACCACTTTTATCCATTGGAAATAACCTAGAAAAGAAGTCGCATGGAAACCAATAATATATTTTCAGAGGAAAAACCTTGATAAAAAAGTGAAAAAAGAACAAAACATTCTCACAGTTTTTTCCCCTGGAAATAAGTTGCCTACCATATCAGGCAACTGGACATGACAGGACCAGTACAGAATGATAGGCCGTTGAGATCATGCAAAGATCACAGCAAAATGTATTTCTGGTGTCTATTTGTGGCTATGTGTCTACTCGAGCCCTCCTGAGGCATCGAAAGGGCAACTCGGAGGCGGGATGTGAAGATTGGGGGTGTCTACACCTACTGTACTGTATCAGGAAAACCCAACTTTTCCTTAGGGACTTATTTAGACTTTTGGGTCTGGTAACCCTTATTTCAGGTCAAATAAGTCTCAATAAGTCAAATTTCAGACACTCAGGGAATATGGCTTAGGCCCTTTTTGTCCTTATGTTCTTAAATAAGGACCATAAGTCTATTTAAGTCATTTTGTTACGCGGCAGCGAAACACGAGCGTTTCGTCGAGTCGTTACGAGACAAGGTCTTAGTCTAAGACACAAGTCCGTTCGAGTGACACTTCTGGCGATGTCCTCGCACTGAAGGTCGATCAGAGTTCGTTCTTATGACTTGTAGTAGCTGTCTGCTACTGACGGTCGATCTCAGTCAAAGGCAAGTGAAAAGCTGGTTTAATGGTAACCAGGTCGAGATGGGGATCCAGCTCGACAAGGTCGTCTACTTATACAAAAGGTATCCGCAGTACTACGCAGTAATGCGGGATTGTTCATTGGCTAGATAAGGTGAAACGATATCTGAGCAAGGTAACAGCGAGGAAGTAATATGTATGAGAAAGCTGAGTAAGGTCGTGAGAGATAATCAGTACTAATGGGGATAACGAGTCGTGTATCAGAACGAGGTAAAGATGAGGCATACATGCACGTCTTGCATGTGCGATAAGAAGAAGGTCCGGAGTTGGATCCGGTGTAACCCTAGACTAGGGGTTCTGGACATCTGGATAAAGAATCGGAGGTTGCGCTCCGATGAGTCACGTGTTGGATCACGTGGTCTGGTAACGTAAAGGGAACAAGAAAAAAAGAAAAAAGAAAAGACGCGCCACAAGTGAGGAGCGTTGTAACATCAGCTCCCGTCTAACATTTCTTGTCCCACAAGAAATCTTGTGATCTTCATCGTCGTCAGGGGCAGTCGCGGACATAATGATCTCCTCCACATCTGTAGCATGTCCGCCGGCTGGTTCGTGATCCTTGTTCGGGGATACGTCCATCCCTGTAGGGATGACTGCGACGCGAAGAAGTGGATGCGGTCGAGAAAGATGGTTGGGATAACGGAGATCGTCCACTGGGTACGTGCGAACGAGGAGGGCGAGGTCGAACGGAAATTGGTTCTGGTGACGAGCGAGGAGTGGATGTGGGTATTCCATTAGTGGTGTATCCGAGGATGTGTCCGATGTCTTCGTCCCCATGCTCCCTCCAAATCTCCTGTGCTGTACGAGTGACCGTACTGCGCATCAACGACCAGACTTGGTCGACTCTGGTTCGGGCTCTACTCGTCCTTTCTTCTGCTGCGATGAGCTCTTGTCTGGCCGTCTGCATCCACTCGACCATTTCTAATGCTCGTTGCATGGAAACCACCACTTGTCGATCTTGCGGGTGATTTCGTAAGGCGACAAGGATATCTGTGAAGTCGACAGGAACACGGATAGCTGAGACCAGACGTGTGGCAAATTCTTGTTCGTCCGATGCGTGACTGAGTTCGATAGAAGGTGAGGGCGATGAGGTGCAGATAAAGGGTGTCTGTGCTCGAGAGGGTACTCCATTGACAAGCGTAGGCGATGCGGGTATGCTCATAATTGTGGAGGCGACTTCAGCAAGTATATTGTGAACAAGGTCGTCTATAGCGGAAGTGGGCATTGATGATATGTCGTTTTCTCCTCCTTTTATACCTTTCGGCCATTAAGGGGATCGCGGTTATCTGTGATGTGAAATAGAATGTCGTGGATCCGGGTAATAATCAAATAGATGAAAATCCATTGGACGATAAAGAGTATTCCCACAGAGATAAGAGCTGCCTGATCAGTTCCAGGCATCGTTCTGATCACCCCAGCCGTTAGCGTGCGGGCTGTCTCGCGTGAAGAGTGTGTGTTCGACAAGTCGTCTGATAAGGATTCGGTGGGTGATCCAAAGAAAAGTGAGAGTTGTGCAGTGGAGGACGATTAGGAAGATGATGAGGAAAACCGTCGTGGTAGTCATTCCGGGTTTCTTCTCCTCTACTGGATTCCCCTGGTCCTTTTATATGCATCGAGGATTCGCTTGGCATTCTGTAAATTGTGGGTAGGTTCCCACGAGTTTTCTGCTGAAGAATATCCCTTTCACTTGACTAAGTACCTCAGATGACCTCGGTACGTCTTGTGATTCAGGATGGCTTCGACTTTGTACTCTTCTTCATTATCAACGACATCAGGTGGTGGGTTCACGTAATTCGGACCATGTATGTCGTTTTCGCGATAAGGAGATAGAAGGGCGGCGTGGAATACGGAATGAACTCGCCAGGTCTTCGGGAGTTTGAGACGATAGTTGGCTGGTCCGATGACTTCGACAATTTCGAATGGCCCCTCACGCTTTGGTGCTATCTTGCGCGAGGCGTAATTGACCTTCAGGTTCCTCGAGTCTAGCCAGACCTTCTGTCCTAGTGTAAACTTCGGCGATCCTTGTCTGACTCGGTCCGCCATCTGTTGTCGGGCTAACTCGTGCATGGCTAGTGCTTCTAGTCTTATCTTCTGCAACATGTCAAGCCTGGATTCAACCGATGGAATGTTCGTGGTCGGAAATATGGAAGGGAGTCCACGTGGTTCGTATCTCATCATGATGCGGAATGGGCTCATCTTCCGTGCCGAGTGTTCCCTTGTGTTATGACAAAACTCGAGGTCTGGCAGGCGGTCGGCCCATGTTTCAGGGTTGTTTCCGCAATAGAGTCGAAGATAGATTTCCAGCTCCTGGTTGACTCGCTCTGTTTCTCCGTCCGTTTGAGGGTGATAAGCTGTGCTTATTGATGATCTGATCTGGAGTAGTCGATTTAACTCTTGGAAGACCTTGGATGCGTATTAAGGTCCTCTATCCGAGATGATTCGGTCGGGTAATCCAAATCGCGAGTATACTTTGTCATGAAAAATCTTGGCCGTTCCTTCGGCGGTGATCGTTTTGAGGCAGGGCGTAAGAATCACCCCCTTCGTAAGGTCATGGTCTACTACGACCATAATTGAATCAAAACCGTTGGAAACAGGGAGGTCAGTAATAAAATCGGTGGTGCAACAGGAAAATGGTAATGCGTGTGGGTCGGCGGGAATTGGTTCCAAAGGAATACGAGTTGGATGAGTATTCGGTTTCATTTGTTGACAGGCGGCACAGCCTTTAACATAATTGTAGACAAATGTATACATGCCGGGCCACCAGAATTCACGACGTAACAGTTCAAGAGTATTAAACTTTCCAGGGTGACCCATGGCAGGGGAGTCGTGATGTAGTCGAACGAGGTCACGATGAAGAGTTTCGGATAGTGGAACGTAAATCTTTCCCTTGTAGAGGATGACACCATCGCGAACTTCCCAGTCGGAAAGTGATGATTTCATGGGGAATGGCCCTTTGTGTGCGATCGCTTCGAGGGCTTCGTGAACAATGAGGTCTTTTGCTGCATGATTTCTGATTTTGTCGAATAGTGTCGGGGAAATGGATCGCATGAATAGTGCGTTGGGTAAAAGAATGCGATCTTCATTGTCACTTTCACTGTCATCGAGTCCATTACGATGAGATAGCGCATCAGATTGGATCATCTGAGTGCCAGGGACATGGATGAGGTGAAGATCAAATTGTGATAATTTGAGACTCCATCGTGCTTGTCGGCGGTTTAACTTCTGAGCTGTACGGAAGTATGTGAGGTTTTTGTGATCACTGCGAACTTCGACGGGATGGGGAGAGCCTTCAAGATAATGGCGCCATTCAGTGAGGGCTCGAATGATTCCGAGGAGTTCGCGGTCGTAGATTTCGTAGTTCCGTTCAGCTAGATTGAGCGTCTGTGAAATGTAGGCACAAGGATGGAGGTCTCCATTGATGTCGGCTTGGCGTAAAACTGCACCCGTAGCAAACTTGGAAGCGTCGGATTCAACAATAAAGGGTTTTGCCTTGTCAGGCAGTAACAGTACTGGGGCGGTACTGAATTGTTGCTTCAATGTGTCGAAAGCTGTCTGACATTCTGTTGTCCATTCAAAAGGTGGAGATCCAGCGGCAGTGCGCGTAAGATTTGTCCATGGTTTGGCAATATCCGAGAAGTTGGCAATAAACTTCCGATAGAAGTTTCCAAACCCTAGGAAAGAGCGAACACCTTTTACCGTGCTTGGTTCAGGCCATTCTGCAATTTCTTTAAGTTTGATAGGGTCCATGCCAATGTAGTTTTCTCGAATGATCATGCCTAGGAATTCGACTTCTTTAACGTCAAAGAAACACTTTTCCGGTTTAAGGAATAAGTCGTTGTCTTTGAGTCGTTGGAGTACGTGTTGGGTTCGAATGTGATGTTCTTCCAAATCGTTTGAGAAGATGAGGATATCATCCATGTAAATGACTATCCATCCCTCATCGATCATGTCCTTGAAGAGTGCGTTCATCATCATTTGGAAAGTCGCCGGGGAGTTGCAGAGTCCAAAGAACATGACCATAGGTTCGAAAAGTCCGTGATTTGTCTTAAATGCGCCCTTCCATTGGTCACCATCTTTGATTCTGACATTGTTATATCCGGAGCGTAAATCCATTTTCGTAAAGATCGATGCGCCTTTGAATTGATCCATAAGGTCAGAGATGAGCGGAAGAGGATAGGTGTTCTTCACCGTCCCTTCATTCAGGTATCGGTAATCCTGACAGGGACGTAGTGCTCCGTCTTTCTTTCCTACGAAGAAAAATGGTGAAGCCATGGGAGATTTCGACAGTCGGATGTATCCTTTTTTCAGATTTTCTTCCAGGAAGTCATCCATCGCTCCTTGTTCTTTGAGCGATAACGGATAGACTTTACAGTCGCGTGGAATAAAATCGGGTTTCAAGTCAATGGCGTGGTCCCAAGGCCTGGTTTCTGGAAAGCGTTCAGCTGCTTTCTTTTCAAAGACGGACTTCAAATCGTGGAGGTAGTTGGGGACCAACTCCTCGACGGTTTTGGGTTTGTCTACAGCTGATGCTTCCTTGTGTGCCTGTTGGGCCAATTCTTGTGATTTACCGGATGGTTTGTAAAAGACCGTATTCTGTGCATTACAGAATAATGGGGATCGAGTACTGTGTGTCATTCTTCCAATGGCGGGGCCTCTTCATATGGTGAAGACTGCGATTTCAGTCTCTTCATTCGTCAAAGGTGATTCCTTCCTGATGGGTTCAAATATCCCAATAACTGGCTCTCCTGCGATATAGGATATAACTAGATCGTCGTCATCGAGCTGATCCATAGGGGGTTCTGATGGTGGGTCATCTGGTTCGGTATCATTCTGCACTGCGGGTAACTTGCCATGCTCAGTGTTATCGGCCATGATTTCTCTGATAGATTCCGAATGCCCAAACGAGGTAGGGGAAGTTTCGGTGGTGATTAACTCTGGGAGTCCATCTTTCTTGAAAATCAAAACTTCTTCATCTGGTGCATCTTCGACGGCGGGTTTCGATGGCCATTTGGCGTCTCTACCAAACCAAAAGTCACCAGTTTCCCAGTTGATCATCGGATTGAGGCGTTTAAGCCACGGCATGCTGAGAAGTATGTTTTCTTTGCCAATGCCGGTCAAGAGGAAGCGAGTAAGTGTCTTCCTTCCTCCGATTTTCATCATCTTCCAGGTACAATGAGTAATGGTGCCCATTTGATTTGGTGTGCCATCTGCATTCATGACTTTAATCGGTTTTGGTAATTCCCATCTGATGAAATCGTTTTCTTCCGCAAAACGAATGTTCATGAATGTTTCGGCTGCACCGGAATCGATCAAGGCTTCTGTTGTAACGTCTTCCTTCTCTCCCAATGAAATATTCACAGTGATTGAATTTCCGCTAGTGTTACAAATAACGAGGGGAGATACGGTAAGATGCGACGGTCCATGCATTACTAGTGGCCGTCGTCTCAAAAACCCAATTGGGTTCGTTCTTCATCAGTCATGTCGTTGAAGACGTTTCGCACATAGGCGATCTGTTCCTCTCTGGTTTCTTCCTTCGACGTCTCCTTCTTCTGTGCGAGGTCTTCTCGCATCTTCTTGATCCATGTGATCATGTCTGTGTCTAACCTGGGCTGTATCGTTCTAGCACGGGTGAAACTTCCAGACTGGGGGTGGAATTGTCTGTCGTTGGCTATATGTCCCTTCTTTCCGCATAGGAAACATAATCCTTCTTTCATTCTCTTCTGTCGCTCGTCCGGGGATAAGCGCGAGATATTGACACGATCAACATCCATCGCGTTTGGATCCTTTGCAGAAGCCGAGTAGTAGGGACGATGGACAGGTCGGCCTTTTCCTCGTGTTTTCGTAGTGGCTCCTCGCTTGAAGATCTGAGCAGATCTCCATTGGTTGTCAAACCGCGAGGCGTATTCGTACCACTTGTCAAGTGTCTTGGGCATGCTTTCCATCCCATATATCCTTTGTCGGAGTGGGTCGTTAAGCCCCCACTTGAAATACTCGATATTTCCGGCATCTTCTAGTTTCGCCTTGGATTCAAGCGATCGGAATTCGGCAATGTAGTCGTCCGCAGTACGAGTTCCTTGCTTGATGTTACGCAGCAAGGTACGAGCGGTTTCTTCAATATTTTCATCGCCAAATGCTTTGTTCACACTCACAATGAAGTCTCTCCAACTCCCATAAGAAAGGAAGTCATCATTGGTGAGTTCCGTTTCTATGAAGCTCTGTGCCCATGATCCTGCTGTTCCTCCTTGCATGTGCGATAGCACGAATGCGATCTTCTGATTGTCCTCCTGGTAGACATGGCTATTTCTGGCCATGTAGTTCTTGCATTGGTTTATAAATTCCCTAAGCTTCGAACGGTCTGAACCGTTGAAAATCTCGGGTTTTCTAAAACCCAGTTCCTTCTGGCTGACATGGTGACGTCCTTCATCCATGGTAACTGTAGCCATCGGTGGTATGTACTCGGATATGGTTGGTGCAAGAGTCGTTTGGGGTACGGGATCCTGGACAGGGAGGTTCCAAGGGGCATCTGGTCTTTCTCCTGGATAAGAGATAGGTATGCCACTGTCTGCGATGTGTGATAGTACGAGCCCTCCAACGTTATGGGGTAGGCCTGCTTCGTAGTCACCACTTGGGTGATCAATGTGTTGATCTGGTCTGATGAGTAAAGGTCGCCCGTTTAAAACGTGTACGTTCCTCTGTGCATCCCACTCTGCCTGAGATGGGAGGAGATCGATGTATTGCTTGGGATGAGCAGTCGGGTTGATAAAGTTCAAATCCAGCATGGATAAATTCCCCTGTGTGGCCTACGTCTACACGTAGACTGCACACCGTCCTTAACTAAGTGGGTTCGTTCGTCGTCGGCTAACAAGCCCGTAGAGTGTCTTCTGCCTTCAAACTGATACACCTATTTGCTGATTGCTCGAGTGATTACCTCAGCCTCCTCGGCCTATTGGTCTCTCGGACAGACCCCTCTCCGAAGATGAGTGATCAGTCTATCCCTTCAGCTACCTCGATTACAGAGTAATCTCAAACGGTGCTTTAGCAATCGAATCGGGTGTATCGTTTAGTCTTCAAGGTTCGGTCCGGTCGGTAGTTCGTTGTTAGACTTTAGGAAGTCACAGAGAGTAATGAGATCTCGACCTAATGTTACGCGGCAGCGAAACACGAGCGTCTAGTCGAGTCGTTACGAGACAAGGTCTTAGTCTAAGACACAAGTCCGTTCGAGTGACACTTCTGGCGATGTCCTCGCACTGAAGGTCGATCAGAGTTCGTTCTTATGACTTGTAGTAGCTGTCTGCTACTGACGGTCGATCTCAGTCAAAGGCAAGTGAAAAGCTGGTTTAATGGTAACCAGGTCGAGATGGGGATCCAGCTCGACAAGGTCGTCTACTTATACAAAAGGTATCCGCAGTACTACGCAGTAATGCGGGATTGTTCATTGGCTAGATAAGGTGAAACGATATCTGAGCAAGGTAACAGCGAGGAAGTAATATGTATGAGAAAGCTGAGTAAGGTCGTGAGAGATAATCAGTACTAATGGGGATAACGAGTCGTGTATCAGAACGAGGTAAAGATGAGGCATACATGCACGTCTTGCATGTGCGATAAGAAGAAGGTCCGGAGTTGGATCCGGTGTAACCCTAGACTAGGGGTTCTGGACATCTGGATAAAGAATCGGAGGTTGCGCTCCGATGAGTCACGTGTTGGATCACGTGGTCTGGTAACGTAAAGGGAACAAGAAAAAAAGAAAAAAGAAAAGACGCGCCACAAGTGAGGAGCGTTGTAACACATTTAAGTGCCCTCTTAAGGAAAAGTTTGGTTTTCCTGATGTGAAAGTCACCAGATCTACTAGTCTCAATTCCAGATGTTGACACACGGATGCACCGGAAAAAACCAATATGTAGATCAAAAAAACCACTGCAGCCTCCGTGCTAGCTGGCTGTAGTGGTTTTTTCGATGTCCGATGTTGGTACTCGGCAGCCTCCGAGGCAGGAACGGCTCAGCATATACGTCACAAGATGCATAGCCAAGTATTTCTCAGGGAAATACCCTGAGAAAATTCATAAAGTATAGCTTGAGAAAAAACTTTGAAGAAACTAAAGTGAATTTTCGTGGGAAATACTATGATTGTCCAATCAGCAGCTGAGAATCACAGTTTTTCCTGGAGAAATATTTTATTCTTTTTTCAGAGTTTTTCTGTGTGCTTTACTTTCACCCTTTCTAGAGGTTTTTGCGCAAAAAATACTGGGCCATGCTTCTTGTGCGTCTGGCTTGCGAGACTACAGATCTACGTTCTTTCGGAAGCTGCAATGGTTTTTTTCGATCTCCGACGTATCGGTTCTCGGTCGCTTCCGTGGGTGAGCCGCTGGAGCCGAGACTAGAAATACTCGCACAAGACGCAATCGCCAAGTATTTCTCAGGGAAAAATCCTGAGAAAATGCATAAAGTAAAGCATGAGAACTTTGAAGAAAGCATAATGAACTTTCCTGGGAAATAAGTACCATGATTGTCCAATCAGTAGCTGAGAATCACAGTTTTCTGTGTGCTTTATTTTAACCCCTTCTAAGCGGTTTTTCCCCGAAAAATACTGGGCTAATGCTTCTTGTGTCATACCTCATCGCGAAGGCGAGAATGCGCATGCCATCGGGCGTAAGACAGCAGACGGCCGAGGTGCTTGACCGCCGGCATAGTAGTGCAGAGCAAGCATAACAACGCATCAATAGCACTATAAAGCAGCGGTAACACTACAAAGCAACGATAACACTGTCGACTACCGACATCACACATAATCATACCGACGCTCGCGCACATCGACTGACAACCAGTCACCCTCTCGACTACTGTTCCACGTATACTCTCGCACCGTTGACACAGACGACTGTGACGGACTCGGAGATGGAGGGCGTTCGGCGGGAACGCCGGTCGGATCTACGTGGTTTATCCAGTGTTGGATACCCTCAACAGAGCCGACGGAGTCGTGACTGTATTTCTCCCGCACGATGGGGTTGTTTGGGACTCCAGACAAACTGCCACAATCGCCTTCGTCCTGGAGATCCATGAGCATACTGTCGACTTCTTCAGCATCAATGGCTGATGAAGTGTCCGACATGTGTGCTGCAAGGCCATCTTTTGTGAGCTTTGTATCAATTGCAGGGAGACGTCGTTGCTCACCACCACCTTCGCCACTCCAGTCCGATATAGAGGGTACAAGGGGGGGTCTACGGGTAAGAGGTGGAGGGATTGAGTTGACGACCTCCAATCCAATGGTGTGAACTGGTTCTGGTACCTACATGCGCAAGACGAATTTGGTGAGAGCCCATCAACAACACTGTCACGACAGCAGGGATAATGCCATGAGTGCTCTTCGCTCCTCCGCATATGAGACTGGCGGTAGAATATCGCGGACCAGGCACGGTATTTCAACGGCAACGTATTCGGGCTCGTCACTAACCTCAGGTATTGTCCAGCCTCCGTCGACACCTACTGCTGAGGCGAGCCAATAGACTAGAACTTCTTCCACGGTAGGATCCTGTTCATCTGACTTGAAGATTGGCGATACAAAGGCCCGTGTCCACCCTGCGAATCGGTCGTCAACCCTGTCTATTAGAGGGTACGAGAAGAGGCGTACCTTTCGAGAAGGCACCGAACACCCAACCAAAATACGTAGTCACCACAAACCAGTGAGAGCGCTCAAGGAAACAGACGTCCCATATCTTACACGTATTTCAGCTGATATCTCAACTAAGAAATTATGTTGTCGCACCTTACTCCATAACCTCTCACAGCAGGTATAATCCTTGCGCTCGCTATTCGGACTATGAGGAGGAAGCTGTAGCGAACACTCAGCTTGCATTCCATCATGAAGAAGTACACGTTGGAACGTACTGCTGAGCATCGTACAAACGCGATAAGGTCTTTGGGCGAAAGTATCCAGGGTGGTTGTGTGATCACAGTGACTGAGGGCTTCGGGTAGCCTTGAGTAGACGGAGGCGCAGCTGACGCACTGAACGTCGTATATCGGATTATGTCGTTGTCGATGTCAACAGCGCTGGCGTGCCACTTCTTCAATGAAAAACACCAGTCGTCTGTTTGTGGCATAGTGAGATGCAGAATGCGTTGGGCGGTTTTCAGGGGGTACTCAATGACCCAACAACAGATTCTGCAGGATACGTAAGGCATGAGCAACGAAGTCGAGCCAGTTTGCCTGAAACTCACAGCTCGACATCGGAGACCTGCCCCACAGCACGCTTGGGGATATTGTAGTATGGGGCGCATGGGAGAGTGAGTACCTCTCCCGTAGTTTCATCGTCATTGTCTGCGTCCAGTGGCGCAGAGGGAATGCACCGATCCAGGACTGCGAATCGTCCGGCCGTCAGCAATGCATTGAGTAATCAACGTTTCAACATCTAAGCTCACAGGAAAGCACATCTTCTGAGAAACTTCTTCCCAGCGCATGCATGTTCTCCAGTCTCCTGAATGCCTGAGGGATGACTGTGAGCTGATTCATGTGTGCTTTGTGGCCCTCTGGTGGCATCGGCATGGCTGTGGCGGCGAAATGCATCTTCGGAAGAGTGGCCCTAGATAAATACAATCTGAGGTTGCTTGTTGCAGGAATAGCCATAGCGGCCTGGACTGTATCCCATATACTGAACTTCATGGTGGCGGAACTTAGAGGAAGAGATGTGTGACCACAACTTCGACGAGGACTGCGGCTTAAAAATGCTGAGAATGAAAAGGCAGCTAGAACCATGGAAACGCTACAACGACCATGTTGCTCCTGTGGGTGCCACGGAAGTAAAACTGGGACAAGGAAAGAGATTGCTTGGCATAAAAATACAATAATACAAGGACAGACGAACAAGGCGTGCCTGATCAGGATGGAAATCCTTAAAAAGGATAAGCTTGCGCGAACGGTAACGGGTGCGTGACTTGGTCACGCGGGTGACGCATTTGCGGCCGTCGCCAGAGATAGAGGCAGCGTTGTGGCGTTCGAGTGTGCATAGAGTAGGCTACATATGCTTGACATGGTAGAGTAAGAATGATCCAATAGATAATACAGTAGAATGCTAGATAGATTATGTCCATATTACCCAGCGCCGGCGCCGCATGATAGAGTAACGATCCAACTTGAATGCCGCCAGACGAAGCTTGCATACACCAACACTGCCGAATTTCCCAACACAGGCATGTCTTGCGGAAAGTCAAGTGCAGCATGCGCCGCCCCTTTCTCGCATCACACAATCCCCGCACTTCGTCTCACTCATACGAATGGGGTTGCGCTGGGGAGTAGACATGAGTCTCGAGCAAGACGGAGACTTGCAGCCTGTATACAAATGCTAAGATCAGCATCCACATGCACTCACATGACATGCACAACAACATACCAACTGGATGTCTTCTGCTGAACAGACAGTCTGCACGCAGACAGTCTTGCGTGCGAGTATGCATGGGAATGAAGTGCTGGCACTCGAGGTGGTACCGGCCGTCGATGATCTACGCCCGGTTGTCTCCGTCAGTGCATAGAAATGGGCACAGTGAGCCCAAGGACAAACATTATGGCACATTTCGAGTAGAAAGTACAGTACGAGACCAGGCAGGGTGAAAGCTACAAACTGGCTGGCCCAGGACTCTGCTGTTTTTATGCGTAGAGAAACGCGCATCAGCCGACACAAGAAGCGAAGCAGTTCCGGCGCACTGATTCGGGTTGCACGTTGACCTCATTCACCAATAAATCGGCAAGACCTACAAGGCGAGGCTTGGGGCCCCTCACAAGTCCTTCCGATGAGTGAACACCACATACCTGTCACGGCACGGTGTATCTTGAAAAGTCGATCAAAATTGATCAGTAATCTGCCGATGGTTCTGCTCGGCCAGCATATAGGACTCGTAAAGTCACTGGCGCCAAGGCTGTTAGCCTGCAGCGAAGCCCGCCACTGTATTCAGAAGACAGGGATAATGAAAACTTTGAGGCTTGTCTAGCGGTATATGAACGGCGCTTGCATCTTCTGACCGACGTATAAGGACCGGCATCAAGTCGATTAAGGGGGCTGATAAAACCTTCGAGTTCGCCGGCCTCGCCATCGTGCACTGCACGAGGCAGTAGGCGTGTTAGACGCGTGTTGCGGAAAGCCGACGATGATTCTGGACCTTAAACATGCGTTAAGCAATATTTAGCCTGTGTCGCATCGTGAGTCACCGCGCATTTTAGGCATCACGCCCACTATGATCAGGATACAGGCTTTCATTCATGTGAGATGCCGTTCTCCAGTGATCCTTCCGGTTTTGGCGGCGGTGCATGAATACAGCACACGAATACCTGACATAGGAAAATGTGAATAAAACATGCACGATGTCAGTAACGGGTCGCAAGGTTCTTGAAGGCGCTGCCGACCCGTGCCCCTCGAAGCCGACGCATGACTTCATGCAACATGCAGTCTGACCGCACGAGAATTTGCCATGAACAAAGTCACCTGCACCAGAGTCCGTCTTACACGAGTCCTCAGAGCCTGTGAAAGCAGCGAAATTATAAGGATTATAGGCCGAGGTCACGATCCACGAGCACGAATTTCATTCACTAGCTGCACCTTCTTCCTCACCTGCAGGAGATGTCCATGAATTCGTTTCAAGAGTGGAGCCAGAGCACATACCTCATGCGCAAAGCGTCTCCGCCAGCGCTCGCTCTTCAGACGCCTCCTTTTTTCACCCTTCTTTTCGTGCCTCCTCGCCGCAACCATCTCCCGGATCAACTTGTTATTCCTGATGATCCTCATCAACCTGATGTAGGCGGATCCAGCCTCGTATTTCCCGACTGGAATACTACGACCTACAACAGACCCGACGGAGTCGAAGAGTGAAACACCTTATTATGAGTGGAGCTGACCTGAGTAGGCGTTGCTAGGTTTGACTAGATGATTGACTCTCGTGAGCTCCCATTCCTTCCAGACTTCATCTGGAGACTTCGTTCGTGCTACGGTCTCCTTAGTCGTATGGAGAAGGAAATCGTACATCTTTCCAGAGGGCCTTGGGATTGCCCTAGTGTAAACTGGCTGCAGAGGCGATGATTCGGAGGTAGCATTGGAATCCTTCTCATTAGCGGGAGGAGAAGGAGATGAAAAGAACCGGATATGGCTCGTCAAGGGCATAGCATTTGGGACAAGAGCTCTTGCGCGCTGTCTGAGGAGTGCTGGTGCTACTCGATGGAGTATGTCGGTCAGCATTGGGAAGACTTAGTCGACAGAGCGTCGACAGGCCGCAGCTCGTGTGAGATACGCCGTAGACAAGTTGCGAGCACTGCTCCGCTACTTAGAGTGGTGGTGCCAGCAGAGTGAACGAGAACTAAGTTCAAGCAATCGGAAGGCCAAACACAAATGCACCCGAGCAAGCGCTGGAGCGGGACCCCGATCATCTCTCCACAATTGACCGAGCTGAGCAGCCTGCAGCTCTGCCCCCTGCTTACCTTCCATGTCTTCTGAGGTACTCCTCGAGGAGTTTGAGGTAACGTTTATTCTGTATCAGGAGAGCTCACACTCATCATCACCCAGGTACTCGAATCTATCTACCCGGACGAGCTCTCAAGTGTGTCCTTTGCGTCACGATACGGGGTTCTTGTCTAGCTGAGACTCATGCAAAGAATTATCCGAAAGGGCGATCCGCATCGATATCGAACCAGACGAACAGGTAGAAGGGGAAGAGCCATGTACGTGACATCCATGTTGTTTGCGCAGGACCTAGTTGAGCCCTCGCAGTAAAACTCGCACTCGAGGTGCAATACTCGAATGACTACCCGGATGTCCTGCCAGAACTCTCACTGGAGATTGTGGAGGGATCAGTGGATGAGGAGGAGATACAACACCTTCTAAACGGCCTGCGAGCTGTGGTATGTTTTTGCCCAGTACTGCTCGTTCATTCCTTGATCATAGCGGCAGGGATCAGAGAATCTTGGCATGGCGATGACCTTTACTCTGGTCTCTCAACTGAGAGACCAACTGTTGTCTCTCGTGCAGTCCAGGGCGAAGCGAAGGAAAGAAGAGGAACATGAGAAGGAGAGACAGGCCCTCGAGGTTTGTCTGATCTGCGCAATGTAACATGCGCGCTGACGGTCGCCACAGGTTGAGGAGGCTCGTACTCGAGGAACTCCGGTCACTGTTGAAAGCTTCAATCAATGGAAGGCCACATTTGACAAGGAGATGACAGTCAGGAAAGCCCGGGATGACGAGGAAAAATCGAAAGCTCTCACTGCGAAAGAGAGGGAGGAATACAAGAGGCTTCAAACGCGTCTTACTGGTGTGTGAAATTGAAAGTTTCTTCTCCCGCGAGTTTTTCACGTGGTTCGTGTTGTCCAGGCCGGCAACTATTCGAGCGCAACAGAGATCTCGACGTATCTGACGACAATCTGGTGGAAGAAGGGGCAGTGTCTGTGGACATTAGCCAGTACGATCGAACTTTGACGGAAGAGGAAGAAGAGGTGACGTTCAGCGACAGTGAATGAGCACCACAACGGGTCGACCGTTGGCACTGTAGCCACCCGACATGTAGCCTAACTAGATGTATACCTTGTATTGGCACACTCCTACTCGAAGACTGGAGGACAAACTGGGCAACGCGGTCCCGCCTGTTCACGTGGATGTCACGTGGGAAGTAGTAGTTGCTGAGGATCTGCAAGGTCCGATCTCATGGACTCATCAGAACTCTTTCCTTGCCTGAACCTTCTTCTCCTCAAGACAATAGACCGCGCTCGTTCTCAGCCTCCCACTGCGCACTTTGTGGCGTCCTGACATTCCGGTACTCAAAAAATGAATGGTACACCAAAGAGTGCCTACGCCTCTGAGCTCGGCGACCTCTTGGCCCAGCTCCCCCTCAATCAATCCAACCAGTGGACAGAAATCGAAGCCACTGCCCAGCATCTCGCTGATGATCTTCGTGTGAAGGATGGTCAGGCCCGGTCTGCTTGCTTAATTTCTGTCGCTGCGCCTGAGTTGCTCCATTTTCTGCAGTTGAACAGCAGACTGCGCTAGGCAAGACGCTCCTCCCGCAGACAATCACCTCCCTTCTTAAGGGCGCCATCAACGGCGCCTGTATTCCGAGCCCAACATGCAAGCCGGCTATTCATGAGATCCTGCGGGTTGGTGCCAATTTGTGCAGAGACCATGGCGAGTCTGTCTCTTCGATGCGCCTCTGAAATATGAGACTTAACGCGGAGTAGACGAGAACAGGGGGTATCTTCTGGAAGCCGGATTCCCACAGACCGTGGTGTCGCTTTTGGAGGGTTATGCAGAATCTATCCAACCCAATCAGGCAGTACCTCTACCTCTGTCAATACCGGACCTTAACGTTGTCAGAACATCAATCGGACTGCTCCTGAACGCCAGCATAAGCTATGGTGCGTCTTACCATCACTCAAGTTTTGCGCCGTCTCAGTCCTTATTCTCTCCGTCAGAGCCGGTCAAGTTTCGTCTGATCTCATTGGAAGCTGCGATGACCATCCTTAAGCTAGCTATGGCCATTTACCCTCCAGGTTCCTGGTCGAGACCTCAACAATTGTTCACGGATGGAATCTCACACGAGTCAGACGCCGCAACCTTGGAGTCCTGGAATCTTCGAAGCAGTCTATCGTCATGGGCCTGGCGCGTCATCTCTGAACTGAGAGGGGATGCAGAAGACGATCGTGAGTCCCATACCAGCGCTTCGCAAAGATGGCATGTAATTCTCTGACCCTTCGTAGCTCAAGCGCAGTCGTTGTTCGGTCCAGATGCTTTACCTTTTCTCGTGAGGCCTCTCAGCGCCTTCATCCCGCCATATCCCTCGCTACCCTTGCTATTCTCCAATCCCTCTGTCCGTCATGCCTTTGTGCAAGGGGACTTCGACGTTCTGAACGAAGTTTGTGGACTGTTGGAGTCGCTTTGCATGGACGTCGAGGATGTCCGGCTCTCCCTCGCTCGAGGACTCGTCTTTCCCGATCGAGAGCATAGCGGTGTAGCCTGTCTATCCGACATGCTCTCTTTCGTAGGTGAGGGTGAGTACCCGCCGTACTGGCATCTTGAATCTCCTGGCGAGCGGTCGACGATGGAGAAGCGATTTACTATCTGCAAGGGCGCGGTTATCAAGGCGGTGGTCGAAGTTGCTGGCGAAGAGAAGAACATGAGCACGCTGTGGGACGACTCTGACACTCAGAGGCCTGGAGGCGTGTTCGTAGACAGGATGGTAAGGTGGATCCGGACACACAAGGGTCTGAAAGAGACGCATCGTGATGACCTGATCATATGCGCCACGCTCAGCTTGGGCAATCTTGTACGACGAGGTAAATTCTTCATATTTTTCTGTTTTTCGTGGCTTTGACCGATGTCGATGTGTCCCCAGACGCACTTTCTATGGCACTGGTCAACCCTCCCATATCGCTCTCTGCTGACTTGGCTGCCCTCCTTGAGCCGGATACCGATATCAAGGTGAAACACGGGATTGTAGGATTGCTGAAGCACCTGGCTCAGCCGCAAGGCAACAGAGCAGTGCTTGGACAAGCTGGAATCATTCAAAAGCTTGCCTCGTCCCAGGTCTGGGGCGAGAAGTCGGACATCGCGGTGATCGTTCAAGGATCTGCCATTGGCGTGGTGAAGCACCTGTGCAACGGAAACGGTGAGCACGTCGCCGATTGGACCAGTTCCCTATTGTTCATGTCGTATCACAGCTGAGAACTCCATCGTTACTATACTCCCGGATGGTTCAAATCGCTCGGCTATGGAGCAGATCCTAACTCTCACATCCCGTTCTGACGAAATTGCCGTGAAAAGCGAAGGCACGCGGGTTTTGGTCAATGTGATCAAGTCACTTTGGTCCAGTGATAGATCCTCCCTCGACGCAGAACGACGCCGAAGCGCAGTCAATGCCGTCCTCACGCCAAAATGTACCTCAGCGCTCGCGCGACTTGTCGGAAGGAGCAAGCGGTACCCCGTGCTAATTAACGAAGGTGTAGTAGCATTGTCACTGTTGAGCACGGATCCGCACGGAGGTTCGTCTCCCTTTTTTGTTGATCGCATACTCTGGCTGACGCTGCGAATCAGCTACGCTGGTCTTGGACGCGATCATGAACCCTTTGCCCAGCGAGGTGATACTTCAACCACAATCGCAGCCTATGTCCGCAGCAACGAGCGAGGGCTCGCCGACTGGAGGCCCACGTCGTGCACTCGACATGCTTATCACCATCCTCAAAGACGCTGATCAAAGCATGCCGTTCGAAATGCGCGCCAATGTGTGTGCAGTGTTGGCGCATCTCGGTAGGAAGGGTGCTATTGGCGAAGAGAGGGCAAGCGACGTTGCGAGAATGAAGGACAGTACGCGGGAATATCTGGAGAGTGCCGCAAGTGGGTCTGACGGGAGTGCACTGTTGGTGAGCAGTGCGGCGAAGCGGGTGTTGGAGGCTTGGGCATGATTTTGGTTATGTCTCTAGTGCTAATGTACGAGATAGTACTGAAGTGTTGTGTATAGATTTGTACCTTGTAGCTGTCCCACTTTTTACCCCTATCGGATGATCCATGATATACCACAGTCTGTCAGTCTCTCGGTCATCAATCACACTCGCACCTCCCTGACGGCGTGCTCGTTGACAAGTCTGACCTAGTATCGCCTGTGGACAAAGTGACTTACTGTACAGGCGGAAACTTGGTATGAGTGTTACGTTCAACCGCCCTCGTCAGAGGGATGTCGTAATCAGGGGAGAAGCTTACGATGCACGCGTGCGCACATCATGCCCGAAAAGGCATCGTGCTTCAAATGCAGGCATATCCTCCCTCAGCCCTCGACATAAAATGCGGAGGCTTCTGAGAGTGCTCGATGTATGCGTAAGGCCCTCAGGACAGCTCTTCTTAGCCCCATCATCGTGTCCTTCCTTGCGATTTTTTGGAAGCTCTTCAAATCCTCCAACGTGACGAAACTGCAGGCAGTTGCTGAGCCTGAAGTGAAGACAGACGTGCTATACCTGCCAGAAATGTCGGTTGCATCCGTGTCCAGACATGTTTTCAAGAAGGTGTTGGCCGTGGAGACACCTGAGGTGTGTTGTTCACGTCTAGTTGAGATGGCAGAACTGCTTACGAGTGCGAACTTGATCACAGGGTGAAGGAGCCCTCGTGCGACGTTCTATCGGGTCGATGAAGCTGAGAAACCTCACCCCCTTCCTCATACTGGATCATTTCAGTATATCCCAAGGAGCTGTGAGCCCTACGGCTTTGGGAGATAGAAGGATAGTGTTGACAGCTATGTAGGGTTTTCCAGACCACCCGCATCGCGGTCAGGCAACAGTGACATACATGCTTGAAGGGTACGTCATAATGGCAACATATGGTAATGCGTGTCTGAGCTTTTATAATGGGCAGCTCGAGTCGGCATGAGGATTCTGCTGGCCACAAGGGCACAATCAAGACTGGTGGCGTTCAATGGATGTGCGCAGTGAGTTATCTCTGCCTGATCATCCCTTCCTGCGCTGAGTACCATTGCTCAGGGTCGAGGAAGTGAGCAACCCGTGTGCAAGCGTGTTGTTGTTACGAATATGATGTTTCGCAGTTATGCATGCCGAAATGCCTGTACACAGTCCTGGTCAACCTGATCCGCGCGGTCTCCAGCTATGGGTCGACCTCCCAAAGCAATACAAGATGGTCGAACCTTCGTACCAGGAGCTGGAACCTGATAAGTCAGTCTATCCTGTTCTGCGCCTCTGGACGTTGCACTGAACGTATACTGTCTTAGGATTCCGACCGCTTACCCAGAAGGCACAGACGGGCCTGTAAAAATCAAGGTCATCAGTGGTAAGAGCCATGGCGTTGAGTCGCCCGTACGACCCCTCGGAGGGTGCTGGTACTTCCATCTCATTTTCGACAAGAAGTCGTCCATTTTCCAGAGCATCCGTAAGTTCACAGCGTTTCCTCTAGCGTTCGATGCATGCTCAAACATGTCGTTCATTTCATAGCGGCTGGGTGGACGGCTTTCATCTACAGTAAGTCTTGTGATTAGATGCCTTGGATGAAAATGACCGTTCACTCTCCCCAGCTTTTAAGGGTTCCCTGAGTGTTGGCCCTGATCCAGAGGCGCACGAAGCATTCCACACGCTCGTTCTTTCGGCAGAAAGCGAGGAGACTGGTGTCCAAGTCACCGCGGCAGAAGATAACACCGAGGCGGTTCTCGTATGTTCATTCTTCATACTTCTTGATCGTGACAGAAAGATGAACTATCCGACTTTCAGATCGCCGGAGAACCCCTCGACCAGACTGTCTTCCAATACGGTCCATTTGTGATGACGAATGAGGAGGAGATCCGGTCGACTCTGCTCGATTGCAAGTATCCTTCAATAATCTGAGGTTGCACAGAATACTGAGTGTTGGAATGTGATAGATCGGATGGGAAAGAACGGATTCGAGAAGGCGCATACATGGAAGAGCAAGATTGGCGGACGCCGGTGACTGACAAATGCTTTGGCTCCGGGTAATCCACGTCTTCTCAGTAAATCAATATAATAGTTACCATTTACCGGTAGCTAAATGCATCAGCACTGTTACGCAACCACAATGGAGCGCTGACACCTATTTTGTGGGCCGACTTTTCTTGCCAGCATGTTGAGCCGTCCCATGGCCACCCGATTCATTGTCGCTCTCAACATCCTCCATATTCGCCCACACATCGTCTCCCACGCCATGCTGGTCCTCATCGTCGTCTTGAGATCTTGACGCGGGCTCCAAGTCCGCGTTTTGGTCCCAGGCGACGAAGGTAGGCGTGACTTTCATGTAGACCTTGTCGAGCACCTCTCCTTTCTTCGACTGCTGCTGGCCTACTTCCTCCGGTGGCGTGTATGTGCTGTGCAGTCGAAGAAAACGGTCTTGCGATACAGAAGCAAGCAAACCAGGAGAGGGGGCAAGGGATGTTACGGCACCAGCGAGAGCTACGATACTCAACAACAGTAAGAGGAGATCTCAGGGACGAAGTATATGAAGCACGCACCTTTGTAACTGTATATGGTCTTGCCGTTTCGTAAATCTAGTGCAGAAAGGTCGCAGCGCTGGTCAGCTACGAAGAGCTCGCTGCGAACAGTTAGATATTAATTAATAATTGTAGAAGAAGTAGGTACTTACTGCTCCGAGAACCCAGCCTCGACCTGGCTTATGCCTCCAGCCTTGGCAATGTGCTTCCAGTCTGCCACAGGACGTCTAGCGGCACGTGTGTCGTATCGACGCACGCTCCCAGATTGTGTACCTGTAATTAGATGATAGGAAGACGAAGACGAAGATGACAGATACGTCAAAGTAGTTATGTGAACAGGTTGCCGGAGATCTAGGTTGTCGTTTGCAACCTGCAAAAGTTATACAATTCTAAAGGCAAGCAATTCGGGAATACAACCGTCGGGACTCACGTTCTTCGCTCGCCATACTTCCCCCGGTAACAACATATCACCACGTTTCCTCTTTTTTGACTCAACGCCTGACGGCACTGCGCGGGCCCCGAACGCATCTTCCGTTCTCCAAACAGACAATTCGACCTCCTCGCCACCGTAAGCAAATGTCTCCTTATCCGGTGCAATACGCCAATCGGAGAGTCGCATTGGAAGAGAGGTAATCTCGGACGTTGGAGGGGCTTCACCTTGTCCGAACTGGGTTAATCGCAGGGCGCCGTTCGAAGTGCATGAGTACACTCGTCTGTACGAAAATGGTCAAATCCTGTCAGATTGGCGACTAGGTTAGAGCCACTTACCTGTTTGACAGAGCAAGGCCGATAAATTTCTGTCCACTCTTTAGACGTGTTTCCTTCCATTCATGCAGCAATTCCGGCGCCGCTCCAGACGTTCTACATGCAAATATAGATCCGTCTGCACGAGCGGCGGTTAACTTTTCTTGAGCATAATTCCATGAGTTTCAAAACGGGACACATGAGTTTGGCTTGAATACCAGAGTCTCCGAATCAACTCTCGACACGGTGAGTTTTTGCACAGCCCTCGCTTTGCCACCAGCACCCCCTTCGAGTAGGTGAGTCACCTCGGATTTCCACTCTCCAACTCTATCTGGTGGAGAATATCTGATGGATTTGACGGTCCCAAGTTCGTCGCCAGTAAAATATTGAGGCATAGTGTAGCGGTGAATCTGCTGATCAAAGATTTTGTATCTTGTGGATGTCACGGTGAGTGATAGGACGTGACGGGTCGCGTTCACGCGTCACGGTCACTGTCAGACTGTCCACCGACCATGTGCCGTTGGTGTCCGCAAAATTATACGAAGCCATGTCTGATGTTAGGGCTGAAGGTACGTGTCGTTCCTCTAGGGCTTGGTCATGCTGCTCAGCGACCCGTGTTTTCAGTCACTCAGGTAGTGCGCTCTCGGGCCGGTATTTCTACAGGGCCGTCGCATTTGCCCAGTCTACGCACAGGGTATTGCATCCTGGCGTTTACGGTCATTGTATTCTTCTTCGGAAGCTATGCAATATTCTTCAGTGCCTTCAGTGCTCCTACTGGTGTAACGGTACGTTTTGACCGCTTGCATCCCTGCTTTTTGTTTGCACCCCTTGACTATGCGCTCTGCGTTACCCTGCAGATCCTTGACACATTAGCTAGAGATACCCACTACAAATATTTCACTATTTTGCTCGTCCCTACCACGGTTTATTTCGTAATCGCCAACTGGGTTGGATGGCAATACTACCGGAATTCATGACCTGCTGCTTCTCACCTCACTTCCGCGGTTCCCATCATCCTACAGGCTACCCTACGTTGACAAAGTGGTATCGTTACTCAATAACAGCCTGAACAACATCAATCATATACTTGGCATAGGGTGGACGACATGCGATAGGAACCGCTTGCTACATAACCAAGATAATACACCAAGAAGAGTGAAGACGCCATAAATCCGCCATACGGTCCAGAATAAATAACAATAGATGACCGTCTGATATATGCCAATTGGGTTATGGGGGCTCTCGGAATCGTGATCGCTCCGAAAGAGTGCCTGCCCTCAACCGGATCTCTCGGAGTTCTTGCCAGAGACTGCTCCGGGCGGCCTCACCCACCGATGGACCCGATGCTACAGATCTCGCTGGTCGCTCGTCATCCCGCATGCCACCCCCGTAGGACGACTCGGCACGGGTGGGGCTAGGATCGCGGGTCGTAGTCCCACGAGTAGAGAGCTTGGGCCGCGAGGGACTGATCGAGGCTCGCGTCCTCGTCAGCCTCCTCTCAGATCGTTCTGGAGACCGCAGCTTGCTCGTGAGCAAACTCACGATACCCGTCTTTCCCGGGCGTGGACATCCGATGGATGGCCCTGCGGCTGCGTTAGAGGGGTCTTTGCCAGGGCTGCTGGAGCGCAGTGTCCTCGGGAATACACTTCTGGGCGGCTGAGTGCCCATAGTAAATCGCGGGTTTTCGATGACTTGGCGGGGTGCTGCAGTTGGGAGACGAAGGTATCGCGCGCGACTGGGGCGTGGATCAGACATACAAAAATATCATCCAAGAATCAGACTTACGCGACGGCCTTCAGTTCAATCTTGGTCTTGTACGTCTTAAGCCATTTGTCGAATGTTTGGGCTGGAGAAGACGTCAGTCTCTCAGAATGTCGGCCTACTGTGTAGAACTCACCTAAAACAGACCGGCGGTCCATATCGCGCGCAGTTCGAGCTTGTAAGGCACGAGGCATGGCGTCCCGCCAGATCTGCCAGGCCTTTGCCTTGGCACGAGACGCGTGGAACCTTACAGCAGGCAGGGACTGCAATTGTTGCAAGGAGTCAGCACTAGGGAACGCCTCCCATTCCATCGGCCATACCTTCGTCTTTGAATGCCAGATACCGAATGCGCGGAACATGGTATTCGTCTCTTTTTGCATGAGGAAGTCATCTGCCTGCAATGCTAGTCAGCTCCGCCCGGAATTAGACAGATGAGGCATTGCTCACAACAGGCTGCAGTCGGATGTCTTGGAAGCGTTCCCGCCATTTATCCCATGCGGCGGCTACCACAGTCAGCTTCATCTCTTCTTCTTTTTCCTGCAGATAAAGGCGCCTGTGTCGAACCTTCCTCGCGGCTGTCAACCAGCGGTAGAACATCCGGCGCATGTTCTCTGCAATATGTAATTAGTGAAATGGAATCTAGCTCAACAGCAGGCAAAGGCTTACCTTCGCGTTTGACGTCTTGATAGCTCTCCATCAGGCTCAGTTCCTCAACATGCCGTATACATAACCCCTTCCACTTTTTGAAGGCATTACTGGATGAGCGACGGGTTAGTAATGAGACATACAAGTCATTTGGCATGATACTGACGCGAGAATGGTGCTCTCGACCTTTTGGGTAGTCTCCAACTCGCGGAACTTGATGTTGGCTACATGATTTGTCCAATGAGTCAATGCACCGGAGAGTATGCGCTGTGTATTATTGTCAGTTAAGTGTTAAATTCCGCGCCACCTGGCACACAGACCAGAGCGATGCGCTGCTGAATGATCATCTCAGCCAGCTTGCGTTGCTGTTGTCGCTGTGTGGCCTTCTGCCACTCTGATGGAGAAAATAATCGTCAGCTTTCATTTCGCCCTCAATATGACAACACACCCTCAAGGAATTTCTTGACTATTTGGCCTTCGAACACTTTCAGTTTCGTCTCCAGGCGCCTTTGCACAAGCTTTGCGGCCCATTTGTTGTAGAACGTCCTCAGCACGAAGTACTTGTTTGCCAGCTTCGCCTGCTTGATCATCCGCAGTTTTGTCCTCAGCTCCAGGCGCCATACCAGAAGCATCTTGTATTGCAGCTGAGCTGACCGGTAGTGCACCGCGAAAGCATGGGCATTGCGATGCGTGGTGTGGACTTGGCGCCATTTTTGCAGGGATGAAAATGCTAGTGTCGAGGAGGAGCGCATAGAGAAGGCGACGGCTAGATCTGCAGAACGGAACAAGCTCAGTCCAACGCTATAGTTCTGGATCTCTTTGCGGCTACGGGACTGACCTTCGAGTTCTCGTTGCTGCCGTACGCGTCTCTTCCATACCGCCACGGCTTGCTTGAGTAGACGCGCGGTCCTTACACGATCCAGTAACTTTCCCCGTTCATGAGCCTTCCATACTCGCATAACTGCCCGAACAAGCACGTCATTCTGGCGCGCCAGGTGTTTGGATGCGCGACTCTCAAGGGTCTGTACATATTCATCGGTGATTGTGCAAATAAAAATATAGACAACTCACTCGTATCCGGTCTCGCGCAGCCTTCCATGCACCGAGAGCGCGTTTCACCACAATCACGTCGTAGAACCCATCGGCGACCCGGTTATCGTGCCTAGTCTCCGATTAGTGACGAAGGCGCATGAAAGTAATCGGCTCACAGTCGGCCTCTCCAAACATCCATCACATCACCCATCACCCGCAGGCCGACGCGTTCAGTTATCGTCCTCTCTGCCTTCCGGACCTCCATGGTGCAGCGCCACATGTCCCAGCACTTTGAGACCTGCTCTACTTCTTTGGCATATATGAAGTGATCCGCCGCAGCGTCCAGCTGGTCGAGCGAACCCAGCCTGAGTTTCCACCGCCGAAGGAATCGAATTACGAGCTTCTCTGAATACTGCTGCCCCGAAAGGTGAGACTGATACGACTGGCGCCACTTGGCCCACGCATCTTTGACCAGCTTAGTTTCGTGGTTCTCGCGCACGGTTTTCATTTTCGCGCGCATATCATTTCGCCAGTTTGCTTGCTTCTTCTCTTTGAGCTTCGTCTTCCAGACGTGAAGCGCAAGCTTGAGCCGGCGGTTGTTGGAGAGCTCGTAGACACGTTTGTAGAGCTCATGGTGTTCAGCGGTGCGCTCGCGCCAGCGCTGCAGCGCGATGCGGAGAATTAGGTGATCGCGTGCTTCGGTGATTTGCTCGTGGGTCGTCTATCAAAATATGCAGTCAGGCAATGTCTCTGCGAGTGAATGCCACGTACGATGATCCATTGGTATCCCTGCCGCCAGACATCCCAGCAGCGCTCGAGCAGCCTCTCGTCGCGGAACCTGTCCGCATCCTGCTCGTCCTGAGCCATTTTGATTTTGCTCCACGCGTCCTCTTCATTGACCACGCTGTCCCTCCGCTCCTTGCCTCGCGGGACCAAGCGACGAAGCGCTATGGGCTGGATCGACGGTGGCGATGCAGACGCAGTCCTGCTTAGCGGTAATTTAGCTAGAGCAATATGCCTGGGAGGCACCACGTCACGCATAGCCGCACCGTAAGATGGTGGAATTGTGGAAGGAGCGTGGGCTGAGTCGCCCGTCGCCTCTGACGTTTCTGCATCCCAGTGACCAAGTTGACGCGTCGGAGTAGGGCGGGATGCAAACGCACGTCTCGGATTATAGCTCGCGGCAGGAATACCAGTATCAAGGCCCAGGGAGTTCGTCGTGGTAGTAGTGAAAGTGGGAGAAATAGGTGGCCTGGTGGCCTGTGGGATGTGGTGGTACTGAAGGGCGGTGACTGGACTTTCCGGGGCGACATCGGCGTCTTCTGGGTGAGAGTGTAATGTAAGTGTATCCTCTGGCCGGACATTGTTGATCCCTGCCGTGAGACGCGTCGAAATCCTGGTGGACGCGGGGGCGGCCCGTGTCACACGTGTCGTTCGTCGGGCACCTCCTGCCCCTACCACGTATCCCTGCTGCTGCTTTATCATCGCCCATTTCTCTCCCCAGTTCTTGCCTCGCAGAGTGCCCAGTTTTAAGAGTTTGCCATAGTACACCACCTCGTTTTGCGGGTCCAACCCACGCTCTTGAAGGAGATCGTTATATGCCTTGAACACTGTCAAGAACGTCGTCGCAGATGCAGGTGCGCGCTCTATCACGGCATCGATGAAGTCGACTTCTTCTGGGGAGAGATCGACAAGCTCTGGCACAGAGATGGTGGAGCTACGCGAGTTATCCAGGTCTTTGGCGAGGGTAGCAGCAGGGATGGCGGAAGATTTGGGTGGAGGTGACGCGCGGACAGGTCGAAAGCGTGACATTTTCCAAGCAGATCGTCAGAAAATAAAGAGATATACATGCGGTCAAGCCGACATGTGTGGTCGACTTCACGAACGACCGTGTGGACGCGTGCGGCACGTGACACAGTCGCGCCAGTGGCGAGCTTTTGAGTCGTTCCGTGTAGGCCAATTAAACACTGTAAAATAAATGCTACAGATATACGAATGATGCAGTACAGAGTGGGGAGATAGATCTACAGAAATGTCTTATACCTGGCCTCCTCCTTTCAGAAATACACCCGCAGCGCACCGGTGATCTGCGATTCCATTGGGCAGTATGGGCACTTGACCCGGCTAGAAGGTAAAGTACAGCGGTATTAGTGATATAATACGTAGAGTAAAGCATTGACCACTCACCCTCCCGGCTTGCTCAATTTATGCAAGCTATCCTTAGTAATAACATGGCCGCACGTCATCATCATGGGCGGGTTCTGCTCAGTCGACTGTTCCTTCGACACAGGACACGAAAATATCGAGTGGTAGCGGTTTTCCGCGGGCAACGGGATCTCAATCTACATAGCGCGCCACCAATCAGCCTTGAAGCACTCGAGCAAGTCACATAACACACGGGCAACTCGTCTGACTGGCTCCACTCGCTCTTGCGCTCCCGCATGATCTTACGGCCCTTCTCGATGCGCGCCAGCGCCCCACCACCACCGATGTCGCCCACGACTCGCAGGGGCACCTGTCGGCTCATGCCGAGGCTCGCACAATACTCCTTCGCAAACATCGGCTCGAGGTCGAGGTGGAGCGAGGGCGATGCGAGGTCCGCGTATGGCGACGCCTGCAGGCGTGTCAGCGGCAGGAATGCGATGCACGCCATTAGCCGCCGGATTTCTGTGTCGTGCTGCGAGTGAAATTGTGGGAGCGTGGCGCGAGCGTAGGCTAGTGCAGTGGAAACGTCGGGTGGGTGCGAGGCGAGGAGGAGACGGATGTACTGCGAGCGGTGGAGGTGGAACTCGAGGGATGAGGAACGCGAATGCAGGAACGCTCGGTTGCATTCTGTCCACCTGCATACGGACGCGATGTGAGAATGATAGGCAATGATGATCAGGACGTGTGACTGACTCTAATGCAGGTCCAATATTCTGTTGCTTCAGGGCTGTGATGATACGGTGCAAGTCGACGAAGTGTACACGAGTCGCTTGAGAGATGTCCGCACCAGACTCCTGGACACCAGTTGTATTGAACATAAATCGGGCGGGATACACGCGCATACGTACTTCAATGAAATTCTCGGCAGTATTGAACTGACCAGTGCGAAGGAAATGCAAGGCTATCGTGCGTTCTAACGCGGCTGTAGCTTCGTAAGACGAGAACAGAGGAGCATACGACGGTAATGGTGTTGTAAACTTCTGTGCCCGACCAGTCCACACCTCGTTATATGGCATGCAATTACACACACACCTTATCCAAAGCCTTGCCATACTTCCCCAAAGTGCTGTAAACCTCCTTCTGCCTATCCTCGATCTCTTTCCGCTTCGTTTCAACGGTCTTGGCCAGTATAACAAGTGTCTCCTCAGACGCCGAGCCTGCTCGCAGGCGGTCCTTCACCTCGCGGAGGGAGTACAGGAGTGAGTCAAGCGAGTCAGAGATACTCGGAGACTTTCCCTTAGAAGAATTAGTGGAAGTCAGCTTCTCCAATTTCGCGAGCTCCTTCAAAGGACCGTCCATGTTGTATGCAACACAATAGATCTTGGTGGTCCGAGTCGCCGTATCCACTCACCGGGCGCTAAAATCTCCGGGAGATCTCTGAATCGTACACGTGAGACGGTGGAGATTTCGTCTCAAGCTACTCAGGACATACAAGTTCAAATTTGTCTACGACTATGCGAACATTATAGCCATTCCTGCACAACGAAACCGGGAGGGAGAGAGAGATACTAGTACTACGCGTGTATATCGTAAAATAGAGTACAAGCAGAAAGCAAGACAATATTCAGAATGTCATGTGGTCATCAGAGACAACAGAAAAGACTAGAATAGTGGATATCGAGGGGCCCAAGAGGAACGTACTAACCGACAGATATACACTAAGAAGATCACAAAGTTACAAGGACATAGATGGGGCGTGGTACTGTGAGCTCACAACGAAGGAAGTATACGGCGAAACGCTGCTCGACTTGTCTCCGTCGAGCGCCTGATGCCAGAGTACCTAAGACACCATCTCCGACTCCATAACTTCGTCAGGCGTGGGCAATGGGAGTGGAATCGCTGCAGGAGAGAGAGCAGTAGCCATCGGAGAGGGAGAGGGGGAGGGTGAAGCTGATGGCGGACGGAAAATTACAGCACTGTCATACGACGGATGGCGCTGGAAGGGATTGCGAGTGTGCATGCGCGACACCGGCGAGGCTGCAGAGATATGAGATGTGTTACTTCTTCTTAACAGAATCGCACTACGCATAAAACACCTACCTAGAGCATTCGAAGCCAGCAGCTTGAATGGATATGCCACAGGCTCCCCGTCCTTCCGTAAATCGTCAGCAGGATCAACAAGGGTCAATCCAAGCCCTTCGGATGGTAAAGAAGGGCTGATACTCGACGAAGGCGTACGACGATACGAGAAGAAGGAGTGCGACGCGTTGGTATTGGTGGCGCGGAGGATGGGTGAGGTAGGCGCGGGCGGGAAGATAAGGGTGGACGAGTTCAGGATGGAGAAGAACTCTTCCAAGGCCTCGGAGGGGAGGTTGGACCTATACAACAATACTGTTTAGCAAATCGCGAACTAAGACGCACCGGACGTTCTCGAAGATATGGTGTATCTGATCACGTCGTTAGAGGTTATCATTAGCACGACATACCGAGGAGAAGCGCGAGGAGATACAGAGTCTCTGTCGCAGGAGTCGGGATATTTGGAGTCCCCGTCTGCTGGATCTTCTCCCAGCTTGAGGCGATCGAAGGCATCGGCAGGAGTAGAGACAAGACGAACGCTTGAAGCTGGGGTGTGCGGGCGAGGACGATGAACTGGAGAACGGAAGTGCGAGTAAGGAGTGGGAGCAGCTAGTCGCACTGGGCGAGGCGCCACGAGAACGGTGTTTTCGTGAGCATTAAGCGTCATTGTAGAAAAGCAGATATACAAGGAGGAGTACTGTTGGTGGTTGGTGATGAGGAGAAGGAGAAAGTGGCTGGGTTGTTTGGACGCATTTACAAGGTCTATGGCGGCTCTGGAGGCGCCAGTCACGTGATAGAGGATGATCTGATGAGCCGATAAGGAAGGTGTGGAATTGAGAGGAAGCTCCAGGCTGTGGCCGAGGATCTCCCACCAGTGCCGCTATGCGCCCTCAGGACCCATCGGCACGAATGGCGCAATATTAGTGTTCCTTGTCCTCCTCATCCAGCTTGTCCTGGGAAATATATGCTCGAAGGTTTTGCAGGAGAGCCGGACGGATCAGCAGTCACATCCAGAGCAGATTGTTGCGCGAGAGCTAGTCATGTCCAACGGTACAACACGTAAATGATAATTCTTCTCCAGCTCAGCATCAAATTCTCGCTATCTGAAAACGTCACCTGCGACTCTCCTTATAATAAGACCTTCCTCCCCCGTTTTCATGTCACCTTCCTTGCCAGTCTCCTCCAAGCTGAGTGGTCATGGTGGTCAGTTCCTCTCAGCATGACGCACCCAGGCGTCTCGTAGACGAGCAGGATGTCTTCGAGAGCAACACCGACGCTCTCGAAGGTCAAAAGTCTGAGCCTAAGGCCACCGTTACCCCCCTCCCAAAGGCCCAGCTCTTCACCCTCTGTACTGTAAGACTGGTCGATCCCATCGCATTCACACAGATTTTCCCTTATGTCAACGAGATGATGGAGCGGCTACGCCTCACCAACGATCCGTCGAAGATTGGTTTCTACAGTGGGATGGTGGTGAGCAGCAAGCGCCCGCGTGTGCCGGGTCGTTCGAAGGGATGCTCAATCGTCGGGCCGTATTCTTCTAGGAAAGCAGTTTTGCCATCTCTCAGCTGTGTTGCATATACCACTGGGCACGCCTTTCCGGTACGTTGTCCATTCGCAACAAACAACCGATTAAACGCGGTACCGACCTCTATGCAGATAGAATAGGTCGTCGCCCGGTGGTTCTCGTCGGTGTTGCTGGAATTGGGTTTGCTACTATCTGTTTTGGCTTGTCGCACACTCTTACTGCTGTTTTGTTCGCTCGCTGTCTGGGTATGCTTCCCCCACCTTCCCACCTCCCGCGAAAACTGAGTCACTCTCGCAGCCGGTATATTCTCTGGCAACATCGCAGTTGTCCACTCCGTTCTTGGCGAATTAACCGACTCTACCAACCAAGCGACCGCCTTCCCGATTTACGGATTGTTCTGGCCGTTAGGTGCCATCGTCGGGTAAGTGCAACAGGGCCGTTCTGCAATAATTGGTAGTACTGACTCCCGCTCCCTTCTGCAGGCCTCTGCTAGGAGGCACTTTTTCTAATCCCGCAGAACGATTTCCGCAATTTTTCGACTACGAGTTCCTCAAGGCATATCCTTATTTTCTCCCATGCTTAGTGGCTGGGATTGTATCCCTTATGGGCGCCACCCTCGTATACTTCTGCCTGGAAGAAGTCGTAGTTTTCTCTTTCAACTCAAGCCCGCCGCTGATTATTGGTGTACAGACACTGCCGAGTAAACGGTGGAAGAATGACTATGTACAAATGCGGCAAATGGGTTCAGAACATAGAGGCGGTGATCCAGAAAAGCCGCCAGAGCCCAAGAGTCTCAAATTCTTACTATCAATACCCGTCATCCGTGCCCTGTGCCTCAGTGGATTCGCTTTGACCTTCCTGTGAGTACAGTCGTCGCACATATAGTCAACCAACCGTTGACATCCATCCGTGCAATGCAGCAATACCGGCTTTGATGTCACATTTGGTACGGCTCAGTGGATATTTGAATATGCATCACGGCTGATATTGAACCGGTCCAGTACTCTTCTGCTACTCCCCTATCCAGCGCGGCGGTCTCGCTTTCACGGTATGTTTCGTAGCATTACTGTGGTTCCTCCATCATTTACTGACGTTGCACTACTCCACTTTACAGGCGTCCGAAATCGGGTACTCACTCGCAACATCGGGCGTGATCTCCGTGCTGCTCCAGTTGTTCTGCATGCCGTACCTGCTGCGCAAGGTCGAACATGCGAAGATGTACAACTTCTGCATGGCGCTCTGGCCGTACTGTTACGTGCTCCTCCCCGGCCTCAACCTCCTCGCTCGCGGCGGCATCGACGAGGCGACTGGCCAGATCCTCCCCGCATCGCGCGCGTTCATCTGGATGGGCATCGCCGGCCTGCTGTCCATCGCGAAGGTCGCGGGCTTGGCGTTCTCGTGAGTGTTGCTGACCGTCCACGGGCATGACACACCTTGAAGTATCGTCTCACCGTGTTCGCAGTATCAGCATGATCCTAGTGAAGGACGCCGCCCCCGATCCTGACTCCCTCGGGGCCACTAACGGCCTCGCACAGTTCGCGATGGTAAAGCCTGTACACCCTTAATGCGCTCACGCTCGCTGACGGCCGCGCCCAGTGCTTCGCCCGCTCATTCAGCCCCGCGTTCGCGAGCTCGCTTTTCGCGTTCTCAAACAGATATGAGTTCATCTTGCTCCGATACCTGTGGGTCCTGGTAATGGTGATCTTATCCTTCCTCGGCACCACGCTATCGCGCCGCATCGCGGAGATTAGAAAGACGTCGTACACTTAAACACCACGAAGCTAGATTCAATGTAACCTTAGAGGACTTTTGCATATGTTTTGTAGTAGAAAGAATCCATATAACGCGTTTCACAGACATGTGGACATGCGCAGTTGGGTGGCGTGATCCGTCAACGCAAGTCGATGGCAAGACACGAGTTATTTGAGCAACCGTGTTTGCTCCAGAAAAAACACCGAATACACGTCGCACGTAACCCAGCAAGTGTACGTCATTACGGCAGGTTTGTAGCCTTAGATGTAGAATCGCACAATCACCGTCGTAGTTCAATCAGACCCGGAGATAACATCAATAGTACGCCTAAAGCTTCGACGACGACAGCTCGGGAAGCTCGTAGAGCGCGTCCAACACGTCCTTGAACTTCTCGTACGTCTGAGGGCTGCATGACGACATTGATCAACAGCTGCACGGGAAGAGAAGATGCGAAAAGACGCGTACCGGCGGACCTTCAGCGTCGGCGTGAGACACCCGTTGTCCACCGTGAACGCGTCGAGGGTCGCATGTATCCGCTTGATCATCTCGAACCTACTCATGACGGGGTCAGGCGTCGCTCCGATCAGTCGTAGTGCACGTAGCACGCACCCTTTGAGCTTGTTGGTCCTAGCCTCTTCCGTCATTTCTGACAGGATGGCAGATTGCACACGAGGATCGTCCACTGCCGTTGCTAGGGCTGAGATGTCCTCGGGATCTATGCGCCGACCCAGCAATCGGGACACGAGGAACGAGAGCTGGGCAGGATCAGGAACGACTACGGCCACCAGATACGACTGGAGGGAGTCGCCATGGACGAACAATTGGGCAACCAGTGGACATGAGCTGTAGACATTCTCGATGTTCTCGAGCGCGACGTATTCGCCCTGAGCGAGCTTCATTATATTCTGCTTATATGTCAGTATCGCTACAACACAGTGAGGGCCAACAAAAACACACCTTGACACGGTCAATGATCTTGACGCGTAGATGCTCGTCGAAAAGGCCGACGTCGCCTGTGTGCACCCAACCTTCCTCGTCAATCGTTGCTCTCGTATTCTTCTCGTCTACGTGGTGACTATCAGTGACATATTGATTTTAGCATGGACTGTATGCTCACCCTTGTAATAACGCTTGAAACAGTGGTCACCGCGCATGACGATCTCTCCTCGAGGGAAAGGCTTGTCCTCCGCCGTGTAACCCATCGAGGGAACATCAACGAGTTTGATTTCGGTGTTTGGAGTCACCGGGCCAACTGTCCCAGACGATGAAGGATCCGCATACCAGACGTGAGTACAAGTGCCACAATTCTCGGTCATCCCATAACCTGATGCAATTGCCGTGAGTGCCCCTCCACAAACAGTTGCTCATGCAATATACCTTCGAGCACGTCGCAAAGTAGCGCAATTCTAATGAAGTCCATGACGGCTGGACTAATGGGCGCAGATCCCACAGCAAGGAGATCTACGTGACCACCAAGCGCGGCTGCGACCTACAGAGACGTTAGTGTGACAGAGAAAAGGCGGTCGCCATCTGCGTACCTTGCTGAAGACAAGACGGTCCCAGATGGCGTGTTTACGCTCTCCAGTCGTATGCAGTCTCTCCAACTTCGCACTCACTGCTCGGTTGAATAGTGCACCCTTCAGCCCAGGCGCTGTTGATGCAATCATAGCGGCTTGGTATATCCTGTTCAATACTCTGGGCACTGCGGACATGAAATGAGGCTTTAGTACTTGAACGTCTTCCAATAATCGCAAAGGGTCTCCTGTGGAGAAACCGATGGCCCCACCCATTGCGACTATGACCAGGGACATTGTTCGCTGAATTGGGCATATGAGTATGTACACGGTAATCAATCAGCACTGCAGCATACCTCGAAAATATGTGCCAGTGGCAGATATGAAATGGCACGTCTGCCCTTGGCATATTTCCCCGACTCCTGTGAGCATAGATGGCCCTGCGCGGCAATGGCAAGATTTCCGTGGGTCAACATGACACCTGTCAGAGGTCAATAATGCGCGAGCGAACTGGAAGAGGCTATCCACCTTTGGGGTTCCCCGTTGTGCCCTTTTACAACAAGGTCAATAAGGTCAAAATACAATTCACGCAGAAATCACGAACAGAGGTATAGCAAATAGTTGCAAGCTGGTCTGGGGTTGCACGAACTGGATCCATTGGATTTTGGGCACCGAGCTCCTCCACTGTCAATGTAGTATGTCCCGTGTACTGTGGTCAAAGGAAATTGCTGCACGCACCTTCGAGAATATCCCTTACGATAATGTTCCTTTCTTGACCCCAAGCACCAAGTATCTTCCTGCTTTCGGGCGAGATACTATCCATGACTACGATCATCCTCAACGTCGGCACCTTTGGCCCAAGCTGCAGCAAGAAGGGGATATGATCCAGAGTCACAAAAACGACGGAAATCTCCGCATGATTAATACTTCAAAACATCGTCAACCTTGCACAACGCGTCCGATATAATAGAACTCACATATATTCTGGTGTAAGAGCGGAATATGAGATATTTGTATAAGGTTTCTTGGGGAAGAGACTCACCAAGTGCATCTTTCCCGAGCGTATCGTAGAGCCCAACGCTGACTTTCTGATATGCATGCGCACAAAAATCAACTATCTGCCACTCTGATAGTGAGGGGTATTAGCAATTGATTGGCAACCATCCGGATGAGGCGCCGACGTGGCTCACCAGGAGTATTACGACTCCAAATCCCAACCGTTTCGTACTCTCCGCCCCCGAGAACACCATCTCGGAACAACTTATGGAGACCACTACCAAGCGCACGTTTACGAGCATCCACGGTGGCATATGACTGCCACACATAGTGATCGGCATACTGAAGAGGCTTAGCGGAGACGAGGGGACGATGGCCAAGGCAAGGGCTGTTCGCCGAAACTCTTAGACCCTCCTCGAACATCTCATCCAGAGTGGTGAACATGTTGGGTGTCTGGAGGGTGATCAAGGGATATTGAGCTAGGGAAACATATTGAAGCCATCATCCAGCACGACAGGGTATGACATGCACACACCTGTCCGGTAGTGGCCTACGTCGCAAGTGAGACAAACGGGCGTTGAACATCGCGATCTGAGAAGCTATTATGACTGGTTGAAGTACCTGTCTGCCCTGGCCTCTTCGTCCCCGGCACCTCAACCATCTGCTTATCATAGTTGAGCTGGTCTTTATGCCATTCAACATACTTGATGTACTCCTTCATAGTCATTGAGAACGAAAAAGTGGTTGCGGGACAAGTCGCAGCTGACGGGGATGTCAACTAAGATGGCAGGCGCATCTTGTGAATAAGTAAGGCAGCTAATATAACTGATCTTATTGAGGGGCCGGAGGCGTTACCGTCCGAGCCTCGGTCCGAAATCAGATCATCTCGGCCGCAGCACTACTTTACTTGTTTCAATAAAATGGCCACGAAGCTCTCAATTTTGCAACGATCTCAATAATCTCAATGAAAATCCTTTCCCATAGTTGTGGCGAGTGGTTGAGACACAACACTCCCTTCACGACGAGGCCATTGACGCAATTTCGTGCTCACATCTACCGCGCGCACACCGCGTATTCACCGCGAAGCACTCCGAGGCTCAGATCCGGTGATCTTATGAAACAACGTGATTTCCACCGCGTCTTCCACAGGGGAATAAATTAGGGAAGAAGATATCACATGCAGGTACATGGCGTACAAAAGTCAGATCAGCTTACAGTTAGCAGTGTCATGAGGTGGGGAATAGCATGAGACTTATAATAGGACACGGTCCATCTCGCCGCTACGACGAAGGTGCGTACAAACAGACTCATCAAGGTGCGCTGAGGACAATCTGCGAGTTGCATGAGCAAAAAATGGAATAGATTTTTGTGCAACTCACCTGCATAAATTGCTCGTAATTGAACTGAACCCACCCATCGCGGTTGGTGTCAGCCCTGCAACAGAAACGTCAGTGCCTGGGGGTGTACGCAAATCATATTGACCCACCGTTGAAACGCTTCCGTCAAGGATTTAACGACTACACAGGCACGCACGAAGCGATCGAATGTAATTCCTGGTGGGGGGCCATACTCAGCTGACGGACCAGATGCTACTTTCTTGTTAGCACATGCACGTGGAGCTGAAGGAGCATGTGAATACCCACCGTACTTCTGCTCGATTAAGGTCAAGATATTAGGCGATAAATTGTACCCGAAACTACGCAAAGCTTCTGCTAGTTCGTGGCCGTCGATGGATCCAGACCGGTCACGATCGAAATGTCTGAACACGTTCTGCCAGTCTTGTATATATTTCCAGAGGCCGGAAAACTCTGGACAAATAGACATGAAACAGTGAGAACAACTGCAAACTAAGGAGACAGGGTGCAACAAATACCAGAAAACCCAATTGTGCCGCTACGATCGGTGTCCTGACGTTAATCCAGGATGAGGATCAGCACACAGATGGTATCATAGATAAGACGCACGAAGATGTTCATCAACATCTTTACAGTGTCAAGATCAAATCCTAGACAAACGTCATGAGCTCAAGGTAAGCGTGTCTCCTGGAGAGAGCCCTTACTTGTCCAATTTCCTGAAATTACGATCAAACTGATGTTGCCTCGATATACACGGAGAAACACGTACCATTCACAAGAGCAGCCTGCAGCTCGTTCACACTGATCGCCCCCGAATGATCTGTATCGACCGCGGAGAACCATTGCCACAGCTGAGGGTCCGAACCTGGGGGTGGCCCTGCGGGCGGGCGGGTGGCAACGTAACCGCCACTGGTATAACCGCCTGCGTAGGCCACGTTCTGTGGAGGGGTGCCCGAGAAGCTCGAATGGTGCGAACGGTGTGACTTGTGCAGATGGTGGCTTTGGCTGTAGTTAATGGACATGGTGCAGGTAGTGGAAGTGTGAAGAAAGATGTTGACGGGCGTCTTGATCAGTGGCGCGCTATATTTCGCTGCGGGACCGTGACCATTATGGCCCTGACTCCGAAGATATGATGTGGCGCATCATGAGCCACTCAGGCTATGGTCACCGCCCAAGACTGCAATTAATCTGCCAGACTCGACAGCGCCCAGCCTAGCTATCGAAGAGACACCTATGCAGTGAATTCAGTCCGAGGGCGATCGAATTTGTCCCCATACGATCGCAGCGGTGTTGCACTGGCTGGTAACGAGCGTGACATAAAATTTCCTCCGCGTACGCTGAGTGCTTTGCGAGATACTGGGATTCCTGGATTCCACGTTCATTCAGAATAAACATAGTGAGCAGTTGTAGGCAGTTGTCCATCTGAAGGGCGCCTGTGGACACCAGATGCACTCGAAGTCGCTGCAGCTACTGGGCGACGGCCCGTGATTGCCGAGCACGTGAAATGCCCGAGCGTCTAAAGTCCCTCTCGTTGCCGAAGCAGTGCCCGAAGCATGAGCAAGAGCTTCAAGCTTCAAGCTTCAATGTCCTTCCATGCGGCGTCGAAATGACTTCCCCGCATCTCAAGGCTGTCATATTTGATGTACGAATCTACAGCTTGTCTTCTGTTTCTGGGAATCTGTTCTTCCTGCTTTCAGCGCTGATGGGTGTCTGTGCTTGTCCTAGATTGGCGGGGTAGTTTGCCGTAGCCCCCTCATCGCCATTGCCAAGTATGAACGAGAGCGTGGCATCCCGTACAACTACATCAATTGTTCCATGTGTGTTGGGTCTCGGATTTAGTTCTGTACGAACACGCTAAGATGTTCAATCTCACAGAACAGGCCGTGGCTCGCAGGGCGCGTGGCAGAAGTTCGAGCGCGGTGAGCTATCGCTCTTCCCATTCTACGCCGCCTTCGGTCGTGAGCTTTCCGACACCACGCGTGGAAACGTGTGGTACGCTGAGTATTGCAAGCGGAAGGGCATTGGTGCGTCGTCAGTTAGCATCAACTGATTCCCGTGCTGCGGATTGTTCACAGTGGTGTCTGACAGAGTGCCCTGAACTTCCACAAACGCTCAACATCGATGGGCGCGAGGTAAACAGGATTCGAATGCATATCGGTGCGCATGACTCACACGGTACCTCAGCTTTTCGGTCGAATGATGCGCGAGAGCGGCTCTTGGGATGAGCGGATAGTGGACGCAATACGTCGTATCAGAGGTAGGTCATCAGCCTCAATGTCATGACCCACACAGCGCATCAAGCTCATGGTGTGCGACTATCTAGCCTCTGGGCGATGGCGCGTCATAGCACTCACGAACAACTTCGGCAAGAGCGAGAGGGACATGGTTGGAGATGCACCCCCTTCGCTAGATCAATACCCTGATTTTAGTATCGAGTCCGAGCTTGAGTTTTTGGGCTGGCAAGAAGGTCCCACTCCACCCCGTCTACGGGAGCTCTTCGATGACTTTTGCGACTCGAGCACTTTTGGAATGAGGTATGTCGGATTGCGCTAGTCTCACGACGAGAGTGGAACAGCGAGTTCATCTCAACTGGTATCAGGAAACCCGAGCGCGCGTTCTATGTCCTCGCGTGCGAGAGGAATGATATTCTGCCATCGGAAGCCGTGTTTTTGGATGACCTCGGACTGTACGTCACACCGCTACGCTATCCCTGGAAGCCGCATTTACGTATCCTTCTGGAATGCAGCAACCTGAAGGTGGCGCAGAACCTTGGAATGGAAACAATTCGTGAGTTTGTTGTGCGCATACATTCGGGATTCTGTTATTCATCGTCTATTGTTCTCGCACTGTTCACAGAAGTTCCTATAGGCGACTCGCTTGGAGCTCTGAAGAAGTTGGAAGGCAAGCTAGGCGTCGACCTTACCAGTCATGGCGGAATTGCTCCCAGACATGGTATGCAGGGTACACTCTCGAAGTTGTAGATGTAAATAGAACATCTCTTACGTCGCGTGGGTTCGTATGCATCGTTTCGTCGTAGCCGCCGGAGTCACTTTCGCGAAGCTACGCAATGAATGATTAAATCTATGGGCAGTAACCGTATTGCTGGTCCATGTCCTAGAACGGCTTGTCCGACGCAGGAATCTTATCCGCGTAGTAGCTCCCCACCTGATATGAAATGAAACAAGGTCAGCGACCTTCCATACCCGCACAGAACTTTTCTGCACTGCCCGACTCACCAAGGGTACTTTCGACAAGAAATCACGCTTCACCAATGGCGTCACGGAGAGAAGCTGGTGCATTCCTCTGTCAGACAGATAACAAGCATGTGCCCGAAAAACATACGTAGAGCACATAGATCCCCGCACCAACTCCCCACCAACCGGCGCTGGTACCCCATGTACGCGCTAACTGGAGTCAAGAGGTAAGACAGTCACGCACGCAAACAAGATAAACACTTACGTTCAACGAAATTCTGTGAATCGGTGTTCGTTGGAACAGTACCCGAGACATAACGCTCTACAGAGGTATTTTGCGGTGAAGGGAGAAGCGTCTACGTGGTAATGGTCAACGAATGTTCGCGTCGTGCGGACCCGGAATTCAGCTTCAGAGGCTCGGCAACTGCCGCGTGCCACTTACGGGCGCTAAACGACCTTCGTGCTCCCAAAAGCTGGCTCCGCCGTAAATCTGAGTGGTCCATCTCGTCTAGTACTCGGCTCAACTGCGTCTCGCGGGAGACCTTCATAAACGATTCTGTCATATTCACCGGTTGAACGCCTGAACAATGGCCAATCCCCGGCAACGAAGGAAACTGCGATCTGGCTCGCACAAGCCCGTGCACCATTCGCGTCGGGCGAAGAAAATACTAAAAAAACAATCTCGTCCGTGTTTTCTCCTGCCGTTGAATTCTATTGGCACTCAATGTTCACTGAAGGATCTTGATTCAACAGCGATCCGTGCTCCCAAAGTCCTGCAGGAGTCATGGGATAACCACAAAACCGTTAGACAGAAGTAAGCATAAGATTTTTCACGCGGTTATCAGCCAACCAACTGTCCCTCGGCCTCGCAGTTACGAGGCACTGGGTCTCGTTACTTCTCTGAACCCCACGTCATCGGGCGGAGTGGAGAAGCCTCTGAATATGCATATGTCTGGGTGCGCCGACTCGCCGATGCCAGAGCCCTCGTCGAGCGCAGCACCCGCGTCTAATAGCGTACCGAAAGGGTATGGCCGAATCATCCGGGACGAGGATGGGAACATCGTGGACGTTCAGATGGGAGAGGAAGAAGCCGAAGAAACACCAGCAGATGGGATGCTCGACGATCTACCTGATCCGACCCGAGACGAACAATTGGCAGGTTGGGTCGGACTGGGATCGCACCCGAGTACCCAGCAATTGAACAACGCGACAATCACCCCTGTGGTCCAAGGTAAGAGCCCATTTAGTTGAGAAATCACCGAATGCCCCAATGATCTATTATGCGACCCCTACTGACGTCCGTTACGCAGCCTTGGAGGAAATCTCTAAAGCAAGTGGTAGTAAACGTCCGCCACGGTTCACCTCTGCAGGTGAAGCGGCGACTCTCCGACGATTGATACAAAAGCACAAGGACGACGTGGAGTCCATGGCTCGGGACAGGAAGTTGAACGCCGACCAACGAACGCCTGGTGAGCTGCGTCGAGCGATCACGAAGGCGGGTGGTTTCGCTGCATTGGCAACGGGAGTATAGACCGAGACACGTGTATCTTGCGAAGAACATCGACGCGTTTCTCAACAGTCAATGGAAGGTGTCTTCTACGTCTGAGAATTCACAGAATCCCGGTGGCCTTGGAGCGTCTGTATCATAGATGCGTCGGTATCGCCGTTGGGGTTATGTGCGATAGCGGGGGAGGCGCGAGCGTCATGTGTACGTGCGCAAAACATGCATTAGAAGCGTCATGTAGAATTCCTCTTCCCAGGCTTCCGATTCATTAGGGTCCACCGTTTGTCGTGTACGTAAGTACTATGTTGATGCAAACGCTCGGAAGCATCAGAAGCGTGGACAAGCGGAATCCTGTGGTGTCACGTCGGTGAGATGCATCGTATTTTTACCCAACGTCGCCGCGCTGAGGTATGCAAAATGTTTTAAGCTGTTGGGTAGGATTGAGAAGCTGAGCGTGAGCTGCTGCTCGTGTGTTCTATGCGACAGACTGCGAAAGAAGTTGGAGGGGACTATCACGCACGGACTGGTCCGACGCGAACCTTAAAGATGGCCCCACGTGGATCTCGATACGTTGTCAAAATTGAGAATGATGAAGTGCCGAGCGCAGCGCAGAGGGCCGACGTTTTTTGGCCAATCTCCGCTGGCGGTGGCAGACGATCAGCGCGAATTTCCAAAGTGCGACGAAAGTGCGACAGGAAAAGTTGGACAGACGCTCCGTCGGCCTGGTGCCGCATGCAGCTCCCCTCTTCCCCTTCGTCGAGAACTGTTCAACAACTCCTTATCGGGACGTCTTCCTTTTCCGAATACTTCAACATGTCCGACCCTGTCACTATAAAGTCGCCCCTTCTCCCCCTTCTCACTTTCCGTCTTCCGCCACTTGCGCGTCCTCCTCCCCCTCTCTTCTGAACCTCCATGTCGCCTCGGAGGACGAACAGCAGGTCGGACTCTGACTCTCCCAGTTCTTCCCGTCGAATGCCCGGTCAACCCAAGTCATCGCGTCAGCAATACAGTGGTAGGTGTACTAGTTCGGCACTCTTATCTCCACAAATTGATTGGACATCCTCGCAGCATGCGGAGCATGCCGAATGCGCAGGTAAGCGGCCAACTTCGCGTGTTCCAAACGTATTTAACGAATGCGCAGAGTTCGCTGTGATCTGAAAGATTTGCCAATTTCGGCGTCTGGCCAACACCCTCCATGCTCCAACTGCAGCGAACGCGGTCTCAAATGCGTGTATGAACTACTTATCAAGTCAGTCGACGCGTATGCTAGGTACTGAGCATCCATGCAGGGACGAATTCGCGGAAGTCAAGGCTGTCAAGTTGCTTCGACGCGGCCGGCGGCTGCAACAAGTCGAGTAAGTGTCCGCTCATACCGATCCGAGTTTACATCTGACCTGCATGCTGCAGAGCCGTCTATGGCCAGAACGCGTCCGAGGATAGCTCTCTCCATTCAGTTTCGGCTCCTCAGAGCGTCATTCCCGGGTTGAAGGATGAATTCTTCAGTTCCCCGTTCTTTCACAGGCTCCATATTCAGCGTATGTAGATGTCCTTACTTTTTGTCGAAGGGAGGTTCACTGATTCTAATTATAGGACCCATCATCGAGCCTATGGAGTTTTGCCCGCGATTCTTTGAGTTCTCCAAAGGCAACAAAGATGCTCTCCAAGTTCCGGGGCAGCTGATCGCGTTACTTCTCGTGATATGGGCAGCCAGTTTCGGGGTCAACGAGTACGGCGTAGAAGAAGTCTGCGACGGTCCAGTCAACCTGAGACGAAGAAGAGACATTGTCAACGAAATGCTCCTCGAGGTACTCTACCTCGTTGACATTCACGGAATACTGCGAAAACCCACTTGGGACGGCGTAAGAGCGCTTCTGCTTATCTTGCCGCTCACGCAAGGTACGTTTGTTCTTTTTCCATCTCTACTAACATTCACATCATTCGTGTTTTGGCTTTTCAGAAGTGCAATCCCCAGTCGAGCGAATGGTAATTGATCCATTTGTATTATTGCTGTCATCTGCTTCATGGATCATCTTTGGCAGGCAATGCATGAGGCCACTATTAGTCAAGTCTACACGCTGTGTAGTCTAGCCTCGGTATCGTCAGTGAGCAGCGGCCAAGGAGACTATGTCGACGCTCTAGTCCGCGCGCGCGTTTTCTGGTATACATACGTTCTCGATGGCGTTACCAGTGCCCTGAGAGGGGGTCGTATACTGCTGTAAGCCTTATTGTCTTTGGGACTCAAGACTGACAGCTGAGCTTCAACTGCAGAACTGATGATGATCTATCATCGTTCGAAGCCACCTTGCCTCCTCTTGGTGACAATTCCGGGACATCCGCTTGCTACGCGTTTTCGTATCGGTATGCCACCATTCCTATTCGCATTGCTTCGGCATGTCGGCAGTTACACTCGGCCTTGACTGGGCCTAAGGCCCGTCAGAGAAATAATGTTGACGAGGACAAGCTACAAAGTGTCTGGCAGACTCTGGACCAATGCTGGAAGGACTTTGACGGGTTGCGACAATTCGGCACCGCCGGTTTCGTGCAGTCGGAAGACGTTGAACGGTTTATTGATGGGTGGCAGGTGAGAGTCTTGCGAAGAATATTGACCTGATTACTAGCATGCTCACTTGTCACCCATAGGTGTTCATCTTCGAGTGTCGTGCGTGCGGCCATTGATCATCATCCTCCACAACATGCTGATGCTAGTAACTATGCAGACAACGTTATCCGTGAGGCACTCAAGCAGCGACTTACCAGACCTGCTCCGGATCTTTCTCTGATTCCCGAAGCACATCGGGCTATGCGGGCTCGCGAATACGAAGTCCTCGGTCGCGTGCACGATAAGGCGAGCCATAGATGCCAGATTATCGTCCGTGACGTGGTGTCCATCCTCCGCAGGAACATCGGCCAGCAACTGTTCAAGTACGATGCCGCGCTCATTCGCGACGGGTGTTTCTTCGCAGGTTTCCTGTTGGCGGGGGAGTCCGGCAACGGCGAGGACATCGAGACGTGTCTGCATGCCCTCAATGAGATGCATTGGGCATTCTCGAAGAGCGAAGAGAGAGAACAGACTGTGAGGATGGTGTGGGAAGCACGTCTATCACAGTCTCGTCCTAGTACCAGGGGCTTTGGCTACAGCCCCACAAACGATGCGATGCGGCCATCAACGTCCGAAGCTCCCTATTCGAGGCGGCCCACGCTTAGACCTCTCAGTGTCCCTCCACTATCGTTGAACTCCTTCCCGGGTTCACTGGGATCGATATCAGCCCCCAGCACAGCTTGCTCAACGGACGGGAATTGGCCATCTACAATTTCGACAACGAGCTCCGGTACCGATCCATACAGGAGCTATCCGTCGACAGCGAACAGGTCGCCACCGTACGTGCCTGCACATAATGGCTTGGTGCTCGATACTGCTCTTCCCCCGAAACACGATCTGATCGCCTCACCGACGTATGTCCTTAGTAGCACGGGACTGTCTGCCGGGCGCACGAACGAGACAGATTCCGAACAGGTGTTTTTCTTCACACCATACAGCTACATGGGAATGGGGGATACCCAAGGGCCACATCAATCAGCTATTCTTCCGGCCGCAACGTCGAGCCACTCACCCACCTTCTCGTCCTCGCAGTTTTTTGACGCTGCGGGCGTCGTCTTTCCCAACGGAACGATTGCGCATTCAGGCTCAGGAACTGGAAATATGTCAACAACCAGCGCCGGGAACAGCGGCAGCCGTCATATCGGCGGGGGCGACTTTTACCACTGACTCGGATTTATGTATATTTTTTCGTCCTAGTTTCTATCTCTGAAACCACTTGCTATTCCATCCATTCTACCATTATCAATAGCTATCGGCACGCGCGCACGATTTCTTGCACTTTTATTGTATCTCGCGTAATTAGCTGTTATCCTGCCGTCGAACCTTAGATCGTATATCATAGTGTATTCCATGGTGTATCACCAGTACATAGCATACCTCTCACACTGCAATCGCTCATTGTTAATACACATCGCATTCCCGTTCTTGCACCTTCGATATGTTCAAAGGACGGAGTTCTGTGTCATGAGCGCACTTCATTGACGACACATTTGGTGACCAGAAACACGAGAAACGGAACACGGACGACTAGAATGAAGTGTTGCAGCTGGCCTCAGGTCGCTGAAAGTGTGCTGTGGGAAAATCAGCTGGATCGTGCACGGGGCGCTGACACGGCATGGACGCACACCACGCGGAGCAGCTGCACGTAGAATCGTAGAACCAGCCGTCCGAGGCAATAACGAATTCCGCCGTAATGGTGGTTCAATGGGGGCGATGCCGTAGAGTTGAGGTGGTTTAATTGGGCGGCCAAACTAAGTTTGCGTTCTGCAACCTCTTCTCCGGATTGGCAATGCCGGGCATACATTGCTGCCTTGGGGGATCGATTAAATGCAGGTGTGCGCACTGGTAACTGCCGGTGCGCATCTGCCTGGTGGGGCGGTTATGGCGAGTCGCGAATAGATCGTCTACTCGCATCGTGGGCCGGCCAATCTGTCTGGTGCAGCCGGCGGGACGAGTGACTCGGGAATCATGTGGCAACAAGGTCTGCATTGCACGATGCTTTGACCCGGATCTATCAGTGAATCATGTGAAGACCAGAGACGATAGTACGAGCTGAAGGGACAGATGTGCATACCAAATCTGTAGCTTAGGCAAGTGCGGGTATATTCGAGCCTGACAGCAACAGATCAACGGCAGCATGTACGCATGGAATTTTGACAGGAGTTAGCTGGAGCGGAACCCGAGGAATCTCATGGACTAGCGTTCTGAATTGCAGAAGCCAGTCAATCGCTCGACGTGTTCGGCCAGCGGCAAGACAAGGACGATGACCGAGCGCGCATGCTGCCAATACATTTGCACCACTCCACGGTCAGACAATTGCTCTATACGCTTCACTTGCGTGCTTCCGTGCATCGATCTGACGAGTGTGACGACGCGAAGGGGGGAGAATTTGGTTGGCGTCCTCCGTCCATAAACAAAGTTTGCAGTCTGAGGTTCCAGCTGGCTCTCCCTAGCGAGCTAGCAATATGATCGCACAAGAAACGCAGTGCATTTTAACTGAGTTGAGCTAACTAGATCAAGTTCCTAGAGGCAAGTTGGGATCAGTGGACCGTTCCATGCGCTGTCTGAGCGAGCGCCAGGCGGAAGAAAATCTCCAAGATAGAGTGTCAATCGCAGAGCAACACGCCGCACTGCTACCGCACTAGACCTGGCATGGTTTCATGTTGGAGAGAATGCTGCGCATGTTGCGCTCTGGATTCGGGATTATCGCAGGGCGCCTACTGTTAGTCACAGTCTCCGCCGGGTGGTAGTAGATACGGTAGACACTTTGCTCCAATCTTCGTACCTCGGAATATCCGCGTCTAACCCTACTGTATGTAGGACTCGCACCTGAGATTTTTTACAGCAGTTTGCAGAAATAACGACGGTCGGCGGAAAAAACACAGAAAAGAGAATGTTGCCGGGAGAATGGAAACTGGCAAGCGCGCCACGAGGCTACCAATTTCCTTTCCTGGCGCTTAACGCTGAATGTGAAATAACATTAAACATGAATTTACAATTCTTGGGCCGGCATTAAAAACTCGAGGAAGGCTATGCCATCCATGCACATGTAGGTGACAAACAAATTGAATTACAGTGGCGACCGTCAAGGCCTTGCATATTTCTCCTGCTAACCGATTTCACCAGTCGATGTAGCCAAGCGAGATGAGGCTCCTTCCTGATGAATGCACTTTTCTCCACCCCTTCGGGACATTTGGCGTCGAGGATATTCAGGCCCATCAGGGCCCATCGGACTCCACACTTCCCGCACCAATCGAAGTCAACGAGCATCCCGTTGGCGCTGATTTCCGGGTCTTTCACTGCCAGAACCTCAATCCGGCGTATTGAGCAACCCACACGCCTAACACTTGCATGCGAGGGGCACTTGTCCGAATTTCACATCCTCGTGCCGTCTATGTAGTTCACGACAACCAGAGAATATCCTGCAAGCTTGTGCTCCTCAGAATTCTCTGTCCCCGGGTAGAGCAGCAGGGGAGGAATAATTTCTGCAGCGAGGAGATGAAGTCCTTCTGAAGTGCTGAAGCTGCGCAAGTACGGGGAGGACCTCTAGTCTTTCAGTGTCTGGGCGGTCTCCTGCCAGTATGCCGCATTGAGCTGTAGAATCTCCAATGATAACGCGTGGATTGTCCGCCTTCGCCACCGTCGAATAATGTCCATCGTTCGGCAGATTAATGTTGAGGTGAATGAAGTCCGTCGAAGGTTGAATGACAGGGTTTGAGAAATAAACAGCAACGAGAACGTAAAGTCATGGACCCCCCAAACCAACGACGAAGCTGGGACCGCAACATCGTAACCTAAGATGCCTTACCTATGTGATGATCCATAGTCAGTTATTCATATTGTAATGATGTTCACTGAAAACTCACCCTCTCCTGCGCTCCATACATAGTATAGCTCATGGCGCCCCTGATGGTCGAATCGTTACACCCTTCGCCTAGTTCGTCGCTATCTTCGAAAATCGTTGGGACACCCGATAAACCACCAAGGGTCGACTGGTGCTCGTGTCATCAATTTGTGCATGTGTAATGGCTTTGTTAACATAGCAAAAGCAGTAAGTGAATTGCGTTCTTTCTACCGCACTCTTGATAGTAGACGTTCAAAGACATTCCGAAGCGATTCTTCTATCGAGACGCTGAAGGACAGGATTCTGGGACTCTCCGTACACAGCATCGTCCATTTCGAGCTGTGTCGCAAGGTACCGCCTGCACTAGGTCGCGTGTTGACCGCCGCCCATATAGTCGGCCTAGACAATGAGGAGAGCTTCGTTCGGTGGTTTGCGTGATGCTCCGGAATTCAGCAGCTGCCTGAGAAAGCCGAACTATGATCCAATAAGCATGTTCAGTACTTTGGAGCATCCTTCGTGCCAAATATCAGACATACTATGTCATACGTGGAGTCTCTCTGGAAACCGAATTTCTGAACGAGGTTGAGAAACATATACCTTCCCTCTCTCCATTCGATATAGGTATCTGGCCTTCTGCCGACCAGGGGCGATACGGCTCATGGGAGCCCGAGACATCATAGAACGGACTGCAAGGCATGGGTGGGCCTCAGCTATCGCTCATATGGGAGCGATGGGAAAATCAGTCTGGATCGTGCACGAGGGCACTAACACGGCATGACGCGCACCATGCGAAGCAGATGCGTGTACAACCTTAGAACCAACCTTCCGAAACAACAACGAATTAAGACGTAATGGTAGTCCAACGGCGGCAGTACCGTAGAGTTGATGTAGGTGGTTTGATTGGGCGGTGAGAATAAGTGCTTTCTGAAAATTCTTCAGGGTTGGGATCCCGGTCATACGTTGCTTCCGCGGCAAAGCTAGAGATACAATGCAGATGTCCACAGTTGTCGGGGTGTATGTGCTTCGTGGGGCGGATTATGGCGCATCGAGAGACAAGATCGTCTGCTCGCGATCATGACGCAGCGGGACCGGGCAGGTATTTGTCTGGTTCAACCGGCGGAATGATGACACGGTAATCATGTGGAAAAAAGGTACCCATTACACATTGCTTGAACAGTGGATCATGTGGAGACTAGAGACGATACAGGCAGAAGGGATAGACGAACTTACCAAACTCGTGGTTTAGACAAATGAGGATACATTCGAACCTGAGAGCAGCAGATCAACGACGGCAGCAACGATGGCAGGAACGCATGGAATTTTGACCAGAGTGAAGAGCGGAACCGGAGGAACCCCTACGGGCGAGCGTTCCGGACTGCAGATACGAGTCACTGGCTGGAGGGGTTCGGCGAGAGGCAAGACCGGGACGATGATCGAGAGCACAAAATGGCAGTACAGCAAGAGCACTGCACGGCTGGGTGTTAGTTATGTAGACCTTACTTGAGTGCTTCCATGCATTGATTTGACGACGAAGGGAATTTATCCGGGATAAATTGCCACCCATCAATTGGAGGAAAATTCTGCGCTCGAAGGTCAGCCAGCGTGTATCTTAAGTGCTAGAACGTATTCTAGGATGAACATACCGCATTATAAATTTTGAGGGCTCAAGTCGATCTGGCTGTTACAGCAACTTGAAGTTGGGATGTGGACCGTAGCTCGTCTAGGCGAGCGCCAGGCGGAGATAAATCTCCAAAGCAGAACATCAATCAAAGAGCATGCTTGAAAAACTGCTACAGCACCAGACCTGTCACGGTGTTATGTTGGGGGGAGATGCTATGCATATGGTGTCGGAATTGTCAGAGCGCGCCTATGTAGGACCACAGATCGGAGATCTCGATCATCTCAACCTTCACGTGACTTTTAATATTTGTAGGGGTTAGGGTTGTTGTCATTCTGACTGCGCTCCAGTCCAGACTCCAACGCTGTGCTCCGGACATATGTAGATGCAGCCGCAATACTTCTCCCTCACACAACCATCTACACAATCATCTACACCCCACACCTCACTCAGCATTCACTAGCATCGCAGTCTTGATGGATTTCTTCTGTCAGCAAACATTCTTCTCGTGTTCGAATGGATAGAACTGACCGTGTCCTGCCTCATTTGTTATCTAGTCTGTGTGCCTATCATCTGTACGTTTCTGTGATTGGTCTGTGTTATGGACGGTCGGCTTAATGTACCTGACAGTTGGTTGCCCCACAAAGATTAAACCCGAGGGTGACCAAACGCCCAGAATCTGCCCGAGATGTAACAACGGTATGTCCGGTCCCCCCTTTTTTAACGCCATGCCTACCAAAACTACATCTTAGCATCCGTGCACTCCGCCAAGTCCAGGCTCTGGTTTGAGCTCTGTTTTGTCCCCTTGATTCCCATGTCATCGAAGCGCGTATGGGTTTGCACCATTTGCCAGTGGAACCTTCCCATACAACCAGGGTAAGCAAATTTGAGCGGATTCCATTGCCTCAATGTGCTTGAACGTTTTGATAGATGGGAGCCCGCTGTCCCAGGGTACGGTTTCCAACGCGGAGAGGGTAGCAACTGGCAGCAGGCACCACCTTCGGCGTATATGAACCCTCCTCCGAACGTATACCAGCAGAGCTACCAGCCAGGATACGCTGACCCCACCATCAATCAGGGTCAGAAGCCTGAGAGGCCGTGAAGAAGCCAATGTATCCCGATTCGCCTTTGGATAGTATCATGCACCCATCTCTTGTATCTTAATCACGGACCTTCTGGACGATAGTAATCCTACTAGTATAATGGACAGACTACATGTGTTGACGGCTGAGTTCGCCGTACCAGGGTAGTCTTTTCAACGTGGGGTGGCCAGCGATTGGCAGCAGACACGACCAGCGTTAGGTTACTTGAGCCTGTACGAGCAGCTGCAGGGCTCCTAGTCAGCATACATTAATCGCGCAATCAGAAGGTCGAGTGACCATGAAGTATTCGCTGCATCGTGATTCACATATCCATGCTAATATGCATTCATCTCATTATCTGCGGCCACAAATTCTCTTAGCGATAGTAGTGTAATGGACCAACTGCGTTCAATGCGTTACCCGCAACCTCCTGTAACTCGGCCTTATGCGACAACTGAGGAACGTCACCACAGCCCCAAGGACAAATCCGGCCGCGACAGCAATCCCGCAAATGCCTCCTGCTCCCAAGCCGTGTGATTGATGGGTGCTCGAGAGTACTTTGACAGGGCCGTTGGTGTCGTTCCCCCGTGCCTCTTGAAAAAGCGTCAGGGCCGACACAGGATCCGTCAGGCCAAATAAGCCGATCGTGGGCGGCTGACTGCTTGTCGCAACGTGGTGGGTGACATACACGTTCTGTTCAGGGCAGAAGGAAGGGTCAACACCGTGCCAACGCACGTAGAATGCCAGACATACCCGCAGGAACGTGTCGCCGAGAAGCCAATCTCCCGAAGTGACCTGGTAGATGGAAGGTGAGTATGATACGATGCTTGACAATATAGCATGCTTACTCCGTCGTTAGCCTGTATGCCGCCCATACACCAACCATCATCCTGGCCGTCCTCTTTCCAACTCAGGTCCGCAGGATCGATGATGTACTCTTGCCTGTTGCTGTCGTCACCCAGGACGAATCCAACAATAACACTGCGATCACATTGAACTTCCCATCCTGCGTCGGTCTTTCTTGAGGCTCCGATAGACTGCCAGAACCGATCTACGTCGTCCGTAGGGCCCAAGATGAGTGTCGTGCCAGTGTCCAGGACACTGATAGGCGTGGAGGCGCCAGTAACGCGAGAATCCGAGAGAGCAAACTCGGTGGAGTTGATGGTCAGAGACTGCATAGATAGTTTCCAGTAGTTATAGCCTTCCCCACCGGCAGATGAGACGGGATGAAACTTCAAGTTAGAGGTGGAATTGACGTAGGTCGTATCTAGCTGTCCTATGGTGAAGGAAGAGTTGCTCTGTCCTCGGCCTAAGTTGAAGGCGAAGAAGCGGTTGTCTTCGCTGAACGCTGCTAGGATATTCTCCAGGAAGGTTCTCCCGCTAGTGTCCGGGATAGCAGCTTCCACGGCGAAAGACAGCCCCAGGATACCGCTGTTTCCCGTTCCCGTTAAGTCAAGTCCAGAGGTGTTGCTGGCCAACGCTGGGAGGAAAGTAAAATGATATCCCATGTCGGTAAGATATAAGCATCACAATAACAGCAAGAAATTCATCCCGCTCACCGAACACTTGGGAAGATATTTCGAACGAACCCACCGAGACCGTCTCAGTTCCTACGGTGCCCGAAACCGAACCCTGGACATATTTCAGATCGAATGGTACGTCTGATAAATTCAGCGACGACGTGTCGTTGTATCTTGGGACACCTTGACAATCTTGCTCGTCGCAATTCGAAGATACAACCCACTACACTGTATGTAAGCAAATAGACGTGCATATGGTCTACCCAAGGGCTGACCAGATCAGAAGACCCGGTGTCGAGGATAAGCTGGAAGCTCTGTCCGCCGAATCTACACGTACTTCTCTGTCAGATAGCGCACTGTAATCAGCATGACAGTACTTGTGACTTACATGACGTCCACGAGGTAGGCGCTAGTGAGCACATTTACATTACAAATAATCCTTGAAGGTGACCAGTAGTTACTCACAACTCGTTCGCATCGGAAAGTGGGACAAAGCCGCTTAGAGCCAAGAGAGACGGACGGCGGGGAACACGAAAGATGGGAATAGAGACGCCACCGCTCGTCGCCAGTTGAAACTGGCAGAGAACTGTGCAGATACTTCCAGATAAGAGCAGCTGCAAGGTCCAGAGTAGATACATCTCTCCGTGTAAGCGATCCTATTAGAAGCAACACGGACACGAGGACTGACACGGCCGTCCATGGTGGCTAACGGAGGCTGAACCAGTCACAGTACCGGGCTTACACCAGGTTAGCGATAAGTGTACATAAAAATCCAGGTAAAGACCTTCCGCCAGAGAGCACCAGAGGAGATTTAGGCGAATTTAGGCTTGAAGGCGCAAGTACCACGCATTACGGTATGACTTCATCGTGTGGTCCCGAGAACACTGACGTTGACTCATTAGACTTATTGACAACAGATAGTAAACGGCACCGCAGTATGATAAGCTGATATATGTCCACCGCTGGATGCGACACGGGAACACAGGCCGCAGGAGGATAGAAGGGAATTGCCGGTCACGCGGCAGCGTCACAGAAACAGCAGGCCATTTACGCACACCTCCACTGTCGTCTCCTCCCCTCACCCGTTCCTTTCGACAGCCCTCGCCGGCGTCCTCCCACACGATCTCACCACCATGCACACCAGCGAATACGATTACCTCTTCAAACTCCTCCTGATTGGCGATTCCGGTGTGGGCAAGGTGAGCCGCCTGTTCTATTTCTATCGCGCAATGACTCTCAACCGACTTCCACCACCACTAGTCGTGCCTGCTCCTGCGTTTCGCGGACGACACGTACACTGAGAGCTACATTAGCACCATCGGTGTCGACTTCAAGATTCGCACCATCGAACTTGAGGGCAAGACAGTGAAGCTGCAAATCGTGAGTGCTTCAGTGCATGAGCCGCTAATAGGTTGCGCTGCGCCCTATTACGTGCCATCGATATTTGGGGTGTCCTTGAAATTTTTGGTTACTGACATTGGGGCTCGCACGGTGCGATGTAGTGGGACACTGCCGGTAGGCACAGCCAACCCTGTTATTCTCGGTTGGCACGTCATACTGACTCTTTTGGCAGGCCAGGAACGATTCCGCACGATCACGTCTTCGTACTACCGTGGTGCCCATGGTATTATTGTGGTTTACGACGTCACCGATAACGGTAGGAACTGCAGGACCTTTGATCAAATGCAATTTACTGATACGCCTGCAGACACCTTCACAAACGTCAAGCAATGGCTGCAAGAAATTGATCGGTATGCGTCGGAGGGTGTCAACAAGTTGCTTGTTGGCAACAAGTCAGATATGACGAACAAGAAGGTCGTAGAATACAGCGTCGCCAAGGTGGGTAGTGCGCACATTTGTGCCACAAACAAATAATGCTGAGCTTTTACTGTAGGAATTTGCGGACCAGTTGAACATTCCGTTCCTCGAGACTTCGGCAAAGAACGCCGTTAACGTAGAGCAGGCCTTCCTGACGATGGCCAAGCAAATCAAGGATCGGTGAGCCTCGCGTAACCATTCATGCATGTCAATTCTCACACTCCCACTATCAGTATGGGCGCCACTTCATCAACCTCGGGTGGCACTGGCAAGTCAACGACCATCACACCGGGTCAAACCGTTCAGCAACAGTCTGCTGGCGGGTGTTGTTAAACGTCTCGCCCCTTTCGCCTCATTTTCTCAGCATCTACACTGTACACGGCATGGAATATGGCGGCGCACATGGGGATAGTCACCTTTTTGCCATACTATCTATGCTTGCAGCACTTTTGTTGTTAGACTGTCGCTTATCATCTCTCTTGTTTCCTCGTTTCCGCAGGTCGTCTGTTCATTACCCTCGTGGTATTACTCATGGTACCTGCTTGTTAATATAGTGTGTTCATTGAAATATCAGGAGTGGGTAATGCAGGACGTTGACATACGAAGAGTGATCAATTGCTTGGAAATGCAACCGACTGAGACACGAATCAGAACGGGCAGAATTCAGCACATCAGTCACACCTGTAAGGATACAGCGAAGCAATTATTTACCGCGAGGGTTGTCTACTGGTGGGGCGTCGGAACAGTGTCTTATCCTGGATGTGGACACACAGACTGCGAAATCCAGGATGTTCAGGGGGTTCTCACCTCAGATATGTCAGCTATGATTACCACTGGGTTGATTTTCTTCCAACCACTGGCGGACACCCTTCTTCGATACCATGCGCATGACTCGTGTCTGATCCTCCGCACTCCGTTCCCGGTACAGCCTCATAATGTACCCGCACACGCTCCACACATCCTCCCACTCGGCGTCGAAGAGCTCCCACCAACGGCTAGTGGGCGACGACGGCAGTGAGATACCCAGGTGTCGCGTCGTCAGCAGGATCGCTGCGCTGAGGATTGTTGGTACCGCGTATAGCGCGTACACGGGGGTCTGCAACCTACGCACAATAGCGTGAATATCACCGAGATGAACACACACGCAATCCGGACTCACGCGTCGTTGAGATACCCCCACGCCCGCGAGCACACGTCCTCCCGGCTCGTCAAACCCAGCACCCGCAGGTAGTTGATGAGTGTGCCGTACGGAAGCACGACGTTCACGTTGAAGCCGAGGCGCTTCAGGATCTGCATCTCCGCGACAACGAGCGCCTCCTTGAGGTCGTAGAACGTGCTGCCGAAGTACGACATCGGCGGGTACTTGAAGTCGGAGTGATGATGTACCGCCGGCCCCGTTGTGGGCGCAGACGCGAGTGTGTGCACGCCACGCTGGAGGAGTAGGTCGTAGACGTTGATAAGGTCGCGCATACGGATGGGGCACTCTTCTAGCTTTGATGCGAGGTACAGAGCGCCCATGCCGACGTCCTGCAGATGGTACAGTGAGGCATGAGCAAATGGGTGCATCGGGAAGAACGCACTCCGATGCCAAATTGCTTCATCGACGTGACGAACCAGAACCTCTGAAACAATATTTGTGCAGTAGCTACTGCCACCTGTTTTCTACATTCGTTCAGATTCAGTGAGATAATCGTACACGGGACCGTAATAGTTACTGTCGCAGAAGGATACCGGCTTCATGGATGAGTTTGCATCCATACGCTCGTAGATCGAGTTCTAATTCATGGGGTATGCCATCCTCACTAGACGGGGTTCTCTCTATTTGCGCAAGCGATGCCAGGGGATATAGAGACGTCGACATTGGCGATTAACCCAAAGCGGTAGTGAAGTATCGCAAGCGGACCGCCGGCGTTGAGTCGTAGAGGCTTTTGGCAAACAAAGCACAACAACTCTTGTAGAATCAACGTGGCTGAGTTTTCCGTCAAACTCTCACTTAATGTCTCACCTCCCTCCCAAGCCCGACTTCGACCAACCTCCTCCACCTCGATACCCTCCAGATTCCCGCCACTATGCTCGTCCTTCACGTATGTCGACGCCCGACCGCACGTACCCACACCGAACTCGCGACAGCTACGTCCCCAGGTCACCACGCTCGAGACCGACGGGCGACACATATATCGCACCAAGACCGATGGACACTTACAGAGGAGGCTCACGCCCACCCATGGTAGACTCCTACGTCGCGGCGTATGACCACCGCCGAGACGACGACCGATACCGCGATGTCCACCGGGATCGCGGCCCGCCAGGACACCGCGACTGGCGCGAGCGAGACCATCCACCACATGAGTACAAGTACGTGCGGGGGTCGAGCAGAGAGAGAGGAGCATGGAATAGGGAACGGGAGCATGACCGGTGGCGCCGCTGGGAAGAGCCCGACCGGCGAGGGTACGACCGCCAGCGCAGAGAGCGCGACTACAGCCCACCGAGACGCCAAGACATTAAAAGAGAGCGAGTGCGTGATTCTCCCGAGCGTACATGGATCTCGCGTCCGTCGAAGTCCCCCCCGCGACGTATGGGTACGCACTTCCCCCCAAGAAGTGCTCTGAACTTACTGAATGAGTGTGTTTGTTAGCTCCTGATGATCAAGCAGAACTGTCTCCTTCTCGCAAAGATCGATCTCCACCTCCACACATACGCACTCCATCTCAGAGCAGACTATACAGTCGGCCATCTTCACCCACCTATGCACGTACACGAGACCAACCTGCTCGTGGACGCTCGCGTTCAATCGACTCTAGACGAGACTACTCTGCACCTCGCAGTCCTCGAGTAGATGATAGATCCCTCGGGACTTCACGTCGACGCGCGTCTTACGACACCCACCGTGGCCGCGACATGAGCCGTGGCTACAGCGCCAGCCCTCGTCGAAGGCGGGATGACAGTTCCAGTCGCGATCGCTCTCTTTCCGATACAGACATCCATGAAGCAGGGGAGCTGGGTGACGAGCCTCTGCGCTCACGAACACTCTCCCGTTCCAGTTCCCCCTCTCGCTCGCGCTCGCGCACGATGTCTCCGCGCCGTCACAATTTAGACAGGCCACGCTCCCGTTCTGCGGAAGTGATATCACCTAGGTCCAGAAGTCTCACCCCACCGATAAAACGCGAACCGTCTGAGCAGCCGTCGCCGATAGAACCTCCCCATTCGGACGCGAAAGGCAAAAGGAAAGAGGTTGTGCACGTATACGACCATGATGGTGACGTCAAAATGGAGGACATTCTCTCCCCATCGGGCTCGACTAGAGAAGCCTTTGAAGGTGGATCTGCCCCGCATCACCGTCGTCGTTCACACTCCCCGCTCGCCCCTTTGCGCAGTATGCTCTCGAGCCCGGTCTCACCTCGCACACCACACCACTTACCTCCGAGGCCAGACTGGTCTCGTGGTACCGCACCTGCACCAGCGAGCGGCACGCCAGCCGAAGGTGGTCGGTCCACGCCAGACATCTCTGGTCATAACCTAGTCATCCCCCCTACCAAGTCCACGTTGTCCGTGATGCCTGAGGAGGCAGAGGTGAGTCCTACATGATGCCGCATACTTCGTGAACACCGACACGCGCTCTAGATCGCACGGCTGAGAAGCCAGCGCACCCACCTTGCCGCGGAGTACGCCGCGCTGAGCAGGGCGACCAAACGGACGCTACACGAGCTGAAGATGGCTTCCACTGAGCTGCGGTTCGCCGAGAGGCGGCGGGCGTTGGCGGACGCGCAGCTGGAGAAGGCGCGGGCTGGGATACTCGGGATAGACTACACGCGCAAGATTGAGCTCGCGGGCACCACAAATGCGTGGGGCGTGTAGTGGGAGGCACGGAGATCCTAGCCTACTGGCAATGCTTTACGTTCAATTATACAGGGAGACGAGGTCCGTGGGCGAGAAGCCTCGAATGTTACGAGTACATGCTTATGTTTTCGGGATACGTCTGCATTCCATGTGTGTCCGGGAAGGATCCATGGGGAGAGCACAGAAAAAGCCTTGGGCCTGCCGGCGGAGACACGCTGGGTACATCGGGAGAACGCAAGACATCGAAGAGCTCACCTGCATCGCCTCGAACATCTTCGTCGAATACATTTCCAGCTAGCAGATAAAATTCCACACCTCAGCCAGTACCTTGCCGAGGTATGCTGTTAGTCTGCACGAACCATAATGCATTTTCGCTCCTTGTCCTTCCCCTCTCTGCATATCTCGGACTGCGACGCGTCTCGCTCGCTATGGAAGGTGTACCGCGAGTCAGGATCTTCCTGCCGGTGGTGTCGCCAGCGTCAGCTTTGTTCTCCGTACACACGGAGCGGAGAGCTCACAGCAATGAAAGCTTTGAGCTCGTCTTCAGGATTCTTCGCTGGCATAACTTTGGCTTTATCTGAATTTACTCTGCACAGCAGTTTGTGTGCTACTGACATCCGGTGGTGGTTGATCACAGTTGAGCTGACCGGAAGCGCTCGAGGTCCAAACTAGTCATGACGTCAATTTCAAGTTCAACTCAATCAACGTCTATTTCTGTGCGTTCAGCTGATAGTTGAAAGTCTCACATCTCTATTATAATATGACTCCCGCCGTTCTAACCTGACCTTCCACCTACGAGCCATAGCGCTTAATTATTTGACCTATGTCACAACGTCCGTCCGCGAACAACTTGAAGGGAACATACGTGAGTGTCGGTTTCAGTACGCCGCCGATGACCACTAATGACTGCTAAAAGTTTCTCGAGACGCCTTATCAAACCTTCTGGCAACTATCCTGAGGTGTTGGGACCGATTCTCCGATACGGCATGCAATTCATTATGGGGTTGTACGAGAATCCGACCGTCTCTCCAAGTGATGCATGACCCTCCTCAAGAGTACAGATACGGCGCCTACAGCTAATTGCTGTGCGGTAACGCCCATGTCTATCCACTACTGGCGCCCAAGCCCCTGGGTTCTGATACACCATGGTTCGGCGTCTATGGCATTCCAACAGATACCAGCATATCATGCGTTTTATAGCGGTGAGTGTATCATCATAACCAGCAATTGCTGACACTACCCATGCTGGCAACATATCCTAATGAATATTTGCTATCCTGTTGGCCATAGTGCGGTGGCACAACACGCCGGGCCCGCGGCACATGATCACTTTACGTCGTAGGACGTTTTGCTATGTGGTTCATACCCGCCATTCTCACCTTTTCAGCAGAAGCGGCCAGCCGATCCACGCTTCGGCTGATCTCTGAAATACGTCGACGCAGGAGCAGGACCAAGGTGGATAACTCACCACTCCATCGATGGCGTCGAAATCGTGCTATACTGATGTCGCCGCGCGACCTCCAGGTGGGTTTGTATCCGCATTTCCATGGCACATTAGCACTGTAGATGACGCTCCAGCCCAGTGGTGAAAATTCGGATATCCCTACTCGCCGTCCCCATAGAGCCATGAAGCCAGCGATGTCGGGCCATTATCCTGGATGTCCTCCAAAGTCCGTTGTCGACGGTCCGTATTTCAAGCATATCGGTGGACAACACGGAGCAACCACCAGGTGTGGTACACAACTAGGTGGAGACTTGACCTTTATAAAACAGCTTCAGCGGGATGTGATACCCATCAACTACCCGACAAGACATAACGAACGATATTCCTCACCTCTGGACAATGGAAAACGACGGCTCCAATTTATATGCGTCGTCGAGTGACTGGTTTGACAACCTGGACTCTGAACAAGTTCCAAATGATGGGAACCTCTTCGGCGCATTCACGGGAGACAGCATCGACGGATCTTTTCCTTTGGTGCCGTACAACCCTTTGCAATATTCCCCAGCGGATGGTTTCTACGACCCGCATCCAGTGCAAGAACAACCGAACCATGGCACCTCTCACGGCCGGCTTGTGGGAGAGAACATAAACATACTTGACCCTGGTGTCCTGCCTGATTACCTTGAAGGCTTTCCCGACATTTCCCATGCAGCATTTTTGCCCGAGAATATCCAGAGCGCAAGCGACTCCGCTCAGGTATGCACAAATCTACTCAGAGATAATACACCCAGTACACCCAGGTTACAGGTTCCTTACCAGGTCTACAATGAGTTCGGCAATCTGCCAATGGAGTACACTTACCAAGATCAGGCGTCTTCACACCCTGAGCCTGCCCAGGCACTCGCAGGTCCATCCCAGATGACAGCCCTTGCACCTGCCGAGGTATATTATGTTCGCATTCAAATACGCATGTGTCAGTGGGAGCTTACCACACATAGCCAACACCTATCCCGCTAGCGGTTTACAAACCCCAGCAACCTTTTCAGCCGTACATTCTGGTCCAATTTCGCCAGAACGGACGACCCTTCGTGAGGGTGAAAGACGTAATGGGAGGTCGCTGCGAGGGATTGGAGAGATCCAACGAAATTGCCTTTTCATGGGAGCAAACAACGAATCCGAAGATGTCCCTTCGGATACTGGTATGGAGTTACCTCGATATTTCTGACCATCGCTGACACAGATTTTCTAGTGGCCAAGGCCCGAGACGGGCGGCGTTTATGAAGACTACAACAACCAGATCACTCTAAAGAATGCGGGTGGAAGCGTGGTTTCGACGGCAAAGGTCGTGCAGAAAGTTGCCGTGATAGTGCAAAAATTCGTAGAGGTGAGAGTTTGGCAATTAATTCCGAGACTTCTACCCACGCTCTGATGCGAACGATGATTAGAAAAATCGTGGAGTCGAATATGGTGACCCGCAGTGGAAACTTGGACCTGGATATATCTTGTTCGATGACATCGTCCTCTATGGGTTGATACGCGTAGCCAAATCCAGCATTGTGCCCGTGCTTGGACTACTGCCAGTGAGGTCTGGAGTCGATGCGGTCTAGTTATCAGGATTACCGTACCATTCGTTTGCCCGATAACTACGCATAATTGTCTGCTTCGCCACGTATAATAGAGTAGCTGGTTACTCGTGTATTTTCTCTATGCAAAGGGGCACTTACGTCGACGTGAATGCTCTATATACGCTAGCCATCTGCTCTATGATATTTGCTAGTTTATGAACGGTCCTCGTTTCCTGACGGTGAATGTTTGAGTTACATTGACACTCCCATTGGCATGCAACGGGAAATTCATCGGCAGGCTACTGCTCTGTACCGTAAACCAGCCGTGGCATCATAGTCCTAGTTCACTCTAAGCTTCCCGCCAAGTTAATCAATTCAAATAGGGCGTTCACTCGCTCTAACTATCATGGCACAACAGTGTACATGCTTCGTGCGAGACTTACGCTTCTGTTTACTATTCTTCTTGCCAATGCCCAAACCTACACGCCCGGAGGCGGATAAACCGTTGAACTCGCAGCGCAGCGCAATGCGAGTCTCGCGATTTGTTTATCACCAACCTCGTTCAGCCATCCTGCCGCCTTTCAAGTTGGAATCACTAGAAGAACACCACCAGTAAGTTTTTTTCAAAAGAAAATAAAGTCCCCGTACATGGTCAGTCCAACCATCGCAGCGCCGAGGTTTTCAGAAATCTGCAAATATTTGAACAAGGCATCATACAATGTGACGCGGACCACTGTTACCTCTGCCAAGATTTTTGGGTTGTTGTAGTGTGTTACCTGCAGACGACATCAGACCAAGCACTTCAGCTTCGACACAATCAGACACGCACTGCTTGGACGATGGCGCGGGCGCGCTTTGCTGGATCGCCCGACTGCGAGGCGACAGAGCATCAGACATGATGGTCATCAGCCGGGGAGATCGTACTCACATGGAAGATACCCGATCCAACGAAGACTGCTCGCGAGGTCAGGTCGAAACACAGGGCACCATCAATATCATGCACGTACCTCCATCACACCCGAGCTGCATCATCAACGCAGCATCCGCTGTCGTGCCACGAGAGACCCGCAGATGAGAAACAAGAAACAACAAATCAGAGAAGGACGCACCAGGCGTGGCGATGCCGCCGGCCGCGAAGTTGACGACAGGCAGCCGTTTCAGGCGGGCGGTCTCCTTAAGGAGGTGGAACGGCGCCTGGATGTCCTTGGCATACGCGTAGAGCTCCTCCTCGCTCATGATGGTCGCGCGCCGGATCTCGCTCATGACCGCGCGCTGGTGCCGCACGGCCTCGACGACGTTGCCCGTGCCCGCCTCGCCTTTAGTGCGGATAAAGGCCGCGCCCTCGGATATGCGGCGGAGTGCCTCGCCGAGGTTGCGCGCGCCGCAGACGAAGGGGACCTTGAACGGGTGCTTGTTGATGTGGTGCTCTTCGTCTGCGGGGGTGAGCACCTCGGACTCGTCGATGTAGTCGATCCCGATGGCTTGCAGGATCTGCACGCGCGGGTGAGCGAGGATGCGCTGCCGAGCCTGGCGGAGGACGAGTACGCACCTGCGCCTCTACGAAGTGCCCTATGCGCACCTTGGCCATGACGGGGATGGTCACGGCGTCGACGATTTCTTTGATGAGATGGGGATCGCTCTGCGAAATTCGATGAGCGCGTCACGCGCAGGTGAGCGAGAGGGACTGACCATGCGTGCGACGCCACCTTCTCTCCTGATGTCAGCGGGGACTCGCTCGAGGGCCATGACGGCGCACGCGCCAGCCTCCTCAGCTATGCGCGCCTGCGGGAAGGTAAGTGCATATAGTCAGGTACGCCGAAGAGCGTCGTGCCTGTTCTGCGTTGATGACGTCCATGATGACTCCACCCTGTGCATGATGGCGATATGAGCATCACTGGACCACATGCATGGCTGAGGACACACCTTGAGCATCTGTGCAAGACCGGACTTGACCTGCGGGGCATGGCGGCGATGTGAGTACGTGCACGAAGAGCAGAAGACAGGGAGCGCACGCCGAAGGTGCCCAGGGAGCTGTTCCCATCCTTTTGTGAGGAGCGGGTGGGTAGTACGAGGGGCGTTCCCGAGGGATTGCCTACGCCGTGGGGGACGGGCGGAGTGCCGACGCCGGAGGCGGATGGCTGGGAAGGGGTGCTCATAATAATATTTTTGAGAAGGAGATCGACAGAGGGCTGGATGATCGTCGCGTCAATTTGAGGAGCAGACGCGACTGTTTTCTCTCGTTCGACACGATAATGACTCCTCCAGACAATAATAATATTTTATGACTCCTTTGTTCGAGCCGCCAGCGAGCGCTCTGCTATTTTTTGCAACCAACATGATATCCGCCGCGGCGTTTCTCTCTTCTACTGATCGTCCAACTTCTCGTCCTGCGGGCCGGCGGCTCACCTTTTGGACCCGCATCCTGTATCACGCTTTCTCCAGATGAGCGTCCTCGCAATGAACCTCGAACATCCTGCGCAGTGTACTGCTTGGCGGATATCCGAGACGCGACTGACGCGGTTACCCGTATCGAAGATCCATGCAGGCGCTTATGGGCGCCATCATACACCGCGGCGCGTGTAGAAGTTGACTGAACCGTATACGTATACTCACTGACGGTTCCTGCGCACGAGGACACGCAACAGAGAGCACGCAACAGGACAAACGATGACTTGAGCGGACACCCGCTGGTGACGTACTCAGGCTCCCGTTTCAAGATGGTTATGGTCAGGAAGTTTCGGTGAGGTGCCACAACTTTCACGCCTCATGCACGCCAGCACTATCTGGACGCATCAGTCAGGATTCATGAGACTATCTCCCACCTAACGCCACAAAGGTGTGCGTCTTGCAATCTTCGCGCGGTTGGCATATGCGCCTCTCGGCACACCGCTGCGCCGAAAGCTGCTTGGGTAATGGTGACCCTCGGACCCACGCCGTGCGGAGATGCGTGCGTTTGACAGCGTCTCTGTGCTGACCGCGCAAGCAGGTCGCTTTCCATGCCGGTGCAAGGAGGACCGCGCGCCTCGGGCAGCCATCAGACCACCACTGTGAATAGGTCCGACATTTTCCAGGTCAGAAGGTGTTTGCAAGAGCCACAGTGCGCCGATTATCGAGTTTGTGCTATGCGCATTCATTAATTTCGTGCATCCTCCACAGCCGGAATCTGCAGCTCGTGACCCCCCCGCCGGCTCACGCGCGATCATAGTCGTGTTCTACGGTTGAATGCGCAGGCGGAAGTGGATCAATTTCGCTCGGTGGTTAATCGAGCGCTTCTCACTCAGAAGCCGGTGCGATGGTCATTTGAGTGCGTCTCGAGCCCGCTCATCAATGGTCAGTTGAGTGTGGCTCTCTCATTTTTCTCAGGGACACTGCTTCTTGGGTATACCTTGGTTGTACCTTGGCGTTACCTACGACCTGAATCCAAATCGGTGTCGACTTTCCCGGGGAGAGGTGAGAATATCCTTCAATTGCCGTAAAGCCTCATCTGTGCAGCAGTTATGAGTGGTCCGATAGCATTGCATTTCGGCGGACACCATCGACATGCAGTGCTATCGACATCAAGTCTCGAATGCTTGCTGGTGCTGTATTTCCTTTACATCGTCCAGTGCTGTTTCCCGCAGCCCGGTTCAGAAATGCACACAGGTCGGTGCCTGCACTGACGACAGTAGCCACCGCTCGGACCCCTTTTGCGCCACTGAGCCCAGTCACTGCCCAACCCCACGCCAGCGGCAGTCCGACGGATCTCATTTCAAAAGCGTTTCTGTCAGCCTCAGTTGCCCGTGCGTAACCGGAACCTGCTGTTGCGCAGCGGGACCCTCAAATTTGCCTGTGCGAGTCCGGCTCTAAGATTGCTGCTCTGCATTCATCCCGGTTTACCCGGGGGCGAGGATTCGGAACATGCTGGTGCTGCAAACGCCTTATTCACAAGTGGTGGGCACCTCGCTCGAGTTCGCTGCCAAATACCACAGTGGTATCCCACTCGACGATAATGGCAGCTTACGGTGATTTGTTGACGTTGCGGTCGCATCGTTCCCGGCGGTTCTATGGCGATCGCATATCCGTGTGCTCGCCCAATAGCATCCGCACAAATTGCATATGCACCCCGCGTCGGTCGCGGGACTGCACGTATGGTTCCTGTCTGGACGGTCCTGCGTGGCGAATGACTGCGCGCGTCACCGCGCCGACAAAGTCTGGGACTTATCATCCCTGTCCGCTGCTCATGGGTTCGCGGGACTCGTTAGCAGGTGCGCCCAACCCGGGAGCTTTCGGCCACGGTTTGTAGTGGCTACGGCACAGATCGCCATGATGACGACGAAGCGGGGGCGTGCGGGGGCGACGGGGCGTTCGAGAAGCGTCGCGCTTCGCTGAGTCACGATATGGTGTAGTGTGGCGTGGCGTGGCATTGGCTTGCTAGCCTCGGATGCTGGTGATCTCTCTGTTCTGGATGAGGGAAGGCCTGCGCGCCGCTTTTTTTTCGATTCGTTGGGTGGTGCCAGACGCGTCGAGGAGGGGCGCATGATCTGCCCAATTTGCAAGTCCCGTTTTATGGTTTGTCGATTGTGCGGCTTACACTTATTGTACTATCTACTTCCGCTGCTGCTGCGATCTGAGTATCTGACATCTGGACACGGATGCCAATCATGCATTCGTGATACGAGCAGGACATGACAGTCTGGGATATTCATCTATGAGTGTCCTATGGTGGTCAAAACTGTGCGCCGCACGTTCCTGAGCCGCAAGATGCCAACCCACCATTCGGGCAACGCAATTCCGCCACTTGGCCGCTGCATGACATGAGATTAGCCGGAATACCTCAGATATTATTGCATGCCCTCGGGTTCTAGCAGGGCCAATTATGCCGGTAAGTGTTTCAGGGATCAGGAGGGCGCGAGGAACTCTGGCGCGTCTCGAGGCTCGGATGGTGTAACGTGTGACGCGATGCCGAGGTGTGAGGCGGTCAAGTACGCGTGCGCGCACACGGGCATATTTGTATCTCTCCTGCACATGGGTCGACTCACCCGGCGAGGGAAGGTCTCATAGGAAGCACGAGCATCCGCTCGGCATCAAACTGCGACAGAAGGAAAGATGGATATAGGACACAAAAAGGGACAGGAGTGTGGTCAATCAAAATCCTTTTGATAGCAGCCATCGGACGACATCAGGTTTCCAGCGCCCGCCACTTAGGACGAGGTGTTTTGATCTGAGGGAGTGGATCTTGAGTCTCAGAGCCTCGGGGGAGCCAGGCGCGAATAGAGATTGTGCGAGGTCCATGGCGAGCGCCTGATATTGATGATGTGATGCGCAGAGGCATGAGAGTGGTTAGCGGGAATTACGGTAGGTGAAACGAGAACTTCCTTACGTCGATGTTTCCCTCGATGTTGCGGATCAGCGTGAGGTGCTGTGTGCCACCGTTGCGGATGTCGGTGTATACAGGCATGGAGCCTCTAGTGTTGCGGGGGACATGGTAGGGAAGCTGTGTGTGCGCAGAGGCGGGTTGCGACGCGTTTACGGCAATTTGAGAATAACAGCGGGCGCGAGAGACCAAGGCCCTGAGCATTTGACCGCGGTTGGCTGCATGTGACGGGTAAGCATCGCCGGGTAGGAGAGATCAGCGGTGGATATTGGATAGACTCACGGTGGACACGATAAGGATGGTGGGAGGAAGGTGGCAAAGAGTGGCAGAGCAGCCGGGAAGGAGCGGCGTCTGGCGCGTGGCGGGAGTAGTTGGCGCGGAACTGGAAGGGGCTCAGCCACAGACGTCTCATCTCACATCTCGACATCTTCCGCGAATTTGCCCGTCGCAGCAGCGTGCCGAGCACGATGCCATTCACTGCCTGTCATCCCATTGCGACACGCTCCTGATCTGTGGAGTCTCTCGCTGAGTCCCATTTGTCAATTTTCTCCTCTCCGGCCGCGGCCTCGCCAACTAATGCAAACATGACACCGCAGACGTAGCTACGGCGCCCACGTATCCCTTATCCGATCTGTTTCGCCCCAGCTATATAGTCGGTGAGTCTCTCCCCTCGCCACCTGAATGCCCCCTGCTCTCGCTCACCACCATGTCCCGACCACAGGACCACCCTGACCCCTATGCCTTCGGTCCCGCGCTCCCATGCCTTGCTCACGCGCAAGCCCCTGCTCACCAGCTTCCGCTCGCTTGGCGATACGCCCAGGATCCTTACCTTTTCAACAGATCCTCTAGCAGTACTGATACGCTAGCTCTCCCTATGTGGCAGCTACCACCACTCGACTTTCTCCTGCCCTTTCACCACGACGCCATGCCACCGCAGGAATATTTTGTACCAGACTTGGGATGTGAGTATTGAATTTTTTGCTGTCCCTTCTCCTCTGACCCTCTTGCCACGCGTTAGTCTCTCCCACACCGTCCGATTCGTCCACCATCTCTGGAGACTCGGAACCATCACCTGCCCCAGAATTTACGCACGTTGTGTGCAATGCACCTCTAGTGGCGCCCGTGCCACTTCCGTACCATTCACCTACCTTCCTCCGGTATGAAGACCTCCCCGACGAAGACGAGGATCTCTCGCACCCACCCTACACTCGCCGGCCGCAGAAGCGGAAGCGTGAGGATGCCGGAGTTGACTTACAGGATTCTGTCCCTCCGACGAAGCGGCGATCGATAGTCGCCGACTTTTCTCGCCTGCAGTGTGGGTCACGACATCCTCTCGCGCGCAACGTTCAGGTGCGCGGACCGCCTGCAAGCGGCTTGCGGCAGGGCAGACCACGGTAGGACGGGGGTAATGTGATCACGGTGGGTAATTTGCTTCGTGAGCGGCGGCTTCCTTAGCTGATCCTTCTACTTGTGTAGATCTTGGCGTGTTCGCCGGCCGCGTTCTCGCGAGACGTGGGCCGAGGTTGATCTCCCGAGTGCCTCGACGAGGCAGCGCGCTCGGTATCACTCTACATTCTGCGGCGATACTATCCGCATAGCTGTACTCACATGAAGTGCTGCGCAGATGCGCTTCGTGGAGTTGGAGAGCTATTTGCGGAGCGACTGAATGAAAAAAGTTCTTGTATTGTAATTGCACTGTACACCGTTCGCATTGTCTGTTGAGCTTGAACAATCATGAGGTAGTTCACTGTCCCTATTGACTTCGCACGCCATGACGCGTGACGCGTGTCTGGATACAGAGACCGATTCTCAATACAACTGCTAATGTCTCCGTTGGCGTTGGCGGGTTCTGAGTGATTGAGATGTTTGTACAAGGTATTTCGAAGCTTCACGACAATTTCACGACGCGAATACTGCGCAGGCGTTGCTATACGTACATCGGCTGACGTGTGTGGGCTTCCAGGAGCACAAAAAATGCCGAGTCCTGCTGGGTGCGCTTCGTGAGTGCACCTTCCCAAGCGTTTTTAAAACCCATTTACCGTGCGGGTGACCAGAAGGGCCGATCGACACCCGTCGGGAATTTCCTTTTTAGGTTGTAGGCACCTGTAGTTACTTCTAAACGTCATGTGACATTAACTACCGCGTCAACGCTGTGCACCACTGTTGCTCTACTCTCTGTTCTGCCAACTCAAAGTTGCTTCCCGCTTCCTACTATTGTGTCCTGACAGCATATACTTGCAATTGACATGCTGGACCATTGTTCGATATCGCACAAAGGTGCGCCGTGTTCGAATTTGTGTCTCGTCAATAGGCGAACGTTCTGACAATAGAGCACAGGCGGTATTATTCTTTGGTCGCGCTCATTCACACCCGCAGCGTCCACAACAGCAGCGTCTGCTGCATCTCCGGTGAACTCCCTTATCCGAGAGGCACTTGTGGAAGGCCGTACTGCGGAAGACAAATACGAGAAGGACGGGTATGCGGTGAAATGGACGTTCGTCAACGACCTTGAGCTTATTTTCGTCGTGAGTAGTGTCTCGAAGTAAATAAGTTGGCTGGACCCTTGAACCCGCTATGGGTAGGTTGCGTACCAGCGGATCCTCCAGCTCACGTACGTTGATGAGCTCCTGGAAGCACTCAAGACCCTTTTCGTGAAGCTCTTCGAACCCTTCCTCGCCACGTTTGTTGCCTCCCTGCATGCCGTGCGCAATGCCAAACTACCATCTATAGGGGCTGGTGGCATGGCTACCTCATGGAACTTCGCGCAGGCGTTCAACAATTGGGACGCCGTCTTCGACAAGCTGCTGAGGGGAATGGAAGACAAGGCTGCGCAGGTCAGTTTCAATATTCCCCCCTCTTGACCATCATGCACATTGACTCATTTGAATAGGAGCGGCGGACGCGTGTAAGCCACCCAGCTCGCGCGGTGATTGAGCCGAGCCCGCCCTCGGATGATCTCAGCACGAGTGAGTAACCCACGCCGCGGTATGACAGAAAATAGCGTGTGTTAACTGCCACTTCAGCTCCCTCGCAACCGAACCCCAACACCGTCGACGAAGAGCAAATTGCGCGGAACGTGCAGGCGCTCAAGAATCGACTGCGCGGCCGCGGTGGGCGGCCGGGCAGACGTGGGGGACGTGCAGACGCAGGAAGCGGGAAGGACAGTCTCCCGAATTCTGAGTAAGCACACTCGCCTCCGCTGGGGCATGCCAACCGGTTAACCGTAGCATATAGTTCCGACACGCCGTCGAAACGCAAGCCCAAGGGGAAGGCACAGCGCAAATGGGGAGACGAAGCCCCGAGCGAGAGCGACATGCTCTCGCTCGACTTCAGCTACGAGAAAATCGACAAACTGTCCCAATCGGGCCAGCTCGACCTGTCCGCGCTCGTGGACACGGGCTCAATGGGCACGCGCACCCAGGATGGGCTGTACGAGGTGAAGGACTGGGAGTTCTCGACAAAACGCGATGGCACAGACGATGTCATCTCGGAGGTGATCGGGAAGTCCCATGCCGCGAAGCCCGCACCTTCCGCCGGGTCGCTCGGTGCTCTGGGCTCGCTGTTCGCGCGCCTCACGGGCTCAAAGGCGCTCACCGAGGAGGACCTGAAGCCGGTGCTGGACGGGATGAAGCAGCACCTGATGAAGAAGAACGTCGCCAAGGAGATCTCGGAGAAGGTCTGCGAGAGCGTGGGCGAGAGCCTCGTGGGCAAGAAAGTGGGCGGGTTCCAAAGTCAGCAGCTGCGGCTCTTCCACTGTGTCTCTGCGTGCGACGCGTCCTGAACGTCTTTCCAGCGACCAACGCCGCGGTCCGCCTCGCGCTGTCGACCTCCCTGACGCGTATACTGACCCCGAAGACGTCGACTGACCTCTTGTTGTCCATTCGGAACAAGCTGTCTTCGCCGTTGCCATCTTCGCAGCAACGGCTCCCGTACAGCATTGCTTTCGTAGGTGTCAACGGCGTTGGCAAGAGCACGAATTTGTCGAAGGTGTGCTTCTGGCTTATCCAGAACGGCCTTAGAGTGTTGATCGCCGCATGCGATACCTTCCGGTGGGTGTTTACTCTGTATCATTTGGCTTGACAATCCAATGGACAGCCTTTCGCAGGAGTGGCGCAGTGGAACAGCTGCGAGTGCATGTCCGCAACCTTAGCATGTTGGGAGTAAATGGCGCAACCAACAGCAAAGGTAGGGTAGAGTTGTATGAGAGGGGATATGGTAAGGATGCCGCAGGTATCGCCAAGGAGGCTATCGCATACGGTCAGTGATACTTTGATCTTATGCTGCTTCGAAGGCCTAAGTCGCATCCGCGTACCTAGCGAAGGACAACGATTTCGACGTCGTGCTCATTGATACGGCCGGACGTATGCAAGATAACGAGGTGCGAGCCCATGTTACTTTACTGACCCAAAATAAATTGCTGACTGGACTCGAATTTCAGCCTCTGATGAGAGCACTCGCGAAGGTGAATTTGAATTTGAATTTGAATCTACCGGTCTTGTCTCTGATTCTCGTCCGTCGTTCCCGTAGCTTGTGGCAACCAATACTCCGGACAAGATCATCTTCGTCGGCGAGGCTCTCGTCGGGAACGAGGCGGTTGACCAGCTAACGAAGTTCGACCGTGCGCTACGCGACTTCTCATCGTCCACTGGCACGAAAGAACGCGGAATTGACGGGATGCTCGTGACCAAGTGGGACACGGTGGACGACAAGGTGCGTCTTCTCGTCCGTGCCGCGCTGCAGTTGCTGAGGACGGTTTGATATTCACAGGTCGGCGCTGCACTGTCGATGACTTACGTTACAGGGCAGCCGATCATATTCGTTGGCTGCGGACAGGTGCGTGCCTTGCGATCTGTAGTGCACACCGGTGTTAACAATCTTCGTCTGTCGTCAGACTTATACCGACCTGCGACAGCTGCGGGTTGCGAATGTCGTGCAGGCCATCCTCAGCGACTGAGGCACCGTCAACTCGGTGTTATCGGGGTGGCTATGAATCTGAGGGATTCGAAATCACCATCTCTGTTGTGATCTAGATGATTGCGCGTGTGTGATTGATATTCATCTTGGATACTTGAATGTCTTCATCACCAGTCTCAAGTCGTCATCTATCTGTTCAAAGCCTCTGGGCCCGTCAAGCAAGTCATTGTTTCATTGTGCCGTCGATTTCGTAACCCTTCAGTGCTGCATGAAGAGATCCGACAAGCATCCATACATTTACAGAATCTGCGCCCTCAAACCGCATACATTAGTATTAACAAAAGAATCCTTAAGAATAATATCTACGCTGGATATACACGAAAGTCCAAAATACGAGAGCTCCTGTGCGATAACATCTCGTCGACGCGGTTGCCAAGAATGCCCAATCCTGCACCGTACAAATTCCACCCGCACGGCCTCCCTGGGAAGCACCACCTGCGATTTGCATAGCAATATCACCGCCCCAGGCCCTACGCAATCAAGGCCGTTTTCTCATACCGCCCAAAGTCCGAGTACATCTCTGCATCGGGCGCTCGGTACTGCTCGTGCAGTGCCGCTGCGGCGAGTATCTTCTCGTACACCGGGTCGACGAAGCGCCCGGGTGTGAACGGCGGTGGGCTCTCGTCGACGTTCTCGATAGACGTCTGGCGCGCGAGCGGGCAGTGTGCGAGGTCGTCTGAGGGCGGGGGCGAGACGCCCGCGGCCATGAACTCGGCAGACGCTGGCGTGTGCATTTTTTTGTAGTGCCGCCGGAGTAGCAGCAGCAGTGCGGCGAGCACGAGCAGCCCGAGAATGCCGCCGACGACTCCGCCCACGATTGCACCGGTGGAAGTTGTGTGCCGAGTCGCCGCGGCGGCTGAGAGGGCTGTGGGGCCTGTCTGGTTAGAGGAGAACGTTGAAGATGAGCTGACTTTGGAATGCACAGTGGGAGAGGCGTTCGAAGATGGACCGCTTGTGGACAGCCCGGGGAACGACGTGCCCGAAGATGGTCCGGGTGTGAGCGACATTGCGGAAGAAACTATGGATGAGGTGGGTATAGTGGTAGACGTCGGAGATGAGCCGACTGGGAGTTGCGCACTAGCAGACGGCGAGGGTGTGCTAGTGCTAGAGGCAGCGGATGGACTTGCGAGAGAAGGGCTTGGTGAGCTTGCCGGTGATGGGTAGGAGACCCCACCAGTGTTGGACGACGAAAAAGGCGTGGGCTGCGGGACGTCCGTAGTACTCGATAATGTCAGAGGAGTGGCGCCTCTAGTAGAGGTGAGAACAGATACTGTCGGGGGGCTCTGGTAGATCGGGACAGAGGTGTCGGGTAGTGAGGAACATGGGTTTGGATCGCCCCAAACTGCATATGGTGGTGGTCAGGCAAGGTGAACGCGTAGGAAAAGAGGACTCACCACATGGCCCGGTTGTTCCACGAGAAGGCGGTTTCTGAAACGCAAGCGATATGAAGACCACGCCAACAAAAGGGCATTCATAGTGGATCGTACCGCATCGCCTGACATAGAAAAAATTCAAGGAAACGTCCAGCACACAGGAATGGCCGCCAGAGGTAACGACTCAAGAGGACGCAACACAATGCGTAATAAGGATAGTAAGAGAGGGAGCGCCTGTGGCGGTGTGCCCCATCCTGCCAATATCTAGGTGCAATCAATCTTTCGCGTACAGTGTTTGATTTCTGTCACTGTGCCGCCCCGGGCATCATGACACACGGCGAGCGCGGACAGCAGAGCGTCGTGCCCGACATCGAGGCGAGCAGAGAGATGCAGGAAGCGCTGCCACATACGCCGAGGAGAAGTCGGAGAATTGTTCCCGAAGCGTCATGGGCTCACTCAGCGCACCATGCTCCTTTCCCGCCTCTGCCCCGCCATCTGCAGACTCCCCCACCGCCCCTTCTCATCCTCATCGCCAGCCAGCATGAAGGTCGTTCCCGTTCCCGTGCGCGAAGACAACTACGCCTACCTTCTCATCGACGATGTCTCAGGAAAGGCAGCAGCGGTCGACCCGTATGATGTGCCCAAGGTCCGCGCCGCTGCAGAGAAGGCCGGCGTGCAAATCATCGCGAGCATCACCACACACCACCACTACGACCACAGTGGTGGAAACCAGGTGTGTGATTCTCATGTGTGTCTTGGTGGTCGCGTCTGATCGACCCGTGCAGGCTTTCGTACGCGTGCTGCATTGCAAGGGTACTCGCGATGCTTAAATATTAATTCCAGGCCGCCACCTTCCCCGGCGTGCCCATCTATGGTGGAAGTCACAAGGCGCCAGCCGTGACCAGCATCGTCAAGGACAAGGACGAGTTCACCATCGGCGACGCCATTAGCGTCAAGTACGTACCCTCCTTGTTGCCCGCTGATTCAGCCCTCTCACGGAGACCTTGTGCAGGTGTCTCGCGACGCCTTGTCACACGCAGGATTCCATCTGCTACTATGTAACCTCGTCCTCTGGAGCGTCCCACTCTGGCGGTGTCTTCACCGGCGACACCCTCTTCATCGCCGGCTGCGGCCGCTTCTTCGAGGGCACCGGCGCTGAGATGCACGCCGCACTCAGCTACCTCGGCACACTGCCCGCACAGACGGTCGTGTACAACGGCCACGAGTACACTGCAGGCAATGTCGCCTTCGCCAAGTCCGTCGACCCGCAGAACCCCGCGCTCGCCCGCCTTGAGGGCATCCTGCGCGAGCACAAGAGCACTACCGGGCTCACCACCATCGGCGATGAGAAGGAGTGGAACCCCTTCATGCGCCTGCAGAGCGCTCCGATCCGGTCTGTGTCTTCATGTTTGTCTGATGGCTGCTGGGACTGACGAGTGGGCATATAGGGAGGCTACCGGGGCAGATGCCGATAACAATATTATGGACATCCTAAGGACTAAGAAAAATACCTTCTAAGTTCACGGGGTGAGCGATATCTTCTGTCCGCTGCCGCAGGTTTGCAATCCCGGGCACCATATCACAGGTCCAGCTAACTGTAGTGGAGGGGTATTTGGAAGGAAGGATTTATGTATGTACCATATTGCAACTGTACCATCATTTATACACTGGCATACTCTCTTCTGTGTCTCGTCCTGTGCGATGTTGCGGGATGGTGGAATCTTGTTACCGATTCAACCTGACTTATATCGGTGAGCGAGTTGCGGCTGCGAGCCAGAGTTAGATGTTTGAGCAGAAAACAACGGGAAACGAGATAAATATATGAACAAGTAGTAGTGTCCTAAGATATGTTGCCGCGGCTGCCGTCGATCCTTTTCTGTCGTACACATCTCTGGATATCCTGAGGAATGAAGATTGAAGCAGAGTGGCTACAAGTGCCTCTGGGAGATATCCCGCAGCATCGATGGAGTCATAGGTAGAGCTGGGCTGGGGGATCACATTCCAAAAACCTTGAGGACCGCCGCGCGCGCATATGGGATGTAAGAGAGAGTGTACCACAGATAGGCCAGGTACTCGATGATCACGAAGACTGTCGCGGATCAGTGGGACGCAACGGTAAGATGTGCGCAGACACTTACTGATGCATAGGACCTGCGTCGGAACGCGAGCGGTCAGTATCGTGGCAAGCGTGAGGGAGGGAAGGAACGAACATCACTGCGAATCACATAAGCACCGATGAAAACGAGCACTATCGAGGCGATGAAGACAATGGTCGCCACCACCCGTACCGGTTTGAACATCTAGCCAACGAGTGCGTCAGCGCAAGCACTCCTCACAGAAGCTAGCATCAGTAGACTGACGAGTTGGAATTGCTTCATGAACTATCGCACAGCAGGTAACGTCAGCTTGGCATCGACAATGGGCGGCATGACAGAGGAACGCACCCCCAGCAAGAATCCTGTCCCCGCTAACGAAATAACCGTACCGATAGCATACAATACTGCACCGAAATCGTCAGAACGGCCCCACTCCGAATTGAAGGGCCTGCGCACCTGCAAAGGTGCTTAGTTGTCCTACGAACAGCAGAATGCTCCCCAGCAAACTTAGAACGAAGCCGGCTATCACGCTAGGGAGACACCTTCAGTCACTCGAACACAGGCTGCAGAACACGACGCACTCACCAACCCCCAAAGCCGTACAGCCGTTGTGTCCGTGTCAGCCCGAGGAAGCTGAACGCCGAGTCCCCCTCGAAGAACTGGGTCTCGGGCATCGTGCCGCCCAGCGACTCGATGTTGAACCATCCTTTGGAGTTCGAAGCCATTGTCGTAGTCGTCGTTGGTCGTTAACAGAAGACTGGAGTGTCGTGAAATGGGTGAACGTTAAGGGGCTGGCGATCGTTTTGCTGTTGCAATTGTTTCCGTGACGGCAAGGATCGTTTAGTGCGCAGCAGTCGGGGTTCAGGTAGCTGTGCATGTCTCAGGATCATCAATAAAGTAAAAAAAAATATCGTTAATTCGTGAAAGTCATAGAAGTCATCATAATACTGCAGGCCTAGCTACAGGATTTTTTGGTATTACGACGTAACGGTCAATTATCAAAGCGAAGGAGACGTCCAAGAGACAGCCAGCTCGGCTACCCAGCTCGAACGATCATGGCAAAGCATTCTGCATTTTCAAGAATTTGTCAAGAGTAAAAGCGTGCATCACAATCACAACCGTAGAGCGAACAGTCAAGAAAATACATGTACCTTAGTTCATATGCATGTACATGACCGCAACGGAGAACAGAGCCCGACAGCACCAGCGGGGACACATACAACGGGAGGAGAACCATGCATGTTACATAGGCTTGCGACTGAGGATATCCTGGATATCCGAGATCGCGCGCGTCGCCTCTATCGGTCCGCCAGGGAGAATGTTGAGACGCTGCTTGGTCGTATTCAGCAACTGCTGGACACTGGGCAACACTCTCGCGACATAAGGAGAAATGAGCGGGTCCTGTAAATAAAGTCACATCAAAATGCACGTTCGCACAACATGCATCATGATTTACACTTACGGAAGTGTTGAGGACGGATGCTGCCCGCTGCAGCCACCACATAGATACCTTGAAGACCTCATCAAGAGGAGACGTTTCGCCAATAACGGAAGAGAGCTACAGAAAAAGGTGAGAAAGGCCTCTAGAATATATCTCAACCACGACGTACCCTATGAACGAGAGTGAGTACCACTGCTTGAGAAAGAGGGCTTGGACCGTTCAATGGCATAATGACATCCGGGTTGGACCGCGCAAGCAGCTCGCGGAGCTGTCGGATGTCCTGAGTGCCCAGAACCGCGAGGTAGGTGTCATCCCACTCTTCAGACTGTGCTGGAGGAGTCGAACGCATGATCTGTTGCGCGTGCGGAGGGAGTGGTGGAGGCGCAGTGGGATGAGATGCTTGCGGCGCTGCAATGCTAGCACCAGCCCAAGGTCCCGGCATCGGCCCTGCCATCATCGGAGGTACCTGCTGCTGCTGCTGCTGCTGCTGTGGTTGCCCCTGTTGCTGCTGGAATGAACCATGAGAGGGAGGGTATCCGCCCTGGTGCTGAGGTGCAGGAGGTAATGTCGGGTGTCGCAGCAGCTGGGATAGGCTTCCCTGAGGGGCGTACTGTGCGTTAGCAGAAGGACCAGGAGAGCTTCGAGCTTGCATCGGATGGCCAACGGGAGAAGTCACATTTATGGTGAGGAACTTCACTTGGTCCGACAGCATTCGCACTGATTGCTCCATATCTCGAATCAGTGACTACATCGTTCGGTCAGTATGTGAAAGGCGAGTCTGGTAGGTAACGCACCTCTTGCCCCCTAAGAGCTTCACTCTGCCAGGTGATCACCTCTTTCTTCAAGTTCAAGATCTCCGTGTGGATCTCTCGGGACAGCTCTTGATGCATCGTCGAAGACTGCTGTGTGTACGCGGGAATAAGGGTCTTAGTGATTGAATCCTTCACGTGTCTCTCAACGATCGGGGTGACAGCAGAAGAGACAGTTCGTGCAATGTGAGAGGATACTTCGGGCCGAAGAAGCATGCGCTCTACCTCACTGGGGAGGCTCTATGATGGTCGTGAGCAAATTATATAATCACGTACTTTTTTTGCACGTACCTGATTCATGGAGTCTGAGAGGCCCTTCGCAATTTGGTTGCTCAACGCAGCCTTCACCTCGTTTTTGGTGATATTCTCAAGGGAGGGTAAGACAGAGTTCTGCACTTCCGTCCTCACTGCCATCTCGACGACGCGTGTCGTGTTCTTCGTCAGCTCAGTGGAGATAAGTTTCAAAATCTTCTCCTGCCGAACGAAGTCCGCCGCTTGCTCGTTGGCACGAGCATCCTCCAGCCGTTGGTCTGAAATGACGCGCATCAGATGCGATGCCAACAGTCACAACAGTAGGAAACTTACGTTGTTTGTCCAACTCCTTTCCGATCAGGCGACCGATGCGGGTGTGCAGACTTTCCTCAACTTTTCTGATCTCCTTCGATAGCGCAACACCAAGAGGAGACTCATTGATGACGGCAGCATCCCCACGATTCTTACCATCCTTGTCCCTGTCCTTGTCCTTGGTGGTGTCGTTATCTTTCCATCCAACATTCTTCCCCTTCGCATTCCTGCCCTTGTTCTCCTGGAAACGCCCTCCTTCGTCACGACTGCCCTCACCTTCTACTTCTTCGGAAGGAGGGGTTTTCAGTCTTGGCAGAGGAACAGCAAGCGTGATGGAAGGAGGAGGGGGTTGGTTGATGGCACCCGGCGCAACCTGCGGCGGTGGCGGCTGCCTCTGAGGCTTGGGTTCGCTTGCCTGAGGCTGCTGAGACGCAAAAGCGGGGAACCTCGCAGAAGCTGAGGCTAGAGCTGAAGTGTACCACTCCTTCCGAATGAGTACCTGGTCTACGCCAGTCGAATGGACAGAGAACGCGACGAGGGCTAAGTCTCCCGGAGGAACTTTCGCAGCGACACACGCAGCATGAGCTTCCTCACCAGTGGGATCGGCATCAGCTGTCAGTATGACGAAGTGGATTGTGGGTTTGGGCCCGCAGAACTCAACAGCCTGCTCAAAGTATGCTCCTCGGCCAAGCTCTTCACTTCCAGGAGACGGTGTGGGCATATCGAAGTTAATTTTGAACGCAATCATACTGTCTCGCCTGTTGTTCGCGATCCACAGCGTCTGGATCCTCGAGTCGTAACTGGCATGGCCGAACATGTCCGGGTCGTCTTGGCCGCTGTTGATGAACTTCACGGTGGAGAGAACGTTCCTACCCATGACAGCTAGCAGCTGGAAAACAGTACCGTTCTTGCGACCAACAACAACGCCTCCTTCAACAAAGGTGAGCGAAGAGGGGACGTCGTCGCCGCGAACCTTGTGGGACCAGAAAGGCAGCTTGTCGTTGATATTCCACATCGTCAGAATAGAGTCTTCGGAGATGGTAGCCAGTGCCGACCGCGGAACGTCGAAATCAATCGCAACAATTGACTGAGAAAGCATGTCAGTATCGGCCTAGAACGTAGGAGAACACGACGTACGGAAGGCACGGAGAAAATCTGGCCTACGCGGTGCAATTCTGATTGCGGGATCGGTTCACCACCAAATATGTGAGCAGCGTCTGCAATGTTGATAAGGTAGACATCAGTGTCTGACGCTACGGCCACCAGATCTGGTCGCTGAGGATGCCACTTAACAGCGTGAAGCGCATCGCCGTCAGCAGTGGGGAGGACACAAAGCATGACCTTGCCACTACATCGCCAAGTCAGCTTATGTAACGAAACAAATAACAGAGAATGAGGCACATACGGCACGTCGTCAGTGATAATCTCCGGCAACTCCCAAACAACAAATCCTCCATCCGACGTGACTCCGGCCAGTCGATTACCATGAACAGACATATCGGTGACCGATGTAGAAGGAGGGAATAGTTGTGGCAATTGCATTAACGTGCGATCTCCACTGGATCGCGAAATCACACGAACACGACCTGAATGAGGCTATGTCAGAGTCGAATTTCAACTCTCAATACGCCCGTTCGTACCTTTTGTCATCGCGTATGCAACCCAATGAGTTGCTCCGATAGTCGTTCCAGGCAAGAAGGTAGAGTCCACCTTGACCAAGGCGATGGCTGTTGATTTCACGGCATCGGGAGGCGCTTGAATCTCGTCAAGAGGTTGAGAAACATCAAAGACAATACTCTGAGGTTGAGAACTGGAGTGAGAAAACCGATTAGTGCGGAAACTCAGTATCGACCAGTAATCCACCAACCTTGGGCTAACGTTTTTACCCTTCGGTCCACCTCTACCTCTAGATTCCGGACCCGTTGTCCTATAAGGCTGCGCGGCGTTGGAAGGACCTTCCTTATCCCGCGGAATAGCTCCAGGTGCGAACGGACCTTGCGTGGCAGGTGCAGGTCCGATAGGAGACTCCGTAGATCTACGTTGCTGCCTCTGATTTTGAGGCTTAGGTGGAGACCCACGCGGAGAAGAGGAGGGTTGAGGGGGTTGAGGTGGTAGGGGACGAGACATTCTCGCTTGCTGGACAGGCTCAACCTGCGGGCTAGTATCCTCGCTAGGGGCGTACGGATCGTAAGGAGCGTTATAAAGTTGTGGAGGAGCAACCGGGGCAGCCTGTCCCCTCGTAAGTTGGTCCATCAGGTTTTCAACGGACTTGCGTTTAGGGTCCATGATGGCGGGGGTCCATGCGTTGTCTTCGACGCTGCCAGAAGAAAGGTTCGTCGGCTGCGTCGGGGCTGGCTTGCGCTTCGCAGACGTCGACGTAGTCGCAAGCGCGTCAAATGGCGACACGAAGTCAAACATAGACCTGCGTGCTGGTGAAGGGGCACGCTGTTGGGATGGAGGCACTTGAAGTTCCAATGAGTCCCGAGGTGGTTCGTGTGAAGGGTACGGGCTTTCGCCATAGTAGGGGATATCGTGATGCAATGGGGCTTCAGGACTATTCCGCATGTAGGGCGGAGATGGACCTGCTGCTGGAAGAGAGGGGGCACTGGGTTGAGTCTCCGGGTAGTTGTATTTCGGCGCGCTACTACTCTCGTTATATGCACGAAAGTTGAAGAAATCATAGGTCAGACAGGGGAACCGAAATGAGATTCACAGAAGAAGGGATATGGGCGTATGAGGTGCAAACGCAATAACGTTCATCTCAACGATAATGCAAGCCAAGTATTATTGATAAATATATACTCACCCTGACATCAACTGCTCCAGGAGTAACTTTCCCTGCGACTCGTTACTGGGCATACCCCTCGGAGCAGATCCCGGAGGTGTAGGAATCTGCTGTGGGGGTGGCGGACCGCTCGCCGGAGGTATTTGTGCGTTAGAGGACGGCGGGGAGACCGCACCCAATAGAGATAACAAAGCATTCTGCCTGTCCGCAGCGGGATTGCTCGGAGCAGATGCAGATGAAGACACTGAACCGGCATTCACAGAAGCCGGCGTAGCAGGACCAGACTGAACAGGTTCTTGAAGACCAGGATAGATATTCGCAGCGCTGCTCGGCTGCGGACTGACATGCGATACAGATGGAGCATTCAAACCATGGAGAAGAGTGTCCAGACGGCTCGTCGATGTAGAAGGAACAGTCTCTCGGTGAGATGGACTGGGAGACGGATTCAGCGGCGGGAGAGGGACTTGGAAATGCTGTTGTGGTTGAGGGGGTGGTGTTGGACCTCGAGAAAAAACATTATCTCGGGCTGCGATAGGATCCATGGTGATCGCGACTTAAGACGGCGAGGCTAAGATAGAGGTAGGAGGCCGTCGAGGAGAGAGGAGAGATATACGTCTCTCGATGTTCGGAGAAATGTCGTGCTAAGTAAGACTGCGCCTCATTGAGAACACGAGGCTACTCGGCTTCTCCCGATTATGTCTTACTCCTGCAGCCTTGCTGCAGCCCGCTGAACCTTGAGGCCGGCCATGACTCTGTGCTTCGTATGCTCCTTTGCTCAAAAAAAATCCTTGACCGCACATTCGTAGTAGTCGCATCTTCGACAGAGAAAATTTATTTCCTATATGCACAGTCTGATACCCAGGAGGATAATTACACTGTCGTACAACGAGCCGCCGAGCGACAGTCCGTCATCCACCAAGCGAAGATCCCCCATAACAGACTCGTGGAACAGGGCAGGTCTGTTCCATTGAGCCCAGCTCCGTGCAGTTGATAACAGTTGTGCTCCGTGTACAATGCTGCGTTGCTGCCGCGACCGACTAAGGCATTGGACAGCTCTTCAATGGCCACCGTGATGCATGGAGATATATAACAAGTAGCACATCTTTTTTCAACGTTCCCAGCTTATCGTTTTGAGATGACGGCGAGAGGCTGTATTTAGCCATCCCCATGGCCGCCTAGGGCACCTAGACTTAGTAGAGTGATGTCTCATGCAAGACGAGCGAATCGAAAACCTAGATCCAACGGCAGCGCTTGGCTGATCCACGACACCTTGATAGCATGCATGGACGCGATCACCGTTGAGATCCACGCATCCATGAACGAGGTAGTCGCGCGCAATCTCAAGAAAGCAGCATGAAGACGGACTCCGCAGTGACTACATGGCCAAGAAGGGCAGAGCGAAGAGGTAAGATCCGGACGAACCCCCCCTGCATTAAGTGTTTAATAACACAGTATGGTTGTTATCACTAGCGGTTCAAGCCGATCCAAAGATGAAGGAGCTGGGTAGAAGGTCACAGAAGGTCCAGCATTTGTCTCGGCTCAGCAGTAGTGTCATAGCAAGAAAAATCCCTACGGTGGCCATCTCGCTGTCCGGACATTTCAACGTCCAAAAGTCACATAGGCGATGTCCGAAATCCGCACATTCGAGGAGGACCGTCTCGCCATGTGGATATCACCAAGGGTTTGAGAGGCCTGACACCAAACCAGCGTCCACAAGGCCAGCTCCGCGACGTCGGCGAATTTGGCGCCGTCTCACAACTCGAAAGGCCGCCAGGCGGCGGCGGAACTTGCTCGGAGACGAGAGCGGACAGAATTGCCACAAAACAAATAGCGCACAACAACTGTGTAAAAAGGACACTTTCACTTTTGGGTCGGGAGAGCTTGCTCTCCGAGCAAGAATCCGGACACAAAGTCGAAAATTTTCGCAATATGTCCGAACAAAAATATTGAAAATCAAGGATTTTATGGCATCCACAGATATGGTTTCCAGGGTCTTCCTCGCGCCCAGGGGCACGTTTAAGCCTAACATCCCCGATTGAGGACAGTGTACGATAGAGCCTTCAAACATTTAATTATAATATGAGTAGTGCTGCGTAGGAAGTAAAAATTTCACTTACAATATGCGGGATGTGAAAACGTTGGGACAGCGCCGCCATGTTAGCAACGAAGAGCTGAATGTAAACCGCATCGGCCCAGCCTTTTTGCGACCATTCGATTTTTGGTGTTGGCCAGAAGAGTCAAGACCAACGGCCTAGCAAGGTGTCCCAATCAAATTGTAATTGATTTGTCCGTCTGCCAACTTTCTTGCAGAGCACTATGTAGGCGGAAGGTCGCTATTTTGATTGGACCTTGACAGACGCCCTCAGGAACCAATCGGGGTATTCTGTGAACAGGAAGGGCCTAGCGCAAACGCGCAGTTAACCCCAGCCACCCACATGATGAAGAGTTGATGAAGGGCTGTACTACAGAGGAACATGATTATCGGATAAAGACAACTTTACGATAACGGCGGACTCACAGGTGGCTACGGAAGTTCTCCATAAGTATGTACTTAACTTGGTTGAACCAGAAGTCTGGTCGAAAGCCAGCGAAGTCATCCAACCGGAAAAGGAAAGTGACGTAGTACGTTCGACAACTCCACATCACTAGAGTTTAGAACTGCAGACTTAGGGTTCAATAAGCTTAGGCTGACAAAAGATGGTACTTGAGAAGTCCTAAGGACAGGAGATGGTCTACGGTGAGAAAGCATGTGAGCAGGGCATGGAAGCCTGCATATCACCGATAACACCTACCGTGACTTCTGCCTTCAGTATACAGCGGCAATCATTGGGAAGCACGTACGAAAACAGGTATACGACAAACACCTGCGATAGCGGAAAGGACTAGAACAAGCATAGTATCTTTAGACAAGCGTCAAGAAAGCATCGACGTCAGGGTGTGTTGACTCACATGAAGGATGAGGGATTTTGCAGACACCAATAGGAGCACTACGGCTGGCACTTCCCGGAAGACTTGCTCCGCAACTTCACACTGATGAAGACTATTTTGGGTGAGTATTCAAGGATGAAAAGGACCGAAAGAGCACCAGGTACGTAGACAGATCAGGACTACAGCTGAGAGTTGGGCGTCCAAGTCTTTATGCGAGCCAGAAGTGAGGTCTGAAGCAGCCCAAAGTCAATTTCTAGCAGCCCTGTGAGGGGCCAAGGTACGCAAAGTGGAATCGAAGTGCATACGGTAGGTAACCCACCTCACTGACAGACACCCGTGTCAAGTAGTGTTATGCAACACGTGCGCCTGGTGATCGAGATCCGACAGGCCTCGGAATCCGATATAAGACGAGGCTCAGGCATCCAGCCAGAGTCAGTTCCCTACTTTCTACTACCACAATCCATTACATCGTCCATATCCAACACAATGTTCACCGTACGTCGACACTCACTGGCTGCTCGTCGCCATCCGCTTGCGTACTCATTGCAATCGTTCGTTCTCCAGACCGTTGAAGTGCCCAAGAATGCTGCTGGCGCGTGCGGCCAGGAGTCCTGCAACTGCGGCGACAAGTGCGTATGCTTTGTGAGAATGGGTAGCTGTGATGCTGACAATTAATCCAGGTGTGCCTGCAAGCCGGGGGAGTGCAAGTGCTGAGCGTTTCGCTAAGTGGGAATACTGTCGTCGCCCGGGTTGATGTGTATGTTGTATCGTTGGAGGAGAATTAGCGTCTTCTGTGAAAGATGAGAATGTTTCAAAGAAAATCATATTGTGTCCCTAGCTTGTGCTTTGACTGTCATGGGAATGACGTTGACGTTGACCCAGGCTCTGCTGCGATTGAAACAGTTTTTAACGTAGATATCGATATGCGACGTAATCCTGGAGGTTCAACCCAAGTAAATCATCGACGAGGGGCGAAGACAGATTCGGAAGACACTCTCGAAACCTTTGGCACAGATACTGAGCAACGGGACTCACATTATCAAGCACTCCCGAAAGGGCGCACAGAACGAATGAATTAAAGAAGCCGAAGCTGTTGTGCGATCAGTCGGGACTTGTTCAACAGTAAGCGTGGCGCGGCGCCCGTTAAAACAGCGAAACAAGATTTTAGCGACGACACCTTCTGCGAGAGGCCCATGTCAGGTTACTTGTGCGCCAAGTTCACACTATCTTGAAGGCCAATACGATATGCTGGAGAAATAAGTGATGGTCTTCGAAACCCCCGTACCTGAGGGAGGGCGGTCCCTGTGAGTGGAGTGAGCATTTCCGAGACAGTACCTGGCGCCAGTTCGCGCCTTCCGACACGGCAACCTCGAATCCATACCCTACGGCATGGTGGGTCATGGGATGGAATCATCGGCGGCGGTCGGCAGTAAATGCTATACTGTACCCCGAGCGATACGCACACCAAGGACACGGGACAATGTCTACATGATCCTGATGGGCACGCGGTGCGCCACTATTAAGAATCATGGGTGCCGGGTGGAAAGTGTCGGACGACTTGTGCCAGAACAGAAGCAACAGACATGTACCGCGTAGTCCCCGCACATAAAAGTTCCGGACAGCTTCTGATACCCGAAGCTTCGTCCAGCCAGAGAAAATCACTCGACAAAGCAGCGAGCTTTGGATAAGACTCACCATTGATCACTGCATTGTACAGCATTAACACTTGTTCGTACCGTCGGAGGTGCAAACTGAGGTGTCTATCATCTTCGACTCTGCTGTTACGCCAGGGGATGGAGAGCAGCTGTCTGTGTGGGAGCCGTTTGTCCTAGGCATCTCACAAACGCATGTCATTGTAATGCGCATGATCGTCCGGCGAGCAAGATTTTATGGGTGTATTTGTCGTCACGATAAGTTGGTCAGGGCGTCGTGATCTGTCGATTCAACTTGGGCACTGCGATAATACATCAGTAGTAATGGCTGACGTGAATACTCGAGGGCCGCAGCAATGAGGAGAATATTAGTTGTCATGAGAGTCTGTCCATAGTACATGTGAGAACGTCTTGTCATCTAAGTCAACTTCCCCGACACTCCCCGGAAGTGTTCCTCAACTCTGCGGCTACAGAGTGTCACTCGATATCGTCCACTGATGAGAACAAGACATCACTCACATAGATCAATATATCTCTGCCGCCTATTCGTGTCAAGAATTTGTAATTGCGACAGATAGCTGAGACATTCTGCGAGGAGCGTGTTTTGCTCCGTCTCGTTCAATCGAGGCCTATGATTTTGCAATACAAGCCACTTGTAAAAAACCAGAGACTCCATGCACCCTAAATGGAAATGAACCGACGTGAATTCCAGATTTTCCAATAGAAGCTCGCTCCTCACATTTACTGTCAGGTTGTTCGTCTAATAACTCTTGGATGGAAGCGATCTCTCGGCATAGAATCTCATAGTCATCGCCTAAGAGTTTTTGCTTGAACACATCAAGCGTGAATCGAATGAGACAACGCGCGCACCGTTACCGATCAGCCATCTATGATATATCCACACGCTTTGATCTTCTGGGTCGGTATACATCGCATTCTTGACGAGGTCAAATTCTAAGCACACACAAAGAGAATAAACACCGAGGTAAAATTCACTACGGATGCAATAACAACTCACCATATTCTCTCGACTTCTTGGGGTCTAGTTTACCAGCGTCCCAGAGCAGAGAGAGCACTTTGGAACGCTGGTGCCAAGCACTGAAATTGGAGAAGTTTGATTCGATCTTGCGAGTTGTATACGCCAACTCGGTCTGCTCCGGTCGCTTAACCGGCATGCTGCTTAGCACGTAACGACGGTAGTTCCATGCGTGAACTGCGAAGACAGTTCAGAAATGGGTGCTCAGATGGTGAAGTCACTGTACGTGACCTACAGTTACGGGCATCAACGTCAAGCATCTTCTCGACAACAAACAGCTCCTTACTCCAATAACTCTTTCTCCAACCATCTGGGTCAGCTTCCGAGGGACATTCAGGGACTCTCTCAAGACACCAACGGCGATGATTCCAGATCCAGTAAACCTTGGGGTGCTGCTTCAGGAAGGAAGTCGTGAGGGATAGATCATCAGACAAGATCACATTAACGTCTGTCGGAGAGCTGTGCGACCACAGATTCACAGGTCAGTATAGTAGAGGTTCCTCCAATGCAAGCGTCCTACCTGTTGGGGAAGATGCCATAAAGTAATATATTGCGCCTGTAATTCCAGACCGTGTAGAATTCGGGACAGACGTGTAACAAACGCGTAGTCAAATCAAAAGCATTTCTGCTCCAGTCGCTGTTCTTCTTCTGCGTGCATGGCGTTAGATCTTGGAAGATGCCCTGCAATGTCCTGACACACCTTTGTCAGTACTTCGTCGGTCAGAACGAGGTACTCTTTGAGCTTCGCTCGTTCCCGTTGTTCTTTGGCCTGTAAAGCCTCCTGAGAGTAGCGTACGCGTTTCACACCATGCTATCACATCGCTGAGCTAGCTGAGCAACGTCTGAATTGCGAGAGAGATACTGACCATAGCCTCTCACTTCGCCGCGGACGACGGTAATTGACGCCCGAAGGCTACATAGTATTGCATGGTCACGTGCATGCACCGCGTTGTTGTCCCCCTCACTTCGGTGGGCTCCAGGAGCATTTTCATTGCTCTCGATCGCGATCCCTGGCTGTCTATTACAAGATATCGCTGCTAAGATGCCGTCCCTGGAGTCTCTAACGTCCACCTTTCCTTTGACTTTCCCAGTTCCGAAGCCAACAACACACCCGGACCTCATCCCCACGAAGGACATCGTCCGAGAGGAAGACATCCTCCGGAACCCGTCCTCTTTCAGACACTGGTGGGCGGCGATACAAAACACGAAAGAAGCGTCCTCCGCGCTCCAAAAGGCCGAGGGTCCCATCGACTTGGAGCCCGTGGTGGCTGTTCTGCTTGGACCGCTCGCATCGCCCACCGCGCGCCAGTCGCTCCAGCGTCTGACCTACCTGTACGAAGCCGCGCTCATCCAGTTCCCCGGCTCGTTCAAGCTATGGAAATCATATCTCCAAACCCGCATGTCGTTCGTCCTGGGCAAGCTCGTGGTCAAGAAGCGGGCTGGAGGCCGGAAGAAATTCCCGGAGATGAGAGAGGCGCTCGAAGACGCAAGAGAGGATATGGAGCAGTGGGAGGGAGGCTTGGACGGTATCGTTGGCTGGGAGGAGTGGAAGGCCCTAATCGCAACATTCGAACGCGCTCTTATGTGGTTGCCAAAAGTACGTCTCCCAAAAAATCGGTCTTTTCCCGCCAGTCTGACTCCCTGCCATCGCGGATTTAGCTGCCTCGCCTATGGCTTCTATACCTCTCGATATTCAACCACCCCTTCTGTCCCCCGATCGTCTCAAACACCCATGCACGCCGCACGTACGACCGCGCGCTCCGCACCCTCCCCCCTTCCCTCCATTCACGCATCTGGGCCCGCTACCTCCTCTGGGCCGAAGACAAAGGCGGCGCGACGACCGTCGCCATCTACCGCCGTTACCTCGCTGTCGACCCGAGCATCACCGAGCGCTACACGGCGCTCCTGCTCTCCGAGAACAGCGTGGACCCGCGCCCGCTCGAGGCCGCGAAACTGCTGCTCTCCCTGGCGCGCAAGGCCGCGCGGGGCGAGTACACGAGCCCCGAGGGCAAGAGCCCATACCAGCTCCTGGGGGAGTGGCTCGACGTGGTGGAGCAGCACGCGGAGGACGTGGGCATGGACGTGGACGATACCGTCAAGTCCCATGCAAGCGACGCGACAGCGGAGGAGGAGCGTGCGGCTGCGACGGAGCAGCCTGCGGAGCCCGTATCAGTCGACGGCCAGCTCATACGCTTTGCCGGACTGGCCCTCGCCGTCTCTGCAGATGGCAAGAAGGTGCTCCCGCCCTACGACGAAGACGAGGATCCCACGAATTTGCGCAAGCTCAACGTCGAGCGCATTGTCCAGAAGGACGGCCTGGACGTGTACAAAGACCAGGCGGGGAGGCTGTGGACCGGTCTTGCGACGTATTGGATCAAACGGGGAGAGTTCGACCGCGCAAAGATGACGTTCGAGAATGGCATCTCGTCCGTGCTTACCATCAAGGACTTCACGCAGATATTCGACGCGTACGCCGAGTTCTCTGAGAGTCTGATCAGCGCTATGATGGAGAGCTTGGCCAACCCAGACGAAGACGAGGACGAGGAGGACGTCAAGGAGACGGAAGCGGAGTTGGACGCCAGGATGAAGGAGTTCGAGGAGCTCATGGACCGAAGACCGTTCTTAGTCAACGACGTGCTACTCAGGAGAAACCCAAACGATGTGCAAGAGTGGGAGAAACGCGCCGCGTTGTGGGGCGAAGACGACGAGAAGGTTCAGTCCTCTTTTCGTTCTGCAGAACCGGTAGCTGACCATGCCTCCCCAGGTGGCGGAGACATATACGAAGGCACTCTCGACCGTCGGCCCCCGCAAAGCTACCGCCAATTTCCACCGGCTATTCATCAATTTTGCCAAGTTCTACGAGGAGGGTGGAACTACGGGTGAAGCGGAGTATGACCTGGACAGCGCCCGCAAGGTCCTTGAGAAGGCCACGAAGGTGAACTTCAAGAACGTAGATGATCTGGCGGAGATATGGTGCGAGTGGGCGGAGATGGAGGTCCGCCACGAGTAAGTTTCATCCTTGGAACACTGGTGTGTAGTCAGGATCGACACTGACTACGCCTTTCAGAAACTATGACGAAGCGATAAGGGTCATGCAGCGCGCGGCCGTCATACCCAAGAACGTCAAAATCAGTTATCACGACCACGTAAGTACAACAGGACGCGTGTGCACATTCCCCGCAATACTAATACCCATTCAGTCATTACCAGTCCAAGCTCGTCTCTTCAAGTCGCTGAAGCTGTGGTCATTCTACGTCGACCTTGAAGAGTCCTTGGGCACAGTCGAATCGACAAAAGCCGTGTATGACAAGATCCTTGAACTGCGCATAGCGAACGCGCAGGTCGTCGTCAACTACGCCGCTTTCCTGGAGGAGAACCAATACTACGAGGAAAGCTTCAAGGCATGTCTTGTACTATGCTTTGTTTGGGCTTCCCGGTTGGCTGACGATGGCTCCGCAGGTGTACGAGCGCGGCACGGAACTGTTCACCTTCCCAGTCTCCTTCGAGATCTGGAACATCTACCTGGCGAAGTTCATCAAGCGATATGTGAGTGGGCACTGAAGATCGGCTCAGCCTCTAAACGCTCATATATTTATACAGGGTGGCACAAAAGTGGAGCGGTCGCGAGACCTGTTCGAGCAAGCCTTGGACAAATGTCCTCCCAAATCATGCAAACCTATATTCTTGTTGTACGCTCAGTTCGAAGAAGACCACGGACTGGCCAAACGGGCGATGTCCACCTACGACCGCGCGACTCAAGTCGTCGTCGACGAGGACAAGTTTGAGGCAAGTGGTCTATTCCTATGAAGCTACGACGGATCGTGTAACTGACCGCGCCTCGCAGCTCTTCACGATCTACATTGCGAAGGCTACGGCGAACTACGGCCTGCCCGCGACACGGCCAATCTACGAGCGCGCGCTCGAGATCCTGCCGGACAAGCAGACGGCGGAGATGTGCCTGCGCTTCGCTGCGATGGAGCGCAAGCTGGGCGAGATCGACCGCGCGCGCGCGATCTACGCGCACGCATCGCAGTTCTGCGACCCGCGCGTGCTGCCCAAGTTCTGGACGGAGTGGAACAGCTTCGAGATCGAGACGGGGTCCGAGGACACGTTCCGCGAGATGCTGCGCATCAAGCGCAGCGTGCAGGCGCAGTTCAACACGGAGGCGTCGTATATCGCTGCGCAGATGGCGGTCAAGGAGGGCACGGGGAAGGTGCTGGACGGCGGTGCGGCGGCACCTGCGGATGCGATGGCTGCTGCAGAGCGGCAAGCGGGTGGAGCCAAGGGCCCCGCGTTCGTCTCAGCGAGCACTAACGTGCGACGGCAGGAGGAGGCGGAGACAGAGGAGCAGCCTGCGGAGGCACAGGCAAACGACGAGGAGATCCACATCTCGGACGAGGAAGACTTGTAGGCTGTTGTATTGTTATGCTCTCATCTTGCTGCTGTGCTTTTTGGTTGTATTATCTGCTGTTCCATCGGTCTATCTCGGCTGCACAGAGGTCTTCCCATTGCGCGTCCCAGCTGCCTTCTTCTAGGTGGGGCTGAACGACCCATTGGGCGATTGCGTATCGAGACGCTTCGAAGGTGACATCGTGGCTCCGCAGTGTGTCGACAAGCTCGATGTGCATCTCTAGTGAACGATGGTATGGGATGAGAATTTCGGGAACGGAAGAGACTGTGTATCTCGGTTATAGCGGGCTTAGGATAGCATACCGGAGACGGCATACCAAATTTCTCAAGTGACCAGGTCACCCATAGCGGGTCTTGCACCCATTCCCAGCCCTTGACCTTGTGGGCCTCGAATAGTATTGCTTCAATGCTGTCCACTAGGTTGTTCATCTTGGCAAACTGCTTTTTCTACGCCATTCGGGTCAGGAACCGGAGGCAGAGAGATGAGAAATGACGTACGAGCTTCACTATGACAGCGTCGAGATCTGCTATCCGGCCCTCCATCAGCTCGAGCTTAGGCTGTACGATTCGATAGGCTGGCCGTGTCCCCGCAGGGAGAACGGCTAGATCGTTGCTAGCAAAAGGTCTTCAGTCGCATTCACCGATCGGTGGGAGAGACTTGTACGACGTACTCGAGCTCTGTCCTCGCGTCGACGAGAGTCTTGGCGGCCTTGAGGCCGTCGACAAGGACGATGTCATCCCAGGTCTCGGTAACTGCACGGAGCTCCTGCAGAAGGGACCTGAGCTTGCGGTGGTAAGTGGATTCGGAGAGCCTGGAGGGGGAGATGGGTGTGACGGGTTGTCTGGCTTGCACGGGAGAGGAGGTGGGTGTGGACGGTCCTTTGAACGAAGCCAGACGACTCATTGTTGCGGCGTGAAGACAGAACTTGCACTGAGGAGCACTAAGCACACATGTGCACGTGATCTGAGAACGCGTCGCGACCAGATCGGGCAAGTCGAAGACCATTTTCGTCGCTCTTCTTCTTGCCCATCACCCGCCGGGGTCACTGAGAAATGATACCCGTAGCCACGCTGTCGACGAACCCGCCGCAGTTCATACGCGCAGAGGTCGAACTCATACGCGAGGATGTACGTGTCCCATATCTGCTCACCAGCCCGGACGCCGTGCTCTGCTCACCACGCCTCGCGATTCCAGTTGCGGAGACGGAAGGCGGTGAGCACGAAAAACCTTGGCTCCCCCCTCGAGATCCCTGGAAAGGCCCTCGCCCTCCAGGTCAGAGGAGACAACGCGTGGATTGCGGAGAACGACCATCTCGTCAGAAAGCTCGATCTCGAGGTACTCACTCGCGCCACACCGTTCGCCGCTTACCCTCTGACTACTTCTGTGCGATGTAGACCGGAAAGTCTCTCCAGGTTTTCCGCGGACACACAGCGCCTGTGACATGTCTCGCATTCTTCGACAAGGTGCAGGGCTCGGGCGCGGGCGATATCCTCATCACAGGCTCTTGGGATAAAGTGACCAGCAAATCCTCATGTCCCTGTATTCGCCTACTGATCCAGCCCGCCAGACCATCAAACTGTGGGACGTGCGGGTCTGTATTCTCTCCTCCTGAAGACGACGCCACTTGACACATCGCATCAGACCAAAGCCCTGATCTCGTCCACGAACGCGCACACCGACTTTGTCAAGGTCCTCCTCGTGATCCCCGCCCTTCGCCTCCTCGTCTCCGGGGGGTCCGACTTCGTGGTGCGACTATGGTGCGCATCCACGTCTATTCTATCACTCGCCCTATTGATCCACCTCCCAGGGACCTTTCTGCGATCCAAGAAGGGAAGCCCCTGCCCTCCGTCGGCTCCATATCGTCACACACCCGCCCCGTCGAGGCGCTCGACGCACGCGCGGTCACAGACAGTACCGCCGTGCTCTACACCGCCGACACCATGGGCATCATCAACGTCTGGGACCTTACGCGGGAGGACGACGACGACAGCGGCGGCGGCGTCCCGCCGCGGTGGCGCAGCACACTGCAGGACAGCCTGGACCACCACCGTACGCGGATCAACGCGATGGTGTACGGCAGCGGGCAGCTGTGGACAGGCACGTTCCCCCCCTCCCTCTCCGCAGGCCCCCGCTCACCAAGCTGACCGTTCGCGCGCCAGCGTCCTCGGATGACACCGTCCAGGTGCGGCTGTACCCGCCCTCGCCCGGCTCGCAGCCGCGCATCCCGCCCATCGCGCACCCGACCGCGGTCAAGGCGCTCCTCCCGCTCGCGCTCACGCCCCTCGCCGAGCCGTACCTCATCACCGGCGCGGGCGACGCCCTGCGCGCGTACGACGTCTCTGAGCTGGACGAGCCCGAGCTCCTCGGCACGGTCGACGGGCATTGGCACGACGTCACCGCGCTGCAGCTCTGGATGCGCAGGATCCCCGCGGCCGTCGAAGGCGGGCGGGTGCGCGTCGAGCCGTGGATCGTGAGCGCGAGCTTGGACGGGACGATCCGCAGGTGGAAGCTCAGCGGTGGGTGTCCTGCGATCGCGCAGGGATCGGTGGCTGATACGCTGTTGTCGTGTAGAATTATTGCATCCTCCGCCGCCCAAGCCTGCGGAAGAGAAGAAAATGTCCGCTACGGTCCGGATGTCAGAAGAGGAAGAGCGCGAGCTTGCGGATCTCATGGATCTCATGGATTCCGATTCGGACTAGAGCGTATGATTCGACGCAGAGTACGTCGTGATATCCTGATGTAACCCTACCTCGATTTGTAGAATGCGATATACCAAGATCCAAATACGATAATTGTACGATACGATAGCAACGGGAGCACACACCATCGCACACTCATAGCTTCGCCCTTGAAGGCACCATCGAAGCATAGGCATTCTGCAGTGTCTCTGCCGCTGTTGCCACCATCTCATCGACACTGTTGCGTCCAAGTGAGCTGAGGAATTCCAGACGACGACACATCTGTAAACCCACATTTCCTTGGCTGGCTTGATATCCTGATGTGAAAGCATCAGCGAATAGACATACATCGAGCGACGAGGCTGCTCACGTTAATAGAGCCGGCGACTTTCCCCATGAGCCCTGCAGGGAACGGTGAGCACAAAAAAGCACAAGACGAGTGAGCAAAGTGACGTTCTTACATCGCTGACTCTCGATGAACTTCTCCGGATGTTGCTCCAGGTCGACCATGTACGGAATCTTGCCCTGCGAAGTCAGCTCAGCAACCTCCTGCTGCCTTTGCGCCCTACAAGCAAGAACAGTCAGCCATCCATCCACACGGCCACAACAGATACGCAAGCGCACCAGCTATCGACGTAGGGCGTCCGCCGCACGCTCATCGGACGGCCGGAATAGATGAGAGTGCGCACGGTGTCGTCGTATCCTGCAGACAACAGGAGCTCCTTGTGCTTCGGCGGGGCGGCCGCCTCTTCGCTGGCGACAAAACGCGTGCCGACCCACACGCCCGCCGCGCCGTATCTGCGAAATTCACACAATGTCAAGGCGCCAATGGACCGCAATGGGCGACGAGTACGCACGAGAGAGCAGCTGCGAGACCCCGCCCGTCGGCGATCGCGCCTGCGGCTACGACGATGACGGGCTCGCCCGTGAGTGGGCTCCGTGAGTCCTTGCAGAGATCTACACATGCGGGAATGAGGATCGAGAACGGGGTGTCCCCCGTGTGCCCGCCGCCTTCTCCGCCTTGCGCACAAATGATATCCACCCCTGACGTAAATTCAGTCCACTAAATCGAAAATCCCTTATGTCCATTGCATACCTTGAGCGAGCGCCTTTGGAACGTGCTGCAACGCGCGTCAACACGCTTGCCAAGTCCAAGGTCGGACACGTACCTTTGGATGGCCGACCATGCTGAAATCAATCAGCGACTGCACACTTCGCAGGAGCGATACCTACTTCATGACGACCACACCTGCAGCATGCAGCTTGTCCACCATCTCTCTCGGCGGGACGCCGACCGCGCAAACAAACAGCGCCGCCTTGTTTCTGACAATGACGTCAGTGAGCTCCGGGAGTTGGCCGTTGGTGTAATCGTACTGGACGCGACGCGTGCGCGTGAGTGGTGCCGCGAGGTAAAACAAAAGTCGTGAGAGCGCGTACGTTCGTCTTGCGAGCGTTCCCGCCGAGCTGGGGGATAAGCAGATCGACGCCGAACGGCGCGTCCTTGTCTTCCAGTTGGCTCTTGAGCTCGTCGATATTCTGCTGCAGGATCTTCGGGTTCTGGCGCAGCCCGCCGATAACCCCCAATCCTCCTGCGCGGGACGCGAGTTATAACACGCGCATATATGTATGGACCGTGTTTAAGACTGACCGGCGTTGGTCACTGCTGCAGCAAGCTTCGGCCCTGCTGCAACGTTCATGCCAGCAAGCATGACAGGGTGGTTGATGTTGAACAGCTTGGTGAGCGGTGTCGAGAAGACGGGAGGTGAGGACGGCATGGTCGGTGAATTTGTGAAGGGATTCAAGGAATAGTTTGAGCCTTTAAAGCTTTCGCGTCGTGCCGCGACGTGAATCAAGATACTGCATGCACCTAGCCTCCGCCTTCAATGGGAGCGATGCATTTGCCGGGATATCAGACTGAGGACAATCATGAGGACGGGAAGATGGGAGGAAGTATCATGGGACCGTGCACGGGCGCTTGTATGCGACGATCTTGACGAGAGACCGAGATGTCCTGCGACTCCTCCAGCGCCGCAAAATGTCCCGTCGACCACTCCTCCCTCCCTTCTTCCCTGGATAAATGCCCCGTTGACCACAACACTCGTTCCTCCTGGTCGTCCATCCTCGCCCCGCACGCTACCCCGCCGACCCACTCAAATGGCGCACCCGCTGCTCTGCCGGTCGACCGCGAAATTTCCTCTATTCCCAAAGTCGAAGGCGGAAACTGGGTATATCCCTCCCAAGCGCAGTTCTACGCCGCTATGGCCCGTAAAAATCACGACCCCCAGGCCACGGACATGAAGGTCGTAGTGCCTATCCACAACGCCGTCAACGAGCGCGCATGGGCGGAGGTCATGAAGTGGGAGACCGGTCAGGGAGGTGTCAAGTGTGGGGGAGTGAAACTGGTCAGCTTCAAGGGAAGGCCAAACGACAGATCTCCGAAAGCTCGCCTGAAGAGCCTCCTGGGGTGCGTCTGTTCTCTTCGCTGTCGTACCTGCAGGCCGTAAGACCTTTTCGCGTGCTTCCGTGTGCAGGTATTCCCCTCCGTTTGACCGCCATGATTGGATTGTCGATCGCTGCGGGACCCGGATGCGTTATGTTATCGACTTCTACACCGGCCATGCACCAGGTTCTGCAAACAACCTGTCGTTCTATCTAGACGCTCGGCCCGCCCTCGACAACTGGGATGGCGTTAGGATGAGGATGGAGCGGTTTTGGGGACGTTGGGTTGGCAAGCTCTGGAGCAGTTCCGTTCCCCCCGAACCCGCTCATCCGCGTTCATGACAGGTCCGGAGAGTATTGATATGTCCTTGTCCTTCCATTATAATGCGTCCCCTTATTTATTGTACTTATCGTAATGGTCTAACAGACTACTCAATAGACGAAGGGAGTGACAGTATGTCATATAAGTCAAGAAGATCTAGTATTTGCTTCGCAGTTTAGGCTTTTTGGGTGGTGGTCTGAATACCTCACTTTCGCTGCTTTCTTCATCTGCCTCTTCGCTGTCGCTACCCTCGTGTTCATCCCCACTGATATCTTCATCGTCGTCCCATGCACCATCCCCTTCGTACTCCCCGCCGCCGCCGTCAGATTGCTCTCTGAGGTCTTCATCTAGATCTTCCTCGTCGCCCTCGTCTTCCTCGTTCTCTGCAGCATTTGGTGCCTTATTCTGTGTAGCCAATTCCTTCTTCCGTTGAATGTTGCGCTCCTGCTCTTCTCTCCGTTGTTTCCGCAGCTTCTCCTTGGCCCGGTGTTCGGCTTTCTGAGTAGCGGTCTCTGCTTTCGTTCTCTTGACTGCACAGAACATGAACGCGCAATAAGACAACAAGCCACGGACAAGACGCACCAAATTGATGATAAATCACAGCGCCCTCCTTCCCTGGCACGCTCTCCGTGATTTTGATCAGCCTCAGCTCCATCCTCGGGCCAATTTCATCCAGCTTCACCGCCCTTTTCTGGCCCTTCTTGTTATTCCTCCCGACGTAATCATCCGCAAGCGACACCGCGTCCGCATCGTCCCCAGCGGCACTCGACGCCGACGACGCAGCAGATTCATACCCGTCACTTGCGCCCGGTCCGGGCTCGCCCTTCCGGCGCAAAAAGAAATCCGCGACGTCCTTCTCGTTTCCGAGATCGAGGTGGCCCTTCGCGGAAGACTTGGTGGACGCGCCCTCGAGCACGCGCCGCACGCGCTTTGACACGCCGTACGGTTTCACAGTAATCAGGTAGTGCCGGAAGTCGACGGTGCCGCGCTCGGCGTCGTATGAGATGAGCACGACGCGCCGTGCGGAGGAGAGGCTCAGCGTGTGCGGCGCGAGCGGCGGGAAGAGCGTCTGGAAGGTCTTCATGAGAAGCGAGAGGTGCGGCGGGGTCGAGGGCCCTGGTTGCGGGAACGACGCAAGCACAAGCTACATGCAGATTGGACGTAGATTGGTCAGCGTATTGTACTGCGAATGTTGTGCTAGGCACACTCACCAAGGGCGGGCTGAGATACTCCACGCTCCCTAGACTGTGCGCCCTTCGTGAGATTTTCATCACATCCTTCACAAGACTATACCGCTCCACTCGGAAGCTGAGGGTCGGCCCCGCAGAGAGGCGCACGATCCTGAACGACGGCGCGACGTCCGTCAGAGTAAACGCAAGGAGATGCGTGACGCCGAGCGCGGGCGCCATCGTGAAGAAATCCTTAAGTTTGTTCCGGGTCCGTTCCTTCACTTGTAATGCGGATCAGCACCATCCCACCGCGCAAATCAAGGCGTGGGCGCACCTTCAGACGGCTCGCGGTGTTGGGCTCCATCACTTTGCGCACATCGCGGACGAGCTGCGTGAGCGAGGTGCCAACCTGGCCGTGCTTGATCACGAACGACTTCGGGACACCTTCGGCTGTGCCTGGGTTGGACGCTACGCCTCCCTTGAGATGGGTACGGTTTTTTCGACGACGAGCCATGGTGCGGCCTTGGTGCGGTGACGAGTGGACGGATGGTCGAAGGAAAAAGTTCCAACGACTTAATCTTATCTAATCTTACCCCGGTCACTCCAATACATATGTAAATCAATTTGGAACTGTACTGCGGTGTTTTTAGCTATAGAACGAAGGAGTAATTGAATTAGGGATGCACGACACAAGCCAGGATAGTATCAAGGGGGCGATCAATAGAGGGATCTACAGGTGGAGGCGATCAAAGAATCATACAATTGGACGACTCGGTCGGTATGAACAAAGGGATACAATCGGGTGAGGGTATTCATTAATCGCTGATAGATTGTTCAGGACGAGACGAGCTGACGAACGGGAATTCTGGCGGATACAAGGAGACGCCGAAAGAAACACGAGAAATGGGAAAGAGAGAGAGGTGTACAGACCTATGGGACTGCGGTGATACGAGCGCAACCAGAGTATACTCCAAGCTTGAATCGAACAGACTTGGCAAATGACCACGCTTCGAGCACTACCTGCGTTGCTGAATGAGACAACCGATGTCGACGACGAATGCTACAGTGTGGATCAAAACTCCAAAAATTGATATTCGGTCGGATCAAATCTGCGATGAAGAGGTGGTGGAAGTTCTTCCTTGATGAGACCGGGTATTTCTTCGGCGGGAGGCAGTGGAAGATGGGAGAAGTGACGTGTGTCGTCCACAGCTGCAACCTGCGGAATGATAGGTGCCTACGATATACGTCAGCAACCTATGCCTCCTACGTGAATCAATAATTGCATACCCTAATTTCTCGCCGCTCCAAGGCGTCCCAATCCACGCCGCGGAACCAAGGGTGTTCTAATACATCCTGTGGCCCTCCTATGAGGTTTCCCAACCGCTTGGTACGGTCTGGGTGTAAGAAAGCTTTGATGAGATCCCTCGATAGCCTGTCCATCTCCCTAGGCCAGTAGATCTTCCCCTTCAAAATCTTTTCGTAGATCCCATATGGGGATTCATCAAAGAATGGAGGGTACCCGACTAGCATTTCGTAGCACAGGATGCCGCAGGCCCACCAGTCCGCCGCCTTTCCGTGGCCATCCGACTGGATAATCTCGGGCGCCAGATATTCCGGGGTGCCACAAAGTGTCCATGTGCGATCATCCACGATCTTCGCGAAGCCGAAGTCCGTTAGACGTAGATAGCCACGCGAATCAAGCAGAAGATTCTCGGGTTTGAGGTCACGGTAGATAATATTGAAGGTGTGCAAATATTTGAGGGCGAGGATGATCGTGGCCAGGTAGAATCTTGTGACGTCAGGAGTGAAACGCCGTGCTCTGCGCAGGTGGGTGAAGAGTTCTCCCCCAGGGACGTAAGACAGGAGCATGTAAATATTGAGGCTGTCTTGGAACGTAGCGTAGCAGTCTACGATGAAAGGGTGGCGAACGCGTGATAGGATATAACGTTCGGCGTTTACATGTTCTACTTGCCGCAAACGAACAATTTCTGATTTTCGTAAGACCTTCAGCGCGAAAGCGTTCAGGCTTGACGGGGACGCCGCAGCGTTGCGCAGTCGGACCAGAAGAACGCGACTAAAAGTCCCTGTACCTACAAGACAATAAGTGAGCGCCACAAATCCATCCTGACAGATACCTACCTAAAGTGCCCCTGACTTCAAAATCTGTGAGCTTCAGTGTACCTTTCTTTTCAAGGTGAGACTGCTCGTCCTCCAAGTGTCGAAGGGGTGGTCGCGGGGAATCGGGGCTAAGCGTAGGGTCTACATCCATGGCCTCCTCAGGGCCACCCCTCCGCGGATGTGAGTGAGGCAGGACATCTGATGAACACGGACGGCCTTCGCTGCTGTAGCGGGGCTCTGGATCCACGAAGATAGTGCCATTTCCTTCTTCACTACGAGCGGGAGACATAGGAGGAGTGATGGGGCCGTGGTTCACGATGTGGCCCGACTCACGCCGAGGGTGTGTGAGATCAAACGGACTTGCGATGGATTGAGGAATGGGAGCAGGAAGTGACGTCGAGCGAAAAGAAGGAAAGACAGAATGTTCCATGGTGTGGCGGTAATTATTCAAATAGCTGAGATAAACGCCTGCTCGCCTGGAGTATCGGCCACTGGGGAAGTGAACCTCTCAGTTGACATAACAAACAAACTAACACGCGGACAACCGCACCTCGTCAGATATTAGGAGGACAACACGATATAGTGGTGGTCAACACATCGGAGACCCTCGCGATTATAAGACCGAGGTGTGAGAATTGGTAACCCCTCCGCTCTATTGAGGACTTATTTCGCAGCGATGCGATCAAGCGGGGCGGCGGCGGCTGTGCAAAGAGTATCCGCATTTGGGACAATCATTGACACCGTTGAGTACAGCCAGACATGGGGTGAAAAACGGCCTTACCACAAGCCTTCGGAGTGGAAAGAGCGGGTGCTCCGGTGCAAAGTTGGTAGGAACTAGAAACAGAGTCAGACGAATACACTTTCTCGAAGCGTTGCCGCGGCGGACTCCGAGTCCGAGTCGGAGAACGTTACGCGTTATCGCACATCAAGATCACACGTGGCAACCAGATCCATCACGTGCGATCGCCGTGCACAGAAACAAGTTTCAAATTTCAAACAACCTCGAAAACATGTAAAAATTGGCATGACTTGACTTCTTCATCGCGAAGTACTCTCACTGCACTTCATGCTACCATCTGGCCTAAATTCGTATTTCTGAAGTCGCTATGTACCACGTGTTATAGGAGCTCTCTGCTACAGACCGAAAGCAAATGTAGAGGATCCGTAGATCGCGGAAACGACCTTGACTTTACCTTCCCCTCCAGCACCTGCAGCTACATACAGCGGAATGAAATGCTCTGCACGAGGATGTGCAGCACGGAATCCGGGGTGTTGTGTCAGGTTAATCATTTCTTTATGCCTGAGACCAGGCTGGCCACGGAGTGGTGAATGTAGTAGCATCAGGGATTGCACGAGGAAATGACTCACGTCCACGATAGTGACTGCATCCAAGATCGCGTGGTCGAATTGTTTCACAGCAGTTGACGCAGATTCTTCAGCGAATGAACCCATGTTACGCAAGTTGTGCACCAATAGACCGCCCGACAATACCAAGATGCCTTCATGTCTTGGATCAACGTCAGAAGGTCAAAACAATCTCGCATAATGCTAAAGTCATAACCTACCGTAACTGCTCCACAACCGTGCCGATTGCCCAATTTTTCTCAGGACTTAAACTCCCATCAATAGATATTTGAACAACGGGCACGTCCATGAACACTTCGCCGAACATCAATTTGAATGGGACGAATACTCCATGATCCAAGCCGGGACCTGAGAAGCCCCTACCATCCTCTCCGCGTGCTTCTAGCTTAGTCGTCGTACGAGCAAGATGACCAGCCTGAAACAGTCGCGACATCAACGTGATACACTTAGAATATTTAATTAAGAGCGGTATCGAACCTCTTTATAAAGTTCTACAATGCGCTTGGAGAGCGCCGAATCCCCTCGAGATCTGAATTGAAGCTGATACAGCGCAGGCTGGAAGCCGTAGTAATCCATTAAAACGGGATTCAGATCCCCGTAATCAGTCACTAGAAGCTTTGCTCAGCTGTTATCACGATTAACAAACAAAACGCTTACCGACGCGCTCTCCTACAGTCTCCCAATGAGCGCTGAAAACCGCGATACCTTTAGGTTTATATTTGGCGAGCAACGCCGGTCCAAAGTCTCGCAGAAAGGTAGCAAGAGGACCCTTCGGACCCATTTGTCTCGAAACAGGTGAATCACCTTGAACATCGGACTCGGGGAATACAAGAAACGGAGAGCCGTGTCCAAAGAAAAAGGACGGGATATTGTCCGGAGTAGACGGTAATTCATCTAGCGCTTTGCGCCATTCTGTCCGCGATCTCGGAAATGCGGGCTGGGTGCTGTCAGTAGAAGACATGGTGCGAGTCCCGAAACCTGGAATAACGCGAAAGCCACTAGCAGATAGCCTTGACAATATGTAGGCTGTCACAATTGTGAAGACAAAAAGTGCCACGAATCGTGGGCTATAAGTGAAGGATGCCACGGTGAGAGATTATGTCAAAGGACAACCAAGACGAAGTTGGAAGGAAGATGAGTAACTCCTGAGAGACTCGTTGAATCTCAGTTAAAAAAACTTGGTCGTCCGAGACTTGCCCGGAGAGGGTAAGAACGTCTCACACCGCGGTTACCACTCGGCCCATTCCTCGGAGATTCGAGAGCGAGAGAACTTACTTACCATTTTAGGACGGTGACGACAGGCGTCTAAATTGCCTGTGCTGACATACTCAAGTTCGTGTCCGACAGGGAAGGTACCGCTTTTCGCTTTTCGAAGTAAATCTTCATGGCAGCACGTCTTAACGGCGGATGGTTGCGGGGAACAACCATCCGCAAGGGAGGTGTTTCCACGAATCCGACCTCGCGCACGAACACTCCTCAGATTCAGAGCACATCAACGACTGTCTTTGGCGGGGGTGTAAAAGATGCATCTGGGAGAGTATCAGAGTACTTTGTGAATATCATCCCCCTTACCCCCTGGATAGAATATGCTCATGCTAGTCGTGCTCAACAGTCGATGGACGATCAATGTCCTGTGTGCAAATCCGATAGGTATCTGAATCCGAAGTTACGCCTCTTAGTGGGTGCATGCTATCACAAAATGTGTGTATAACCATTTTGAAATCTTCAATTTCTCATTATATAACATATTTTTAGGTGTGAATCATGTATCGACCGTTTGTTCACACTGGGTCCCGCTCCATGTCCAATTTGCGGGAAGGTTCTGAGAAAGTTAGCTTTTACCCCACAAACCTTCGAAGATCTTGGTGTGGAAAAGGAAGTTGCCGTACGGCGGCGGATAGCCAAGGAGTGAGTGAGTGTTACATCAAGTTTCTGACAGCACTGACATACTTCAAGATTCAATAAGAGACGAGAGGACTTTCCCGACGTTCGCTCTTACAATGACTACCTCGAGGAGGTTGAGGACATCGGTAAGCATTTAACTCTTTCTGACGTGAGTTTTTTGCATGACTGTGTCTAACGTGTTCCAATGCAGCTTTCAACCTCATCAATGATATAGATATTCCGCAGACCGAAGCCCGCATTGCTGCGTATCGGATCGAGAATGCCGCACTCATCGAGCTTAATGTTCAGCGTGAAGAGCAATATATTCAGCAACTGAAGCAACAAGAAGAGGCTGAACGACTGGAACGAGAACAACACGCATTGGAGCTCCGACGTGCGGAGGAGGAAGAGCGGGAGGAGCGAGAAAAAGGTAGAGAGGACATCATCGACAAACTCGAAACGAGCGACAAGGATGCCACCAAGCTGATTGCGCGCTCTCGCGCAGAGGCGCTTCGTCGCGCATCTGCACGCTCATCTTCGACTACCTCCGCCCTTCAGAGCAGCTCGGGCTTACTCCGCTCCCGAGCTACCCAGAGCACGGCTGTGCCTGATCTTCCCCATGTGCCACTCGAGGACGATTGGTACGCTTATGAAGACAAGTTCGCGATGAGGGATAACTACGATGATCCAACGAGCGAAGCTGTCCGGCGAGACAAAGAAGGTATCATGCGCGCGGGAGGCTATATAGTCGAAGAGGCCTGGCAGAGGGCCCTTCGATTTGCGGTGGCCGGACTTGAGATTGCACCTCTGCAAGGACTGCATCCCTCCGACCCCCCATCACCAGCGCTGCCGCAAGATGCTGACGTAGTCATGGCATCTGCTTGATGGACTTCCGACAGCTATTATATGTCGAGGTATCAAGGCCTTCCGATTCACGGGCACCCACGTTCGACGCATCGTGCATTTACACGCATGATGCAGTGTATACCGTACGTTCTCTACGACAGATACCCGAAGGCAAAGACATTCCCCGAGTAGCGATTATACGAAGATACAACGCCCGTGATGCTGTAGGATATAATGTAATAATATTATGGATATGACATTACCCTAGGAATGGTATGAAGATAGTGCAATCTTACGAGGGATGCATCTAAAGGTCAACGCGACGGTAAGATGGAACTGAATTATAGAAGAGCATGCTTGGCCGAGAGGTGTCATCGAACTACAGCGGAGGTCACAACCCGCCGGGCCCGACGTTCAGATTCAGTGAGAGGATCTTCAAGCGGAAAATAGAGGATCTGGTATTTATCCTTCCTCCTGGAACAAAGTTGTGAGCCTAATGCCAAAGAAGCAGGATCTCGGAACACACCGTAGCGTGGTCGTGCTCAGTCTGAAGATCTTGAGTACTTTGCTGGGATCTGGGCCAAGTTCATGTCTGTCCTTTTCATCGTCGTCGTCGTCGTCGTCGCTGACAACAATAACATCCTGTCCAGGACGCGAGGCGGACGCTGCCGCACGCATTCTCTTCGAAGGATCGTTGAGCAATCTGTGACTTGCCTTTCGCTTGTGCGTTTGTGTGGTTTGTACTGGATGTAGCACCTGATGGAATTTATCTGGCGTGCCACCGGCCGCTGCTGCAGTGTGGCTTAAAATCCCTACCCTTCGTATATCTGCCGGGATGCGCCTAAAATTCCAGGGTAATAGTAGGACACAGAGTCAATGTCATGGCGTACAAATCAGACGCACCTCGAGGGATCGAACACTAGCAAATTGATCATGCTATTCTTGCACTGCTCATACCCGACGATGGTTCGCGAGTGGCCAGCGTGCTGGAGAATCAGAGGCATCCTGTCTGTGTCCACAACAGCCTGTGCGCCACGGAGCACATCAAAGGCATTGGTCTGCTTTGGCTGTAGCACCCCTGAAAAGAAATACTGGGCGACCCATTCAAGTAGAATTTCCGGTCCTGTGCGCAAGCGTGTGTTCAGCTCGGTAAAATCGTAGATTGATCAAGGGGAATCGACTACCTCTCTTTGACAAGTCAAAGTCCACTAAGCGCGCTCTACATCAATGGGCAACCTGATCGCAACACGCTTGTCAGAAGTACTCACGGTATCCCGCGAAATGTAAAAGCGACATATAGCTCTGTGGACACGAGGAAAATGAGCAGCGCAGAAAAGACAAACTTTGCCCTATCTGACCTGCTGTCCCTATCCACTTACGAGTGCCCACAAGCTGATGTTTCAATTCTTTGGCTCCTTCCGCATCGAATCCTTATGCCCGAGTAGATCAGCAATAGTGGCCCTGCTATTTGACACATGATGTACCTTTACTCCAAGCATCTTGAATACAGGACTGAAGATTGCGGACCCCTGGTGGCGTTGGATCGTCCAACAGAGGAAAATACATAGGCTGTCCCGACTGGACCATCAGGGCTGTGCACGCCATCAAAAAGTTGCGGTATCTTCAAATTACCACGAGGATATGAGAGTATTTAGAAGTCGAAGAGGCGAAGACCTACCCACAGCCCCATGACCGGTCAAACTGTTCCCCGTAGACATGAGCAACTCTGTCGAAACAAAGCCAGGCACGTTGCGTATATCCTTTGGAATGGGACTTGATTAAGGCGTTTTTGACAACAGGTATTAATCCTGGCACGACCCCATTGGGCTTCAATTGGTAGTACTATGGTCCAGCACATACCTGGGCTGAAATTGGGCGGGGGAGGACTTGACTGAGAGGAATGCCAGAAAACGTTTCCCCCAGCGGGAATGATCTTCCGATCCTCACTGCTTGTGCGGCATAGATGGACCCAAGCCTTCGAGGCAGTCTCAGCGTTGGAAGGACCAGATGAACTCGAGGCTGGAAGGCTTTGAGATATTCATGATGTGATAAAGAAAGGTTCTACTTATTGCCCACCTTCAAATTGTTTCTGATTTGAATCGTTGAAGTGAGAATCGTAGTGAGCCTGTCGCTGTTGTGCTGACATGTAGGTAAGGTCGGCTGAGCAACCCGAGAGCTGGCATCTCGTCATCTCCCTGAATATCTTGAGGATATCGGTAACTTTCGACCAACCTTGCTACTCACCTGGTATTTTTATTGTACATCCTTGTCTTCGCGGCCGCCTTTCAATGTGGCCATGAAAGTAAGTGGCAGCGGCAGGACTGCGCTTGCTTACAGTGATCGAACGAGCGCCTGCGACGCGCACGGTCGCGTCGCATCACGTGAGCAATGCGACGCAAGCTCGACGCGCGTCTTGAATTCAGCAGCGGCAGTCTATACTTTGCTCTTTATTGCTCTTTATCTCTACCCTTCTGAAGATGTCCAGGTCTTACGATCGCGGTATCTAATGCCATATTCCACTATCATGCTTACTTGCTGAATATATATCTCCGCAGCGCTCACGGTATTCTCACCCGACGGCCATTTGTTCCAGGTGCGCGCGAGCTCATCATGAATAACAGGACAACGTTTCACGATCCCACGTATTAGGTTGAATATGCACTAGAGGCAGTGCGCAAGGGAACTTGTGCTGTAAGTCTCGGCTTCACATTTCCCCCACCTAATCATAATATATGCACAGGTGGGAGTTCGCGGCAAGGACGTTGTCGTACTTGGTGTGGAGAAGAAGTCCGTCCTTCAACTGCAAGATCCTCGGACGGTCCGAAAGGTGGCCATGTTGGACGATCATATCTGTCTTGCTTTTGCTGGTTCGTTTCCCTTCGTTGGACGGTGAAACTATTCGCCTCATCCGCATCATCAGGTCTTACGGCGGATGGACGAGTTCTGATTGACAGGGCGCGAATAGAATGCCAAAGCCATCGTTTGACTGTCGAGGACCCAGTCACTGTTGAGTACATAACCAGACATATTGCGGGCATTCAGCAGGTTTGTAGTAGTACGTCTCATCACACTCTGACCCATCTAATACCCTCTGGAAGAAATACACACAATCAGGAGGGGTGCGGCCGTTCGGAATCTCCACTCTCATTGTTGGGTTTGACCCTCACGACACAAGACCACGTCTCTATCAGACTGAGCCCAGTGGTATCTACAGTTCGTGGAAGGTATGCAAGCGGGAATTTACTGCTTGGAACGTCTGAAGCATATCTACGGTACAGGCTAACGCCATTGGGCGGTCCTCCAAGACCGTTCGTGAATTCCTGGAGAAGAATCACAAGGACGACATGACTAGAGAGGATGCCATCAAGCTGACCATCAAGAGTCTACTCGAGGTTGTTCAAACAGGTGCGAAGAATATCGAGATTAGTATCATGGAGAGCTACGGCAAAGTCACGGTGTGCCTTTTTCCATTTGCACTTGCGCGTCTCACCGATTCATATCTTAGAGCTTGGACCTCACTCAAATCGAAGCAATAGTCGCAGAAATTGAACGGGAGAAAGAAGCTGGTACGTATAGTGTTGTGACCTTCTCATCTCCGCTGACCTCCTCGGTGCAGAGGCGGAGCGAAAGCGCACACGACTGGCGGCCACTGCGGCCGGTCAAGCTGCGATGGCCCAAGTAGCAGGAGAACCGTCGGATCAGTAGAAGTCTTACCTAGTTTCAGAGCGTGTTTTGCGTGCTGTAGCAGTTTTGTCGTAGTCGATATTCGTCATGCGTGACACCTGTTCGGAAAGCTTGAGTCGACTCGGACACCTGTAGGATTACAAGGGGACCGCCGAGGCACGTTTCGAATCAAAGAAATTCGTTGTCCGAGTATCGCCCTCAAACTTAGATGTGTTTGTTTGGCAATGGCCTCTGATCCTAACAACCGCCTACCATATTTGTCGTGGCCAGAGCGAGAGCGACAAGTCCAAGTACTCAGTGGTTTCCTCCAAGTCTGTGTCACTGAATAACTTCACCGATACCCTTCTTAGACAGTCGACATGGATTCCTCTAGCCCAGGACAATCAGCTGCGCAAGCCTCTGAATCAGTCTCGTCGAAGCATATACTTTTGTCTGAGATTCTCACCGTTACCTCGGTTATGCGCAAGAATTCTCGATGGGCTTCATCCATGCACAGCTTTAGCACACGGGATTCTGCCCTTGCCAGCAGTCTGGGACTTAGAAGAACAAAGCATTTTCTTGATCGTGATGTCTCGGAACGTGGCAGTACGGAGCAGGAGCTCATGACCGGCTTCCAAGAGCTCAAACGCCTTGTGAAGGATGTTGATGGTTCGTAATGTATCCAGCAGTGAGGACACGGTACATTGACCAAATTTTACAGATGTACGGTCGTTGACTCTGGCCACACTCCTTGCGCCATTCTTTGCGATAATCAGGTCCCCTCTGTCTACAGGACCCATCACGTCCGCCGCACTTTCCTCCATCCACAACTTCTTCGTCTGCAACCTGATCTCTCCCACTTGTGATACTCTTCCCAATTCCCTCGGTGAAATGAGCAATGCAATATCTCGGTGCAAGTTTGAGACAAGCGACTCTTCGGGTGACGAAGTGGTCCTACTGAAGATCTTGACTGTTATTCAGGACGCGATGTGCGGAGTTGTCGGTGATGCATTGGGAGACATCGAAGTCTGCGAGATGCTCGAGACGGTATTGACGACGTGCTGTCAAACGCGCCTCAGCGGTACGCATTTCCTGTACTCCGACACATTGGCCTGTGCTCTAAGAGATATCTGAAGAGGTATTGCGGCGGTCCGCAGAAGCTACCATGCACTCGTTGGTCAGGACCGTGCTTTCGCGGCTACAGGTGTTGGACCTCGACGTAGAGGAGCGCAAGCTATCAGACAGCGGTTGCGATGCAGTAGAGGGTGAGGTGAAGATGAGTGTGTCGACCAAATCTCTCGCGGAACATAATTCTGGCAACGTTGACACAGAAGATGACGCCCGAACCGCCGAGACAGCGGTGGATCAGGAAGTACCGACAGCGTCTGCTATAAAAGCTGAAAGACAAGAATGTAAGCTTAAAACCTTTTAGCACAGTGATCCACTGCTCAGAAGTGGATTCTAGACGGCCTGCCTTCCATTGTAGAGCTCTTGCGTGTGGTTATCAACATTCTCGACCCCAACGATCAAGCACACACCGATTCCATTCGTCTCACTGCCCTACGGATAGTGAACGTTGCGTTCGAAGTTTCCGGAAGTCGCATTTGCGAATACCCGTCCCTTTCCACTCTTGTTCTCGATCACGGATGCAAATACTTGTTCCAGTTGGCTCGCTCCGACAATCCTTCCGTATTGCAGACCGCTCTACGCACAATCTCGACCATGTTTGAGACTATGCGCCCAAAACTCAAGCTTCAACAAGAACTGTTTCTTGCCTTCACAATCGACCGCCTCGCACCACCTATGCCAAAAGGTATTCCAGCTCTTGGCGGCAAGGGTCTGTCCGCATCTTCAAGACCCGGAACGCCCAATTTAGGGTCGGAGTTGGAGAATGGACCATCAACGCCACGTATCCTGGTTGCGCCTGCTCGTGGAGACACGCGTGAATCTCTGCTGGAGACTTTAAGCTTAATTTCGCGCCATCCCAGTTTCATGGTAGATCTCTATACCAACTATGACTGTGATATGAACTGCGAGAACATGTTTGAGCGTCTCATCGAGTTCTCAACGAAGGTAGGACAATTTGATATCTCTGTATGCAGCTGCCAACGATTATGCAGGGTGTATACCCACCGCAATCTGTCGGAGGTCTCGAGTTCCAACAACAGAATTCCCAGTATCTTTGCTTGGACCTGTTATTGGCGTTCGTTACCCATATGGCCTCTCGAGCTGAAGGTGTTGGTACTAAACTTCTAATTTGTCCTGTCGTGCCTGACCACTGATACATACAGCTTTCCGAAACCTGGCCTGTAGTAAGTAGCATACTCCAATGCAGGAGGATTGGTTGCTCATTTCTCTTTGCTACCGTAGAACTTTGTCTCTCCCGAGGACCTCCTGCTCACGAAATCTCGCAAGAAACTGATCCTGACAGGAACTGCGCGGTTCAATACTAAGCCGAAGACGGGGCTGTCTTTCCTTGAGGAAAATAGGTTGATCTACACGGATCCGAATGAACCACGCACCGTCAGTCTGGCCCAGTTTTTGAAGAACTCGGCCCGCGTGGATAAGCGCCTCTTGGGCGATTTCATCTCCAAGCCAGATAACATTGAAGTGCTGAAGGCCTTCATGCTCCTTTTCGATTTGAAGGATGTAAGTTATGGATAGCATGCGAAGATGCGACCTCATGCTGAATTGTGAGCCCAGAAACCCGTTGCGGAGGCAATGCGAGAGCTTTTGGAAGCATTCAGACTTCCAGGAGAGGCGCAGCAAATCAATCGAATCACGGAAACTTTCGCTGAAGTCTACTTCGCTACTCAACCAGGTATGGGAATTGATCCTTTCGGTAATGAGCATTTGTCCTCACTTCATGCCCTCAGCGGAAGTCAAGTCGCAGGACGCCGTCTACGTGCTTGCGTATTCAATCATCATGCTCAACACAGACCTTCACAACCCCCAGGTCCGGGTAAGCAACAAGTATTCTTCTCGTTAAATTACGCTAATGGTCAAATAGAAAAGGATGACCATCGAGGATTACACGAGGAATCTGAAAGGTGTCAACGATGGCTCCGACTTTTCAGCTGAATTCTTGGTAGGGTGTAAGCGAATATGTGCATTCATAAGAAATGCTGACTTGCCTTCAGCAAAATGTTTATGACTCAATCCGCAAACGAGAGATCGTCATGCCAGAGGAACATACTGGGCAACTGGGCTTCGAGTACGCATGGAAGGAGCTCCTCACGCGTTCACGTCAGACAGGTAGAATGATTGCTCGTGCATGTGCTGCACCATACTGATCCACCCTCATCACCTGCAGGAGAATATATGATGTGTAATACTTCTCTATTCGACGTCGAGATGTTCAGAACTGTTTGGAAGCCCGTTGTGTCAGCAATCGCTTATGCCTTCATCACCTTCGAGGACGATTATATCATCGAACGCGCCATCGCTGGTTTCCGGCAATGCGCTACGTTAGCCAGACACTTCGGGATGCCCGACGTTTTCGACTACGTCGTCGTTTCATTGTCTCAAGCAACCTCTCTTTTCTCCGAAGCACAGTCTCCGCAAGTCCCGAATTATCCTGTTGTCGAAGTAGAAGGGCAGTCAATCACTGTTTCTGCGTTGTCTGTGAAGTTCGGAACCAACTTCAAAGGCCAATTAGCGACAGTTGTACTGTTCAATATCGTGAATGGTAACGGCAATGCGTTACGGGAAGGGTGGACCCAGGTAGGCCATTCTTTGTAAGCGTTGGCTTATGCAGTCAGGCTCATAGCAATCGCAGATATTTGAGATGTTTCAGAGCCTTTTCTTACACTCCCTTCTACCTGCCAAAATGCTGCAGATGGAGGATTTCCTTGGAGGTACCTCCATTATTCCTCTGCACGGAAGCCAGCCATCCCGTCATGCACCAAGATCAGATGGTCTATTGTCCGCATTGTCATCCTACTTGATGACGCCGTATAGCTCAAGTGCGGACACTTTGGTTCCTGATGCCACGGATTCAGATATCGAGAACACCCTTTGCACTATTGATTGTATATCCTCTTGCCGACTGGACGAATTATATGGTCAAATATTGTAAGCGGTTTTGCCTTTTAATATGTCCCTTGTAACTGAGTGATGCCAAGGCAGCTTGACGTAGATGCATTAGTTGCCGCAGTCCGCGCACTCGAGGCTCTCGCTCACGAGCGGACTGTCGCACGTCTGAAACAAGAGTCTGACGATGTTTCTTTAGGATATAGTACACCTCAAGGTGGTCTGTACTCTTTGCCCTACGATCCCGCTTCCGTATTTCTTCTGGAGACAATGGTCAGCATTGTGTGTCAGACACCACAGCACATAGAGGATCTCTGGTGCGTAGTGACACATGACGCATATAACCAAGTAAATGACACGCGGCGCAGGCCAGTCCTTTTTGAACACTTATCAGCATTACTCTCCGCCCCGACACAGTACAGCATCCTGCTTATTGAGCGAGCCGTTGTCGGACTCCTGCGAATATGCCTCATTTTGGCAACAAAAGTGTGTGACCCATTTCTCAGTTCCAGGATTGTCTTCGCATCTAATCTACTCATCAATGTTGCAGGTGGCTCTACGAGATCAAGTTTATGTATCTTTCGATCTTCTTGCTAGCTTACCTCCTAGTATAGCTACCGCCGTGGCAGAGCAAGTCGTTGCGGGGCTTGTGCGAATAGCGAAGCATCATGGAGATATCGTGAATTCACAGACAGAGTGGAACATTGTATTTGCTCTTATGCGCTCCACGATCGCACATCCAGAGGCGTCCCGGCAATCGTTCCAATTGATCACGAGCCTGGTTTCCCAAGGTCCTGAACAACGTGTAACGATGGATAACTTTACGGGGTTGATTGGGGTGCTGGAGGAATTTTCCGCTGTAGCGAGCACCGCTGTCGAAGCTCAACAGCAAGGCCGTCGTACGCAATCCTTGAATACCTCGAAGTGAGTTCAAGTAGTACTATGATTGAGCATTTCGATAATGAATCATTGCAGCTCACCGATTGTCGAGCGGGGTCGAAAAGCGATTGATATGATAGCTGACCTGAAGAAATTCTGGTCCGTGTTCTCCGCCTCTGCTGTGCGGCAGAAAGGACTGGGTATGTTGACAACTCTATTATGATTCATTATTCCTGATACATACTGCGCAGTATGGCGGCAGTATTGCCTTCCTCTTCTATCGGCTCTAGGAAGGCAGTCTACCAATGTCTCAAGGGAGATCCGGCAAGCCGCTATGGTCCACCTGCAACGTATAGTGTTGGGTCCTCACCTTCCTGTGGATGTTAATGAGCACGGCCAGGTGGAAGAGTTATTTAACCGTGTGGTCTTCCCTCTGCTGGACGAACTTCTCAAGCCGCAGGTGTTCCTCCGTGATCCGATGAGCATGCCTGAAACGCGTGTGCGCGCGTCCGCGCTGCTATGCAAGGCATTCATGCAGTTCGAGGCGCGGGAGGGCCAGAAGGCGGATATTAGGGTGATGTGGATCCAGGTGCTGGACTTACTCGATCGGTACATGAACGTTGATCGTAGAGGTCAACTGGTGCGCTTACCATTTCTATATTTCACGAGTCACGCCTGATGTAATTCCCTCAGTACGAAGCCGTACCAGAATCGCTGAAAAATGTGCTCCTTGTGATGAACGCCAGTGGACTCTTGGTTCCGCCCTCAGATCCCGACGAGCGTGACGACCCTCAGAAGGCGCTCTGGCTTGCGACGCACGAAAGGATTGAGAGGTTTTGCCCTGGATTCCTCTTTGATGTTCTTCCCCCGCCTCCACCTCCTCAGCCAACACCAGTGCCACACTTGTCTCCATCGTCCTGAAGAGTATTGTCGCAGTGTTTTCGTTGCATATTTATTTTGTTCGTTCAATGTAATTGTCTTGTGCCGTTGACACACACTCCCTCCACCCTTTTCCAATTTGTGACACTGAGAAATAATCAATACTTAGGCTCCTGTTGCCACAAAATCCACAACAAGATTGTCAATGATATTAGTGCAGACAACATATTACAGCACAGAACAGCGAAGGCAGCAGAATTACAAGTATGAATATGTATGTATGTAAAGCAATGTGTAATAACAAAAACACCACACTATTAGCAGATAATTCATGCATGCATTGTCATGGTCGTCAGCCAAGGAACTAGTGACATGAATGGTCACAGCATGTTTAGGGATCAAACTTTGGCCAGCTGCCTTCCGCCTGCAGCTTTTCCACCATCTCTTGAATAGACGCCTTGTCAAATTCTGGCCGGCACAAGGTATAACCGAGGACGCGCTTAATCTTTGCGTTGGAGAATGCGACGACGTGCTTTGCTAGGCTGTTTTCGTCCATGTAGGCAGAGAAATGAGTGTTGGGGACGGGAGGATTCGATTTGGTGACCATTTCTGTCCAGCCGCTGACGTGCACCTCGTTAATTTCTTCGATGTAGTCACCAATTTGAAACTACATCCAAAATTGAAGGTATGTCAGCAGATGACTCGGACAGTAATTCAAGAGATACCAGACTTTTGCCATTGTATTGACCAGGAAGTTATAGAACTCAAAGGTCGTCCCGAAGACGGATGCTATTAAGGAGGCGGCCTGGACGAGAGTACTGTTTGCGTCATCGACCTACGAGAAAGGGAAAGCAGACACCCTTGTCAGCGCCGCATACACACCAATCATGCAGATGGCACTCACGATGTTGAACAACGGTACAACGACCTTCTGCGAAGGGGCTATCATGCCTTCGACCTCGGCGGTCACTGACTCTTTGTTCTTGAATGGAATGACTTCCCCCGCGGCAGTATTTGCTTCCTGCCGCCCGACACGGGCTATCCACTCCGCGGAAGCCCACATTGCAGCGACAACGTCGTCAATATGAACAGTGTTTACAGGATACTTCCCGGGAGACCACCTGGAGAAAGTAAGGCATCAGGGGCACGGCTTGCCAATTAGATGAGCGAGCATTACGAACAAAGCTTTCAATGGTTGCTTCAGATACCCATATACAGCAGCTATTACAGTATAGCTAATAACCTCTACGATGCAGAATAACGATAAGTCAAAATACCAAGCTGCAAGAGGAAAAGGTACATACGACCATAGTCAATATATGGCCCGTACACCATCCCTGTCCGCACGACCACCAGGTTCAGGCTGCATACCATGCGATCAATAAGTGCGCTCCCGTAACCTGTAGTTGGATTCTCACCCTTCAATCGCTCCGAGCGCGCGCAGTGTCTCATGCCACCATGTTCCAAGGACGCCATCGGGTCGCACATCCTCACCCTCGTTGTGGTCTCCCTTTTCCTTGCATTGGTAGAATGGGTGTTGGATGCGCACATACGCCGCGACCTTCCGCTTCGCCGCCTCGAGCCCGATTAATCGCGAGACCTTAAACGTGCTCGTGATTTGCACCTGCACAATCGGGAAGCACATATGAGACGTAAACGACGCTCGGGCATGCAGTGCAATCACCTGGTCCGGACGGTTCCATTGAAGCTCGCCTGTCAGATCGAATACATAGGTGTATGCCTCCTGGCCCTCCAGCGTGTCGAAACATGAAGCGACGATAGCTATAACTCGATCGATAATCAGCGCATACATCGAGAACAAACAGACTCACCAGCAACGGTCAAATTCGCCTGTCTGTACTCCACATTTGACTTCTCCAGAATCTTGGGGAATTCCGCACCGATATATCTACACACAGAATAAGACACACAAAGGAGGATATAACAGTTAAGGGGAGTACGTGGTGGGCGGGGCGACGGAGTATTTGTCAATAATTCGGAGATTCTACGCACGCATTGAGACGAACAGACACGGCAGACACAGCAAGACACGTAGCTCACCTCGACGAGCGACTCACCATCCACAGGAACGAGATATGCGGCGAGTGACCTAGAACAGGTGTTCAGCCCACCTAAGGATGCGATGAGTGCCTGGTTCATCCACGATGAACAATGACACACACCGAAGATGATCGCGTTGGGCTTCATTCGAAAGGAAGAGGTGGTGGAGGCGATGAAGTGATTCCAAGCGATCTATGCAGCAGTCGCCCTGGCTGCAGACGGCTTGCGGTCAGACCTCGCACGAAATTGAGCTAGCGAGAGGCGTTACCAAGGAGTCTAAACCGTATATGGCAGCTAGTCGGTGATCGAGTTGAACTCGTCGTCAATCAGGACAGCCTGAAACAAGAGAAAGAAGAGAACGAGGGGAAGAGAGTAGGTGCGGATGTTGGTATTCCACTCGAGTGGGTTGGACGACAGAAGATCTTTGGACTTTGGTTGACAATATTCAGATCTCCTTTGCGATACTGCTCTCACTTTCTCACACTTTCTCGCGAGCGCCCAAGGGTCAGAATCCTCAATACTCCGTCACGACGTCAAAATGTATTTCATTACAGGGACAGAAATTTGGGACCATACAACATCAACGCTGACGAAACAGATTGCCAAGAGATGAAGAGCATACACACAGCAATCTATTCAAGCAAACCGGTTGAAAAACCTCATCTTCGACAACCTGATTGCCGCGTGGACCATTCAAACCATCGTCAGCGCCGGTATGCCGCAGAAGAAGAGGAGCACGCGGACCTAACTCGAGCGAAAACACCCCCCAGTAGCAGAATGGGCGCGATGGTGTACGCGAGCAACCGCACAATGGGCACGACGTTGTTCTGCGCAAAATCCGACCATGTGCCACCCAAGTGTGCAGTTACCAAGAGCAACACAAACAGCACATACCCGGAAAGCCTTGAAGTCGTATTGATGATGATGATGATGATCGAGGGTTAGAGACGTAAGGGCACACACCTGTGATATTTCCATACGCGCCTCGCTCGAGGGTTTCCCCCGAAGAGCTTCCCATTGGCCCAAACGCTACCACCTCCCACTGCAATTTGAACGAGCATCCATGTAAGCGTCGCGATGCCAAACCTCTGTATGCATGGTACGTCAGTATTGACTTCTATAATTTAGAGCCTCAATCATACTGACGCCATGCCAAGTGGCGAAATGTGCCGCGTGATGCAGATACTTGTTGTAGCTCACGGCGACGATGCCCAAGGCGGCGGCAGGAAAGCCGAGTGCGAACATGTACAGCTGGTGCCGTGAACGGCCTGCGGCTTTGACGCTGGGTTGGGCGTGGGATGTAGGCTGCAGTGTCAGGATGCCTTTCGCCGCCGGCAGTTAGCATCCGAGGGGAATTGTGCGCCATAAATTACTGGCATACCGTACGTGTGGGCTACAACAGCAACGCTCAGCAAGAAAGGATGCCAGAAGAACCACCCGAGCGTAAACGGGTGGTTTGTGAAGAGTATCACCCATGTGCACATGATGAATGTCTAGGGCGCATCCTTCGATTTAGTGACGGCAAATCGAGCCTGGACATGGATCATACGAAGCCAAAGACCTAAGTGGAACACAAGATCATAAGGCTGCCAACAGTCCTAGGGATTGCGAGACGTACATATGCCACCGCGAACCCCACTGTATCCGTCATGCTCTCCCCGCGAGGATTGACAAGTACTACCTCGTCCGATTCCGGTTCCGGGCCCGCTTTGGAGTTGGCATCATCTACGTGCGCGGGGTCTACTGCAAGAGGGATGTAGTCTACCTCTTCATGCGATTCATCTCTTTGTGTGGAGGGGCCCATCGTGGTGGGCAGAAGCAAGTTATGGGCGGCTGAGGACCCAAGGGCGGTTCTTGATGCCGAAGCTGTACATGTGTTCCTTTGACCGTACAAATCATTCCGACATTCGCGATGTACTGAATATACATATGTACTCTGACGACGTTGGATGAAGTCACGAGAAGATGCAGACCAGGCTTGGCTGGAATCGGCTCGACTCTTACTTAACCCTTACTAGCAACTTGTACAGTTCTCGGAGTCGATTAACCGGCTTCCCCGCGGGGTATTCACGTTCGCCAGTATCTATGTCAGCACTTGATCACCGCTTCCCGACTTCCTTCCAACCGCCATGAGACCAACCCAACGTCTCCTCCAGGTGCTCACAGCAAGCCCGCAGCGCCCGCGGACCATAGGCTTCATCGGTCTCGGGCGCATGGGCTCACCCATGGCACACAACCTCTTGGAGCGCACTTTCATCGAGTCTGTCGGTAATGCGCGCTTCGTTGTATGCGACGCGCGAACTGCCACCGCCGACGCGTTCGTCGCGGATTTCGCGACCGAATTTCCCCGTGTAGAGGTGATCGTAGCCAGCTCGCCCGCAGAGTGAGTACAAACGGCTTCTCCTGCGCGAAGTTGAGGTGAGAGCCGGCCCACAGTACGGTTCTCGCGTCGGAAACAGTCATCACCATGCTTCCGTCGACCCCCCATGTCAGGAATGTGTACTCCGAGGCCGGCGGCATCATACCCGCCCTGCGCTCCCTTCCCCCAGATGCGGTACGCTCCACGATGTGCATCGACTCTACGACTCTTGACGTCGATGTCGCACGCGAAGTCTCCGCAGCCGTGCACAGCATTGGGGCTACGATGGTGGATGCGCCGGTCTCGGGTGGTGTTACAGGTGCCAAAGCCGGGACTCTCAGCTTCCTGGTTGGCGGGACGAAGGTTGAATTCGGTCGCGCGTCACCAACATTGACGTTGATGGGTAAGAATATCATATATTGCGGGGGATCAGGGGCTGGTTTGGTCGCAAAAATTTGCAACAACCTGGTGCTGGGAGTGCAGCAAATTGTCGTGGCGGAGGCGATGTTGCTGGGCCAGAGGCTAGGGTTGGATGCGAAGGTGCTCGCGTCAGTGATCAACAGCTCAACGGGAGCTTGTTGGTCATCTTCGGTGAACAATCCAGTGCCAGGCGCGTTGCCAGATAAGTCCCCGCCGTGTGAGCAGGACTACGAAGGGGGGTTCGCAACGAGACTGATGTTGAAGGTGCGTGCGCAAGGTTATCCAACTGGGTGTGCATTCAAACTCGTTTCCAGGATCTGGGCTTGGCGAGTGATGTTGCCGACTCGGTAGGAAGTCCCTTGGCATTAGGAGAGCTAGCAGAGCAGATTTATGGGGATGTGGTGCGAGAGGACCCAGAGCTGATGGATAAAGATTTCTCGTCGGTGTATCGATACCTGCGGCTAGCGGCGAATCAGCGAAGCGGCTGAATATCCAAAAAAAGTTACGCCATGTCCCCGCATGTACTACAATATATAGCAGCAATATTTGTGGACGCAGGACAAAGCAGAACATGTATTTTGGATTGTGATCAACGAGAGTTGAACGTAGAACGTTGAGTACTGTGCTGTGGCTTTCACGCCAGGGGTTAAGGTTATATATTACGTACTCAGGTTCCCCATTCGAGCAGGTCACAGAGAAAGTCGGTCAATGAACGTTGAGCTCAACGCGCTCAGCGCACACATTCCTGGGCGAGCAGACAGACCTATTGCTGTGCTTATAATCCTTGTTATACTCTGAATTGCGATGTTTGCGGCGGCAAATTCGTTCTTCGGGCGGACGAACATCTCTCAGTCCTACAACATCGCGACCTCTCTGTCGGTCAACAGCAGGACATCTACACCTACGCCATCAGGGTCTTCTTCTACTCCATTACCTGTTGCGACAGCGCATGCACCCCCCTTTCATGTTGGGCCATGGCGTGTCCAATCCGCGACGCACAAAGTTACGCACAAACGTGTCTCAGTATGGAGCGCGGATAAGCGCAGCCAGGAGATGGAGAAGATGGGTGCGGTCTCGAAAGAACGAACATTGGAGGTGTTGAAGTCTGAGGTACAGTCCTTGTATGTGCTGCAGGTGGGGTGAAATCATTTAACCCTTGCAGGCGTCTGCTCTGAGCCGACTGCGCCATCCCTCCATCCTCGGTAGGTCATGTCGAGTCTCGGAGGGCAGGCTTAACGTGACTTTGTCATTGCAGAGATGGTAGAGCCTCTTGAAGAAACGCGCAACGAGCTTATATTCGCGACCGAGCCGGTGCTTTCATCGCTGCGCCTCTCCATCCCTGGCTCCTCGCACTACTCACCTCTAGTCGAACTGGACGAAGTCGAAGTTCGTCGCATGAAGTACGGATGCGGAGCCATGTGTATACTAATGCGCGTCTCAACGTCAGATACAAAAAGGGATTCTGCAGATATGCAAGGGGCTCGCGTTCCTCCATACCTCCGCCCGCCTGATCCACTCTAACCTCACCCCGGAGAGTATCATCATCAACAGTTCCGTTAGTCCCGCACCGCTGTTACGATATTCCGAGGTTGAAGTATCTGTGTTGCAGGGTGATTGGAAGATCTCCGGCCTGGGCTTGACAATACCTCTGACCACCTCGGGAGGAGGTCCCACGCGTTGGGAGTTCCCGACCTTTGATGGCAGATCTCCACCATACACTCAACGCTCCTTCGACTACATCGGTGTGTCATAGCAGCATAGCAAGACGCTTTCAGCTGAATGCATTTTTGGCACGCAGCGCCGGAGTATGCATTGGACGAAGTCCTCGATACTGCTTCAGATATGTACTCTATAGGTTGTATCATGTATGCAGTCCACTCCAAAGGCAACCCGCCTTTCAAGAATCACGGGAGTCTTGGTGGCTTGCGCGAGAATGCAGGAAAGCCATTGGCGGGGATGGACCGTTGGGATTCAGATTTGAGAGGTAGTGTCACATACTGTCCTATGTACGAGACTGCGCTGACATCCAAATTTTTAGTCGTCCTCAATTCATTGATCACCCGGCACGCACATAACCGCCCTACCCCGATGACTCTGCCTTCACACCTGTTCTTCTCCTCATTGCCAATCTCAACCTTGAATTTTTTGGACCGCTCCAACTTTGCTGCCAAGTCGCTTGAGGAGAAAATCTCATTTATGAAAGGTCTCACTGGCGTTCTGGGGAAGTTCTCAGAAGCTCTCCGGACAAGGAAAATCCTTCCGTCGCTTCTTGAGGAGGTAAGTCACTACCCGATCTGATCGTCTCATCTCTCACTGCATTATATCATTACAGATGAAAGACACCCATCTACTTCCCTACATCCTGCCAAATATCTTTGCGATTTCACAGATATTGACATCTAGCCAATTCGCCACTCTCGTGCTCCCAAATCTCAAACCGCTCTTCACTATCAAGGAGCCGCCGCAGAATATGCTGACGCTCTTGGACAACTTGGAGATCCTGCAAAATAAGACAGAGAAACCGGTGTTTCGCGAGCGTATGTGATGAGTCTGTTTAGGACGCGGCACCGAGCTTGAGTTATTCTCTCATCTAGACGTATTACCTTTGGTGTATAACGCACTGGAGTCCGAGCATGCAGTGGTGAGTAAGTTACAACGTGCATGGATTCCGTTGCTGATCATTGTTAAGGTACAAGAGCGTGCACTCAAGGTCGTACCGGATCTCTGCGAGAGCATCGACTACGCGGAGGTGCAGGGGGTACTCTTCCCTCGAGTTGCTGTATGTGAATTCGATATTGCGCGCGTTTTTGTGTCGTAACTATGTTGGCTGTGTCACACAGCTTGTGTTCACAAAAACGCGGATACTAACCGTCAAAGTTGCCACGCTGGTGACCTTCCTGGCCATGGTGAAGACACTCGATCAGGTGAGCACATCAACCAGATTGGCGGGGTGTAAATAGCTGAAACCAGTTTCACTTCAGACAAGTCTTACACAAAAACTCGTTCCCTTGCTTTCGAAGATCCGGACGAAGGAGCCCGCGGTCACGGTAAGTTACAGCTGGACAAGCGTATGATTATTTGGAATAATCGCTGTGGTAGATGGCAACACTAGCCGTGCAAGAGGCTATGGGTCTCAAAGTAGACCGAGAAGCTGTGGCTACTTTGGTCTTACCGCAACTCTGGGCGATGTCCATGGGTCCACGTCAGCGTCCCTTTCATCCTCCTGATATCCCTACTGACTAGGCGAACCCTTGTCAGTGCTGACCATCTCGCAGTTCAAGCGTTTCATGGAGGTGATCCGCAAGCTCGGTGACCGTGTGGAGAAGGAACATGACCAGTATCTGCGTGATTCCCAGCGGGTCGAAGATCGCTCGACATTGGCGAATGGTGACACTGCTGTGCCTAACACAAATATAGCCGTCGACTTCGAAAATCTTGTCGCGAGTGGCGGAGTCGCGAATGGAGGGGTTACCACAGTGAAGGCAGACACGGTGATTGATCCGTCGAAAGCTTGGGAGGACGATGTGTGGGGCAGTATCTTCTCCAGTGGTCCAGAGGTAAGGTTAATTGCCGTCCAAGAGAAAAGTTGGCTTATTTGTTGATCACCATTAGACTCCGGCCATGGAGAGCCTTGCCATTCCTCCTCTGCCACCCCCACCATTGCAGCCGCAGACACAGTCATTGCCGTCGTCACCCAAAGTTTCCAACAATGGCGTGCATGCAACACCCGCGAGGCCCGCTTTCAGTCGTCCTTACCCCGGACTGGGTGCAACCCCTATCCCCTCTACGTCCTTCAATCATGCTACCTTTGCTTCTTCCCCAACAGTGTCGGCGACGGCGATGTCTACACCAACGAGGTCCACGCCGACGATGTCAACACCGACGACGTCGGCGCCAGGGATGTCTATGACATCCATGTTGACACCATCTATGTCTTCGTTCTCGCGTCCTTCGCTATCCTCAGCTACTCCGCATCGCAGTTTCCCCGCAGCGACGCCTACTCAAGCGCCAGCACCAAACTACAACATCTCGCTTCCCCCTGCACCAAATCTACCTATTATGTCATCGCCACTAGTCGCAACACCGCCACAGATGGGAAACGTCCTCGTTCCTTCGAAACCATCGCAACCAAGCTGGTCGAGCGTAGGCACAACAAAGCAGCTGTCTCAGGCAGATTGGGGGGATTTCGACCCACTGGCTTAGCATTTCAAGCATTCCACTATCGATACAATTACCATACCCTTGTACTCAGGTACATTCATGGAGGTCATCTAAATTATGTCGGATCATCTAGGCAGCTTCCACTTCCACTCCCTCAGCTATGCGCACGTCTGGCGCCTCTACTACAGTGTCGAATGTGTTTGGGAGTTCCGGTGAGTAGTCTGGGATGAGATCGACATCGATTGGACGTCCAAGAATCGCTTTGAGGACGATGAGAGCGCCGTTCTTTGACGATACGAGATTTCCTTCCTTGCAGGAGGGGCTGTCAATACCTGTGAAGAGCGATCATTGAGCCTAAGGAAACATAATGGGAAACAAGGCTAATGTACTCACAAGCCGCACACCCTTCTTCACATTCGCACGATTCAACAGTCTGCAGGGCATCAAGGAGCAAGTCGGAAACTGCACAAAAGCACATTGGTGCCGGTCGAGCATATTGTTAAACTGCATACTCTTACCATGGTCGAACGCTTTCACCGTTACTCCGCCAGTCTTGCCAGTTGGGTCATAAAATATGAGACTGTGAAGCAGAGTCAAACTTCTTCTTGTACCAGTGTACATGATCACTCACCGCGCAGGCCGTTTCCTCTGCGATGCCGTCGCTTTGTATTCCTTCTCCGGGACTTTGCACTCAGTTTTGATGTCCCGCCCCAGAGCGTAGCGGTTCAGAAAAGCGTGCTCAGCGGCATGAATGGCCTCTGCGGGGTTGATGCCAGAATGCTTCATGAGTTCTAATGTACGTCTCGGCACATCCATCCACATGCCAGTCGAGTCGCGCTCCCAGGGAGGCGTTTCGAGGTCAACGACGTCGATAATTGATCGATTCCTGGGCTAATATTTGAGCGAATGGACAACATAGGGATGTCGGCTCTTACCGAATCTTGAAGTAGCCTAGGAGGCGTAAAACATTTACTTATCACGGAAGGAACGTCCCGCACATCTATCAATACGCACCATATACAACAGTCTTCAGCTCCACTCCTATGTGAATATATGTGACTCCATTAGCATCAGTGGCAACGAGAGACGTTGTTCGCGCACGTACGTCCATAGAATGCCCTGAAGGGCGAATCCTTGATTTCTCGGATACGTGTAGTCTGGACGGCATCCACATTGGTGAAATCCCTGAGTGACTATGAGTGCGTATACGTGAAAGCGAGCTTAGATGACGAATTACCTCGGCTCAGTAACCCAGTTGACGTTCGTTCTCAGAAGCTTGGCCGTCTTGGAATCATGACTGACTTCTTTGACCTTGATCGAATATGAGCAACGGAAAGGTTAACGTTATTGGAAATGGACCCACTAAGAACGTCAATCCTTGATGTATGAACTGCAAATCGTGAGACCTCGTGCACATAAGATGAAGAGAGGATAACCTACCACAGCACCTTCATAGACTTCAAATAATGCTCGAGAAATCTCAACCTCTTCGAGAATTCTCGCGACGCCGTCTGGCTTGCCCAGCTGAGTGATGTCGATGACGCTGTATTTTTCCTCTTCGCCTCCTCGGAGTGTAATATGCTTGGATGGGAAGGGTAAAAATTTAGGATGCGTGTGATACCTGCGGGACGATATTGGACGTTGCAGTCACGAAGAACGATCTGAATTGACTTAACTTACCAGCCTTCCTTATCTCTCACGAGTCGCGTCTCACACAGCTCCTTCATCAACGGACCGAAGTAGACTTCATCTTCGAACGATAATGGCATTTCCTGGCCTGCACACTGTAGATGAGCCTCCAAGATGACCTTGCTCTCGACATCGATGACAAGATCTTCCATAGGTCTCTCAAAGAGCTCGTCGGGGTTGTTGACGTAGTGCTGATCGATTGGAAGAGCATCGGCTACGAAGACAGCCAGTGCGTCTCGTGCCCTACGACCGGCTCTGCCAGCTTGTTGTCGCTGTGAGATAGTCAGGATGATAACCAGAAGACCGAACCGCAGAATCTGACTTACGAAACTAGCGATCCCTCCCATCGGGTAACCCAACATGATGACCGCATCCAATACACCAATATCAACACCAAGCTCTAGAGCATTAGTGGCCACAATGCCTAAGAGATTGCCAGAGAAGGCCTCCTTCTCTATTCTCCTTCGGTCCTAAGGGAGCAGAACGCAGTCCATGGGGTCCATGTGGATCCGCATGGTATCTAGAACGCACCTGTTGTGAATATCCTGATTGAAGTCAGTAAGAACTATGTACAGCGATACAATACACAGTCATACCTCCTCGATATGCCATCACCCTTGCCAGGATATCTGAACGACCCTCAGCCGCTAGCTCTGATCTCAGAGCCTTCATGGCCTGGATCGGTTTGTCAGCAGAAAGTTACTTGATAGACCAATTTTAAACATCACCAATTCGCAGGATTTCCGAATCTATCCCAGTTGTGTGAGAACGCGAAGATTAAAGATAGTTTTCAGGCCCTACCTTGCAGAAGAGGATGACACGGACCCCGCGGGCCATTAGATATCTCATAAGCTGAGTTGCCTCCGTCATGGAACTTAGCCGTCCCGAGGACTCGTCCTCAGGATCCCTCAATGGGGGATTCCAGACAAGGAATTCCTTGCGACCGGAAGGAGCTCCATCTTCTACGACTTCTACGATATCCTGAATTATTGCGTCGACAAAACACGATCAAGAATTTTGCGTATCTATCGCTCACCTCGATCCCAAAAATGTTCTTCATGTGTTCTTTCGGCTTGGAGATCGTGGCACTGCAGGACACAAACCGGATCCTTCTGTCTATAAGAGGTTCTTGTCAGAGTTTCATGATGGCAAGGATTCGGCGTAAGACATACTGCCGACTGCAAAACAGACCCTGCGGAAACGCCTCATCACAAAAGCAACATGGCTGGCAAGGTTAATTAACCGTCGAGACTCAGCACAGTACTTGCTCAAAAACAATACCTTCCAAAGATATTAGAGTAATAGTGCAACTCGTCCACGGCAACAAGCTTCAGGTTCTTGAGGAATCTACGAGACGCAGTTGCAAAGGAACTCAGAAGGAATGCGATAAATCTGCCCACCTGCGCCAAAGATCTTCGTGTGGCAGTATCGAGAAATGCAGCATATCCTGTAGAGAGATTGAATTCTGACCATACTTAATCTCAACGGCAGCCTCACGAAGTTAGTGAAGATCACAGATGCAGTTTCACGTATGCCTGGGAGCAATTATCAATATTCTCAGAGGTCACAACGTTTGCGAAGTGAGCCATAACCTGCGCGCTGTTCTTGAGGTGTATCTCCATCGTAAGTGCAGACCTTGTGTAGAGATCGGTCACGTCGAGCGAAAGTTCTGGGGTAAATATGCACACCTTTATATGTTCTAGACCTGGGCAAGCAAACAACAACTGCTCCAGTGCTGTTCGCTGGTCTTGAGCAAGTGCCTGCATGCACATATGAGACTCCGACAACATCTATAAACTGGTTGGGGGCTCTGACCTTCGTAGGATATATGAACATAGCAGTGGCATCGTGGTCCTGTTCTAGGAACCGCAGCAGCGGAACCTGGAGGACACTTAAGTCAGGATAAGGTACTCCAAGAGTACTAAATGCTCACCTGATAGATCACACTTTTCCCCGAGGCGGTGCTGGTAGACACAATGACGCTCTTGCCCTCAGAGAGCGCACTAATTGCAGCGACCTGATGGGTGTAAAGAGATGTAATCTTGCGGGAATCCCTTAGTGCTTGACGTATGCTATCCGACAGCGGTGGTTCCAAGACGGCTTGAACGAACGGTCGCGTTATAAACGCGGACGTCATGCCTACGGCACTTCGTACCTATTTGCCCTTCCTTTTCTTCAAAGACTCGCCTATCACAAATTTGATCCTTGTACCATCCTTGCTTCTGTATCTCTTCTAGGACAGAAGCTATCTCAGGTCTATCTTCAGGCTCCGGTACAGGCCCATGTGGTTCCCTAGGGTCTGACTTGGATGATGGGTGTACCGGGATTTGGTCCCGTGCTGCAGCCTGTAACAAGGCGACAGGATTTTCATGTATCGAAGTAGCCTCGAGGAGCCTAGATCACGAACAGAGTCAGAAGGTTGAGCGAAATGACAACCCATGTCCCGTACTCATTAACTGCTTGGATAAAACGCTCGTTGCGTTTGTCAATGAGTTTCTTGGTCTGGGCCGGTGTTAATGCAGGCGGAAGTGTGAAGGAAGCGCTGTTAGCATATGAAGTTCAATGCGCGACGGCTACAAAAATTGGAACATGACGGACGCCGGGTTCGCACTCTTCTTCCCCTTCGCATTCTCAACGAGATCCAGTACCAAGACGTGCTCATCCTCGTCTTTGAGAGACGCCATGCGCGTAGCGGATGCACCTGCAGTGGCGAAGGCTGAAAAGTCGGGTGAAGGTGCACGGCCGGCCCTCGTCAGGGAGTCCCCGTGAATGCGAAGTTCTACCTGGGGTATGTATGCAAACTTTACAACGTCGGGTAACAGAGCTCTGTCAGAAATTAGTTTCTGCACAAAGCTATAAGGCAGCATGAACAGGAACGCACTTCAGCTCTGCAACTTGAGCCAACTCCAGCGGCCTCGAGGTCATGCAATCAGGGGAGCGAAATCAGCGCGGCATGAGTCAGACTTACTGTTTAAGAAGTGCTTCCACAGAAGCGCGGACAACAGGAAATGTGATGGCAAAGTTCTTACGGGACGAGCAAAATGCAAGCACAGTATTGAGTGCCTGGCGGAACGAAGTTCGGAAGGTATCGCACTAACGAATATCGACATTTGTTCAACTCACTTTGAATACCTGTGAAATTTCATATTTCAGCTCCGTTGTGCAATATTGTCAGACCTCAGCAGACGGCACACCTTGAAGAGCTGATAATCACTCAAGACTTAGCGAGCACTGAGTATCGTAGCGCGAGTTATGCATACGGTATTGAAGTACTCCGGCCAAACTCTCGCTTCCAACTGCTTCTTCTTCCCCTTTGCTTTACTACCTGCTCCCGTGCGAGCCTTCTTCGTACCAGTGTCCTCCTTGGCTCCTGAACCCGCGGCAGTCGAGCCACGCTTGCGTTTACTTGATCCGGACTGTGCATTTCTCGAGATGTCGTCGGGCATACCTCTCAGACCGGTGTGCTTGAGCACAGTAGTTTTGAGGGTGGTTTCACGCTGAGCCTCAAGTTCGCAGCCTGGTACGAGATTTGGCGCGTCAGCGTGACAAAAGCATGATCGAACACGGTGTGACATGCAGGAATGAGACGTGACACCCGTAGTTCTCCCAAGTTTGCACGACCATCATTCATCCAGTGAGCATTTACCACCCGCATCTACCGGAGCAGCATCGAGGCTGATCAGACTTGCGGCGATTCTTTCAGCCTGACTATGCGCCCCTCCTTTCCTCGTCTCGTCCGTATCATCCCGCGGAGTCAGCTCGTAACACAAGAGGCCCGGCCTCTGCCCGAGCCAGAACGCTCCGACATAAAACGGACGCCCCTCATCGAGCTCCTGCAGCAGCGGCAGGCTTCAGCGGGGTCGCATTATCCATCTAACATACGCATTGAACCGGTGTTGACGAAGGCGACCTTCAAGGATGTTCCCAAAGACATCCGGGAGGAACTGAAGACTCATTTGAAGGAGCGGTGACAGAAAGTGCGCAGAGTGACGTTTGAGAGACAGATACATACATGCGTGGTCACTTTCATTTTGACTGGACAGTCCTAGTCAGTAGCGAATCTATCGCAGACCGATCTCTTGTTTATATACATCAAAAACGTACATCCAGTATCAACCAACGCTACTCTAGAATAATCAGGCGTTCTCTGTGGCATCTTGCTGTTGCTCAGCGAGCCTCTCTCTACCTTCGCGAAATACTCTCTCGAACAACTCGTTCAGTCGGTCTGTATGTTGCCCTAAGATACCATGACCAGTTCCTTCCCATACGACAAGCTCTGCTTCAGGCATATGCTCCTTCAGGTACAGGCTGTGAGCTGGGTTGACCAAATTGTCTTGATCTCCAGTCAATATCAGAACCTTGGGGATTGTTGCAGAAATGTTGCGCAGTCGTTCCGGTGACACATGGTGGGTCATTGGCGCGACCATCTGTGAAAGCGCTCCCATGAGCTTCTGTGGTCGTGTTGCGGCAATGCGCCTGCGATATCCCTACGAATGGCTGTGAATACACGAAGAGAGATGAGTACCTGTCAGACCGACCGCTGTCTGGATCTCTTCGTTTGTCCGACCCTCAGGGTCGTTTGGAGCAGGTGCGTCAAGGTATTCTCGAGGATACAGCATATCCAATATCATCGGGATTTTGACCTCAGGGTCCTTGATAGCCAATAATCTGGGAATCATGAGAGGTCTCATCTACAAGTAAAGAACTGTTTGTACCTTGCGAGCGTTATCACGCCTTTGGGCTACGTCCACGTTAAATCACGTTTCGCATTTTGAACAGGACAAATCCTCACTGTCGGTAATGATGATAACGACCTACCACTGGCTCTTGTCACAGCAAGAGTCAAAGAAACCACGCGGTCAGGTATTCTAGTGACCAGCTCTGCGAACCCACGTGAAGGGAGAGACAAGCGCGGGGCAGAGGATGGAGTACCTTGAGCTATCATTCCTCCAAGAGATGCCCCAACTACGTGAAGATCGCGTTTGTCTGTCCAGCCTACGTAGTCGAGCAGCACGATGACATCTTCTGCCATACCACTAGTGCTATAACAGCGCGAACGTTCGGTGATCGTATTTTACACAAGAGTGAGAAGATTAACTTGCGTATATGGACCTCTAGGCGTTCCGCTATTGCCTACACCTCTATTGTCGAATACCAAAATCGAATATTCGGGCTTGCGTCCAAAGTGCTGGACCTGCGCGTACCACGAGAACGAGGAGGAGTTTAACCTGTGAAGGTCACATAGAAGCATGCAAAGGGCCCCTGTATTTAGAGAAACATCGTACAATGAGTGAGACAAACGCCCACCCCATGATGAATGCAATCTTCTCCGGGCCAGATCCATGTTGCTCGAAGTAAAGTGAATGACTTTCGAACGGTTCGCCCTGCTTTCGGATGAGGGTCACCGGACAAAGGCCTTTCCGCGTGCAAGTAGTAGGATCGAAGATAGTGGGTATCTCTGCCCCGGACTGGCTCGGAGAGTCCATGGCTCAGACCTTGGGGATAAATTATAAGAGCTGTGCGGCAGGACGATCGAGTAAGCGCCCGCCGCTGTTTGGTGACATGACGTCAGCGATCGCCGTCACGTCAATAATCGACTCAAGTTCAATGGAATTACACTAGTAATGAATTAATCAATGTCCTACCCTCTACTGATATTAATGGCCATATTCACTGCAAAACCGAGAAAATCTCGGACCCTGAAGACAGTCTGAAGGCGCCTCCAAATCGACGCGTCTTAGGACCGGAACAACAAATATCTTTGGCCCCGAGAAAAGGAGGGAGCGGCCACCTTTTCGACGTGTTCGGCCCTGAAGACAGCTTCATATTCAGAGTACGAAGACGTTGATAACGGGTCGTATTCGGGGTAGGAGATGTTTCAGCCCCCTGTCTTCAGCATCTGAAGACTCCTACAATACACTCCGAAGATTCGTATGAGATTCTATCTATTTGGACTGTTCCATGGCAAAATGTCGCATAAAATGGGAATTATATTTGATAATATATTATGTATATACACCACCAGCATGTCCGACCTGCCCTATACCACTCGTGTGCTGCTAGAAGATCTCCCGTACCTCGTCCGCGCTCTGCACCAGGATTTTCACGCAGTGAAATTGATGGTTCTGCAAGAATGATAGGATAATGAGAGGCTGGAGCATTAACATACGAAGCGCAGTACTTAGCTCGATGCTTGCACGTAAACCGTAAGCCTGGGAACCGGGAGTCCAGTACTTCTGCTGCAAGGTATTAGTGTGTCAATAGGCAGAAACATGATGAGCGCGGGAGGGGCAACTACGCACTGAGCGAGTACACGGTGTCATCCGTGGATGCGACGAGGGCGCTGATACAGCGCTCCGCAACAGCGTCGCACTCAAGCTCGCGGGGAAGGGCGGGAGGGCTGAGGAAGGTGATGGTTCTGGTGCAAGATGCGCTGAAGGACTTGAGTGAGGGTATGCCCTTATAAACCCTTTGCCCCTGTCTATGCATCCTCAGGTCCGAGCATTCTGCACATCTTGAGAGGGAGAAGACAAGAGAAATAGCACAATTTTTGAGCGAAAGATGTTTTCAACCTATGAACAACAGCATCTTCGGAAAGTCAAAGATGTGGTATCAATTGGAGTGGGAAGATGTTGCAAACAAGACATCTTCGACGCAAGAGATAGCATGGACCGACAGTGTATTCAAGGAATCTTGGGAGTGCCGGAAATACAGGATGTTCGACATCTTTGGTGTCCCGTAACATGCCGTCAACTCCGAAGATGTGAGAGATAAGGTAAAACTGACGCGTCTTGGACTCTGACGATTTTGTGGGTTTTGCAGTGATTCCTGTTCAACGGATCGTGAATCATTCGATTCAGATGACAAAAAGAGACAGGAGAATACACACTCTCTCACCCTAATGAAGCGACAGATCTATTCGCCGATCACTGCCACAGAGAACCCTCTCCCCTGCTCAGTGCTGAGCACCTCCCTTGAGCACTCCAGCCCAGATCAGACGATGGTACGGTGTGTACGCGTCACCCGCCTTTGGCGTAGGTCACTAACAACCAGCATTGGCACTATTAATTGGGAGAAGACAAGGGAGGACCGTACCATCAGCTTTGACTCACGTCCCTGAGAGGGACTAATGCGGACGAAGACGTTTGGATCATCCCGAGGTTGTGGGGTCACTGTGGTGTGTCGGCACGACGAGGCCCTCTTCATATTAAGGATATCTGTGCTCTAAGGCCACGATCACATCGGTTATGAGATATCTAACCATCAGCAAGCCACTACTAGTATCCAGTACTATCCAGCTGTTTTCAACGTACAAGTTGAAGATCATGATGACATTTCAGCACTTACCTCGAGATCTGCTAGATTATCTGGGTACTCGGAGGCACTGGGAACTACTAGGGAATGAGACAGATACTGTAGCGAAACGACCTTAGGTTCACGGGGTGTGACCCGTGACATGCTGGCTTGACTTAGTTCACAGTTCACAAGTAGGGCTCGCAACCGTATCGTAATTACGGAAATATCCCAGTTCGTATCAGGCTCCTAGAACCAGCCGTCGCTATAGTGTTCTCGCTCCTTTATCATATGTTTTGAGAGATCATGTGATATATATATTTTATGAGACTTGCCCGATTGAGCGAGAAAATATATATATCACATGATCTCTCAAAACATATGATAAAGGAGCGAGAACACTCACTGCAAAACCGAGAAAATCTCGGACCCTGGAGACAGTCTGAAGGCGCCTCCAAATTGACGCGTCTTGGGATCGGAACAACAAACATCTTTGGCCCCGAGAAAAGCAGGGAGCGGCCACCTTTTCGACGTGTTCGGCCCTGAAGACAGCTTCATATTCAGAGTACGAAGACGTTGATAACAGGTTGTATTCGGGGTAGGAGATGTTTCAGCCCCCCCGTCTTCAGCATCTGAAGACTCCTACAATACACTCCGAAGATTCGTACAAGATTCTATCTATTTGGACTGTTCCATGGCAAAATGTCGCATAAAATGAGAATTATATTTGATAATATATTATGTATATACACCACCAGTATGTCCGACCTGCCCTATACCACTCGTACGCTAAGTACTAGAAGATCTCCCGCACCTTGTTGTCCGCGCTCTGCACCAGGATTTTCACGCAGTGAAATTGATGGTTCTGCAAGAATGATAGGAGAATGAGAGGCTAGAGCATTAACATATGAAGCACAGTACTTATCTCGATGCTTGCACGTAAACCGTAAGGCTGGGAACCGGGAGTCCAGTACTTCTGCTGCAAGGTATTAGTGTGTCAATAGGTAGAAACACGATGAGCGCGGGAGGGGCAACTACGCACTGAGTGAGTACACGGTGTCATCCCTGGATGTGACGAGGGTGCTGATACAGCACTCCACAACAGCATCGCACTCAAGCTCGTGGGGAAGGGCGGGAGGGCTGAGGAAGGTGATGGTTCTGGTGCAAGATGTGCCGAAGGACTTGAGTGAGGGGATGCCTTTATAAACCCTTTGCCCCTGTCTACGCATCCTCGGGTCCGAGTATTCTGCACATCTTGAGAGGGAGAAGACAAGAGAAATAGCACAATTTTTGAGCGAAAGATGTTTGCAACGTATGAACAACAGCATCTTCGGAAAGTTGAAGATGTGGTATAAATTGGAGTGGGAAGATGTCGCAAACAAGACATCTTCGAAGCAAGAGATAGCATGGACCAACAGTGTATTCAAGGAATCTTGGGAGTGCCGGAAATACAGGATGTTCGACATCTTTGGTCTCCCGTAACATGCCGTCAACTCCGAAGATGTGAGAGATAAGGTAAAACTGACGCGTCTTGGACTCTGATGATTTTGTGGGTTCTGCAGTGACTATAGCGACGGCTGGTTTTAGGAGCCTGAGTTCGTATCAGATACGGACCGCATCGTTTACGCCCGGCAAGATCCGAAAACGTTACTGATACGATACGCTGTGACCCGTACGTTTACGACTGCATACGCGTTTACCGTCACATTTCGGAGCCTCCCCAGACTGTGATCCGGCGCTTCAGCCGAGATGAAGCGCCCAGGGCCGGAGCCAACGGCAGCAGCGTCCGATTGGTTCCAACCCACATCACGTGTATTTTCCCCAATACGCGCGCAAGTACAGACACGCCAGTGGATGACTTTCCGTAACGTTTAGAACCAACTTTTCTAGATTTCGCGAGTTCCAACCGGAGCGTGAAAGCGTGACCCGCTCGTGACCAAGTGTGACAATCAACCGTTAGACCGGCCCAAGTGAGCGGGACGGGCGCTAATGCCTCTGATGCACGTCTGGAGAGGGTGTCGACCCCCTCTCCAGATTTGCCTGTCTGGAGAGCATTTGGTGCAATCGACTCAAGATGGGCGGAGATTCGGCTATCCGGGACATTTCCCGGAACTCCGCTCAGTCACGGTTGTGATTCCTTTCTATGGCAGGTGGTTCGGGCGCCTACAGAGCGTTTAGCAGTCTGGAACGCAAAATCTAGAAAAGTTGTATCTAAACTGTGTTACGGAAAGTCACCCAGTATCGTATAAGGGAATCCCCATAAGCAGCGCCACAAATACGAGCCGTACAGTATTTCCCACGTACTTTTACGACCGTAACCGTATACAGTACGTTGCGAGCCCTATTCACAAGTCGGTGTGACATGGGACACTAGTTCAGTTCGCTGGCGCCGCAGGCGCCCGTGGCTGAGGTTGGAAGTTGGATTTCTCTACTCAAGCTTGATACAACCAGACTGTACAGTAGTACAAGCCACAGTGGTTCTGCACATGCACACATTCGGGTCAGCCATGTCAAAGTCATTCAGAACGGCACGCACACAGGCAACATATAAGCGCCCACCAACAGATATTTAGCGCCCGTGACCATTCTGTTCCCAAATAGGTTCAGTTCACAAGGGCTGTGACCCGTGACTGAACTCAGGCTAAGGTCGTTTCGCTACAGTATCCTAGGTGGCTAAAAATCATGTCAGGCGAGCATACTTTGACATCATAGTCACATCAAGCATATCGTGGAGGGCGGATTGTAGCAGACCACAAACGCAGGTTGACGAGTGCGGAGCTAACAAAGGCAGACTGACACTCTGCTTCAACCTTCGTTCCTCAGGATATCTAGAGCTACGTCACCATCTCACGTCGTATCTTAGAGCTCAAACATGGAGTCAATGCCGAACGTGAAGAAACTTCGGTTAACTTCGCCCGCGTGTTCCAAGCACTCGAGAACTCCACCGATAGCATCATCCAGGACATTACCACCATGATGGAACAATGCCTACAGCAACACTACGACTCTGCTTCTGCTCCCGCTCATCATGAGGAGCTGCAGGACCTTCGTATACAACACGAGCAATTTGTGGACAATGCTCAAGCTCAGCTGGCATCCTTGCAAGCTGAGAACGTCCACTTCACAACGACGTTACAGCATGTTAACACCACTTTGACAGCTATGGATAGTACCATTCGCCAGCTGTCCCAGTATCCGGGCCCCACTGAGCCGCATGGAGAGGATACACGAGGACGCGGTTTTCAGCGGCCTGCTCGACGTGCCAACACCTCTCCACCTCCGACTGATCGTCCACCTAAACGACGGCGCAACGAGTATAACCGTTACTATGACCGCCGTGACCGTGATCACTCTCCCCCGCCTCAAATGCCAATGGCATCCACGCCCTCTGCGGGGGCCATGCTACTTGCTATGCCGCCTAGATCAGCGGCGCCGGTCATTGCACCTTCTCTCCCTGCCCTGTCAGTGGCTCCTGTTCCTCCTCTCCCGGTGCCCCCTCCACAGGTACAGCTACCACTACCTGTTCCACCCACCATGCCCGTCCCTCTGCCTTTGCCTATCCAAATGGATACGCGACGCATTATGCGTCTCGGACCCATAGCATGGGACTTGTCCCAGGCTCGTGCACAGCTACTAGCTATCGTCCACGCATCGGGATCGCCATCGTCATTCCCTACATCTGATATTATCGAGACACGGCCCGACGACGACCACCAATATTTGTGCATTGTTTTCCGTAGCAGTGTTGCAGCCGATGCCTTCGTTGACGCTTGGCGTCGCAACTGTCCGGCTCAGTATAATTTCGTCGTCCCGCATCTGCTTCCTCGGGGGTAAGTTGCCGGCGAATGCTGTCATCGCCCCGCAGTGCGCTAAGAACCGTATTTCATAGTCACTGTACTATACGCCTGTTGTCGTGGAATGTAAACGGACGCCTCGCTCTCAAATTGACCGACAGCATGTTTGTTTCGTACTTGTTCCAATATGATGTCCTCCTTCTCCAGGAAACTCACCTCAGACCAGAGGAGCACGATGTGCTCATCTTTCCCGAGGAGTACGACATGATCGCGGTTTCCAGGCGGAACACACCCACGATGCAACAACCCGGAGGAGGTGTTGCAATCTTTTTGCGTTGTCAAATACCGCGGATCGTCCTCACGTCTCTCTGCACGGATGACATGCTCGTCGTCGATCTGAACGTCTGTATCCTTATCAATGTGTATCTGCCCCCGGAGACATCCCCATGGAATCTTCTTCCACCTGCGCAGCCTGAGCAGCGACTCAAGGAGACCTTGGCGGTCCTCGGCAGATGCCCAGACAAACCAATCATTGTCGCAGGCGACCTCAATGCACGTATCGCAGCCTTGTCCCCAACGAATAGCGATCATATACGTCAATCTCCCGACGTCGCATCGCTGAATTCACGAGGCCGCCGCATCTTACAGCTATGTGACGACTTCGATCTCGACATCGTGAATGGCACGTCACTGCAGGTGCCATCGTCTTTACACTCTTTTACATCGCTCCAACCAGCAGGCTCTGCGATCGTTGATTACGTCCTCGCCTCAGCCCCCCTCGACCGCATTGTGCACAGCCTCGATATTTTGCCTCACAGGCCTGAGTGGACTGACCACAGTGCCCTGCGACTGCAACTACATCATCCTACTTATTCCACCGAGCTGCCCGCTGCTTCCAACCATAAGCTGAAGCAACATCGACAATATTCACACATTCCTTCTTCTGCTATGGGGCCCTCACCTTCTACTGCCCTCGACACTATCTTACATAAAACTCTTCTCGCAGTAGAGACGCCAGAGGCAGCCCTGCAACGACTGTATGGACCGGTCTACATTGATACTCCTCCGGTCTCAGTCTATACTGATGGCTCGTGTATGCGTCAAGGCACTCCCACCGCTGCAGCAGGTGCTGGGGTTTACTGGGGTCCAAATAATACCCGTAACAATAGCATACGCGTACCGGGTGATCAGACCAACAACCGAGGTGAACTCTTTGCAATTCTGCATGCTCTCATGGTGACAAGTCCCAGCCGTACTCTTCGTCTTTATACTGATTCAACATACTCCATCCATTCACTCTGCCACTGGGCTCCCCAACATGCATCTCTTGGCTGGAGCTGCGCAAATGCAGATATCATGCGCGATGCTGTTGCATTCCTCACATGGAGAATCGCACCGACTGTCTTCATCTGGATCAAAGGACATGCCGGAAATGCACATGCTGATGCTGCAGATGCTCTTGCAAAGCATGCAACAGTCCTCCCATTGCACGATAACGACTACTGTTCCCCCGTCCTGCCACCACCACTTGACACTTCGTCTTATGGCACAACTCTCTCGATGCCTAAGGTCACCACGAACCTGTTGCCACTTCCGTGCTCTCCACCACACTGCAATCCTTCTCCCAAGCTTCCCACTCATGTGTCTCATCGAGGCAGGACTCGACTGCGACATATGATGGATTGCAATAAGGAGAAGCTACTGCATTGTGCCAATGATCGTGCATTTTGGTCGCTTATCCGTCAGTGGACTAATACGCAACCGAGACCTGCTCAAGTCACTGTCGACCAATTACACGACGTTTTTCGTGCACGAATGAATCCGCCGGAAGCATTTCCTGTCGAATTTAATGACGTGCGGCATGTTCTAAATCATTGCTGTGCGAACTTGCTACCACAGCGTACCGTGGATACTACTCCGCAGCGATTTTTCAGTCGCGCATTTACCATTGACGAGATAGCGCATGCTAAGGCACACATTAAGCTTCATTCCTTACGTTCAGCGCGTGGAGCAGATCGTGTCGCATATATCACAATTCTTGCCATCCCGAACGAACAGCTTCTACTTCTCTTCGAGCAGTGTCTCGCCCAATGTGATGCACCGCAAATCTGGCTTACCTCTCTTCTCGCAGCAATTCAAAAAAAAGGAAAGTCTGCAGCCGATCCTGCTGGCTACAGAACCATCGGGCTGGAAAGCTGCTTATTGAAACTGCTCACCCTTCTCATTGATCGACGCTTGCGAGCATGGTCTGATGCTGGCGGGATTATCCCCCCCTCGCAAAATGGATTTCGTGCGAATCATCGCACAAACAACAATGCGTTCATCTTGCGCACAGCTATTGAGACTGCCCGCTCCAAGGGTCAGACTCTTTATGTCGCCTTCGTCGACCTCACGAATGCATTTCCTTCCGTCGATCATGCTACCTTATGGGTAAAACTACAGCAGCTTGGTGCTTCGGGGCCACTCCTCGACTGGCTACGTATGCTCTTAATAAAGTCGCAATATGCAGACCTTGTAGGGGACTCAAATAACAGGACAGAAGAGCTGGGCAATACAGCTAGAGTCCAGAAGTGAGTCACTTAGTAATATTGAGGACAAAGTACTCTACTCACCTAGAGTCCAGAAGTGAGTCACTGAGGACTCAGAGTGGACTCTAGGGGGTTTATATCTACCTAGAGTGTGGCTATACAAACCTGTGAGTAACACAGGATTGTGGCTATGAACATAGGCAGGCATAGCTATGCATAGCTTCTACATAGCAGTGCATAGCACAGCCTGATCAATAGGTATCTAGGTGTACAGCATCTTGCATTGCTTTGAGTCTAGACACTTAAGAGACTGATGGATTATCTAATCTAACACTCCCCCTTAATCCAACGAGTCTTCCCTCTTCAACAGAATGCAAGAGCTCCACATACCTCCCCCTGAACCCACTCATTCCACTACATCCCAATGTTCCTCGTCGCACGATTTAGACTTGAATGGATGTTCGGCTTCCATCTCGCTCTCACGCAGCATCATAGATGCAAGGTCGTCCAACTCATCGAACTGCTGAGTGGTGAAGTGCAGTGAGTGTCGCCGAATGTGAGCACGAGGTGGCATAGCCGGGTGAACAAGCATGTGATGAGTCGGTTGATTGGATGCCGGAATGGTAATGCGTTCCAATTCGATGTCGAGCGGGGGTGGTGCTGGCCAGATACGGGTGATGGCATAATAAAAAGAAAGAAGGAGAATGGCAGGGAAGAGCACCCCTGCAGTAATAAGAAGGGCAATGGCGAAGGTTTTCATAGTGGTGGAAGGGGCAAAGAGATGATTTGAACCGCAGCAGTGAGAGTGGTATATGTGGCAGACAGATGATCCGAGAAAACACCGACCCGACAATGTCCGAGTTATATGCTCTATCCGACAAGATCCGGGTTTTTGACGATTAGATCCTCAAGCCCATCATCTCGCGGCAGTAGATAATCTTTGTCGCCGGCAAGGGCTTTGTCAAAATGTCCGCTATCATCTCTGCAGTAGGAATATATACTGGTGCAATTCGACCTGCCTCCACGGTGTCTCGAAGCCAGAAGAAGCGCAGATCCAAGTGCTTCATTCTGCCATGATGTTCTGGATTTTTAGAGACACTGATTGCAGACTGATTGTCCATGTAAAGTGTAGAGGCTTTGGACACTGTATACCCCAGTTCTGTGAGAAGATTACGCATCCAGAGGATTTCCTTTCCTGCTTCAACTGCAGCAATGTACTCGGCTTCTGTGGTGGATTGGGCAATAAGGGACTGAAGCTTGCTACTCCAGCTAATAGCACCTGTGCCCACTTTTACAAGGTAACCACCAGTGGAGCGACGGTTATCCCTCTCACCACCAAAGTCTGAGTCCGTGTAGGTTAGGAAGAACTCCTTTACATCACTGGGACCATAGTGCAGCCTTAAGTCCATTGTGCCCTTCAGATAGCGGAAGACATGCTTCACAGCAATCCAACGTGCAGGACCAGGATTGGCATTAAAACGGGCAAGACATCCAATGGCAAACATGATGTCTGGACGAGTGGTGATGGCCAAATACATCAGTGCCCCTACAGCACTGAGATAAGGCACTTTGTGCATATATTCTGCCTCTTCCTGTGTCTGAGGTGCAAGGGCCTTTGAAAGCTCTGCTCCAGGATCCATAGGAGTGCTGACAGACTTGCAGTCAGAGAGACCATAACGCTCCAGCATATCCACTATATACTGGCGCTGTGAGAGTGAAATGGTATGCTTTGCACGGTCTCTTTTGATGTCTATGCCCAGCAGAAACTGGGTAGATCCAAGGTCTCGGAGTTTAAAATATGACTTTAACTCCTTGACAGTGTCATCAAGTGCCTTCTTGGACTTTGAAGCAAGTGTCATATCGTCTATAAAGACTGGGACAATAATGCGCACATCTTCCCTAATGTACACATAGATGCTTCTGTCAGACTGAAGACGAGTGAAGCCCATTTTGGTGAGCACCTCATGAAGCTTCTTGTTCCACTGGCGTGCACCTTGCTTCAAGCCATAGAGTGACTTATTTAGCCTGCAGACCATTTCTGGACCACCTTGGTGAAACCCCTCAGGTTGTTGCATGTAGATCTCTTCCTCCAAGTCTCCATTTAGGAAGGCAGATGAGATATCCACAGAGTGAAGTTCTAGATCCTCTGCTGCAGCAAGAGCTAGAATAAGGCGCAATGCAGGTTGACGGAATGTGGGAGCAAAGACTTCTGTGTAGTCAAAGCCAGGGCGTTGACTGTAACCCTTGGCGACTAATCTGCCTTTATAGCGCTCTACAGAACCATCTGCATTGTGCTTCACCTTGAACACCCAGCCTGAGCCTATTGCCCTTTTGCCTGGTGGCAGTGGAACAATGTCCCATGTGTTATTGGCCATTAGAGACACAATCTCTTCATTGGCTGCTTGCTGCCACTTATCAGCATCAGGACTGCCCATAGCCTGTTTATAGGTCCGAGGGTCTGCTCCAGCAGATAGACCAGCAAACTGGACTTCAACAAAGTCAGCATCTGCATTTATCACATCCAACTCGTCCTCAGACTCTGCATCCTGCATAGGTGGTGGTGAAGTTCGCATTTTCCAGGTGGGCCTAATGTTGCGAGGTACCCGGTGCTGAGCAATTGGATGATGATCTATAGGTTCAAATGGAGGAGGAGTTGGAACTCTATGATGCTCTGAAGGATCTGGTGGTGGTGGAGTTACTGGATGCTCAGGTGCAGGTGGTGCAGGTGGATCAGCTTCTGAAGCAACTGGACCGGGTATAGAATTTGGCACATGTGCACCATCTCCCCCTAAATCCTGTCCAGGTACAGGTGCTACAGGTAGAGGAATAATGTCTGCAGGTGGAAATGACATAGGGGGTGGAGGAGGAATATCAGAAGTGCATTTGAGGCCAGGGAAGTAGCGCTCATCAAAATCAGCACGTTCTGAGATTATAGTCTTTTTGGTGTCAGGATTGTAGAACTTCCACCCCTTGTATCCTGCAGGATAACCAATAAACACGCATTTCTGCATGTGTGGTCCCAGACCTGTACGCTGATCCTTCTGCACATGCACATAGGCAGTACAGCCCCAAACACGAAGATGGCTGACATCTGGCTTCCGCTTGTACCACAGCTCATAGGGAGTTGCACCCTTCACCACTGCTGTAGGCAGACGGTTCCAGACATGCACCATAGATCCAATGCATTCTCCCCAGAAGGAAGGAGGCAGTTTAGACTCTGCTAGCATAGCAGTGATGTCATTGTCCATTGTGCGATTAGCTCGCTCTGCAACTCCATTCTGCTGTAGTCTATTGCGCGTGGTATGTCTGCGCTCAATCCCTGCCTCCTGAGTAAACTGTATAAAGGCATTGGACATGTACTCCCCACCCTTGTCATCCTGGACAGCCTTGATTTTTGCTTCAAGCAGATTTTCAGCATAAGCTTTATACTGCTTGAAAGCATCAAAGGCTTCACTCTTAGCCTTTAGCAATAGCACAACCCTGAATCGGCTGTAATCATCTATGAAGGTGATCCAGTACCGATATCCTGAGTGTGTACACACAGGCAGAGGTCCATGGACATCTGTGTGAATTAATTCTAGGGGTTTGGAGGCATGACTGTCCGATGTAGGGAAGGGATTGGCATGCATTTTACCGGCCAGACATGGTTCGCAAATGGGGTCAGGCTGCTGCTTTGAATTCAGCATAAGACCAGTCACTAGCTCCTCTCTAATCATCTTTTGGACATCGGCATAGTTGTGATGAGCAAAGCGACGATGCCAGAGATTTAAATCAAGAGGGACTGTGGTTATAACCTGTGCAGACTCTGGAGCTGGTTGTACAGTTCCATCAAGAAAGGCAGTGTAGTTCTCTGTGATAGAGGCAACAAATAGAGTCTGACGAGAGTGAAGGAAGGTCATGAACTTGGACTCTATGTGAATTCTGAAGCCTTTCTGACGAACTAAATACAGACAAGAGAGGAGATTGTTCCTGAGCCTTGGGACATGCAGCACCCTAGTGAATTCCACAGGCCTGACTGCTTTCCCTGCAATCACTGGATTAAATACAACTGTTCCCACCCCAGCAGACATGACAATGGTGTTATCAGCGAGTTTGATTGGAATGACCAAAGGTTTGTAATTTCTAAGCCAGTGGTGATGAGGTGTCATATGAGAAGTGGCACCTGTGTCTGCATTCCAGTCAAAGTCAGCATCAAGCTGAAGTGGGTCAGAGAGACTTGCTTTGCCAGCAGACTCTGTGACAGTGGTAGGGTCAACCTGAGTGGTATTCTGGGTGGCAGCAGCAGCAGCAGTAGCATTTGCCTTGTTTCCACGCTTAGAGCGGCGCTCTTTGCGATGTTCCTTGGCTTTCTTTGAAGCATTCTGGAAAGCATAGCAATTGGACTGTGTGTGTCCTTTGCCCTCACAAAAATCGCAGGTGAGCTGTGAGGAGGAAGCAGTGGTGAGTGCTTGATCTGCTTTGGGAGGGGAAGTGGTGCGATGACAACGATTGATTTCCTCTGTGACAAAAGCCTGGGTGACAACATCTTTGCTCAGGATATCACGCTGAAGTAGCGCAGAGGTAAAAGTGCCATATTCCTCCACAGGAAGAGCACGAATCATAGCCATGGAGGTTAACTCTTCATCCAGCTTTGTCAGATTAAAGTCATTAGGGCGAAGGTCTTTAACATGCTGCATGGCAGCATTGACCTTATTGACAAGCCCTTGAAGTGATTCCTCTGGTTGCTTTCTGATGGAGAAGACATCATCATAAGCATTGAAACGTGCTCCAGGTTTCTTCTGCAGATGAACAGCTGCAAGCTGTTCCCACATTTTGATAGGGTCATCCACCACACCAGCAAAGTGAGTGCGCTGATCTGGTTCCACCATCAAATAGATTTGACCAGCTGCTTTCTCTGCATTGGCCTCCCAAGTGTCTAGCTTGGTTTGCTCAGCTGCTGTAGGTGATCCAGAGAGCTTTGGCTGTGGAAGCTTGCCATTGACAAGTCTCCAAAGGTTTGCAGAGCGCAACCAGGCAGCCATTTCACCGCTCCAAGTAGGGTAATTGGAGTCATTGAGTTTGGCAAAGTTGGGAGTGTGGGTAGAGGTGGAAGACATGATGTGGAAAGGGGTAAAGGGTTGTGTGTGATTATGTCTGGTGCTTGAAAAAGTGCAGGATAGTCCTCAGGAGTGTGTGCAGGAAAGGAGGTATAGTAATTGTAACCAGTAAGTATTTACTAAACACCCAGTTGTACAACCACTCAGGTCACTGGGATGATTACCAGGATGTTCCCAAGAAGGTCAAAGGCTGGCCCACTGAAGTGCACAGACCCAACAGTTGGTGTCTTTGTAAATAAAGGATATGCAGCACACTATAAGGACAAGAAAGGCACAGAAAAGTGACCAAGACAAAGCAACAGCAAAGGGGCTAGAGCGCGGGGCTCATAACCTAATAAAGTCGCAATATGCAGACCTTGTAGGGGACTCAAATAACAGGACAGAAGAGCTGGGCAATACAGCTAGAGTCCAGAAGTGAGTCACTTAGTAATATTGAGGACAAAGTACTCTACTCACCTAGAGTCCAGAAGTGAGTCACTGAGGACTCAGAGTGGACTCTAGGGGGTTTATATCTACCTAGAGTGTGGCTATACAAACCTGTGAGTAACACAGGATTGTGGCTATGAACATAGGCAGGCATAGCTATGCATAGCTTCTACATAGCAGTGCATAGCACAGCCTGATCAATAGGTATCTAGGTGTACAGCATCTTGCATTGCTTTGAGTCTAGACACTTAAGAGACTGATGGATTATCTAATCTAACAGCTCTATGCACGACTAACTTACATTGTCCATCTCGATGGAGAATTGTCCGCAAGTTTTCGTGCACTAATCGGCATCCTTATCGGAGATCCTGCTTCCCCGCAACTTTGGAACCTGTTTCTATCCGACTTCCTTGTCGAACAACACAGGGATGATGTCATATTTGCCGGCATTGCCATCTCAAAGCTGGAGCATGCAGACGACATTGCACTCTTCTCGACCTCCATTGAAGGTCTTCAGGCAAAGCTTAATGCTTTACTGCATTGGTGTAGGATCAACTTCATCCACGTTAATGAGGACAAAACCGTGGCCATGTTATTCGGACCGCTCCCCCCCGTGTGTCCTGCTATCTACCTGCGCACACGCGCCATCTGTATCGTCAGCGAGTACACCTACGTCGGAACCACCTTCTCGTCCACGTCTCGCTACATCTTCGCGCATCATTATTCCCACAAGGCAAAAGTCGCGCGTCAGGTGGCTAATGCAGCGTTAGGCCTGGAGTCTATGATCGGCGACCTCCCGCCTGAGGACGGTAAACGCCTCTACATGGCCCGCATCGATCCCCACTTGACCTTCGCTTGTGAAGTGGCGCTCGACATCGATCCCACCCTATTGCAGCCACTCGTGCATATCCAACAAACCTATCTACGTCGTCTGCTCGGGCTTAATTCCCGCTGCCAGCTTCTTGTTTTATTTTCAGAGACAGGAATTTTACCCTTAAAGTATAGACGTGCAATGCTCGCTCTTCGATACCTCCGCCATCTCCTTATCCTTCCCACTGATGACCTTGCGGCTATTGCATTGGCACAGGCACATCAACTAGCTGTCAATGGATTCCCCTCCTGGGTGTCTGACCTGCATGTAGTCTTGCAGCGTATGGAGACCCCCGTTGGGTTTGATCTGCATCATCCACTAACACTGCGATGTGTTGATGACTGCCTGCATAAACTTACTGCTTCTCTCGAAGGTTATGTACAGCGAGAGTTGAATGACAGCCCGCGGTTACTACTGCTTCGACAGCGGACAGAGCTGACAAACGATGGAAGGCACGTACATCATACTTTGGCCTTCCGACATTATCTTCGTGTGACCTGTGCGGAACACCGCAAAGCCCTCACTCGTCTCCTCGTATCGGATCATGCTCTTGCAGTGGAGCAGCTCCGTAGAGCAGAACGCGGGAGAGCCACAGTGCCGCGAGAATGGCGAATATGCAGGCTATGCCGACACCGCGATATCATCGAGGACCCTGTACATGCGCTCTTTGAATGTACCTCTCATCCCGACCTCGTCAGTCTCCGCGATACCTTCCTCAATACAGTGTTCGCAGAGCGGACCAATCTCCGTACTGCATACAACACCCTATCCAGACTGGCTTTCACACGGGAGCTCATAGCGCAGGAACACTCCATCGCCTTACTCGCGAAATTCGCACACGATGTACTTCAGATTTTCACCCGCGAAAATCTTATTGTTGTCAGCTCTAGAGAAGAGCTTGAGCGCTTCCCTACCAGTCTCATGCATCCTTGATGGACTTCGTGGGACAGTGCGCTTCTCCACCTCACGTCGGCTCGTGGTGAGTCTTATCAGTCAAGTGCGCAGCCACTTCTGATGCCTACCAGGGTTTTTCCCACCGGGTTTTCCTTGGAGGTCTTACCCATCACTGGCGTAACGTGTAGCGTAGAGTAGTATGCATTGATCGGAGCGGAGTGTGTCCTGGATGTGTTGTACCTTAGGTTACGGTAATCTGCTGTGCACGAGTGGACCGCTGTAGTCTAACTACAACAACCCGGCGTTCCTGAATGGGACCAATGCCGGTTACCTACCTACCTACCATCGGAGAATTTGCATTGATCTGGTTTGACCTTTATCAGGCCCTGTAAGGCCTTACAAGCCTTGCCAGACGTGAAAGATGCACCAGGCTGGTAGATGACCTGATAAGCAGTAGTAAAACTATCTACTGATTTTCCAGAGCTACAAGGCTGGCAATTTTTCACCAATCTGGTACATATGATGGATGCTTGTGAGCTCGAGTACGGCCACATGCACTGCCACCACAAATAGAAAACACCAAATATATTTCGGTAGAGTCGTACATAGCACTCACAAAGAACGCCGAGAGCACTACATTTGCCGAGGATCATGACCGGGTATGGATATGCAATACCTGAGGCGTGTTGGCGAGGCGGACAAATGGGTGTATTGGCGATAGCCATGCAGTAGACCCTCGTGTACAAGCATGCACGTTCAGCATAGAGGTCGCGACGGGAGACTCACACGGAGTGTCCCAATAGGTGTCGGACGGGTCCGCATATGGTGGCTCAACCCAGTTTGTATCTTCGCAACGCACGAGAGCGACGAAAACAGCGCCAACCTTGCGCCTTCGGATCCAGCCACACCATTCACACCATCACGAGAATCCGATGCAATGTCTCAAAATTATTGGCATTCATGTAGCGTACCATGACTCGCCCGAGCTTCTTCGCCGCGGAGTCCCGGAGACCCTGGAGGTTGCATTACCAGACACCTCTAGGCTCCACGAGAATAAGGTGCACCACAATATGCACAATCCATGGAAATTTCTGCACACATAACTGTCAGTAAGAAGTCAAATCCCCCAACATTGACATGGTGTACACCATGGAGCAAAACCAGCTCGAGGATGACAACAGTACGCATAAGAGTCTCCGCATAGCGACACAGAATTAAAACTGTGGAGCAAACAGCTCGAGAGTTTCAGAGAAAGATAACGGGGTGCTCCACGGTGAGAGGGAGAGGCAAGGGAGATCATATCGATATTGATGTTGAAAAGCGAACGTGGACCATGTGCTAGTTTAGGGCGGGCTGACGAAGACTTCAACTTCGTAATCCGGGATCCGGAAAGCCGATGAAACAAGACTTGTCCAGCCTAACAAGCCATGCGCAAGAACGTCGGAAGTCTATCAAGACTTACCAGATAGCGCCAAGGATCGTGGAGGTTCGTAAGATGTGACAAGCTATCATCAGCTTCGGTCACAGTGGTGTGACTCTGGTCAGCGCTACCAGGTAAAACCAGATCACGCCCAATTTCCCGATGACCTACCTACCTACCTACCTTAACCACAATATGGTGCTGTGGGAAGCGGCTTCGGAAATTGATCGAGTCAGCTTCCACCGAGAGTGAGTAGCCTAGTCTCTCGAAGGCAGGTGGCAGACACTCTGCTTCAACCTTCGTGCCTCAGGATGGCGGCGAGCGAAATACGCACATACCGCGACGTCGGGTGCGAACCACATCCACAGCATGACGCTGTATAGTCAGATGGAAAACTGAGGATGCGCTGCAGATGGTCATGGATGGCGGCAACGTATCACCACCCTACATGTCCTTCTGCCGGAGGTGGTGCCACTGGGAGAAACACGCCGCCTACCCCCCCCCCCCCCCCCCCCCCCCCCCCCCCGAGACTGACGTTCAGACCTGGTCCTATTCACCATTGATCTGCATCTCTCCGCAGCATATACTGCGCGGGCGTGACATTGTGTCGCAGCCTCACGAAGAAACCTAAGGTCGCCTTGCACATAACCAAACTTTTGAGATCCATCCAGTTCAATCGCTTGTAGCAAGTTCAAGTTCTCCAGGTATAAACCAGAGGCCGCTGTACTGTATTACATTCGATTTTTGCTAAGCAGGACTCGGAACGCAACTGTTATCAAGTCAAGGTGATACATACAAAGAGGAAAACACCCGACGTTACAGTGCCATGGACACCATGGTACCAGGCCACTAGGAGCCACTGAAACAATTACCTATACGCTACTGATACTGAGATGTTAATGAAGGGATTGATGGCAAAGGACGGCGGACGTGGTGCAACAGTGGTTGCGCCTGGATTTCAACCGCACTTCAACCACCGGGATGGATAGGGCATAACACAAACGTCTTCCGTTGATTCATCACCTATCGCCACACTTGGCTCAGCACACTAGCCAGACAACGGAGGTGAGAACTTGCAAAATGCATTGAACCACCTACGGCGCCACCGAGACCTTAGTATCCAAGACTCTTTCCAAAGCGCGTTTGCATCGTCATTCGGGCAGCTGTCAGGTCAAGCTCTTCAGTTTAGAATCGAGGTAGGATCAGTGGACATAATCACCATACATGAAGATGGCAATAGTGGCATTATTGCCATGGCCTGACGGACACACATGGAGGTGGCTTTGGTTTGACCCACATGGGCGGAAAGAGTAACTGGATATCTCCACCGCGCAGCGTGTGGTAGACATGGTTTCCTGGGGGGCACAACATCACCACCTCTATCCGTTGGTTATAACATCCAGCAGGCTGCAGAAAATCACCCAACATACTAATCCTGTTCTAAACACTCGCATCGAACAAGGTACGTTGAGCGTCGATCAACACTTCCATAATCGCGAGTAGTGACCAGATTGCACCTGCAGCTAGCGGGCATGCACTTTCCGGAGGTATCACAGGACACACATCACCTAGACGAGGTTGGTCATTCTGCACCTAGTGGGCATGTTTTTCTGAAGGTATTGCAGACAAGGGATGAAAACATCACGTACCAACTGTTCAATCCCATGTTCCCGCAGGTCCGACAATCGGCATATTCTTCCCTCGAAGGGGCTTTGAATCCTCTGCAACGTACTCAAGCACGCCGACCAATACACACTCAGGTCCAGGTCGTCTCTGCAGACAACACAGGGAAAGCATGTGTACCACAGGCTGAATATGCCTCTCCAAGATACTTCATATGTCAACCCGCTGTCTCTTTCTCGCTCGATAATGGTGATTGCATATCCCTCGAGACAATCCTCAAGAACCCCCGCCGGGAGTATTGGAACAAGCCAGCGTTTGATTTGATGGATAGGCGAAAAATATCACTTCGAATCTTAGTCAGTACTGAAGCTGCTGTTCTCAAGTGAAAGTGCTTACCAGGACACTTGTAGTGGCCAGGGTACCATCCCTATGCGCGTCAAATCAGAGTTAGAGACGAATCGAAGACGAACAATATCATCCCGCGCTGGAAACTCGCAAGCCTGATAGCTAAGGAAACAGAGAAATTCATTGAGGTAAGTATCCTCGAACCTTCCAACCCACCGTCCTGTCCTGAGTCGACTTAGGGAGCCACGAACCAAGCGATTCACGACGAAGTGTGGCGAGTTGGACCAGATCACATCAACACCAGCTGCATCTTCCTCATCGGGCTCCAACACGTTTCGGAAGGGAGCTGGCAACCCATCTTCAGTGTCAACATGCCTTCGCCAACTACGTATTGGTAGCAGTAGAGCTTCTATAGTCAGCCTGTCTTCGATTACTTACGAGCGACGAGATTTATGGCGTCAGTGGTTGTATGAGATCATATAACGACGGACATAACATTGATGGAACGGACTTGCCGTCATTCTCTGAAGCAATCGGTGGCGTACGTAACAACAATTTCAAGTACTGCTTAAATTCAAACAATGTTGCCGTAGACAGCATCCGCACGCTGAGACCCTGCCGTACATGCAATGAGATACGAAAGATGACATGGATGCGGATCACCGCTTCTTGGTCTTAGCTTTGTCCTTCGTCTTATTCTTCGAGTTCCCTTTCTGCTTCGGTCTATCGGAGTCGTCAGAATCGTGCGCATTCCCGGTCTCGACCCGCTTTTTGTCAGCTGTAAGGCCAGTTAGAGTGTGCACCAAACAAAGACAGTTAATAATTGATACAAACCTTTCGCAGCCCTTCTTTCGAGTTCATCCCAATCGTCACCTGCTAGAATTCAGGGACTGTCACATCGAACACGATACAGTGCACGTACCCTCGCTCTCTTCCGACCCGAAGTCTGACCCACTGCCTTCATCGTCACTTGCATCAGCACCATCGTAGTAATCGCTCTCATCCTCGCTGCTCTCTGAAATTTCCATTTCATCGGCATCCGCTTCGAAGTTTGATTCAGAGCCCGTATCGTCTTCTCCAGCACTCTATTATCGTCCTTAACATTAGGGCAATAACAACTGAACAGCTCAACGCACCTCTTCACCTCCCGCAGAACCACCGAGGAACGACCAACCACCCTGTTGGAAAAACTCATACGGATCTTCGTTGATGGTCTTCATGATTGGTCCCCAGTTCAGATTGACGGGTCCTTCACTCAAAGGGATATCTACGGAGCTGTGAGGGGACAATGCTGTGAGTACAATGCATGAAATAACTAGAGAAGGTTCATACTCCAGCCAATTCTTCACATCATCCAATTGGGCGCTGGGGATGGAGTTGATATGGAGTGGTGTCTTTGCGAAATCTTTGAAAATCAGGACCATATCAAACTGCTTCAGTCCGAACTGGACACGTTCCAACGAGGCGATCTCGATGTCAGCCAAGGTGACCACCAAGAAGGGGGGATCAGATAGATAGACAAGACATTCAGTCGTGGGCTGAAGCCGGACGTTAGTTCGGAAAGGAACACCTTCGAATGAAAGCTCCCTGAAGGGAATATCAGGCTCAAGCGTGTCACCAGTCTGTCAGAAACGTAAAGAAGTTGAAGTCATCAACAATCCACCCAGTAGGTTACTCACAGACGCCGTTGAAGCCTCGGCGATCTTCTCAGAGAAAAGCCTGAATTCCTTGTTCAACATTTGCCGACGCTTTCTCTCTTGCTGCTCTAGCTCCAACTCATCCTCATCTCCATAGCGGTACTTCCGTTTGCGGTTGCCAGTCTCGTCGAATTGAACGTCTGACGCTTCACGGTAGAACTGCACATCCTGGAGAGAAGTTCAGTATGAGTCGAGCGTGCCCATGATGCTCCTGATTGCAAGCTTACATGTGCCTTCTTTTTGCCGATGATAATTGGGGCCTTGAGATGGATATGAATAATCACCAAGAGCTCGTGTTCGCAAGGCTGGAAGAACAGATGCTTGACGTTACTGAAAAGAATATCTGCCGACAACAGTCAGTTTGGCTTCAGCTGGGCAGCGAAGTAAGTAGGATCACAGACCAATCTTCTGTGATCCCATGGGGGAGTGATATCTCAAGCCATTTTGGTGTATCTCGACCTCTCCTGGCAGCCGTTTTCCATCTAGAGCAGGCCGGACAAACACCTCGGGAAGTTTGATCGGTCTGCGACCCTTCACCTCAATGAGTGTGTCCTGCTCGATGACATCGGCCATCTCCTTCTTTTGCTGTTCGCGCTTGTTGACCTCCTTCTTGAGATCCGTGATCTGCTTGGAGATAGAGTCGAATCGGTGACCGTCTGGAGAGCGATACGTGATGGAACGGATGAAAGTGGCGTCCGGATCTTCAAAAGGCTGTGACGAAGTTATCATATTGTGGTTCCATGCAATCGCACTGCCAATAACCCACTTACCGTGTCTTCCTTTTTGCCCGCGAGCTGACCCGGCGTCTGGAAGTTGACTCGCAGGTATGTGAACTCACCCTCATCGTTCTTGCTCACATTCTTGATGGTGTTAATATGAAACGGAACGGCGAAACCGTGGATGGGCAGGACGATTGTCTGCGACTTCCTGTCCACGTAGATCTGCGTGTAATCGTCAGTATCGACGTAGCAGCACATGCTGCATCACATACACGTAGACTTTCAGCCTCCTTCGGCAAAGCGGCTTCCCCCTTGTAACTCTGGAAACGTTTCCACCCTTTGCCTTCTTTGCCTCCGATACCTCCTGCTCCTTCCGCATACTTCGCCAATCCCTCCGTCTCCAGTCTTGCATGAAGTTCCCTCTGATGTTCGGCAATCTTGGCAGCTGTCGATTGGATGTGCTCTTCATGGGCAGCACTGCGCGTTTTGTTCCGCAGCACCTTGCCACCTGCCATCTTGTTCTTCATGGGCGAACCCCCATTAACACCGTTCTTGTTCACCGGAGGCTTCTTGGCAGGTGCTGACTGCTTAGAGTCACCGTTCAGATCCTGGTTCAGGAAGAACATGGTGTCTTTGATGGACTTCACACCCGACGTCAGGCAAATGGCATGATCCTTGTTAACCTGTACAGTGTCGACGAGTTGAAGTGCATATCTGGACAGTCCTGTTTGAGCAAATCGCATGCACTAGTGAACGAGTACATACTTCTTCGCTCCCTCCTGCAAGTCCTGAAAACCAAGCACGAGGTTGAAGACCATGCCCGGGCGCAGCGTCCGTCCATTCTTTGGGGAAAGCAGATAGGAGGAGTCACGGAACTCCATGCCCATCTAGACACGATGGTTGAGGCGAGGCACACAAACGTAGGCAACATACTTACACCATGGCCGATGTTCTTGACGAAGTGCTTCTCGAGCTCAGGCTTCTTATCTCTGACATACGCCAAAGCTTGTTGATAGACATCCCGTGCAACTACGCCATCCTTCAGTCGGGGTAGAATCTCATTCTGCATAGACAAAAGGAGTGAGTAGATTGCTTCTTGCTCCTGCAGGGCGATTAGTGATGTATTATTGATGACTATCATCGTTCACCTACCTTGGAAGGATCTACGATGAAACTTCTCCCCAGGTTGGCGCAATACCCCTTGTATCGCATGCCTACTGCGACAAGGAAGACACCTTTGTGAGCTATATCATCGGCAGACGATTCCGCAGCGGGACTCAAATCGTATCCTGTACTTGTAGCCTGTGACTGGATGATCGGAGTGTAGCAGAACTCCGTTGAACCCCAGTCAACCTGCACAACGACGTCAAACCTTGCAAAGAAAGCCAGAACCGAAATGGCGAACTGACATCTGTGAGACCTCGTCCTTTGTTCCAGACCTTCATATCCGGCCCCTTGGCGTTGTCACCCTCTCCATACCCTAACCGTGACTCGATCTGACCTGCAAAAGCTTCGTGTGTGATTTTCGCCTCCCTGTCCAATATCGTTTCCAGCTTTATCACAACATGGTGAGCAAGTAGCGTTGAGGTAAGATTTGCGGCAGTTCGTATGCATTTCTGAGACAAACATGACGTTACATCCAGTCATGTGTGATAGAATGATTCACGTACAAGTTCGTCGCTATCTTTCACTGCCATGAATGAAGAGAGCGACGATGACATATCGACATCCACCGGCTTGGTTGCGGCATTAGCCAAGACCTTATTCCACTCATCCACCAATTTGCCTGAGTGAGACTCCTTCGTGAGAGATCCAACCCGACCATGAGCTGTATACGCAGCAAGAAACTTAGGCAATGCATCTGTAGGCGGGTCCTTCACCTTCGCTTGCACCAGAATTTCAATTGGTACCGGTGCCCCCGCGTTCTTCAACTGTGATAGGAACTTTGCTATGTAAGATGACGCGTCAAATATGAGATATGGTAGGTTAACTTATGTGCCTAACCTTTGGTCGCGGAACATAGAATGGTCAAACAACTTTTTTCGAAGAGCAGGAATGTAGAAGGAAATTCATAACCAAGCAGCCATGTCTAGACATGAAATTGCTGGAGACAACTCGTGGGAGTGAAGACAGGCGAAACGAACCTGGAAAGCGGTTCCTTTGCGAATGGGCTCGTCCTCGCCAGCAGGATCACCCGCGGATAGGAACAATGCACCTACATCAGCAATTGCGCCGTAGTCGCTGTCGGTGCTCGCGCTCTTCGGGAAAGAGAGGGTGTGATATGTCAGCAAACTCGACGCTCGCGACGGTGGACCAACTCACGTTCCATGAAGACAAAATGTGTTCCAGACGCTTGTTGAAGAGAGGGGCGTTCAGCTGAACGTGCTGCATACTGGCGGAAACAGGAGAGTGTGACCACGGAGGAGAGGAAGAAGGGAAACGCGTCTGGTCCGATCTGGTGGCGCGCTGTGCACAAACACGCTCGAGGCGGAGAATAAACTCACGACGCGACTGGGGTTAGGGTCAGTAATTTAAGTCTTACTTGGATAGGCTCGCACGAGGCGATTGATCTAGCTTTTATGTCGCTCTCGAGTCTCAGCAATATAAAATTCCTGTATTGCAGTACAGTACTCTCCCTAGGCTGCACATGCCGTTGTCCTAAATCGCATCTCCTGGGGAATTGTGTTCGTGGCATACCCTAGTTGACGATGGCGGCCGTGCGTACGCGTTTGTTTGGGCGTCAGCGCGAACTTTAATTGATATAGCACGTATGACGCCTGTAGTAGACGTGTCCACCGGCGGTACTTTCGCCTTCCTCGCAATCCACACGGTACCGGCCCATTTGCGAACGCGGGGCAGGGAACTCAAATCGCAATGGCCCTGTCTGACTTCATCATCACGGATGACCTCACCGTTGTCCTAGGTCTCGTAGCCATTTGCCTCTTTCTGCTGCATAACCTTTACAAACCGCAGTCTCTGGTGCACCCTATTCTCTTGGGCAGACAAAGTGATGTTGCGCGTGTCAGGAACCCGGGAGAGAGTGCGACATACAGGAACTACAGCACGGGAATGATGGGAAGGGTATGAGCACCCCTTGCCTCGTTCTCACGTGTACAGCGGCTGACTCTTCATTGTAGTTTCCAGCGAGGCCTACCAAAGACCAGCATTGTATTCTCGACCTCGTCCGTCCTGATGCGGATGCACCGCGAACACTGTGGTCTACGAAGGCGCGTTCGAAATACTCGTTTCCGCTGGGATGCGTAATCATTTCACCTTGCAGATCACGAATCCTGAGCTTAGAGAACGAGTCTCGTCGTTTGCCAATGGACTTGTTCGCTATGCAGGCCTTGTTCCACAGGAGTCCAATGTTCTCCTCCTGCTCAACGACAGCATTGGTACTTCAGATTACTCCCTTACTTCTACACTCTAATCATCATATCATTCAGAATTTATCATATCCGATCTTGCTCTTGCTTCGGCGTCGCTACCATCCTTCTTGTTGACATCTCTCAGACTGCTGTCTCCGCTACTGGAGTCGCACCCTCCGACTGCCATCGTAACGCATGCCGACATGCTCCCCAGCTTGCTTGAGGTGATATATGATTCGCATGAGAGCGGTCACCACACTATCATCGTTGTTGGAAACTTTGACAACAGCGTTGCAGCTTCAGTGGGGCACGTGAGGTTGCTTCGTTGGGAGTCTGTAGAACGCGAGGGTGCTCAAGGCGACAAACTGATCCTCCCTGACCTTCGTGAGTTAGATGCACTATGATGCGATCGAAGTACTTAACTACAATCAAATTCATTAGATCCGCAAGACATCTTCTCTGTCTCTTTTTTCGAGGGTCTGTCGGGCGAGCTGGAAGGTACACAGCTTACTCACGAAAATTTGACTGCTGGGGTGGCTTCTGTTCGGGCACTCCTTCCCCTCTCAAGTGCTATGTCTCCGCTCGACACTCTCATTTCAGCCTTTCCGCTGAACACTCCGTATGGCCGAGCTGTAGCATATACAGCTATCTATGAAGGAACTAGTTTCGCCACGCTGGACAGCACGAAATTGATTAGCAGTGGAGGTAAGTAATCAAGTCAAAGTCTGCGTGACAATTTTTGCAATGCTGAATAACGAGACAGGTGCAGCTGCAACGGCCCTTGCTGATCTTGCATCAGCGAACTCGTTCCCGATACCATCCCCTACAATCTTGTTCATCAAGCCTTCTCATCTGAACAGTCTCTCTTCCGAGATCATCGATAAAGCGAAGGCCTCGTCGCCTCTGCTATACCATCTAGGATGGCGTCACAAGTTATCCGGGATTCTGGAAGGCTTCATCACGAAACGGAGTCTCTGGGATAGGCTTGTCTTTGATAGTGCAAGAGTCAATGTCATGGATAAAGGTGCAGGTACAGTGAGAGGTGTCATCGTCGGCGGAGGTAGGCAAATCGCATAACAATGTTATGTTATAGTACACTCAAATTTCGTTCAGAACCTCTGGAAGCTCAAACCTTAGTGCTCTGCCGAATTGCTCTGTCTGTTCCCCTCGTTAATGCCTACATCCACCCCCTGGTTACTGGTCCTGTCTTTGCCTCGCATCCCCTCGATCTGCAGACGTTCCCCTCTGCAGTTTCATCCTCATCATCGGCAGCAGATGCGTATACCTTCTCGTATCTTGCACCTGTCGGCCCTCCGTCTGTTAACGTGGAGGTCAAGCTCCGCGGCGTCGACGATTCGGCCGTGGAGGCTGGAGCTGACCCTTGCGGTGCCTTATTCGCTGCGGGTCCTGTCGTAGGGACACTGCTGCGTCTACAGGATAACCAGGATGAATACGAACTGGGTTGGGTTGAGTTAGGTGAAAGGGCTAAAGTCGCCACCAATGGGACATTCAAAGTTGTGGAAGATAAAGGCAGGAAGTAACATTTAAAATGGTACATAAGTCTCTTGAGCGTCGGCTACCACTTTCACCTGGAATGAATGATGTGCCGCATTCGTAGTCGATTTTTGAATAGCCGGTTCAAACCAATCACATTGTACCTACACGTAGCACTGAAACTTGACATATGGATGCTGTCCTTGGCCAGCCGTACGAAGTCGTCAGCGACGCAGTGCGACAAAAGGCTGAACCGCGCCGCTTACGCCATGAGCCTGCCCTGAATAGGCGCAGCTCCACGCTGAGTCGTGCCTCTTCTGCCTCACTCCATTACCCTACCAAGATGACGACAACGACTCTCATGGAGACGTTCGATACGCAAATGCTAGACTCCGGGGACGCCGACATGCCCATGTATTTAGGGACCCTCACCACCGACCCATGGTCTACTGTGGAAACTACCATGGTAGATGCGGCCGACCCAGCAAACCCCGGGCCCTCAGATCATCAACCCATTGAAGTGGATATGGACAACCGCGACGAGGAAATGACGGAATACGAGATGGCAGATGAGGAAGGACATGAAAACGAGGTGGATTTGGTGGATGTGGACGTGGTTGACGCCACAATCGATTCATCGTCGGCGTTGGTCGCTATCGACGAAACTCGAATACCGTTGACGGGAGCATCGCCTCATCCATATGGTGCCCTACTTACCTCTCTCTCCACTCCTGTGATGCTGGAGTATGATCTCGGCCCTGCCGAAGCCACAGCGAATCTGCCTGGGGAGACAGGCTATGCCATTTCGTCTGATGCAGCTGCGTCTCCGGCGACTTTGGAAACTGCAGCATTGCATGCCTCGCATTCAAATCAGACAGATTTTTCTGTGGCTCACGGAGCAGAGACAGCTTTTCTTGGACTTCCCGCCTCCAGTGACTTGTCTGATCACGCTGTAGTGTCTGCAGTACAGCACGAGAATTCCAACGGGGACCCGGTGATACAATACGGTCGTGACCAACCTGATGTCCAATCATCGGAAGCCAGAGAGGGCGCTATCGAGAGCACCGAGCAGGCAAGCCCGCTCTCGGAGCGTGAGATCTGGGACCATGCGAATAGGGTGCTCGAGGGAGAACAATCGGGCGATTCTTTCATTGGTCTAGGCAACGGGAATGCCGATGTCGCGCATGATGCAAATCATCTTTCGGCGCCGTCCGAAGATGCAACGGCGCCGCCAGTAACTAACACTACGGAACAGGTTACAAATTTGCGTGATGGTCTCATCGCTCACAGTGACCTCGAAAACCGCGAGGACCAGGAGCGTGGGGACGAGGCTGTCGGCGCCGTCGATCCGCATGAGATATCTGAAGGTGTATATATCGACCCACCTCCCGCTGTTCTGATGTCTGTCTCTCTATCCTCGGAACCGGTTGAATGCTGCCTCTTCAATCAGCCAGCATCCTGTTCTCAGAGTCCATCAAATCATGTATCTTCCTCTGGGCATCAGGTTCTCTCACTCCTCTTACACCATCGCCCCACTCTATACTATGAACCTTTGTCGGCTGTCTTCGAGGCGCTTCGGCAGGAAGAGTTCATTCAGGAATTTCTACGGTTTGAAGACGGGGAATTGGTTCTAGATGCTTATGATCTTCAACTTGTGGTTTCGGAAGTAAGTTTAAGTTCAGTGAAATGTTGGTCTAATATTCAAGTCTATATGTTCTTTCAGGACAACGCGCATACGCACGAAGTAACTATCCATGATCTTAATGTTCTACATGATGGCACCGATCAGTTCGGTCCGCTTCGTCTTCAATTGAGGCATATATCTCCTAGGTTCATTACGCGTTATAATGCTCTCCGTGATCAGATTGCACGATTAGACTTAGCCGCAGACGAGGAAGGAGACTCGTCGCATTATGAAGACATCCATACTGGTGAGATTGTGTAAGTCTTAAAGAGTTCCGATCTCAGCTAACAATCATGCTCCAGTGTACGCAGGAGAAACTTCTGCTGAAAAACAGCCAGAAAGCACGGTGGATGCCTTACGTGAAGACCCGCATACCGAAGAAAGTTACAGTCACAACGAGGACTATTCTCACCCTGCGGCCGGGGAGGAAGACCTAGGCGAGCATACAGTATACCGCGATGCTGAAGACGGAGAGCATGGAGAAGGGAACGCGAGAGACGGTGATTACCTACATGATCAGGAAACACTTACGGGTGATCAGCAATACGTGGATGGGGTTGATGCGGTCGAAATGGCCCATGGTCCTGATACTGACGCGGGGGAATATGAAGACTATGCTGACTACGCAGAGGACGACGAAGACCGCTATGGCGAAGACCTTTCGCACGACGTTGGTGGTAGTGCCGATGGCGATGGCGAAGACAATGTTTACAGCGGTGAACCTGAGTCGACTGAAGATGCACCGCAAGGTTTATTTGACGTCGTCGCTGGGGCGCATAATCATGGTAACTTCTACCACAACGTCGAATCGTATTCTGTTGGAAAAGAAAACGGTATGTTGTGGGATAACGTCGAAGGTAGACGACGCTAATTTCGACCTTCATCTCCATCTAGGTAATGATGATGTTGCTAAATCTGGAACTGCTGGTGAGACGGCCAATACTGACGTTTTAGCGGTCGCGGACGAAGATAGTGGTAAGTTTGAACAGCTGTACAGTTCAGATAGGCTGCTGACTTGTTGATGATGTCCAGCCTTCATAGAGTATCCTACTGAGGAAAACTTACATGCATCGGAACGCGCTAACGAGGACCTGGGAAATGTTCTGATTGACCCAAATGTCAATGTTTACAGCATGAATGGTTGTGAGTAGGATCAGTGACTTGAATAACATCAGACCTGACTTTCTCGTGAAAACTCTGTAGCCGGCAACTCGAAAGGAAATCACGACTACGAAGCAACTGAAGATGATGAATTCCAAGATTACGATGACTTCGACGATCTTGAGGGCACATCAGTAGTCGATGCCCCTGAAGCGCTTGATAAGGCATTCTCTCCTCTTACATCCAAACCCTTGAAACGAAGCCATGATGAGGTGGATTCAGGGGATGACAGCGGTGGTCGTTATGATGATGTTGCGCCGAGCTCCCCAGGTGCGTTCATCACGAGGAGAATGCCCTCCGTCAGATTCTAATCAATCACTGAATTTGCAGAGTCGAAACGGCTGAAGGTTCAATGAATCTTTTTGCGATACCTGCCGTGGCTGGCGCTCGCGACACCTCACTGCAGTTTGCCGAAGGCGATTGCCCTGCGCTTCCCGAACCTTGCGTTTCTAGTTGTGGGGGAGCCGACGGCTGACCTCCCGTCACGATCATACGAGCTCTCGGACATCTCGGCTACCCTGTTTCGTCGGAGGCTGCACATCAAGCTTCAAGTTCCGCAAAATTGCCACGATGTATAGCAAGTCTTCATCGCATTATTGACAAGGCTAAGTGTTTTCTTCTCCATTTTTCCATTCCCTCATTGCTCAGGGAGCCACTTCCACACAAATCTTCATGCGTTGCTTTCGACTGACAGTTTACAGATGTTGCAAGCGTCCGAACTCGACTGAGTGTGTTCGGATGTGGTGGATTATTTGTTAGGGCATTACCGCAGTTGTGTCTGTTCGGGATGTTAATGGAGGGCTATATAGTATCCGTCGTGTGTTGGGGCCACCATTTACCATAATCGTGTACGGCTGTACTTCGAATTGACTCTTGAAGCATGAAATTTGAAAGCTTCTTGAACAACACCGAAGATTGCGCTGACACTGCGTCACGCCGGCGCTTACCGTACGCAAGAATCTGAAATATTCTGTCACAGCCGAATAGCTCTGCACACCTGCGACCCGAGTACACTGATCACCGTGACTAACACCAGACCCACCGTAGGGTTGAGCGTAAAAACGTTTGCGGGAACCTGTGAACCTTTGCACCGAATTGTCTTACTTTGATTCAAGTTTGAAATTCTTTCAGATCGTCAGACCGGCTGGTGTGTATGGACAAGAGCGCGAGCTAGCTTTTCCTTGCGATGGCAGATGCAGACACGACCCGACTTTGCGACCAAATAATATTGTCGCATTTTGGCCCGTTAACTGCTGTGAGTACGCGATTTGCCATGATGCTGCAAGGCTGAGTGTGTACTGCAGGCTGTGGCATCTGTGCTGTTGATCCGAGGGCGTCTTCCCTTGGCGCAACTCGTTCGGTTTTCTGGATTGAAACCGCGGATAGTTCGTGCTGCCATCCTAGTATTGGTACAACACAATGTCTTGTGGCATGCTCAAACAGACGACGATGGGGAGGTGTTCGAAGTCAACATTACCGAATGCCTTATGAGGCTGCGGTTCGGGCGTTATGTTTGGCAAGCTGAGCAGCTGTATGGGAAGGCGGTGCGGACTTGCGCGCAACAGTCTACCATAGGGTAATTCACACTTTTGCTACAGGGTGCAGAAATTGTCCAACTGATACTAGACCACGGCAAGCTTCGGTCACCAGAGATTGTTTCTCGACTTTCAATCTATGACCCGATAAAAGGTGTCGCAGCTATGTCTCATTGAACAGAAACGGTCATTGATATACGCTCCTCTACAGGGCCCGCTCTGTACTCGCAGACGTTGCACAAGCTTGTCGATGCTCGTTACCTCAGACCTTCCACTATCCTGTCGCATGTCTCTCCTCGTGACAAGCGTATGAAGTATGAAGCTGAGGAGAAGGCAAAAATTTCTGGATTCCCTACGGCTAAGGAGCTTCGTGAAGCCAAGGAGACTGCTGAAGCACGACTTAGACGGGAGGAGGACGAGGCTGAACAAACTGGCATGGTGAGTCTACGTCAAGCTTGTTGTCTGAGCATTGGAATGTAACGTCTATGTAGAAGCGGAAGGCAAAAGATCAATCAGGTCGGTCATTGAAGGTAAAGTCAGAGCAGTCTGCCTGTTCGGCTTGTATGCTGACGCTGTCTCGATGACAGCGCAAGGCCAATGACGAGGATACAGTCAATGTTTGTATTGTTTCTCATTGGTTCGCTCAACTGCTGATCTTTTTTTGATGCAACAGGACGCGGTCTTTTTCCGTGTCAACTGTGACAAGTTCAATGTTCATATCCGGAACAAGGTGTGTGGTCCCTGGTTCCTCTTGTCAGCATACCCATTTATTTTGCGTGTCAATAGCTCATGGAAACCGCCGCCGCAGAACGATTTAACGACTCCGCAGGCCTTGTCGTTCGCGCTACGTTGAAAGCGACAGAGGCGAAGCAGTTCAGCCTCGCGGATTCACGTTCAGGTATGCCCGTCTGATATGAGTGTAGGATTAGCTGATATACGTGTTCATAGATCCTACATCGTTTGCCAATATCGCAATGCAGTTGATGGATGACGATGATCTCTCAAAAGGCCTTGTCCTTCACGGACCCAAGAAGCCCACCAGTGTCTCCCTCATCAAGGAATACTTAGGTATCTTGGCATCCGCCGACAATCCGACTCCTGCTGGTAGAGCAGCATCTTTCGTCTCAATGAACAACTCGAAAGTCCAAGTTGAATTTGAGCTCGTGGGACGACGATTACGGCGACGCGTTTTAGAGGCAATCACAAGGGAGCGATATGGTGATGACGGTGTGCGAATAGTGCGTCTCCTGTTGGATACAGGGAAAATGGATGAAAAACAGGTATGTTGCACATTAGTATCCACCGCTACTGTTCATTCTGAAGTGAATCGGCAAGATATCTAAAATTGGCATGATGTCCAACAAGGACGTCCGACCGCTCCTCTCTGCATTGTCGGCAGATTCGTTGATCAGTCTGCAAGAAGTCCCAAAAAGCGCTGATCGAAATCCAACGCGAACATTCTACCTTTGGTATGAGGATTCAATGTTATGCTCTGTACCCGAACTGATTCGACAGATTTATTTCAGGTATGTTGATCTTCAGAAGGCATACTCTGTCCTCCTGAACAACCTGTACAAGACTCTTTACAACATTGGCATGCGTAGGCAGGCAGAAAAAGAGGAACCAAGTGTTAAGGCCGTATTGGATAAGAGGCAGAGAAGTGATGTCAGTCAAGATGAAGAGCGATTATTGACTAGGAACGAGCGGGAGGTCCTGGCGCAATGGGAGAAGAAGCGAGAAAAATTAACGACGCTAGAAATGCGAGTGGAGGAAGCAGTCTTTGTTCTCCGTGACCTGGGGACGTTCGGTTGGAATGATGAGTGATTTACCTAAGTTGTTGGAATGAAGACAGCAGACTCAGGCTCGCAGGAGGTTGGCGGTTCGATCCGAAGGCCATTCCGCGATCTTGGTCTCGGCGCGTGATATTACGTCACGAATGGACGCAAAATAAGGTTTGCGTTCAACAGACGCGTCGAGGCTGGCACGTGATACGCGACGCGCCGCTCCTATAAAGAGTTGCCTGTCCCCACCTTCCCGTCCTGTTTCCCCTAATTAGTCTTCCTGTTTCCCTCAGTTTATCAGCATTTCTCCCGCATCTTACTATGGTCTCTCAACCTGCCACGAAAGCGATCTCCAAGAAAGCTAAGACCTCAAGGGTTGCTCCAGCCCCGAAGGCCGATGTTAAATCAACTGCATCACATCCGTCCTGGAAGGACATGGTCAAGGTCAGTATATTGGCAATCATTATTCAATGTTCTTGTTGCTGATTCGTCTTCTTACCGACCAGGATTGTATCACCGAGCATTCCCAGGATGCTCGCACCGGTGTCTCTCGAGCTACTATTAAGAAGGTAAACCCGTCACACGATACGTTGGCATACGTGTAGTGATTAACGGTATGCGCTATAGTTCATCAGCGAGAAGTACAACGTGGAATTTACTGGCATGAATGCATCACAATTGAACCGCGCTATCGCACACGGTGCCGAACACGGCATCTTCTCATTACCCAAAGGTCCCTCGGGCAAAGTGAAGCTTGCTCCCAAGCTCAAGCCCGCCCCTGCCAACGAGGTGCGACGCATCATTGCTGTGTTCTATGGTCAAGGCTTATGCTATCTCAGAATGTGAAGCCGTTGGGTACGAAGAAAACAAACAAAGATACCTCTGCTGCCGCGCCGTCGGCCAAGCCAGCGGTGAAGAAGGTTGCAGTTAAGAAGGCAACCGCTGCGCCAAAGAAGACCAGCAGTGCTAAGGTAGAGAAGAAGAAGGTATGTCTTCTGCCTCGAACGGAAGTGCATGTGTTGATTCATATTTTAGCCGGCTGCAAAGGCTGCCGTCGCTGCAAAGGTTAAGGCCCCGTTGAAGCCTAAGTCCACGTCCAAGGCTAAGACGATGTCTACACCGAAGGCTGCTTCGAAAGCCAAACCCGCGTCCAAGGCGAAGACCGCGACGAAGAAGACCGCAGCGAAGCCGAAGTCTGCCGCTAAGCCCCAGTCCGCCGCGAAACCGATATCTGCGACCAAGCCAAGGTCGACGAAGGTGAGTTACAAACCTGCCATAGTCACATTTAATGGTGCTCATTTGCATCTGCAGACGGCTGTGTAATATCATCGTTCCCGTCTTCCGCTCCTTCCGGTCTGATCTTAGCTTGGCACCCCGTTACTTTATTCTGACCTGGTATACCTATATCTGTCTTTTGGTAGTCTAGTTGTACGAAGTGTAACATTATACTATTGGAATGTGCTATGTCTTGTTACTGGCTACTAGCTGTGCAATGCAGTGAGGGTCTGCAAGTATTGTGGGTGACGCATACGATTTTGGGGTTCTGGATCCGAGATGTACGTTGGTCGTTCAGATCTTCGTTTTCTTGGCAGATAGTGGTGACATGTTTCTGTCCCGAGTTGCGTTGAAAGGTTTGAGGTGGAAGTCAGTACTTTGATTAATTGGTCAAGTACTGCAAACCGTCATTACCAAAAATAGCGTCAATTATGCTGCCTGTACTGCTCCCTCATCTTGAACATCGTCCTCTTTGATAAAACCACTCATCTATCGTCACTTCCGTCTCATCTATTCCATCTCGTGTCTGCGAAAATGTACGCTCGTGCATGCACATTCTGCGGTAGAGACATCACGGCATTCTCGCGAAGACCGCGCCGTCATTGTACATACCTTACAGCACACAAAGCAGGCTGTTGTACAGATGATTCGTCTCCATTCATTTCTTCATTGTGCTTGCGACTGTGCGTGAGGATTATGTGCTTCAAAGCATCGTGCGAGTAGCCGATAGCTCTCTTAGGCTGCATATTGACATAGCTGGGTGCTCTCTTTGTATCGTAAGTCCTAGCATTCTGTGGGCTTGTTATCCCGAAATGTCTCTCTGGCTAGCTGTTGATAGAGGCATCCCCTTTGTAGTCTCCTTTGGTGGACGCCTTCGTCGCTTCTTGTGATGGTTTCCCGCGATGGCATGGCTCAAGAAGACGTTCATTCTACGTCCTAACATTTTCGGTCAAGAGAAGGTGCAGATTGTGTTTTATACTGTTACATTCAGGCGCGATATCGAATGGTATGTGTCTCTGTCTAATGCATCGTGGCGCCTGGAAGTCTAATGAGTGTTGTTGACGACCGACGGGGACACCCTCGTTGTCACGGGCTTCTTACCATCTCGACTTTCCACACAGATGCGGTGGATCTTGGGCGAATCGAGGATCACACGGGAAAGTCGTGAGTGTTTGCTTTCAGGCGAAGCGGCTTACGGTATTTTTTTTGACCTAGCAACAGGGGTGAACAGATGGCACTCCACGAAACAGGACCAACAGCAGCGGCCCTTCCCCCATCTGGCACAACTTCCTTTGGTTATCTGCACTTGGATACCGATCCTCATCGTGCAGGACGGGACGCTGTGGGTGCATTACCGGCCCCTCCGCAACTGTTGCGGCGTTCACACATGCCCTCCACAGGTGATGACAGAGACTCATCACGAACGGAGCTTGCCTTTCTCTGCAAATCAACCTACGTTTTGGACGCGGAACAAGGGTGAGCTCACTCGGTGGCTGTAGGTGCCCAGTGTGATGCCGGTATCAAGTGGGTGCACGTGACATGCTGCGCGTCATAAGGATCCGGCAGAGTTCCCGTGTGCAGGTGCAGGACCAATTTGAGTACGGCCGGAGTGGGACAAGAGTCAGTAAGTTTCTCCGTTTTGAAGGTGGGTTTCTGGAGGTGCTGGGCGTCGGGTGACAGTCGTTCGGGGCCGGAGGCAGGCGGGAGGCAGAGAGAGGGCAGGCGTGACGAACGTGACGTGGCGTTTAGTGGGATCTAGATCGGAGCTGCGGCCATCAGGCTAGTCATTATTAGGCATGCCTGGCACGGTTACCGTTAGGGACCTGCCGCGTCCATACGCTCTCACAAAGCGCGTGCCGTTCCTTCTCGCCTTCTTTCTCCCGGACTACCAACCCCCCTCTCCTCGTCCGTACTTCCACCCTTCCTCTGCCCCTCCTCAGACATCCACTCACTCTATCGCTGGCCGACGACTAGTCTCAATCTACCCTCTTTAATGCTCAGCTCCACATGGTCTCGACCGCCGCCTCGCCCGTCCAACAGCAGCCGTCTACCCAACACCAGTATGGCACCAGAATTCGCTCCAATTCAATCATCCGTCCGTCTATCCGTCTTCGCCAGTCTCCTGACCCCCCTCACCCGCCGCGGCGCATCAAACCCGTCCCTGCACCGAAGTCCAAGTTGGGATTAGTGACCAGTCCACCGCCACAGCCCGACTTCCCTCCATTTCCCCCTCCTCACGTTATGCTTCATTCCGATGACGCCAATAGCAAAATATTTATGGCTATAGGGCGATCCTTCATGTCGGTGGTACGTCTTTCCCTCCTTCGGCGTTGGGACCATGCATTTATACGCTCGTATGTTGTAACCACAGGATAATCGCGCCATGACGATCAAAGACCTTGCGGAGATGACCATGAAATATGGCTTGATGTGTCAAAAGTGCGTCGAGCTCATACTTTTTGTTGCTGTTTGGCTGACGTCTTTACTCCAATGCTATTGTTAGTGTGTCCGCGGCTGGTCAGGCGATCACTACCTATCTTCGTAATCACCTGCAGCGATGCGACGTCCAACAAGACCATCCACTTCTTCTCCGCCACGTTCTGTCCGGCACCGCGCATGATGATGACCTCGTACCCGCTTTGCACTCTCGCGTGGGTGGTGCTCATTGTACGCTCAGCGCTTCCGACAATAGGGTTACCAACTTTAGGCGCGGTACCATGGTTTGGTACCTCAGCAAAGCTGCTGGTGCTCCCTGCCCATTTGCTAGAGCTGGGATTCAGCTGTCCGACTACAGCGAGAATGGCAGGGTTGGATCAATTCCAAACCATGGACGAGAGAAGAAAAGGGAGAGAGATCGTGTACGGAGGGCGGAGCAGTGTGGTCAGAAGCGGAAGCGACTACTACGTGCTTGCGCTGACAAAGGTTCGGATTCGGATTCCCTAGGAGAGGAGGAGAAGAGACCCCCGAAAGTTAAGTTGACCTTGAGGCTTAGGCCGTCGCTCGTGTCCACTCCAGGCGCCTCGACCTCGGCTGCCTCCGCGTTACCATCAGATCCTACCCATCCATCCGAGTTGATGGATTTGACCGTGGACTCGGACTCTGACGACGACTCAATGTCAATAGACTCGGAAACATCTGAAGAATCATCCCCAGGAGCAAGTGTGGTACTGGAACCCTACCCTCGACGATCCCTCTCTATCCCTTCCTACACGCCCTCGCTTGATGGGTCGTACATTGCTCCTGAAGAGCAGACGGATCATCGCCGGTCGCCTTCAGTTCCTTACAGTGTGGAGTCCGCATCTCCTCCTCCCGATTCAGAAGATGAAGATGCGGACTTTCATATCAGCATGACAAGTGTGCGGCGCTCGTCTTCGGGTTATGACCTGGATGAGGACGAGGAGGATGACTTATTCTACAATGGCTTCTATGATGTTGACGCAGAGACCACCTACGAAAGTCCTGGCCCGCGATCGCCTTCAGTCCAATTCGAAGATGAGGCTGTGGTGAAACAGGAGCCCATTGATTTGGACGGACATCTTGCTGCTTTGGACGACCTAGAAATCACGGCTACCGGTATCGAAGTGGTGCGCATCGTGGAAATGGCCGCGGCCGGGCTTGATGAGGTGGGATTACCCAAAGAAGATCTCGAGTCGTGCGATTGTGTTCGTTGCAGGGAGTCCCATTCGCGAGCGTTCCTCCCTTCCGATGACGAACTTGATGTGACGAAAATCAAGGAGGAAGAGGTCGACCAGGTGTTACCATTGTTTCATGGTGAATTGCCACCATCACCACAGTCCGACTACCCGATATCTCCTGTCTCTGCATCACCAATCCAGTATGACTTCGTGGAAGGTCGTCGCCAAAGCGAACTTATGTGGAGCGATGTCGAACTTCTGGGGCCGGACACCGTCAAGCCCCATGATCTTGAGGATGAATCATGGTTGGAGAGTGGGACCAGCTGGGACCACGCAGAATCCTCTGCGGAAGATACGGTACGGCGGTCTCATGTTCCTCTAGCTGTCACGGACCCCAAGTTCCCTGTTCGCACGCAAGTGCGCGTCCCACCGTTGCCTCCTCGGCTGGACCTCACTGCGACGGGTAATCAGAATACCGTCAAGAAAGAAGATGGTATTCGTCCCCCCGAAGTTGCAACGCCTTCGTTGATTTCCTCCCTGACCACACTTTCTATATGTACGCCTACTTCACCAGATGCCGAGAGACATGACTCGGTCAGCTACCCTTCGCCTTCGGTGCAGACAAACGCTCCGGAGGGGGAGTCGCGTGTGGAATTGACTTATTTCAACGAAGCGTCTGTACACATCTGCGCTTGCACTCCTGCAATCAGTGCTACACAATTCGAAGGTAGATTTATTGTAGCAAAATGCAAAAGGTTTGAGCCCTGATTACCCACTTTTCCATAGGCATCTTCGTATACCAGATGTCACTGGGCTCGTCGGTTGCTCTTCGGAGAATCGATTCCGATTTCGTGAACTTCTCCCCCATCGCTAGGTGTATGGGTATTCAATCACCGAGTGTCCTTCATGCAGTCGTTGTCACCCGAGGCTCACCAGCTGTGCGCGGTACATGGGTTCCGCGAGCTGTCGCACAGCCTCTTGTGGAGGATCATCCTGAGCTGGCCCTTTTTTTGTCGGACAGTCTCCATGGACGTTTCTCTTCACTCCTTCCTGATCCCTACCATGCAACCTCATGCCAGCCTGACAATGAGTTTGGGCCGCATTTCCAGTCTACTGTGGACGCGGAACGCTCAAGAGAAGCTCTATGGGAACCAGGGATAGACTCGAACTGGGAGAGCGAAGATCATCTGTTTCCAGTACACCCTCCTTTCTCGTTGGCGTCGATTCCCACTCCGACGTCATTTCCGGAGGACGTGACCATTCCTGAGACTCCCTTGAGCCCTACGGAAGAGGAGATGTTCCACGTTTTGTGTGCAGCTCCGGATTGGGAGGCATCGCCCGCTGTCGCCTGTCCCGTAGTCGCCTCAGCCGCTGCCGTTACCCCATCCATGGTCCCACTAGCTGTCACTTCACCCGAATCACCGGTGATGTTGACATCTGTCCCTCCGGCCCCAACACCGCTTGCAGCAGTTACTAATTGCTCAGAGGACTGTGTGGTTAACAATGAGCCTTCCACTGGAGTTGTGAAGGACTCAGCATGCCGCGACCGTCCTTTGCGACGATCGAAACGCGTGGCAAATGCCATTGCCAACTCTCGATCCCGGACACGATCCAACAAGAGAGGATCACGGAGTTCTTTGTCTTGAACGAATGTTCAGTCGGTTGTCACTTCTTGTACTTTTTTGCGACTTACTTATTGAATTCGTCTTTCATGAAACCACCAGAGATTCCCTTAGAACCTGTATCGATTACGCGTCTCTTGTCTTTACTGCGTCTTGCGCCTGCTCGGCCCCAGCCGTGACCGCTTTGCTTCCTGATTTCCAGCAGACAACCGACCATCATCATCACTTAATCTCTCACTTCTGATGGTCACGCCTTGACTGCCGAGGATCCGAATACCCCTTACTCCCACTACGTATGTTATGCGTCGAGCGATGATTTCGACATTTTGCGGTACACTAGAAGGGCGAGTCCGATATTGTATGTGCTTGACAAAGTAACCCCACTCAGTATAGTGAACGATGGTAGTAAACTAGTTCGTTTATGTGCAAAATTATGAACAATATGACCCGTTTAGTATGATCCACGACGGGTGTGTTCGAGGCCTGCTGAGGATGCACAAAAACATATCAATTAATGGAAGCGGCTGTTGACGCCGTGAGAGCAACGTGACAAACCGCAAGGGAAACAAGGGCGGCTAAGGAAGCTTGAGCGGAGTTCCAAGGGCGTACAGCTGCTCCTCTCCTCTGTCCGAGCTCTTTGCTCCCAACCGCCATTCATCCTACTTAGTCCTACTATTTACCGGAAGTCTACCCTACTGTAGTAGTTCTGGGCAATCCTTGTCTATCTTCGCCCCAAAAATTTGGTTTCTGCTGAAAAATCTCCGTATTACGACCTATAGCCCCTCCTGCTCATAGTTATCTCGGACTCCCGAGTTCTGGTTGTCTTGCATTCTTGTTCGCTTCCCGCTTACCATCGCAACCAGCTCTGGTGTCTGCTACCCCCAATATTCAGTAATACCTAATTTTGCCGCATCGCAAGCGCAATGTCTCTGTCTGCTTCTGACAGCAACGGCTCTTTTTCCCGTGTCGCTTCCGGGAAGACACCCCCTCCAGCACCGTCTGCTGCTTTCGCAAAGAGGTCAATCAAAATCTTTCCTCATTCTTGATTGTCATTGACGCATACACTACCCAGGGCGCGGGAGATCGAGGCTGAAGAGAGACTAGGTGCTAGATACAGGCCTCCCGCGCTGCGCGCCTTGGCTTCAGGTGGTTCCCCTCCTAATGATTCCCCGTCCACGATCACTCCAGGCGATACATCTACCTTGCCTCCACCCACAACTTACCCAGCGGGCTTCAGGAGGGCTAGGGCCGGAACCTTACCTTCCAATGTCCAACTTGCTGCTCAACGGTTTGCAGCTGCGTCCAGCAACCTGGGAAGTACTCCCGCTTCGACTGAATCATTCTCGGACCAGCTGCAGAGGCAAACCATTACCACCCCTTCTGCCACGCCAGCAGCAGCACCTGTTCGCCCCGGTTTACGTCATTCGGCTTCCATCGCGTCGTCGGTCGCCTCATCCGCTCTCACGGAGCGCCAGAGTCGTCTCCGTTCAGGATCATTGACACTGCCCACGGGCAACCTCTCCAATGCCTTCGGGTCTTCAATCTTTTCGTCATCCTGGCTTTCGAGGAACGATGGGGGTGCTGGATTACCTGTCCTAGATGATTTGCGTTCCGTCACGTCAATGGATTCTGGCGCTGATGACTTTGACGTCCATACCCTCGACTATCTGGGTTTAGACGAGACACTCCGTCATCCCCCTGCTGCTACTATCACTGAACTGCGCAACCAGGCACAGGCCGCGATCGCTGGAAATTTGGCTTCGCACCCGTCACGTCTGCGCGCGATCACCGTCTCGACTCCGTATCATGTCAGGTCCTCCGCCTCCAACCCTTTACTTTCTACTCCAACTGCTCAGGAGGAAGAAGAGTTCTATGATGAGGATATGTACCACAGCCAGGGCCTGGACTCGTACGATGACAACGAGTCGAACGACTTTTTATCTTCCAACTATGTCGCCAAGGGTTTCAAGCACGGTGATCATCTCACTCTTCCCGGCCTCGGGTCCAGACCTCGTGCGATTTCTGTTGGTAACCTCGATGATACTTCAAGGTCTCTCCATCGCCGCGCCGCTGCTGCAGAAGCACAGCAAGCAAGCTACGCGACAGATCTCTCTTTGCAGACCGCCCTTGGTAGCGGCAGCCTCAGTCCCGCTAGTATCCTGAGATCGGACAAGCTCACCGGTATCCGTAATGGAGGTTCCCCGACCGTTCACTTTCCTGTTGGAGAACTCCCGCGAAGTTCGTCTTACCTCGCTGCACCATCCACCTCCCAGAACCGTGCCGTCTCTCCCAAATCGGAGAGCTCGTCCACACAGATGCAGACTCCGACCCGATCTTTGTGGATCGGTAACTTGGATAGCTCAGTTACCAGCGAACAGCTCATCCATGTGTTCGCTCCCTATGGTGCGATCGAAAGTTTGAGGTTGTTGCCGGAAAAGGTCAGTAGAATATATGGGTATTTTATACATGATCACTGAGCATCCCCAACAGGAGTGCGGTTTCGTTAACTTCGTAGATCAAGCGGATGCGGTTCGTGCCAAAGAAGATGTGCTCAACCGCCTTGGCGGTGACATCGGTATGCCCAATGGCCAGACGGTTCGGATTGGGTTCGGAAAGGCGGACAGTGCCCCGGTCGCTCCCGCTAAAGGAACCACGCTGAACAGCCCTTCGGCCACCTCTCCCGGAGGAGTTTTGGGCAAGAGTACCGGCAACAATTCTGGTTTGGCGGGTATGGATGCTCAATTGCAATCCACTCCCACGAGAGCGTTATGGATCGGTTCCATTCCATCCACGACGACTCCAGCTACCATCTTGAGCGTTTTCAGTCCGTATGGACCGATCGAGTCAGCACGAGTTCTCACCCACAAGAATTGCGGATTCAGTAAGTCGAGTCGTCTTATGTGATGATTATTCTCTAACGTCGGACTCCCAAGTCAACTTTGAACGCTTGGATGATGCGGTGAGGGCCCGAAAAGCTCTCAATGGTCGTGACGTGTTGGGTAGTGATGTCGGTGCCATCCGTATTGGGTTCGCTAAGGTGCCCGTGAAGAACGGACAGGAGAGTAATGGTGCTCAAGATGATAGTGTTGGCCTCAATGTCCAGGGCATCGGCGATCTGAGTGTTGGCGCCACAATTCATGCCCTCCGCAACATCAAGGGTGCATCCACTATCCCTGTTGACCAGCAGGTCCTGAGTGGTGCGGTGGAGAATTACAGGTCGAACCTCCTCCTCAGCATGATTAGCTCTGGCGCCCATTCCCCGTACGACGGTGTTGGCAAGCCTGCTGGTTGGACAGCTTCGGTTACTGAGCAGCAAATGATCATGAAGGAACTCAGTGGCGGTAGTCCGGATGCGGACGCTGATATTCAGGCCCTTGCAGGTTAGTGTCCTTATTCCACCGCACGTACTTTATTAATCTTAACGTTCAGAATTCCGTCCCCCTACTATGTATTACACCACGATTCCGCTGGTCTCCGAGAGACCGCATAACAGACGGTGGGATGCGTCGAAGTTACGCGAGCTGCGGAAGCGCCTCGACACTAGTACAATCTCCACTGAGGAGATTGATAATGTCGCTGCGGATTTCCTCGACGGCGAGATTGTTGATCTTGCCTCAGATTGGCTTGGGAATACGGTCTGTTATATTTCGTGATAATGGTGCAATGATCTCGATTGACTTTGCTATCAGGTTGTGCAGAAGCTGTTCGAGAAATGTTCTGCTGGTCCTAGATTGGCAATGCTCGAGCGCATTAGCCCTCACCTTGCCATGATTGGTATCCACAAGAATGGTACTTGGGCAGCGCAGAAGATCATCGAGTGCGTCCAGACGCCTGACGAGGTTGCTATTATTACGCAGAATTTGAGGCCCTATGTTCCTCCCCTCCTCTTGGATCAATTTGGAAATTATGTCGTACAGTACGTTGTTACTCTTTGTTTTCTACGTCAGCTCACGTCATACCCATGAAGGTGCTGCCTTCGCTTTGGTGCTCCGGCCACAGATTTCCTGTTCGATGCCATGGTCGACCGTCTTTGGGAGATTGCACAGGGTCGCTTCGGCGCTCGTAGCATGAGGGCGTGCCTCGAGAGCACCAATATTACCCTGAGCCAGCAGCGCCGCATCGCCACGGCTATCATTCTCAACTCGATTCCGTTGGCCACCAACCCCAACGGTGCGCTGCTGTTGACGTGGCTCTTGGATACGTCGAGTTTCCCATCAAGGTACAACTTGCTGGCTCCCCGCTTCACACCGCATCTGTCGCACCTGTGCACCCATAAGTTGGCATCCCTGACGGTGCTCAGGATTGTGAACCAGAAGGTTGAACCGGAGGCTTCAAGCCAGATTGTAGAAGCTCTGTTCTCGTCTCCTGGAGACCACGTTCTCACTGATGTGTTGGGTGATCAAGTTAACGGCGTCGCCGTTGTTCACAAGATTCTCACTAGCCCCTTTGTGGATCCCGCTCTCCGTCCGACCTATGTAGATGCCACGAAGCGTGTACTCATCGAGCTCAAGGTGATTGCCACTCAAGCCTACCGTCGTTTGATTGAGGAAGTCGGATTACCTGTCCCGAACTTGCAGCCCACGTATTCCACCAACGTCCCACAGCCTAGTAAGACCAAGTACACGGCGCAGAGCAATTACACGATGCCTGGTCTTCCTGCTGGATATCCGTCCAATGATCAGGGTCTCGCCTCCATGATGGCGGCCCTACAGATGGGTGGACAAAATGCGGCGTCTGGTCCTCCTCGTCTGCAGATTGATCCGGGGTATGGTCAGGTCCCACAGAACGGTACGGGACGAGGTCGTGCTTCGAACCCTCCTTCAGCCTTCTCCCCGTCGACCGATCCTTTCAACCCATTCCGGTCTCCTGACGTGAACACTCAGAGGAATGGCGTTCCTCGTCGAAACGGAGGTATGCCGTCTGCGGCTGGCGGGACGTCGTCCATCCCGTTCGGAGCTCAGTCTCCCAGCCTTACTCAGGCGGCCAACCTGATGGGCATGACACCGCCGCCGTACGCTAGCATGTCTCCTCAGTCCGTGCCACCTCACGTCTACCAGGCATACATGTATCAGATGTATCAACAGCAAAACACCCCGAACATGGGGACCTTCCACGCCTAGAGCGACAGTTTGTCGGCGCGGCTGTCGTTCTTACGACATATAACGATCTGCTCCGGGGAACTCTATTCGAGATACGAGGATACAGACGTCCCGTCAATCCTTTCGCCGTTACCTTTGTTTTTACTGTATTCGTGTTCACATCTTCCAGGCCCGTGGCTCTGCTCCCTAGTTTTTGAGACCTTATACCCCTCCCTCACGTCATTTGCCCGGTATGTTCGCACATTCGTTTGAACAAGTCACCTAAAAGGTTGGACGCGGTTTTCCCGTCGGGCGGTGTCATTGCTGACGCCGGATGGGTGAATAGTTGGCTGTTATCTTCCGTTTCTCACTACTCGCTATCCTTGGTGGCACTATGTATAACTACTGGAGGGCTGTAAAATATGGCCACTGAACCTATTATAGAGAAGCCCCGAGTTTCCTGTTTCACTATAGAGTCAGACGTGGTGATTGAACTGGCATGGGCGGGTTGGGCGTGGGCTCGCGTCGCTGGACGTCGCGTACGCGTCATGTCACATTCGTCACGGAGGCACTGTCACTGCTTTCAGGAGGGTCAGCGCTCAGTGTCTTCCGCTAAGTCTGAACCTTTTTGACCTACCGAATCACTTGTCAGGATGCTGAGAGGAGCCTGTCAATCTGTGAGATCTTCTCGTACCTGCCAGTCTGCCCGGCGACTCCATTCGCAGACTTCGTCCTCCAGCGCGAACCGTGCGCTCATCGCTGTTTCTGGCTCCGTTGCGACCGCTGCTGCGCTCTGGTATTCGATACACTCGACGCAGGGTGTCATTTTTAATGATGCGCCAGTATCGGAAAAACTACAGTCGTCCCGACCACAGCTACCGGAGACAAGTCTGAACAGCCCGGACTCCCTCAACAGCATCGTGTGGGGCTCGAACAAGTACGCAAGTACATGTCTTTCAATTCTGCGGAATATTCATTTATTTGCGCAGAAATCATGTCCTCTCCATGGAGAACAGCACTGCGGATTCCGTTCACACTCCGGCAGCAGTTGCCTGGCTCGACAATGTCGCGCTGAGGGATTTGGCATTGCATGAACGGCATGCGGCGTGCGTTGATGCGCGGGGGGATGTTTATCAGTGGGGCGATGGCTTTGGCCAAAAGTCTAGTTTATCATCGGGTAGGCCAACGCTTACTCTGCGAGGAAAGGTGCGTGCCTCTTACTCCCTTCTCGTGGCGGAGTAAATAGCAAGGTGCATGGTATTCAGAACATAGTTCACCTCCAAGTGACACCATCCCGCGTCTTCGCTCTGTCTGCATCTGGGCGGGTATACACCCTCTCATCTTCCGCTGCGATGCAAGATCTTCCTGCAGGTACGCCGACGCCTGCTAGCACACCTTGGTGGGGCACTGGATGGCTCTGGGGCGAGGAGGAGGAAGTCGACTTTGCCGAGGTCGTGCCAAACGAAAAGCTGGCGTGGGGAGAGAAGTGTGTCTCCCCTTACGGCCATCACAGAGAGCATTGACCAAGTATCCGTAGGTTTGTCTCAATCGCAGCAGGTTCGGACCATCTCCTCGCTCTCACGTCTACCGGGCGCACTTTTGCGCACCCTATCTCGCTCAAGGCGAACACATATGGCCAGCTTGGTTTCCGCAAATTCGACGTGCCTGCCCCCTCCCATCACCCGCACCTGCATGTCAGCCATACACGCTTACCGATCGAGCTGACGCCAAAATCTATCTCCGATCCATACGCAAAGGCTACTCCCGCCATCCGACGCACCGCCTCAGCGTTGAGTGAAGACACTGGGTCTGTAAAGGCGGTGGACCTAACCAACTTGGACGACAGCACCATCCGGTTTTCGGACAAGTTGTTTGAGGTTCCGGCCCTGAGAGGTGTGCACGTCGACCGTATCGCTGCAGGCGGGCGAACAAGCTTCGTGAAGACAAGTACAGGGAGAGTGCTCGGATGGGGTGCGAACGAATACGGGTAAGAATCTCTTCGTAGTGTGTGTGCTGGATGCTTATGGCACGGCGTGCAGACAGATTGGGTTGGGAAGCACTGTGACCCTTGATACGATCACCGTACCCACAGAGGTTATCTTGTGGAGATCGACACCAGCGACGATGCGTACGACGTGCTTGGACGTTTACGCTGGCGGCGATCTTACATTCTTCAAGGTTGAGCGTTCGGACGGGACTGCCATGCCCTACATCGATGTTCTTGCTTGCGGCAACGGGCAGTGGGGCGGACTCGGCAATTCCCTCTATAGCAATGCTCAGAGTACCCCTGTTCGCGCGCGGAACGTTAGCGGCCTGCTGGAGTGTGAGTATTGTTTCCCAGTATCAGTGCTGTGAATGTAACCGACAAGGTTTCCGATTTACAGACAGCGAGGCGTCAAGGAACTTGCAACCCATCATGCCAGAAGATATCTCTGTCTCGCCGACCGGGCACGTCCTGCTCACTCTTGACACGCGGTCTCACGCGGGCCCTGGTGGAGGTGGCCGGGACATCATGGCGTGGGGCGCGAATTCGGAGTACCAGCTTGGTAACGGAAAGCGGGGCACCGTCGCCTTGCCGACGACGGTGCTGACCCCCGGTGGCGAGCGGTTCATGCTCGGGAAGAGGAAGTCGGTAGAGGTGCGCGACCTGCAGAATAAGGTGTGGAAGCGGGGCGTAGATGTCGAGCAGTATGCGGTTGCTGGGTGGGGAAACAGCTTGGTATACTGGAAGATTTGCTCTACTGGGCGGTAACTTTGTACCAGACACTGGGAATATCTGGCAAATTTCGCTGCTGAATAGACAAATATTAGGAGTATCAGAGTGCAAGAAGCAACGGGGCGGCCAAATCAGGCCGGAACGGCAAAGCCGAATGAGCGCAGCAGACACGGCCGAGGTGCACACAGACCGGAGAGCGTCCTTGCAGCGACACGGAGGTCAGTGGATGCACTAGGACAACAAGTCTCTCTAATATATTCATACCTTGCAGCGACATGGAGGTCACTGTCGTAGCAGTAAGTAATAGTACACACAAGGGGAAAGAAAGATGTACATGGATGCACCAGGACAACAAGTCTCTGGGGCATCCGACGAACGACAGTAAGGTATATACGACGATCTACACTACCGGTTAAGGCTAGTGGTTGGTTGTGCCGTGCCAGTGGCGTTGAGTAGATGCGAGCCAAAATAGACAAAGCGGACCACGGGCATAACGCACGTTGAAAGGAACTTGCTTCAGGAACTCCTGGGACTCCAGATTGCGACAAGGAATTCTACGCAGTACTGCGAGAGTCGCGTCAAGGGATCCTGTATATGTTTTCTGGATACGGCGTGTTATTTGTCCTTGTTAGAATCCAAAGGCTCCGGCTTCCTAATATGGATTTGACGTCATCTGTGTTAAACCTGCCGGTCTACGTGCGGCTCGGCGCGCTGATCTTCGTATGTCTCGTTCCATTCGGACACTCTCCCGACAAATTAGGACCAACGTATCAGCTCTGCGCGGAGACATAACTCGTAGCCCAGCTTGCTCCGCCGCGGCTCGCATCTCGAGCAGACAATTTTCCGATGTTGCTGAAGCCAGTTCGTCCAAGGATGTCGGAGGAGTGACAGAAGATGCGAGTCGGGTACGTGGAGAGACACCCATGTGCTGACTTTTTTATTCATTTTGCTTGCGAAAGTTACGGGAAGGCTGGTTGTTCATCGACTCCGTGCTGCCCGTTCAGCTAGGTATCTGGGAGTTCGTATATCGCTCTTGCGCTCACCTCTGTGTTCTTTTTTGTTGATGCTCAGTTTATATTTCTCTGTGAATTAGTTTGCGCTACTTTCTTGCTGTTTTCCGACAAGAGACACTCGTGGAACGCCTCCAGTATATCTTTTCGACTGTGCAAGCAAACGGGTTCCGTGTCCTTGAAGTCTCCCCGTACTCGAAGGATGGGGGAGTATTCGTGAAGTTTTCCTATACTGCGGTTGAACAGGAACCCGCCCTCGACTCTATATTAAAGGACTTCAGGGAGAAAGCTAACAAGCTTGGAGGTGTACCTTCATGGTTCGGCATCTCGAGAGGCAACATATGGCTGGTGAAAGGAAAACCATGGCGCGAGGTAAGTATCCCGACAGACTGTCTCGAGATCTTTTTAACACCGCGTTCAGGACATGCGTCGCTACGCGTCTCCGATCCTCAAGGTGTCGTTCGACGGGCCAGATGTGCAGGAAGAGTCCCTGTACGAACTTCTACGAGTCCGTTCCCTCACCCAGTCTGTCTGGGGCGCATATTCCTGATGCTGCGTTTTCCCAAGCCGTATGGCCGCATTGAAGAGATCACTCGGCCGACACCTGTTCCCGCGGGCACTCTCCGGTCCTCCACCGTGGCCTTCCGCCGCGTACGCGCTGCAGTGGTCGCTCATAATGCAATCAACAATATCAGTATCCCGTCGGCGCTGAACGCGTCAACTGTGACTAGGCTGAGGACTAACTATGAGGTGCCTATCCAGGCACATGTAGTGAGGAACTATGTCGCAAGCCACCCCAGGATATTCTTGCCGGTTCTGTTCTTCTTGATTGGAACTCTGACCTATACAGTGAGTTGCTTGTGAACAGAGTATTCCCTGCCGCGTTTACGTAGAAATGTAGATTTTCGATCCGTTACGCGTCCTCATGGTGGAAGGGAAGATGCAGGACTGGTTTAACTTCGAAGGTGCGGTTTATCGTTCTTTTTTAAGTTGTGCTCATATACTGTAGAGTTCCGAATATTCAAGTGGCTCCGCAACAACACGCTCGATAGGTTTTACATCACGCCTACCGCCGGCGTCGATGCTACAACGTCGTCGGGGGACGTGTGGAAGGAGCGAAACGATGCGGAGACTGCTCTGAATCAGTACCTGGCCGATATGCCGAGTGCGCATGGTTTCCTGCCGATGTCATCGTTGGTGCTCACTGCTCTGATCATTCATAGCCACCGTGGCATTCGTGCACGGCCCACAGGGAAGTGGCAAGTCCAGTCTGATATCTGCCATTCTGAAAGAACGTGGACGGTGCGGTTTTTTATGCAGAGCGCCACATTTATAGCATTTATGTTCACTCCGCTTCTGGCAGAAAAGCACTGGTGATTGACGTTGCTGAATTCTCCAAGGCAAATTCGGAGGTGAAGCTTGTGTCCACGTTGGCGCAGCAGACGGGTTACTGGCCGGTGCTCTCAGTCTTCAACTCGATGAACAACCTGATTGATGTTGCGAGTGTCGGGCTCATCGGCCAGAAAGGTGCTCTCCTCTACCGTCTATTTGTCACCCTTGCTAATTCTTTGCTGGCATTCACCAGCGGGTCTAAGCTCCTCCCTCACCGACCAAATCAAGCAGGTTCTCGAGGTGGTCGGTAACGGTCTGACACGTGTCAACGCCGCGCACCGCAAGGAGCGCCAGCACGCTGTCAAGAGGGAACATGTTGAGGAACTGAGGAAATCAGAAGGAGCTCGGGTGATGTCTCGTATTAAGGAGGGACATTGGCACGACGGGCGTCTGGATTACGTCGCTGGGACCGGTTTGATAAGCGAGCTGGGCGTCGGCGACGAGTCATTTGGCCAGACCGACGTCCCCCTCTTGCGGTCGCTTGCGTCTGAGAAGGAGGTGGAGGGTAAGGAGAAGGAGAAAGAGAAAGAGGAGGCGAAGAGGAAGCAGAAGAGCGTGGAGGATCTGCGTGTTGTCGAGTCGATGCCCATTGTGATCGTCAAAGGCTTTGGGGCGAAAGGGAGTTGGGCAAGTGGAGCGAGTAAGGAGGTAATCCTCGACGAGCTCGCTCGGTGGGCCGCTACTCTCGTGGAGAACCAGGTACGTCTGTACCCGTATAGAGCGCTACGGGTTCCACAATTCCTGTCAGATTGCGCATGTCGTGGTCGTAAGCGACAACCGGGAGAACGCCAAGAGGTTGGCGAGAGGCAAGCGCCTTTTCTCTTTAACTTTGCGCACAACTGAGCTTCGTCCGACCGTTAGCACTCCCTTCACAGCCATTGCACACGATCAAGCTCTCGGATGCCGACAATGCTAGCGCACTCTCGTTCATGAAGCAGAAGCTGCACGACTCTGGCGTGGAGATTGACTTCACTCGACAACAGAGGACGTATGTGGAACGTCTCGGTGGGCGCGCCAGCGATCTGGAGAGCGTGAGTACCCTGTCGACGTCACTAACGAGCATGATGCTGACGATGCGATATCTACACAGCTCATCAACAAGCTGCGGAACGGGGAAACCGTCGAGAACGCTGTGGAGGACATCATCACGCGCGGTGTCAGCGAGATCCGGAAGAACGCGTTCGGAGACGAAACCGGGGATTCTAGGAATCTTCCTTGGACGAGGGAACAGGCTTGGGCTTTGATGAAGCTTTTGTCAAAGCAACCTGAGGTATGCCATTATTGGCTTGGTTTTAATATGTCCTGCTGAAGGGCGTTACCAGGTCTCATACCACGAAGTGGTACTACAATTCCCATTTAAGAACGACGAGGCGCCTCTGCGGAACATGGAGCAGGCCGAGCTGATCTCTATTGGTACGCAAAACGGTAAGCGTGATTCCTATATCATTACTAGCAAGTCCATTCAATGAGTCCATACCAGGACGACCCTCCACTATCAGTCCAGGAAAACCAGTGTACAGATATGTCTTTGAGCGCTTGGTTCGAGGTAGGTTTTCCGCAATCCTGTCTCGATGTTTGACAATAACCCGGCGATCTAGACACCGTTTTCCAAGCCACTCAAGATATTGCGTTCAACGAGAAGGTGATCGCAGCGTCGGAGAGCATTGTGAAGGCTTGCGAGCTGGAGCTGCTAACACTCAAGGACGTCGATGCCGGCACATCACTATTCTGGGGATCGAGGAGGGCAGTGAGCCAACGCACTGACTATCTCTTAAAAAAGATGCGGATCGCAGAAGAGAAGATTGAGGTCTTGGAGAAGCAGAATCTAAATCTGAAGAAGATACTGGCGAAGGATGCTCTTAAGGGCTGAAGCACTAACATACCTCTAGCGAGGGATGCTGTTTTGCGGTTTTATCGCGGTCTGTTGGAATACCACCACATCCCTGAGTTTGGCATCCCGTCATTCAAACAAGCTGATATGTATTAGAACATCAATGGACGTTGCCATTGATGTTGATACGACACACCCTGATGCGCTTTCCTACGCACTCATGGTGGACCTTTGGTCCTACAAACGCCCTCTACCTACGATGGTACAAATGTATATACGGCCTTGAGCCAAGGGGTACTCCTACGCACATCCGCGTGCAAATATAATACGCAATGCATAGGCCTTGAGCCTTACAGACAACCTAGATTCTACCTACCAATGATGATGATGATAACGACGACGATAACGATGATGAGCGGCCTTCAGCCAGCGATGTGAGAGGTGTCCACGATGAGATCAGAAAGCAAATTGTAAACAATTGAAATGGTTGTCTGGACAGATGTGATGTGCTTGTGATATCGAAACTTGAGAACTGGAGACGGTCGGCGAAACTGAGAGGGAAACAGATATAAGAACGAGCCATCCAAGGGCAACGGTATAAGTTAACGTTTAGCGTTTCTTCGGTTGGGAAGCCGCCTCATGGGCCTATTCTCTTTCGGAACGGGAGGAGGCGCAGATCCCATCACGAACATGACCTCGCCAGGTATGGCTGGTTGTTGTGCAGGATTTTCCGGGAAAGGCGATGATGGGGATGGTACAGGAGTTTGTGCAAAGTGGAACTGCACGGGTGCCGCGCTCTGCTGCTGAGGAAGCCCAGGATTGGCAGCAGCGGGAGAAGCTGGTTGGCTACCAAACCTGAACTGGTTTGCCGGCGCGCCAGCAGAAGTGGGACTGGGTGCGAAATTGAACGCGTTTGGCGGATTAAATGTAGAGGGACTCGCCGGGTTAGACGGGGCGGTCGACGGTCGCTGGCCGAATGCACCGCCCGGCGATGGGCCACCGAACGGGAATGCCGCAGCTGCCGATTGTGCTGGAGCCTGATTGAATGGCGAGGGAGGGAACGGGCTCGGCGACAGTGGCGACTGCGTGCTCTCCTTGTGTCCGAACGTAAACCCACTTGAACCTGCCTGCTGTCCGAACCCAGCAAATGTGGTCTTAATCTCTGGCTTTGCCTCAGGCTTAGCTCCGAACGGATTTGGGTTCGATGCGAAATTGAAGGACGACGAATTGTTCTGGTTGGGCTGTCCGAAAGGCGACACACCAGAGGTCCCACTCTGACCAAACGTGAAGCCAGTCTGGACCTTCGCTATCTCCGGCTTCGCTGACCCGTTCATATCCATTGAACTGCCGCGTGTCGGGCTCTCGTCCATCATCACCTCCGAATCATGCGTGTGCGGGGGCGTTGTCGGTCTCGCAGACGTCGTGGAAGAGCCGAAAACGAAGGGCTTGCTCGATACGTCTGTACCGTGGCCGCCACTCGGCGGAGCACCGAACGTGTACGCAAGCTTTGCCGCAGGCGTCGAGGACGGAGAAGCGCCGAACGAGAACGGAGATTTCGCATTGGTCCCATCGGAAGGCGCTGAAGCCGCAGGCTGGCCGAAGGCTGAGCCAGCAGAAGGGGCAGCATCGAAGAAAGACTTCGGCTGCTCTGCAGCTACAGCGGGCGCAGATGGAGTGAAGGAGAACGCGCTCTTCGGCTGCTCGGCAGCAGGGCTACTCGCCGCAGCCCCACCAAATCCTGCGAAGGGAGAGGGTGCCGCGGGCGCATTACCAAAGAGCGACGGCTTGAGCGGCTCCGCCTTGGCTTCGGGTGCCTTCGCCTGTTCTGCCTTGGGAGCGCCGAAGGTGAACGGGAACGAGGGGGGTGCCGAAGACTCCGCCGGTTTGGCCGGCGTGGCGAAGAACGATGGCTGCGCGGGAGCGGCGGGCGTAGCAGGGGCCTCTGCAGGCTTTGATGTGGTGGCGAAGCTAAATGGCGACGGCGCACTAGTCTCTGCAGGCTTTGGGAAACCAAATGATGGAGTGCTGTGCTTGGGCACTTCCGCAGGTTTAGGAGGTGTGGCAAAGCTGAACACGGACCCGCTGGGCTTGGACACTTCCGCAGCCTGCGAGGGTGCCGCAAAGTTGAACGCAGGAGCGAGAGACTTGGGCTCCTCTGCGGGTTTCTGCGGGGCACCGGATAGAGTGTCGGGTGTAGCAGATATTGCGGATGGCACACTACCGAACAGCGAGGTCGAGGGTTGCACAGGGGCCTCCTTCGCTGCAGGCGCAGGTCTGCCGAACAAGGACGTTGGGGTCGACTTGGGCTGTTCCGTGGGCGTCGGTGCAGTAGGCTCCGCCGCCTTCGCCTCGCCTAATGCGGATACCGCAGGCCGCGCCGCCAATTCTGAACTGAACATCGGGGAAGGTGGGACCGTGACGGCTTGGGTGACGTTCGCACCTGCCTTCAGGAGAGCAGAATTCGTGAAGAAGTTCGGGATAGAGGAGCCTTCGGTACGCGCAGGCTGGGCACTCGTGCTTGGAGCAGATGGGGCAGGCGCAGGAACAGGCGGGGCGGGGGTCGGCGGGGTGAGGGAGAAGGATGGCATAGTGGATAAGGCAGGGGTGGTCGGCGCCACCGTTAATGTCTCAGGCGTGCTCTCTGCGGCCACTGTCGGAAGAGCTGTAGCGGGGGCGGATGCCAGCTTTGCAAACACCGAGACAGGTTGCTTGGGAGCCTCTGTAGGTACGGGGATTCCTTTGGAAGCCGCCCAATCGGCGAAGGAGAACGGCAAAGCCGTCAGCGGGGGCTCTTTCGCATCGGTCGCGTCGTGGGTAATGGGCGCCTTCTGTGGCAAAGATGAGCTTCCATCAAACACTGAATATGAGGCGAAAATAGACTTACGTCGTTCACGAAGCTGAATCCTGGAGGTAGCACAATTTTCTGTGCCTCCTTCCGCCCTTGCACTTCCTTCGTCTGCTCCGCCTCTGTAGCCTTCCTAACCTCCTTTCTAACGTTCGCCTCCTCGGTCGCCTCAGTGGTCATCTGAATGTCCAGCTCGTCTTCGTTGAACTTTGCTGAGTACCGCCCGGTTGTTCTGGTGGATGCGGTGGCTGCATTGGTTGCAACCGGGCGCGTTGGGCGTTGGATATGGTTTCTAGACGTCGTAGTACGACCCACACGAAGAGAAGACTGCGTGCGCCCAGGGACGGGTGACGCGGGTACCGCGGGAAGCAGCACGGGCGGCGGGAGTGTCTCGGGAACGGCGAGTTCAGGCTCTTCGTACTGTAAAGAATCGTCCTCGTCTTCCTCCATCGCGTTCTCGCGTTCCTTCTCTTCCTCTTCCTCCTCCTCCAGGCGTCGCTTAGCCAGCAGCTTCTTCAAACCCCCCCGTCCGGCATATGGACTCACGCTTGAGAGGTCCTCATTGCCCTTCCCTGTGTCCACCATGCCCAGGCGAGGCTTGTTGTCTTGCTCCTTGTGCAATAGAGTTGGCACGGAGAACCTCTTGGGCCGGAACATGTCGGGGATCTTTGGCGACCCGCGCAGACGCGAGGGTAGGAGAGGCGTCTTGTACACATCCAAATCGTGAAGAGCTTTCTCTGCTGCATTGATTGGACGGTAGTACGCTGGGAAACAGACGAGGTCGTTAGCTACATCGACAAGCATCTAACTGATCAACTGACCGCTGCTGGCGACCTCAGAGCCTAAGAAGAGCGGGCTGTAGGGACCCAAACCAGCCTGATATGTGAAGTAAGTACTAAGACAGGTCGGACACAGCATAGTACACACCCCGCGATGCGATCCGAGCGATCCGAGCGTGAGGGTAGGCTGCTGAGGTTGCTGCTGCTGCACCGACTGTGGTGTCTTCACGAAGACGGGGTTGGTCATGAGCGCGGCGAGGGGCGGCGGCTCGGAGGCGTCGCGGTCGCGGCGGCTCGGCATCGGGCCGAAGCGCTGGCCGGACGGCTGCGGCGTGAGCGAGGTGCGCATGCGCACGTGGAAGGGCGCGCAGGTGGGGGACGAAGTGAGGTCGCGCGGCAACCCGGAGGGGATGGAACCCATGGAGACATCGCGAAGGGAGCCACGTGTGGCGTTCAGCATGGCAGGAGGGTCCATGGACTGGGTGCGCGCGATCGCGCTGGGGGCGGCATAGGATGCACTTGCGTGAGGAGAGTCAGTGTGGCGGGTGTGCTGCGTCTGGGAAAAGTTCGGAGGGATGGCGATGGATGAGGAGCGGTCCTGAGCGGGCTGAAGATTGCGAGGCGCAGGTGGGGGTGGAGGCACAACACGGTCGGGAATATCGAGGTAGCCATGGGATATCTGGTGCTGCTGCTGTTGTGTTTGCGCTTGCTCCTGTACCTGCTGGGGCGGCGGGGGATGCTCTTCATATCGTTTCCTCTTACTGGCGCGACCAGAACCCTCCCGGTCTCCATTTAGGGGGGCTGTGACGACCCGGCGCCGCTTGGCGGGGGTGCCGTTGACCCCGGGTGTATCTTCAAAATCGTCGGATGAGACGGACTGCGAAGCAAGCCTTTCTGCTGAGCCGAACCAGGTGAGAGGAGAATAAACGATGTTTTTAAGGGTGCCCAAGACGGAAGATGTGCGAGAGACTCTGCCCGAGCGATTGCGACGTCTCTCGGGGCGGTTTTCTCTCACAGAAGCCAAAGAGGGCATGATGGCGATTCGAATAAGGAGGAGGGGGAGACAAAGAGAGGATTATAAGGCGATCAACGTCGCGGGCAGAGGACAACTCTCTCAAGCGCTTCTCCGTCACGCGCCGTCACCTTCCATCACGCGCTGTCACACCACGTTACCCCGACGCGTCCAATGCTTGACCGACTCCGAATCCTCGACGACCACGCCCTTCCCCCCTCTCCTTCCCGGCACTCACAGCGTCGCCGACGACCTTCTCTCGACGTATAACGGCTTTTGTCGTTCTGTGGCGCGTCTGTAGTCCTTGACAACACTCGCGCTATTGTCTTTTGTCGACCTCTGGCTAGCCGCTAGCGGAAACAATTGGCTACAGCTTCACATCATGCCCCGCGAAATTGTCACAGTCCAGCTGGGCCAGTGCGGCAACCAAGGTGTGGTTCCATCGTCGAGTGCACGCACCACCATGTCTGACCAGCGTCCGATATGAAGTGGGTTCCGTGTACTGGCAGCGCCTCTGTGCGGAACACGGCATTAACAAGGAGGGCATTCTAGAGGAATGGGCTACAGAAGGCGGTGACCGTAAGGACGTCTTCTTCTACCAGGCCGATGACGAGCACTACATTCCCCGCGCGATTCTGGTCGACCTTGAGCCTCGGGTATGTGCCCAATATCCTCGTGCTTCACTTATTGACCTTGGCTCAGGTTATCCATAGCATATTGACATCACCATACGCGAATCTCTACAACCCTGAAAATATTTTCGTGTCACAAGATGGCGGCGGAGCCGGTAATAATTGGGCGCAGGGATACGCCTCGGGAGAACGAATATACGAAGAGGTCATGGAAATGATAGACCGAGAGGCAGAGGGTAGCGATTCGCTAGAGGTATCTATCCCACCCTCCGCTGCGGCCTTATGAGCTCACCCTTGCAGGGCTTCATGCTCATGCACTCAATAGCAGGAGGGACAGGCTCTGGCCTGGGATCGTTCCTCCTAGAACGTCTCAATGATAAATTCCCCAAGAAACTCATCCAGACATACTCCGTCTTCCCGAACGCCCAAGAAGGGGATGTCGTCGTACAACCGTATAATGCCCTTCTAACACTGAAACGCCTAACGAACCATGCCGACTCCGTGGTCGTCCTCGACAACGGTGCTCTTTCGCGAATATCGGCGGACAGACTGCATGTACAGACCCCTTCGTTTGACCAGACGAACCAACTGGTGTGTCTACACGCTGTACTACGTTATTTCTCGCCAATTATTGCGGTAGGTCGCCACCGTCATGGCAGCTAGCACCCAAACTCTCCGATACCCAGGGTACATGAACAATGACCTGGTCGGGATCATCGCATCGCTCATCCCGACGCCCCGCTGCCACTTCCTCATGACTTCCTACACGCCCTTCACCAGCGATCAAATCGACAAAGTGTGTCTCGTATTCGCACCCTAGCCGTGCGCGATATTGACTGTCTCATCAGGCCAAGCCCATCCGGCGAACCACAGTGCTCGACGTGATGCGCCGCCTGCTGCAGCCGAAGAACCGCATGGTCTCGACGACGCCGAGCAAGACCGCGTGTTATATCTCCATCCTCAACATAATCCAGGGCGACGTAGACCCTACCGATGTGCGTGCCGCGCTGTCTTCGCTGTAGACGTCGCTGTGCTGATTTCGTGGGACAGGTGCACCAATCGCTCCTGCGGATACGCGAACGCCAGCTTGCGAACTTCATCCCTTGGGGTCCCGCCTCCATCCAGGTTGCGCTCACGCGCAGGTCGCCATACATCGCGACGAACCACCGTGTGAGTGGGCTCATGCTCGCGAACCACACCAGCATCGCTTCCGTGGGTGTTTTCCTCCCCTCTACGCGGCGGAACCTAGCTAACGCGTGCCTGTTAACGGAAACGGCAGCTCGTCAAGCGGATGATCGACCAGTTCGACCGATTGCGGAAGCGGAACGCATTCGTGGAGCAGTACAAGAAAGAGAAGATGTTCGAGAACGGGCTCGAGGAGTTCGACGACGCACGGTACGTCTTGTTATGTGATACCCCCGTGCGTGTGCTGAGTTAATTGTCCGTTATGTTGCAGGGCGACGGCGGAAGAACTCCTCAAGGAGTACAAGGCGTGCGAGAGCCCCGACTATATCACTTATGTACGTACTTCGCCTGGCTCATGCGCGCCGCTGAATTCTCACTGGCTCGCCCCAGGGATCCGCTGATGCAGAGCCTGCTACTTGATCAAACGTGCTCGTGTATACCTCATGTCGGCCTTGTTATTGTATCTCTTGGGTTGATGTTCTGTGTTTGCTGTTTCTTCCGTCACAACATCATGAAATGTATCACTTTATGCGCGGGGCGATCAGAAGATGCGATATATGTGCGAGCGACAGTTATGTATGACAAAATCTAGTAAGACACTGGGTGGTAGAAAAATAACACGTGCAGCAGACGAGAGATGAGACGAGTGCGCCGTATGAAAGAGCAAAGGAGGGGCCAACTACGGTGCCTTCGGCCCCCCCAGCTTCTTCCCAATATCCGCACCTACACACACGCTTGTCAGCCACACGAAAATCATGTAAAGAGACGAGAGGAGGGAGCGTACCGCGCAGCTTGACGCCGAGCACGCGCTCGAGCTTGGCGAGGATCTGCGGGTTCGGGATGGCACGCCCAGCCTCGTAGTCCTGTAGCACGGACGGCTTCTCGTTAATCTTCTGTGCGACGTCCTTCTGCGAGAGTTGCTTGTCCATACGCGCTGTTTGCATCGCCTGTGCGACACGGATGTGAGGACTCTGCGTGCAATACGGAGGAGTAGAAGGAAATGCGACGCACCTTCCCGACGGAGGGCGCGATCTTCGGTGGGGGTGCTACTTCATTCTCGCGGTCGAGCTTGGCTATTCGCTGGTGGTCGGTGCCTGCAGACACAAAAGCACACAAGGCATAAGAAGAGGTAACAAGATCGGATAGGGGACAGACGGACCTTGATGCGCCTTGTTGGTCGCTGCTGTAACCTTCTTCTCAGTAGCCACGACAGCGCCTGACCGGCGGGCCTGTCTCGACACCGCTCATTCAGTCATCGCAAAGCATTTCAGAACTAAAACATACAGCTACAGAACCGAACAATAGGCTGATCAGCCTCCGTGGAAACTGATAAAAACTGTACGGACTGACCGTTCAAATCAGAGGTATTACGGGTGACTTTGGGAGCCTTGGCCTTATAGCCAATGACGGTCTTGCTCTCCCAATCAGCGTCGGACATTATGTATACTATCTTCTATCGTGTGTACGTGTGGTTGTGCGGAGGTAGAGAACAGAGAGATGATGAGTGTTGGGAGCGGGGAACAGTCGCACAGGTTTATATACCGCCTTGTGCTCACCGCTCAAGTGGATGACTCAGCTTCCGCTGGCGCTTACGCCTGACTCCGAAGTGCGAAGTTGTTCCGCTGCTACGATATCAGTCCGCCGCCCTCCTCCCTCTCATAGAACTGATTTTGTAGTCTGAGTGTGAAGAGAGCAAAGCTTTTTGATCCGCACACGACCACAAAAGAAGAATCGGAACTGTGCCGTGTATCTCTAGGTTTTACGCGAATATTTTGTGCTCTCATGACACTGCTGTGATTTTTTGAAGACTTGTGGTAAGCACATCTAGCCTGAGCAAGTGAAGGTCGCAACTGCACCAATAATCTGACCAGAATCTGACCGAGCTAATAAACCACCAGGTGAAGGGGGCACGATATAGAACCGCAAAGCCTGGAGTCCCAGATCAGTGTTCCATAGCGCCGTGAGTCAGAAAGGCAGGACTCAAGTCAACGAGCAGCGGAATAGTCTCCCAAAGGCTGCACAACATTTCATCGGAACCCGTTCCCCTCCGAGTCAGTGATCCAGTTGCGTCACACCTGCGTGTATCGCTGTAAATCATCCCACATCAAGAACCATTCTCGATGCCACTACGCGCGAATTATGAATCTGAAGAGACTCTGCACTCTTGCTGCACTCTGTGCCAAGCCAAAGGTGCCCGGCCAGGCGCATCCCGTATAGTGGGTGTTGCATACTGCTGTGAAACTTTCAGGGGAGCCAGAAACCTCTCTGCGCTCGGTAACACAGGCCGGCACATCCAGGTAAGTCTGAATCCCCGCCGACGAATTGACACAAATCTAAACATCAATAGATACATCTTTTGAGGCCCGGACACTGTATGAGTCAAAACGATGTCAACCATTGTCGCCCACCGTCGCCCACCAGTTCAGCGCACAGCGTCATCTGCAGTGAGTGATAATGCATTAATCACAAGCCATCAGCCTATGATATTTCGATAGCTGTATCAGTCCGTCCCTCCGCCCTCCCATAAGTAGAGCTGATTTTGTAGTCTGCATTTGGGAGGTTATTCGATAACTATGCATCCTGGTCCCCTTGGAATTTGGAATTTGTCACCACACCCTTTCAAAGAAAATTTGCGTTCTAGTTCATCCAGTGGCACGAGGAGCGCCTGGCGGATCAAGACGAACTGACGGACCCGACGGAGAATAAGTGGAAAGCCTACGCTTGGGTCTTGACCTTCGCCGAGGCAGCATGGCCAAAAAATGAGTGGAAGAGCAGTGCCAATGTCAGTCCCTGTGTTCATACATGCTATGTACTGCACTAAAAAGCGGGAAAAGCCTCGAAGCAGGCACAAACAAGGCAGAGGCGAGGGAGAACGAGGAGAATAGCACAGATTCCATGGTCTCGTTTCATCCCCGGAGCAAGCTGGCCAGCATCGTGAGGAGGCTGAAGCCTTGCTGTGTGCTTCCTGTGGTCTGTTGTTCCCCATCTGACATGAACCACAGATTCTTCAGAAACTCTAGATCTGAAGTTAGCTTCCGGCCCGAGGTCGTTGCTGCTGTAGTACGTGTCTGTGGTGTCTTGTCAGTTCTGGCTCCGTCGTCCCGCGTTTCCGCATGGCAGGTTAACACCTACTTCAAGTAGGTGCCACCGACCTCTCAATATGCTCTGACAGTGAGCTTGAGCATATTTATCACTGTTGCTGCAAATGCATAGGAAACAAGAAAAGGGGCATTGTTTTACTGTGGTCTTGGCTCAAAGTGTGGAAAGGTGCCAGCGAGCTTGAGGCTGACATGGTCATCTTCGAAAGTAATGTCAGGCCGTGCGAGATGCGCCTTCTGGTCCGTCATTTTACCTGTTGAGATAGCCTACTATCTTATTTCTCCCCATAGACCTGTTCAATGGTGCACTTTGAGTAGAAAGTGTATGTGCAGACCCACGTCCTGCATGCTATCAACGACTCTAACGATGAACAACGCAGTGCATTGGATCAAATTGAGAAAGCTATCCATCAAGGTGTTTCTCAAGTACTGGAAGAATTGCCGCAGGAGGTTATCCCCAGGAGATCCAACCCCCCCCCCCACCCCCCCCCCCCCCCCCCCCCCCCCCCCTTTGTTCCCCACAAAGCCATTGTAGCAAGGCCATCATTGATTGCTGTAAGTTACTCTTTGTATCTTACTCTTCATAGCTCAAGTAATTCTCAGACTCTGAGTAATGCCGGGAAGGCTGAGATGATGTCATTTTCTATTGACATGTACTTGAACCGCTGAAGGAGGTGTTTTCACACTTGGTCACCTGAAGAAGGACTACACTGGCGTCGAGCCATACACGCGCACCCTGGACACGTCTACAGCATCGAAGATCCTTTTATACAGGCAAAGGATACTATCATCGAGATCTCCTGGGTCTTGAAGATGATGTGCTCACCACACCAACAGATTGATGCAGCTGGCTGCGTGAAACACTTATTTGCACTAGCGATGACACTGGGCGACCTTGGGATGTACACCGAAGCAGTACTCCTACTCTCCTGGACGGTCACTTTGTACCGTGACATGCATCGTGACAAACCAAGAGTCTTCGTGCCATATCTTGCATGCAGTCTTCACTTCCTCGGCATGTACCGCCTGAAACTTGGACAGTACTCCGCTGCAGTAGTAGCTGGCACCGAGGCAACGACGTTGTACCGACAGGTGCACGCGACTGCCATGGGGCATGACATTGCCGCAGATTTGGGTATGGCACTCATGATACACTCATGTGCTCTCAGACAGATGGGGCAGATTCACCGTGAAGAAGCACTGAGCAACTGTGGGGAGGCTCTATCCATCTTTCATCGGCTCGTTCATTCCCGAGAGGATCTTAACACAGAGCTTGCGATGGTACTCGTGACCCAGGCGCGGCACTTTGACAATGCTGAGCGTTTTGATCAAGCGTTAGAGTACGGGCAAGAGGCTGTGGACCTTTTGTCGCCCAGCGATGACGATACCGACAATCACGCTCAAATCCAGCTTGCGGGTGCTCTGTGCTCACACGCTTTTCATCTGTGGAGGGCCTGCCGCTCTTTGGATTGCATAGAGGTGAACAAAAAGGCGATGGCGCTCTACCGCGTGCTCTAGGCTGCTCGCCCAAAGGTGTGGCGCCTGAAGTTCTGCGACGCGCTCAACCATCAAGCATGGTACCACTACTCCATTGGGCAGCACGACGACGCATTGAGGCTCTCGCAAGAGGCACTTGATCTCATGCGTGGTGTGGTGACCACGACGATGGAATGCAATATGTTTGCTGCTATCCTCGAGACGCCGGCGTCGGTATTCGAGGCGACCGGACACCTCGGAGATGCTCTACACGCCGTGGAAGAGATCGTGCACACGATGTACAACTTCCCTGCATTCCAAGGTCGCAATGCGCAGCTCGCGAGGGCGTTGCGGTGGGCTGCTAGACTGCTGCGAGCGGTTGATCGCGCAGTTGAGGGAAGACCAAGCCGCACCGTTGGACGTATGGATTCAGCCGGGACTTCGTGACAAAGGTTGGTGCCTTGATGCGGAATCCCTAAGGCCCGGGGAAAGCAGGGGTATGGGGCATGGGAAGGAGTAGGCAAGATAGTTACCAGGGCTCTTGCCAATACATTTGGAAATGGCGTGGTGCACGTATGTTTTGCATTGCTCAGGGACACAATAAAGTTGTGTATTCTGAGTCGCAGCAAATGCCGATGCTCTAAAAATAGCTCCCTCGCTTCAAATGCATCTGGTCAGTTGTCAGGTAAGTCCCGATGAGAAAGCACCTGCGCACTGAATAAGGATGTTGTCAAGTACCGTCGTCGTATATGTGGAACACGACGTGACCAATCCGTGACCGATCGCGTCGGGAGGGCCGAAACCTCCGGCACCGGGCGCTTTGCTAATACTTAGTACTCCTACGCTACTTCCGTCCCAATCATAGTGCCTGCGCTTGGTGCTCCATTACATGACTACACACACTCGCCGTGTATGCAGCTCGTTTGACCTGGAATATCTCGACCTACTGTAGCTGGCTGATCATCGCTGTAAATTGCCGCTCCCTCTTACACCAACCCGCCCCGCCTCCCATCTTTTCTTGTCATCTTCTCGGTGTTCTCTTGGGTCCTTGAATGCTCCTTGGACTCCCTGTACTGCCGGCACACTTGTCGTCCACTGCTTTGTACTTGCCACAATGATTAATGGGTTGCTCATACTGCGCTGCGTGGGCCGTGAGTGAGCTTATGTATACAATGACTATAGGACGTCCGCTGACGTTGCCGCCAGTCACAACGTATTAAGGTGCGATACAGAACTGGGAAACTGGGGCAACGAGTCCTAGACATTCCGTGCTTTCGGAATAGATTGCGTTCGTTGTCAATGGACTGCCAATGTTCTTGAGATATCGGCATCTCGATGAATATCAGAACGCCGAGGTGAGACACAGGTCGTCAACGGTACCTTCATGGTCTACCAGTCCCCCACAGCACACAGGTTGTGCTTAAGCCGCACCATGGCCTATAGACTGAAGGATGGCATCAATATGTTCGTGGATGAACACGCGACGGACACAGAGACCTGACGTTCTCGCCTTTCCGTCACATTTACCCACAGTCGTTTAGTCCGGGTGTTGAAATGACGGAAGAACACGCTCTCCCCAGAATATGAATGTGGTGTGTTATAGTACAGTAACTGTTTGTGTAGATTGCGGAGACCGGTCCATTGTGCATAAACGTAGTCCAGTGATCCTTGGATAAATGTCTTTCCAATTCAACGTCTTAGGGAACGAATTACGAACGCCGACGGAAATTGAGCATGACGAGAGCGGTAGACACAGCGCCGACGACGAATCCGAGAGTGACCAGGCCAGGAACCTGCGAAACGCGAGCCAACGAGCGTTTCTTGGGCTTCCCTCCGACGTCTTCGAGGGATGGGACGCGGTTCTTTTCCCAACCGTCATCGAGCAACTTGGACATCATCTCGTTGTCGAGTAACGCGAGCTCCTCCATCTCCCATGCTGTGCATACATCCACCATCCACCGCATCCTGCGCCTGCCCAGCTCTCCGCCGACGCCCGGGGCGCGCTCTCTGAGCTTGATACGGAGCTCGCCGACCTTGATGATAGCGTCGCCCGCGTACTCTGGGATCGCGTTTTCAATCCGACGCCGAATGATGTTCGCAAGCTTGGGGCTCTGTCCGTTGGTGGAAATCATGATCTGGAGAGGCCCGCTACGGATCTGGGAGCCAAAGTAGAAGTCGCAGGAAGATGGAATGTCGGCGGCATTTACGGGGATGCGACGCGTCCTGCAGAGCGTGCATATTTCGCCGGTGGTGTCGACGTCATCAATGGCGGTGAGGACCATGTCGACATCGTCGAGGTCGGTGGGACCGGCGAAAACGCGGTCATGGTGGGTGATGCGAGGCTCGGACTCGATGAAGCTTTTCGTGCGTGTATGCAGCCCTTCGCGTGGGGAAATGAGGGTGATGCGAGCGTCAGCGACGAGGACGGATTCGATTCGACCTGAGGCGACGTCGCCACCGCCGACGATGAGGACGTGTTTATCCTTGAGCTGCCATGCGAGGAGGAGAGAACCGCCCGAGAGAGCAGATTTAGGAACAGCGGGCATGGCGGGCACTGAATGTGCAGTAGTAAGCAGAGACAGCCACAGCCTGTGCCAGCCAGCTGACAGCTCAACCTGACTTCCTCACACCACCGTCTTGTTCCTGACATCCATCTACGTCTCCTGCTATTCATTCTCAACACTCTGCGCTACGTTCATCTAGTCTCCCAAAGGCAGTGTAGCTACTCTGCTTTAATCGTCAGGATATCCGTATCTGACCGCTCAACGCTCATCCGGCGACGAGTGACTCCTTTTTTAACTATGTTCGCTATTCCTCTCGGAAGGTCACATCACACCATTCCGCAACCTCATTGTATTCGGTGACGGAAGACAAGGATGCTTCTCATTGTGTATGACTTCCAGAATGCTCGAGCCTTGCGTAGAGTGCGCGAAAGGTGCGAACATTGGTGGCCATGACGACGGCCCGGCTCCCGCAAACTGTGTGAGTGACATATCTATCAAGTGCTCCTGCCGCGTCTATTCCCGTCCGTCCATCACTGTCGCTCATTCACGAGTGACTTATATTCTCCTCTACGGGATCACCAGAGTCTCATTCGCTCTTTCTTCCTTCCACTCTTCTTCGGTTTCTTCGTCTGGCCCCCTTTCGGCGTTGAACGTCATCTTTGGACTTCAATAGCTTCTTTGCCACTGCTGTGACAGTGTGTTGCCTGGTGCTGCAGCCTCCTCTGAAGCGTCCTCTCTCTCTGGAAGAGCCTTCACTTCCTACATTCATTATTCAGTGACGTTCTACCACACATATTCAGAACCAGTTAGTATTCCGTGTACTCTGTTCTTTGTCCATTCGCTCACGGGCTGCCTACAGCCTTCTCGCGTTCTAGCCGGCTAGCAGACACCATGTTGTCGTCGAGCAAGTTGCTCATGGCCGTCTGGGGCGTCTTCGATTTCTGTCTCCTGGGTTCCGGGGTGCTCATGCTTGCACTTTCCATCGTCTGGCGAGAACCCAATTTGATGATCAACATCGCCTTGAGCACCATGCATCTCAACGGCGCGTAGCTCTCCTTTGCCATGCCTGGCTAACTCCTACAACTTGTCATTGTTGCAGCTGCTTTGATTCTCGCTATTCTCTTTATTGTCACTTTCGTCATCTCCATTGGCGCGATGGTGCAAAAGAATCCGGGCATCCTCGGTTTTGTAGTTCTCAATTGGGCACTCATCGTTGACGCGATTGCCACACTTGTTGTCGGTACTATCATCTGGTTCTACTCGCTCCAGGAGCGCAACAACTACTATGCCGTTTGGAAAATGCAGACAAACACCACGAGGGTTGCTGTGCAGAACGAGGTATGTTCCTGCAAGCTTTCCTTCGGCGATGTATTTAGCCAGGTGTACAGTTCTCCTGCTGCGGGTACTTCTTACCCAATGACACTGCAGCAATTGGAGGGTTCTGCGTGAGCGATACGTTCGTGAACAGCTTGCCGACGACCTCCGCGTGTGTTTCGCACATTACCGCATTCGCGGACGACATGCTCCAACCGATCTTCACGTACGTGCTGCGTCTGTCCTCGCATATCCGATGTTACTCACGCGTGTTGTCCGTGTAGTGGGGTGAGAATTCCCGTGTTCCCGTCCGCAGCACCATGGAGACGTCTTGCTTATTGCCTCCGCTCTGATTATAGATCTACTTCTTCATGGGAATCGTGCTATGCCTACTGCTGGCATCTCTGTGCGTTATCAAGACAGTGAGTACCATCTGTTCGGTCAATGTACAGCATTCACTTATTGACGTTGATACCTGCAGAGAACGGAAGTAGAACGCTTCAGGAAAATCGATGCGAAGCGTGGCGGTGGCGGCTTCGTCTAGACAGCATCCCATTCCATCTATCGTCTCTCCATCACCTCCTCATCTCTCCTCCCATCTATTGCTGCTAATCCTTGCTTCGTTCTGTTGTATCAGTCTTCCTTTCTCTGTTTTCTTGATCGGACCCGGTCCCGCACAACCATCATCATATTTGCTAGGATTCCGAGATTGCCGCTTCGTTCTGAACTGTGTTTTACTGCGTGTTGACTGTACTCTAGTCTACCTTTTCTCAGTTTGGGTCACCGAAGAACCCCTGGAGGAGCACCTCAGTCTCGTCGTGTGTGCGTGCATCCTATGCCCTGAGACATCGCTTGTTGCAAGGTAGCTTCGTTTTTTGCTCAAAGTCTGCGCCGGAGCAAGTCAGGTGTTTCCATGGATGCCGGCGATGTGGCCAGACGCGTATAAGTATGTGTGTCACGCGTCTGTCACAGTCGCGTGCGCAGTGTGACGGATCGCGATGAACTGTTGACTGGAGCCGTCGCAACCCAAACGTCTGGATAAGTTCCAGCAGGACATGTCTCTCAATTGTGGCGACTCAGGTCAGCATACTTGACCCTCCAGGATTCGAAGATGAACTGGTAGGAAAGGTCGTTTTCGATGATCTTGAAGTCTTCCAACTTGGGTCTTGAAGTCTCGCCGCTGAAGTCGAAGCGTGTACGGCGAGGTCTCACACCAACAGTGAGGTGATCCATGCAAATGCAGAGCTCGCGAATATGATCGAGTCAACCGCCGGCAAAAGTGGAGAAGACTTCGAAGAAGACAAGGACGACCCCGATGAACCGACAGAGGCGGGAGAAATTGCCTACATCTGGTATGTTTGCATCTGGTTTGTATACCCATTACCAGTGCTCACTGTCCGGCTGAGTCCTTTTCTCCTAGTAGATTGTCATGTTTCGATACATTAGGGTATTCAAGTCAGAGCCTGCAGATACGGAGCCGACACCTCGATTTGTCACGTCCGGATTTACTAAACTGTTACCTGCCTCTAGCATATGAGGCTTCCCAGAAGCCAGCCTTGGCTTTCTCCTGCTAGCTAAGGATGCGTCGCGACCTCATGAAACACGAGACAGACTGGTGTTCGCTACAGTGATACTTACCTCAGCAAGGAATACGGTTGGCGAATGGTACAGTGATGAAACCCATAGTGCCAATCACGTGCATCTCTACCTGTTTACTTGACCCTTCCAGCTCTTCTTCATCGGTCTCCTTATCTTTGGGTCCATGTTGTGCGTTGCCGCCCACGCCCATGCCGGTATTCAACTTTCGGAATCCGCGACAAATGTGAACGGCACACAGACCTTGTCGTTCGCCGCCTCACACATTATTGCTCCGTGGAAGCGTTGGCGCGAGACCTCACTGTGTGGCTACTCTCACCTAGCAAGCGCTCCGGGTGGATAAATTGTGCGACAAACATGGGCCTGAGGTAACGGCTGCTCTCCACATATGCCATCGTCACGGACGGACGGACACTCATGGTATACTATTGCTCGCCTATTTGGATATTCAATTTCCTTGCTCGAACGTGGACCGGCTGTATGGCGGATACGTTCGTGGTCCACAAACACAATTTTGGTGATGAAAGGTGCAGGAGTGACGACTGGCAGCATCATCAGAATTCAGAATTCCAACGGCTACAGTGCAAACTCTCATCATATGTAGCTCAGTCCATCCAGGTGGAGATGTCGAGCTTCCTGGATGTGACACGACCAGGTTATTGAATCTGATGTTTTACCTGCACGGGAGAGAGTCACATCCCAGGCCAGCAGGATGCGACACGTCACGATCAGTCACACCGTATATGCCGCGTGACGGTCGCGTCTAGGATTGGAGTCCTCATTCTCATACGCGAACACGACATGTCCATAGACGTCCGAGACACCATGTAAGATAAAGATTCGCTGCATCTATTGCCTCCACTCTGCTACACCAGCTAAGCCACCTCGTCTACACTCAGAAAAGCCATCAAGGACATGATCCCAATCATGGATCCCGGTGAGGACTACCTCACCATCGCCGCTGCCGAGGAGCAGATGATCCTCACCAGGGATGAGCGGCAGAAGGATCTTGAGGATGCACATGCGAAGATGCGGTGTACATTTTAACCCTCATACAAGCTAGCTGAAGAGCTCATTTACCTACCTAGCGCTCGCGCGTGTTCTTGAAGCTGCACGTGTGTCCTCAACCCGCCCGTCAACCGTTCCCTCCGTGGAAGCCCATGCGCGGACGCTGAACGACCTCGACGCGACGCGGCTGCAGCTCGCGAAGGCGATCAATGACGCGGAGGGCGCGCTCGCGAGCAAGGAGGCTGAGCTCGCGCGGCTCAAGGACGAGGCACGGGCCCTGGAGGAGGCTGACTCCGCTGCTGAGCACGATTTGGACGCGACCGCGTGAGTGATCATCTGTTTATGATGTGTTGTTGCTTACGGTTGTTTAGGTTGCGGTTGGCAATGTACAAAGGCCTAGGGTTTGAACCGGTGATGGACAAGGAGGGGCATGTGTCGAAGATGCTCATCCGTATGCCTTTCCCCTCCCTGCAAGTACTGTATGGGTTCTCATCAGTCATTCAACGTACGCAGGGTCAGAATCGGGCGACGTTCACTGCGTAACTTTCGACGGCAGCAAAACAGGGCACGAATATACCCAATTGCTTTGGAAGCTTGCCTCCTCATAGTGCCTATCTTCTACTCTCCTCTGTGTTCCGTCATTGTATCGCACCTGTTTTGGATAACACTCAAATGTATCGACTAATCCTGTTCGTTAGTTCCCCGATGGGCATTCTTTCTCTCTCCAAGTGCGAGACAACTGCTCCACATGAAGGCAAGAAATCATATACAAAATAACAAGAAAACAGTATGAAGATATGCTGTACAGCAGATGCTGTGCACTTGTGATATTATTCATGCAAGTCCATGTGAAGCCTGTTCATAGCGCGGTCAGTAAGATGACCGCTGCAACGCATGGCGAAGCCTCACCTTGACATCCGGTTTCACAACCCAGACCTTCTTCTCCTTGCACTTCTCCGCTAACTCGCGCACCTTCGCTTCAATAGCGTTCTTCTTGACGCGCTGCTCCTTCAGTTCGTTGTATATGGTCTCGATGATGAACGGCAGGCTGGGAGTCGCGAGACTGCCGATCCGCTCCAGGAGCAGTGGGACGTGCGCCTCGGGGAACGGCGTCTTGGGCCCGGCACGCTTTACAGGTATGGGAGAGGGCGCGTTCGCTGCCAGCGTAGGATTTGGCTTGGCTTCCAGACGTGCGGGGAGCGCGGGAACGGCGAAGTGGGCGTCGGAGGTCGAGCTCTCCTTCATATGTTTTGCCACCTGTTCTTCTGAAAGTGTCGATACGAACTTGAAGGGATCAATGGGATATGGCGTATCTACAGTAATCAAAATATGAGTTTTTCACACATACGTACACGAGCAAGTCAAACATACCATTGAACAGCTCGATCCGATATGCCTGGAATGGCTCGTACTGGCACTGTCCGATCGTGGACTCCCAGCACGGCCCTTTCGTGAACGGCACAAGGGGCACAACTACTTTCCGCTTCTTAGACTGCTTCGAAGCGTCCTCTTTCCTCGCCTTCCTCTTCGGCGCGGGCTGCGGCAGGTCCACCGGGAGCGTATCAGGCGAGCCTTCCCGATCCTCGATGGGCGTCCCCGGCTCGGTCTCATCGTCGTCCACAAGCCAGCTATCGAGATCTGAGTCCTCCTCCTCGCCCGCATCCTCCTCCTCTGCGTCCTCGACGACGTCATCCGCGTCCCCAGCCTCCTCCTCCCACTCCTCCCCGCTATCGCACGCGTAGTCTAGCGAGACGATGTCACGTGCGAACGGGGCCCGGGGACCGATCTCGCGCGAGGCTCGCGTCCATGTCCCGAAGTAACCAGGGCGCACGTCCTCGGAGAAGATAAGCACCTTCGCTGGGAGCAGCGTACGGTCGCGTAGCTGCGCGAGGAGCGTGCGGACGCGCGTGTCGTCCCCTGCGACCTCGGCCTCGTTGAGCTGCGTAACGATGGCGCGCACGCAGTGCGGCGAGTGCGTCTTCAGGTGCGAGGCGAGCATTCGTGGGCAGTGGATCGGGTTTAAGGAAGGCGGCAGAGTCGACAAGACGTTGCGCAAACGCTCTGGAGCGATGTGACGAGGCAAATGAGTGAACTTTCGTTTACGGGAGGTACTACATACCGTGGGCGGTCATTTGGCTGACGTCGACGTCGCTTTGTGCATCCTTCATCTCGACATCCTGCGGTTCTTCCTGCTTGACTTCGCAGTCGTCGTCAAGCACGATGACCTCTACATTAGCACGCTGCTTCCCTTTTCTTGGCTGTTCCTTGGCATGTTGGAACCAGTTCGTCGGGGCAAGTTTCGCGTCTCTCTTGAGCACGAACGACTTGAATGTCTTCTCGAACTCGGATGGTAGGGACGAAGGTCCAGCGAAGTTTGCCCCACTATCGGTGGTGATGGACGACGAGCGTCGCACCAGTGGCGCTTTCGTCTTCCCGAAGAAATTCGCCATCATCGAACGCGCTTTGTCTTGCGCCTCCCTGGCCTTCTTCTCTTTCTCCTCCCTCGCAGCCCTTTTCTCTTGCTTTTCTTTCTCCTGAGGATGAAATTATTAAGACAACATAATTCAAGCACGGAGAACATACTTTAGCAGCCTTTTCGGGGTCCACGGGTTTCTTGGGACGACCTGGGCCCTTTGGTGTACCACCTGACTGCTGAGCATCCTGCACAGGGATACATGAGAATACGAAGAAGGGGCAACTCATGTGTACAAACCTCGCTAGGCTCGGCCTCCTCACTGTCCTTTGACTGTTCCTCATTTGACTGCTGGGACGAAGACTTGCCCTGGATGTTGCTCGCATCCAGCGACACGAAGCCGTCCGCGCTCTTGAACGCTCTGAGCTTGATCGATGCCTTCCCTATCGCCTTCGAACCGAGGAGGATATTTTTCTCGTCCTCTCGCAACGACTGGAATAACGAATTGACTTCCTTTCTTGCCTGCGAAAAGACAACATGCAGCTCGTCTCATGGACACCATGGAAGTACCGACGCACCTGACGCCGTTCAGCAGACCGAACCTCGACCTTCTCTTTAGCAGCCTTGGGCAGCCAATCCCAGAACTCCTGTTTCACCTCCCATCTCCATATATGCAGCGCAGAGGGGATCTTCCGATCACCGGAGACGTTCTCCAGACCAAAGTCGTTTCTAGTTGCCACCGCCTTAATTGCTTTTTCCACTGATTCAACGGTAAGGGCTGGCGTGGCACCGCTGGACGTGTCGCCGTCTCCGTCAGGCGTCGGAAGTAGCTCGCTTAGGATGTGTTTGGAAAGGGCTTGAATGGTCTTGTCACTGTGTACATGAGATTATGTGGACGAACTGTAGGAGAATGATACGGTATATGCTGAAAAAACGCACCTCTCATGAACGAGCTTCGCAATCAGAGGTTTGTGCTCGTCTGGCACCGAAGCCAGTGGGGGGTCCTTGCGCTCCATCCTCTCCTCAATCATCTCGCGAAACTTGACTATCTCTGTATACGGACGGATTGGACGAGCATCTAACAAGGCTCCCGACGTGACGCACCCTGCATAGTCTCCGACATCTTCTCAAAGATTAGACTCTTCTGCTTGAACACGAGCTTCCCATTCTTAAGCTCAACTAGCGTCGTCTTCTCTAATTTTTCTACGCGAACGAGTGGCGGGTGTCAGCGTGGTGACACGTAGCCGGGCGAGTCATCCTTACCGCTGGGTTCAGAATTTTCGGTCGACGGTGCTACAGCAATTGTGAGCAACATTAGCGGGATCATCAGAGCCAAAGGCCTCACGTCTGTTCATGGTCAAGTTCGTCGTGAAGCTCACCGGAGCTTTCACCGACCGAAGGGACGCAGGTCGTGCAGAGCGGTTGAAGAGCAAAAGGAGCGCAACGCGAGCTGTCACAACGTGACATGTCGCGCTGTGCCGCGTTTCGCGTGACGCGGCGCTCTCCATTCGACCATGTCCTTCTTCCAGCCGCACGCTCCCAAAGCAGCCCAGAAACATAAGGTGGACCCGGAAAACCAGCCATGGATTGAGAAATAGTCGGTGGCTATACGCTATGCTCCTATGCCTTCTCACGTCTGTTGCATAGCCGACCGAAAACCATCGACGATGTATCTGCGCAGGAGCACACCGTGGCCGTCTTGCGCAAGACACTCACATCAACAAATGTGCGTAACAAAGCTTAATTCTCCTGTACTGAGCGTCTTACTTTTTAGTAGTTGCCTCACATGCTATTCTATGGCCCTCCGGGCACCGGCAAGACTTCCACAATCCTAGCATTGGCGCGACAACTCTTCGGGTAAGTATGTAGAGACACCGCCATGCTCGATACTCCAACTTCCCTCCAATTATAGCCCAGAAAATTTCCGCTCGCGAGTTCTGGAACTCAACGCCTCCGACGAACGCGGCATCAGCATCGTCCGCGAGAAAGTCAAGAACTTTGCGCGGCAGACACCACGGGCACAAGTGGTTGCATCCGACGGCAAAACGTATCCATGTCCGCCATACAAGATTATCATTCTCGACGAGGCAGACTCCATGACACAGGACGCTCAAGGTGCTCTGCGGCGGATTATGGAGACGTATGCCAGGATTACACGGTTCTGTCTTGTATGCAACTATGTCACCAGGTGGGTCTTCTCCTCGAATTTGAGCCCACCCAGTGATAGCTTACTTCATACCAGAATAATTGAACCGCTCGCCTCTCGCTGCTCCAAATTCCGCTTCAAGCCCCTCGACCCATCCTCGACTTCGAACCGCCTCTCACACATCGCTACTGCCGAAAAGGTGCCGGTGACTGACGAGGTCATCTCCGCACTCATCAACACATCCAACGGCGACCTGCGCCGCTCCATCACCTACCTCCAGTCCGCCTCGCGTCTCGCCATGTCGAGCGACCCTCCCACCGAGATCACGCCCAGCGATATCCAGGAGATCGCTGGGGTGGTGCCTAACCACGTTATACACGACTTCGCCGCCACGCTGGGCGTCGAAGTCGTTTCGCCCGACGCGATGAACGTCGACGACGGTGCGAAGGCAAAACGGAAGGGCTTCGATGAGGTGCGGAAGAACGTGAAGGGGCTCATCCGGGAGGGCTATTCTGCCTCTCAGATACTTTCACAGGTACGAGAATCACTGTTGGCCGAGAATATAATTTCTGACCTCGCTCATTAAGTTACACGACCTCGTCATCGAACATCCAACTCTCACGGCTCAGCAGAAGGCTCGTTGCGCTTTGGCATTCGCAGAAGCGGACAAAGCACTCTGTGACGGTGCCGACGAGGAACTATGGATCCTAGAAGTCGGCTTGCGCGTGTTCAAAGCACTTTCATGAACATTCTTCGCATACCACGCCCGTAGCTTTCGCGTCGCTCCACGCTCGCCCACCTGTATATCTTACTCGCAAGATGATTGGTGATATGTACCAAAAAAATAATGCATTTGCAAGAGGGAAAAATGAACATCAACTATACGCACTTAACAACATAGCATCACAGAACGAGAGATGCAAGACAACTACGCCAACGCACTTCGACGAAGCGGACCATCCCTTCATCGGATGCCCGCGGTCGCCTTTTGTAGCGCCCGCTTGATGCCCAACTGCGCCTTCCTCAGCTCGTCCGCCGTCGAGTCCTCGATCTCGAGCTTCTCGAGCGCGCGTGCGAGCTCAGCCTCGACCTGCGACTTTGCGCCGCGCTTGAGCTTCATGCCAATCTCGGGCGACGTGATAGTGTTCTCAACCTGGTGGACGTAGGTCTCCAAGTCAGCCTTAGCCTCATGGCGCGCCGAGAAGTCCTTGTCCGCCTGCTTGAACTGTTCAGCATCCTTGATCATCTGCTCAATCTCGACCGAGGAGAGACGGCCAACGGAGTTGGTGATGCCTGACAACACGTGTTGTCAGACCACTATCCTCGTTATAAAACGAACGAGCTTACTGATTTGCGCCTTGCGGCCCGATGCGCGGTCCTGAGCAGTGACCTTCAATAGACCATTGGCATCGACCTCGAAAGTGGTGACAAGCTCAGCCTGTCCACGAGGCATTGGAGGAATGCCTGTAAGCTCGAACTCGCCGAGTAGACGGTTGTCACGACACTGTGTGCGCTCACCCTCGTACCTGCATACAAAAAATGTCAATATAATGACGACAAGTTATGACGGATGCAACTTACACAGGGAACGTGACCGTGGTCTGGTTGTCCTCGACGGTCGTGAACGTTCGGGACTTGTTTGTGGGAATGGGGGTGTTACGAGGTACGACTACACCGAAGATGTCACCCTGCATGGCGACACCCAAGGAGAGGGGAGCAACATCCAAAAGAAGGAGATCCGCAGTCTTGTCCGACGTCTGACCGGTAAGGACAGCAGCCTGGACGGCGGCACCGTAGGCAACGGCTTCGTCGGGGTTAATCGACTTGTTCAATTGACGCCCGCCGAAGTATTCCGACACCAGTGACTGGATCTTGGGAATGCGGGTGGAACCACCGACGAGGACAATATCGTCAACCTTCTCCCGGGGCATCTTCGCATCCTTCAACACCCGCTCAACAGGGTCGATCGTAGACTTGAAAAGAGCTGCATTGATCTCCTCGAAACGGGCACGAGTGATGTTCGCAGAGAAGTCCTCACCCTGCGAGCAAACAAAGTTAACAGAGATAATCGAAATAAAGAAGTCTCGAACCGACCTGGAACAGGGAATCGACCTCGACGGTGGTCTGAGTGACACTGGATAATGTCCTCTTCGCACGCTCACAAGCACTTCTCAATCGCCTGAGTGCACGTGCATCGTCGGAGATGTCAAGCTTAGTCTTGCGCTGGAACTCCTTCTTGAAGTGTTCCAGGAGGTTGTTATCGAAGTCCTCCCCACCCAAGTGGGTATCACCTGCAGTGGCCTTAACGGCGAACACACCACCAGTGATGTTGAGAAGAGACACATCGAAAGTTCCTCCGCCCAAGTCGAAAATGAGGACGTTTTTCTCCGTGCTCGATTGGCGGTCAAGACCGTACGCGATAGCCGCAGCAGTAGGCTCGTTGATGATACGGAGAACATCAAGACCCGCAATGGCACCCGCATCTTTTGTCGCCAACCGTTGGGAGTCGTTGAAGTAAGCGGGAACGCTGCAACGGAGGCATGCGTGAGCGAGGGGCTGACACCCCGCACATGAGGACTTACGTGACGACTGCTTTCTTCACAGTCTTGCCAAGCTTCGCTTCCGAGATCTCCTTCATTTTCGTGAGGACCATTGACGAGATTTCCTGGGGGCTGAACATCTTCCCTTCGCCAAGGTATTCGACCTTAATCAGAGGGGATCCGTCCTTTTCAATGACCTCGAAAGGCCAATGTAACATATCCTACGACAGAGAAAATATTATAGCAGCGGATCTCTCGGACAATCCATTCGGTGACATACCTTCTTAACATCGGGGTCGCTAAAAAAAGCGCATCGTTGAACTTAAGCACATCGCGTTGAATTTGCGGGAACGTACTCGTATCTGCGACCGATCAGGCGCTTTGCGTCGAAGATGGTGTTGCGGGGGTTCATAGCAGCCTGGTTTTTTGCGGCATCACCGATCAGACGCTCTTCACTGGAGAAAGCAACGTATGACGGTGTTGTCCGGTTACCCTCTGTCGTGAAAAGTAAGTGGTGATCTTCCGGAAGAACAGCAGGTGACTGACGGTCGTTGGCGATGATCTCGACACGGTCGTTTTGCCAAACGCCGACACAACTGCAGACCTGTTAGATTTTGAGCGGACCGCGGGGGATGGAGACTAACGAGTAGGTAGTGCCGAGATCAATGCCAACAGCGCCGTCGAATACGTCCTCCATTTTTGTGTATGAAGGAAACAGGGAAGGGGGAGAAGGTGGATGAGCAGACGGTGATGGGTGAAGAAAAAAATCGATCGTGCTGAGGTAAGCGTACGTGCGGGCGACGTTTCGCAAATGGCCGTGCGCCACGATATTCAGCCATGGCTCTCTCGTCTTTTCGCTCATGGTCAACGGGCGTAGCGCAATGCTCGCGCAGGGCATCATGTTCGACGCGTCTCAGCATGTGCGTGAGGCACAAATATACGACTGCCCCGATGATAGAGGAGAAACCACTGGAGACCGTGGACGACTGGACGAACTTCCAACTCAAGCGGGCAGAGTATCAGTCATTGAGTGCGTGCGACCTTCAGATGAATTGCGGGCAGCCAGCTAAACCTGTTCTCCAGTTGACCATCTGTCCGAGTACGGCTCCACGCAGACGCGAGATAACGCGTTCCAACCACACCACAGCCTTCACCGACCCCCATCTCCATCTGGCGTCACGCTCTCCGCCCTCCTCGCTTCCGGTGCTCACTTTGGCCACTCTCAGAAGCTCATGAACCCTAACTTCATGCCATTCGCATATGGCACACGGGCAGGGATTACGATCATCGACCTCGACCACACCCTTCCGCTGCTACGCCGTGCCGCCAATGTCGTTCGCGGAGTCGCGGCCAAGGGCGGTAGCGTCGTGTTTCTGGGCACACGGCCGGACTTGCGACCCGTCGTCCGCGCGGCGGTCGAGCGCATGGGCTCGCAGTCTTACCATGTCGGGGAAAAGTGGTTGCCAGGGACCTTGACGAACAAGCTCGTCGTCTTCGGAGCCGACGTTGTACGCGAGACACGGGTTCTCCCTGACCTCGTCATTCTCCTCAACCCCATTCCAAACTTGAGTGTTATCAGAGAATGTGCGATTGAGCATGTTCCGACCATCGCGATTGTGGACTCAAATGTCGACCCACGCATCGTCATGTACCCAATACCTGCAAATGACGAGAGCACTCGGACGGCGGAACTCATAGGTGGGCTTCTGAGCATTGCGGGAAGGGAGGGCGTTGCGCTGTATGAAGATGAACAGGCGCGGAAAGCGAAGCAGGCGGAGAAGCATGCAGAGAGACTGCAGCGAGGCCGCGAACAAATTACTGACACTATCAACGTCTCATAGTCTACGTCGAAGTCATAATCGCATGCGCACCGGCATTTTGGATGTCATACCAATATTCTGCGTGTTCACGATTTCAGTCAGCGTCAGAAGCAAACTTTCGGCGGCGGTACCTACTTTCAGCTTCCTCCAACGCCCGAATATTTGCCTTCAGCTTGTTGACAGTTTCGACGTATTCGTCTTCTTCCACACTGTCAAACACAATCCCGCCACCAGCCTGCAAGTATGCTACGCCGTCCTTGAACGTCATTGTCCGAATGGCTATGCACGTGTCCATCGCATCATCTGCGAAATCGAACCGTCCAACAGCACCGGCGTACACACCACGTCGCTCCTTCTCAAGATCGTATACAAGCTCAATTGCCTTGATTTTTGGCGCTCCAGATACTGTCCCGGCAGGGAAGATAGATCGGAAGGCGTCAAACCTGAACAGAAACCAAAGTCAGAAATATTTTTATCTTGGCCATAAATATCACCTTGTTTTATCCTCACGCAATATTCCAGACACTTGAGACGTTAGGTGGGTAACATGGCTGAACTTCTCCAAACGCATGAGATGGTCGACCTTTACTGTCTTTGGCTGACAGACCCGGTTCACGTCGTTACGTGCCAAGTCAACCAGCATGATGTGCTCCGCTCTGTCCTTCTCTGAACTCAATAGCTCGGCCCCTAGTCGCTCGTCCTCTGTAGGAGGCGCATAAGTGGACAGCCGGACGTAGCTGACAGAAACAAACGTACCTTCGATAGTCTGGCCCCTCCGTATTGTCCCCGCAATAGCATGATTGAAAACCTTGTTGTTCTGCACCTTGCAGAGTGTTTCTGGACTTGCTCCAACAATCTGCAAAGAACCGCAATCCAAGTAGAACATATATGGACTCGGGTTTACCCGACGAAGATGTCGATAGGCATTAAACGGATGCAGCGATGTATGTCGTGCGAGTCGTTGAGACGGTACGGCCTGGATGATGTCTCCAGCCACTATATTCCGCTTCAGAGAGGAGACGAACCCCTCGTAGCCCGCCTTCCCGACATTCGACACAGCCTCGCCGCCAAGCGTGATTGGCTGCTGAGGGACCTCCGGAGTCGTTGAGTTTAAGACGAGCTTCGCCAGTCTGCGAGCCTTCGAGACCGCTGTCTGGTACATGAATGCGAGGTTGACTGTCCCGGCGTTGCCGGGGCAGAACACATGCGAGACGACCTTGACGCTCTGGAAGAGGTGGTCGTAGATGAGGAGCGTATCCACGAGCATGAATACCGCCTCGGGGATGCCGAGCGGGTCATCGAGCGGTCGCGCAGTCTTGGGCTCGAAATGTTGGATGCAATCATACCCGACGTACCCGATAGCGCCTCCGGTGAACGTAGGGACCTCGGGTATTTTCACGTACTTGTATACTGCGAGTTCCTTCTGGAGAGCGACCATGGGATCCCCTGTGATCTCTTCATTGGGTCCTGTTTTAATAACCTTGAATGGATCTCATCGCCATATTAAGCCAGACTGCAAGTGAGTAGTAGACGGACGCGACCGACCTGCACCAATGAAGCTATACCGTGCAAGGCTTTCGCCCGCAATGATCGATTCCAGGAGGAAACTGTACTTCGAGTCCTTGGCTACGCGCAGGTAGGCCACGCAGGGTGTCAAGAGATCCCCAGGTAACTCGACATAGACCGGGACGCAATTTCCGCGTTGCTCCTTAAGGATGATCTGCTCGACCGTGGCCAAGGGAGGATATGCGGGCAATTTCTATGTTTTAACAACGTGGTCAGCATAGACACTCGTTTGGTTCAGAGGAGACCGACCTGGGGATCCATGGCTCGTGTATGCGAAGTTGCAAGAAATGTCTTGGTGGTTGATGGCCTCCATCTTTCGTGACTCGATCTGAACGCGATCTCAGGATGAAACGCTCCTACTGAACGCCGCCCTATAGCCGAATTACCTAGCTCCTCGTCCACTAAGTTTATATTCCTCTCATTCCCATCCATCACCGCCAGGTTGCTCGATCGCTGGTTTTTGCTCGTCGAGGGCGTCTTCTGTTTTTCTAACTCCTGGAGCCCGGGCAGGCCAAAACTTGCTCAATCTCAATTTCGGCCAAAGAATACTTGCAAAAAAAATAACTTGTCACGACCATGATCACTCCGCGTTTCTCCTGCAGTCAAAACGATAGCAGCGTAATTGTAGCCATCTACTGCCCCTCCGTTCGAGTATGTCTCTCTCTATTTGCCGATTTTTGTCTCCTAATTAGCACCACCGCTCCGGAAGTAGGCCTCCGACGTCGAGATCAACGTCGACGAGACGTTATTCAGCGTCCACATCAACCCGTACTTTCTGCGGCTCAATTTCGCTCATGCACTGGTGGACGACGAACAGGCGTCCGCGTCCTATGACCCCAGTTCGGGGTATTTGACCGTTACGCTGACCAAGGGGGTCAAAGGACAGGAATTCAAGGATTTGGACCTCCTGGCAAAGCTCCTCGCACCCCGTCCGCCTGAGCATCTTCCAGAACAACCTCTGATTGAAGTCCTGAGCTCCGAGGATGCCCCCGTCACCGAGGACGACGAATTATCGGCGCGGGCGCAAAGTCTGACCCTCGAGCACGATGAGTTTCTCGAAGGTCAGAATAATGATCAACGATCCCAATTTCCTGCATGCCTGACTTCCTGCTCCAGCGGCGCAGAATGACTGGCAGCTCCCTCAGGACCTGCCCGAGGCCTTACCTCCACTACAGACTAGCGCGACCCACCGATATGGCTTCCTAGACATGCATTCAGGATATTTCCGACATGTCGCGCACACTGAAAACGAGGTAAACGAACTCGGTGTAGACGCTGAGACGTGCCCGCCTGACGAGCGCCGTCGAAAGCGTCTCGAACACGAGGAAGAGAAATGGGACGAGGAATATTACATGTGAGATTGCGGGTTCCGTCAAAGCGCTCGTACTGACGTCACGTAGGGCAGATTTTGTCGAAGATGAGTATATTCAAGAGTTGATCGCGTGGCGAAACCCGCATGTAACCGCGACCGACGAGTTCAAATATACGGAGGAAGAGAACCTCACCATGCTGCGTCTCCCTCGCAAAGAATGTCCGTACACATCATACATTATTTCGTGCTACCGGAGAGCTCACCTTGATTTTACGGCACAGATCTGGCAACCCCCAGCCAAGCACATAACCTCTACCTCACACTGCTCAGTCTGCTGTTCTCACATGCGTACGAGACGCGTACGACACAGCACGACCCGACCCCAGAGAGCGCCTGGACGATCGGCAGCCTCACGCCCGCATTCTCGGCGCTCGATCCTCCACCGTATTCGCCAACGCCACCACCACTCTCGCAATCATCTTCGTTTGACGCGTCGGAGCTCGCCGCCGTCTTCACCGCATCGTACCGGCGCGCTCTCGCCTTCCCGCTCCACCGCTCGTTCGCGCTCGCGGAGGCGTGCCGCGCCGACGTTGCGGCGCTGCTCACGAAGGGCAAGCGGGCCGTCATCCGCTGCCTTCTGGAGATGAAGCACATACTGGACCACCACGACGTGTACTACGTCTACAGCAAGATATGGGTGGACGATTTCTGCGTGTGGACCGCGACGTATGCGAGGTTTGTCTTGCTTTTCGTTATAGCATTTGCGGGTAGAAGAGGTTTACAAGTGGCCGTGCCAGCGACGACGTTCTGCACCAACTGTCGAGAGACGTTGCACGCCTGAAGATGGAGAAGAGCATGATCGGCAGGGACCTCGACGGGCTGGAGGCTTTGACTCGCGAGGCGGCAGAGAGAGAGCCCGACAGCGACGACGAGTCTGAGGACGAGATCGAGCGCATGCTCCCGGCCCCACTTTAGTGAACTGTTGCAGGTCACACCTCGTGGTAAAAAAAATCCACTTTGGTGGCGGAATGGAAATGACGCTGCCCGAATTCGCAGCCTCGGTGTCTTCAAGTACGTATCATAAAGCTGCCAGGAGACCGGACGGTTTCGGATCCTTGACTCTGGATCGGAGATGTGTTGAACGGCCGAACGGTCGCATCCTGGGTTTAAAATTTAAAGGAACCCGCGGAGAACTATACGTATGCATTCCAGTGTGTGGAAGGAGGTGGCAAAGACCAGCTCGCTATCTCGTAGTACTGTAGCGAAACGACCTTAAGTTCAGTCACGGGTCACACCCCTTGTGAACTGAACTTATTTGGGCGCTTGTCACGGGTCACGAAGGTTTGTGAACCAAAATGCAATTATGGGCGCTAAATTCCTAAATTTGGCCCCCAGATGCCGTGATTTCGGGCGCTTGTGTGAACTAAACTTGTGTCCCGTGTCACACTGACATGTGAACTGTGAATGTTTGAACTAAGTCAGACAGGCATGTCCCGCGTCACACCCTGTGAACCTAAGGTCGTTTCGCTACAGTATAACGTACCACAATCTCAGTAAAAAAAGATCGCAGTCCTGCGACAGCACCACTGTCCTATATACTCACCATGGTGTTGTGCGCATTCCCGGGGCGTCAGTGACACATGCAAACATTCTCCATCACCAATCATTCATTGCAAAACAATCACCGCAAACCACAAACATTCATAGACTGTTTATTGGTGGGACATTGGTGGGACAACCATCCTCCGGGCGGGTGATGCTGAGAGAATGCACACTTTTCAGCTGTCTGGTGACCTGTCAAGTCCAGTGGATGCTGCATCAAGCCAACGGAGGGGGACATTCAGTCCCAGCATCTAGTGCCATGTCCAGAGCAGTGCTGAGTCGTTTGCAGGCCTCGGAATCCGCAGCTGCAATAACCCCTCCGACAACGTGCATAGATGTCGTATGGGTGGCCTTGGTATGAGACCACCCGCAGCTGAGCATGTGCGTCCACACACCACTCTAGTCACCAACCTGCCAAATATCTGACAGGCATGCAGCTTTTGCCACTGCCATCAGCATTGTAGCAAAGTGGTGAGTCTGTCAGAAGTGCGAGTAAGCGTGTTAGGTATCTACCACATATATACTAACTTTCCTTTTTTCCATAGGATCCATGCACATCGACTGTCATGCCTGGACCCCCGAACAGCTGACTCATCTCATTAATGAGTTAGTGATCTCATAGATTACATCATAGCTACTGGTACATAAGTAGCGACAATTCCCCTGTATTCTCTACAACTTGGTGCTCATATGAGAATTGAGCATTACTCTGGTTCTTTCCTCGCATGAACCCTAAGTCCCCTCTTGTGTGACGCAACTACTCCACCTTAGGCAGAGTTCGCTGTTACATACTTTGAACCTCTCTTCTTGATTCTCTCTCTGGCGACGTCTTCCGGCTTGATCAACCTCGACAATTCGCCAACCAAAATTTCCTATGCCTACTAGGAGTGGTATGGAATTCAGGGCCAACAGGATGTCAGCTGTTAATGAGATGGATGTCTCCAATGGCATCTCATCTCCCGCTGCAGCAACAGGGCTGAACAATGGTGCATTGTCCATTTCTGATTTATCTTCACTAACACCTGCGGGGACCGTTGGGTCACCTGCGCTGAATGTTTCAGAAGGGGTCAGTCAGCACGATTTGCTGAGCCCCTATAGTGTGCACTCCTGCTTGTATGCAGATGTCACCTCAGAGATTCCGTGCTCCCGCTCGAGTGCAGATGTCATGATGCCACACTCCCAAATGAACTCAGATGTTGTGTTGCTGTGCTCCTGATCCACCTCGGATGTCACAATGGATGATAGATCATCTGTCAATATTGATGGCTGTAGTGCTTACAATGATACAAACTTCGAGACCACCCCCAATCAACTCTCAGTTGTTCCCCTGCCGGATGCTGACCGACTGTCCACTAGCTCAGCAGAGCCCGAACGGATGGAGGGTGTGTCGGAGGGCGTGATTGAACATATTTCGGACAGTATACCAGAATCAGAAGGTACATTGCAAGAGGTAATTGCGGACACATTGGAAGATGTACTGGAAAGCCAAAGGGATGATTCATTCCTAATGCTGTGCAGATCAGTTGTAGTATGCCATGAAAACCCTTTCCATGTAGATACGAGATGAAAATATTTTGCTGATTGGTTTGCTACATCCAATAATGAGGAAGACACCTCTCTGACACAATACTTAACAAAAGGAACCTGGGCGGATATGGTTGATGAGGATAACAGTAATCTTGGTGACATTCCTGCAGACTGGCTAGATAAGAAGTCTATCCATCAATCCTCTGATACTTTAGAGATCGGTTTCCCCTCAATGGACACTTTTCTCGAAGAAGTAGTAGAGTTATTGAGTAATGATGCTCGCGAAGTTCTCAAGAAGTGTGCGGACAAAATGCGAAGCATTCAAGTTACTCATTCATCAGGAAAACCCAACTTTTACTTATAGGACTTATTCCGACTTTTTGTCCTTTTTTGCCTTATTTAAGGCCCATAAGTTCCCGAAAGTCGACTTTTAAGTCTCTAAGAAAATATGACTTATGGACTTTTTGTCCTTTTTTTACCTTATTTAAGGCCCATAAGTGCATTTAAGTCACATAAGGACACCTTTAAGTAAAAGTTGGGTTTTCCTGATGTTCTAAATCAGTATCAGAGACTATACAACAATCTGAAACTGTAAAGGACATTAACTACAACATGTGAAAACATTTACCAGCACCTACTTCAATCCTACCGAGCACTCTGAATCCGTGCCAGTCCGTCTCACAAGGTAACAGTAGAAACAATACCTGATAGTGATAGTGAAAGGTTCAGTGATCGTATTCCCATGATTGCGAAAGGTAAGGGTCACACTACTGATGTGCAGTGACGTGAGTTTGAGCGAGAAACTTTCACACTGACAGCAGTGCCAGATGACGACAAACTGGCACCATCAGGAAAATCACCTGTGGCCCTAGAGCAGCCTAGGCTATTCTAGGATGCCCTGAGATGCTCTCAGAGCTGTCAGGGTGTCAGGGATGCCAGAGTGTCCCAGGTTGCTCTGAGAGCAAGGTCTCTACAGCATTTTTCCTGAGAGCGCCTAGGTCGCCCTGAGTTGCACTCAGGATATAGCTGATTTCCTAGGTTATGCTGTATTGATCATGCTCTGATATGCCCTCAGACGCTCTGGTTTGTCCTCAGTTATCCTCGTGTATTAGATGCCATTCTCCTACTACGCCAAAAGCAAGTATCATAAGAGTAAGAACTAGTATCAAACAGATACATGAATAAGGAGGTATCAGTATGAAATATATGTTTTCGGCAGACTTGCATTCAGGAAAAACACGAGCAAAACCATCAGTGTTCAGGATCATTTAGTCAAGAAGTGCGTGTTTGCTACCAGGTGCGGAACCATCCTTGAGGACCTGAGTGAGATACATGTGGTCACCGAGACTGAGATGACAACCAGTTTCCTTCGTGATGGTGAGCTGATCACCCGTGACTATTTTGATGCAAACATCGAGAGCGATAGTGTTGTTAATGGTCTGCTTGATGTCATCACGGGGAGGGTCGAAGATGGAGAGCAGACCAATAAGCTCGAAGGCATTACCTTCACCCTCGGGATCTTCGCTGTCCAACTCCTCATACATGACAGCCAAGGTATGGAGACCACGACTCACCAACTCCTCAACGTTGGCCTCAGGCCTGAACTCAATCTTCTCGGTCTTGCTGTGCGTGCAAAGCTCAATGATGATACCAGTCATACCCTTGGTGACACACTTGAGCTTGTTTGACGACTCCTCGTGGTACATGATCTCAGTACGTTTGTTGAGGGGATTGAAAGGCTTGCAGTCAAGGAGCTTGATACCAGCACGAGCGCGAGATGGATTGCCAATGGCGAAGATGATGCAAGTGTTGATGGCATCCTGGTTCTCCATGCATGATGTGTACGCCGACAGTAGAATAATGTCCTCAGCAAAGACAGGACCGTAGGTACAATAGAGAAAGGACCGTAGGTACAAATGGTCTCGCAATCAACGGTCAGCTTGTTGGCAGTGAGGGTACCCATCTTGTCAGAGAACAAGATGGTGACAGTGGCCAGCTCTTCAATTGCAGTGATACAGATAATGATGGCCTTGTACTTTGCAAGCTGCTGAGCACTGACAGCAAGGGTGACGGACAGCACCATAGGCATCGCAATTGGGATTTCACCGATCAAGAGCACCAAGATGTTATTGAGACCACAACAGTACTGGAAACTGAAGCCAGCGTACAAGCAGAAAATCTCGGCGAGTAGGAAGATGCCAATAATGACAAGACAGAATGATCCAATCTGGGCAAGAATCTTCTGCAAGTGTCTGGTAGTGTCATCATCCTGGCCAACGAGCAACACCGTGCAACCGAAGAAGGTATTAGGACTGGTTAAGATGATCACACCTTCAGCCTCACCCTGCTTACATGTAGAACACCTAATGAAAGTGTGGGTGACAATGCAGAGCACATGACATGACAAAACTACAATTACTTACAAAAAGCACTGGTCGCCGGTCTTCTTGCTCTGAGGCAGCGACTCACCGGTGAGAGCAGCTTGATCAATGGAGACATTGATGCCTCTGTCAGACGACAATCTGCTGGTACAATATCACCAAGCTTAAACGAAACCATATTACCTGGAACAAGTCCAGCAGACTCGATCTCCTGCCAGGTACAATCTCGCTTGACCTTCACCTTGACCAAAAGCAATAGGACAATACTGACAAAATCTTGCCAGTCAGGAGGCTGATGTTCACCATTGCAATGGCAACCAAGGCGGCAGCCTCCATGACCCCAGGACAACAGGTTCCACATGAAACTCAGAAACTAATGGCGGAAATGAGTGCTCGCACGAAAATCAAAGCATAATGTACGCACATGAAGAAACACATTCTGCTCCTCTGACTCGAGCTTGTTGGGACTGAACAGTTCGAGACGGTGCTGAGCCTCCTCCGTCGCGCACGAAAATCAAAGTGTAACATACGCACCTGAAGAAACGCATTCTGCTCCTCCAACTCAAGCTTGTTGGGATCGAACAGCTCGAGACGGCGCTGTGCCTCCTCCGTCATCGACCCATTGTCATTGCACTGGAGGAGCCTGAATACATCCTCCACGATGATTGTCTCAAGATCAACTTTCTCCTTGTCGTACAAGTCCTCAGCCCATAATTGGATCTGAGAATGCAGGGAATGCAACTAGGAGTCTGTACCGTGGACACCTTAGCATCTGCGAAAACGTCAAATACAACGGAGCGGGTCAATGGAAAAAACTAACTCTTTGTTTGTGCATATTTACTGCTCTTCTGCATTTGGAACTTTGGACAGCTGTCCGAAATTGCTACACCCGTTTGCATAAAAAACTGCAGGTCAGGATCCACAACACTTGTTTGTCCCGGACAAACATTGCCTTATACAGTGAAGATCTGTGATGCTGTCACCTCCAGGCGTCAGCTATGAGCCCCCACCTGTCGCAGCAGCTTCAAGAGTGCATTGTCACCTGGCGGCAGGAAGGCAAACCAATTCGCGAGATCGCAGAGCTGGCTGGCTGCTCAGAGAGAACAGTTTCCACCATCCTCAGTCTCTACCGTGATTACGGGATAGTTTCCAACCCGAATGCTAGATTGCGAGGCCGCCCTCATGCTCTCGACACAGGCGATGTCAATTATCTCAGTGCACTCCTCCAAGCAAACCCTGTCCTGTACCTTGACGAGCTCCAGGAGCAGCTCATTCATTCCCATGGTACCGATGCATCAATTGCCACACTCTCCCGTGCCTTGCGTCATCTTTCACTCACCCTCAAGAAGATCACCAAGGAAGCTGCAGAACGAGATGACCTTTTGCGTGCTACTTGGATAGGAGAGTATGGAGATATACCCATGGAGTACTTCATTTGGCTTGACGAGTCAAGTGTGGATGATGTGACGAATCAGCGGAGGCGAGGGTGGTCAGGGATTGGACGTGCATGCGTGTGGCGTGAAATGTTCATTCGTGGGCAGCGGTATTCGGTACTTTCGGCTCTTTCAATTGATGGAATTATAGCCCTCGATATCTTCGAGGGTTCGGTGAATAAGGAGCGATTTATAAAGTTTGTAGAGGAAGAGTTGGTAAGCCGAGAGTTTCTTACAGATCTTCACGGTTTGAGCATTGAGCAGTTGTTAGGCACCTAAACTAACTCCATATCCTGGTCCACGTAGTGTTGTTGTGATGGATAACTGTGCAATCCATCACGATGAGGAAGTTAGGCAGATTGTTGTCGACGACTGTGGTGTGTATTAATGCTAATAGCAGTACACTGAAACTTACTGTCTGGATGCAGGTGCTAAGCTCATCTACTTACCGCCATACTCTCCCAACATGAATCCCATTGAGCAAGCGTTCTTCTCCATCAAAGCATGGCTTCGGCGTCACGAAGCTGCAGCCATAGACGCAGATGTACGCCCATGGTTAATCCATCAAGCAAGTCTTTCAGTCACACCAGAGCATGCAGAACATTGGATTATGAATTGTGGATACTCGTAAGTAGATTAGCTATTAGATAGTTCAGCATGTATACATGAACGACAATTAGCTCCGAGTTTGTAAGTAACTAAGACCTGTAATGACTGTAGTCAACGAGAATTCAGAAAGAGTGTTTGTAAGTTAATTAACCCATCAGGCTTCGGCGTTCCTTCACGTAGTCGCACCATTCCTTGCAGAATGATTGAAATTGCCACATGTGTCCCTCTAGTACTCCTGACAACTCGCAGAGACGCTGCACGGGCATCTCTCGGATTATGCTCGGAGTGATTGCATTAGTCTTGAACACGTCCTCTACATTCAGAATGTCAACATTTGTTACCGTCTTGAAATCACGAAGACAGAACACAAGTTCTTCTCCATGATTAGGAAGTGATGCACCTGAAAGTAGCAGTAGATGGTGATGGCCTGAAGATGACTGAGCCACCTGGGGAGTAGAGGACGTGGAAGCACCTTGACGGTCAAGGAGATTCATAACGAGTGGTGTTATAGCCATCATGAGCATCGACGCCGGGTCCAGCATGGACACAGTTGCCATGGGTGAAGGAGTGTCAACAGCGCGAGGTCCTAATCGGCCACGTGGCTTTGCACTGACAAGACAATCATCCCACAGAACATCGAATTCAACAGTTTGCGGGGGTTGATGCTTTGTGCAGTCGCGTGCAGCCTAAATGTGCATAAGAGGGAGATGTTGATAAAGGAAAAGATGCACATACAATTGCTGCAGCCCATGCCTTTAGCTTGCGATTATTGAGTTCCAAGTGTTCTGCTTGTGGCATAACATAGCAATGTCCCACTTCACCGTGCTCACCCTTGTGATCTTGACAGATCCACTTCTTCTTCAGTTCAAGGATGATGTCGCCATGTAACTGTGCTTCATCAGTGAACTGATCAATACGAGGAACCTACAATGTACATTAGCACAGTCAATATTTCAACGGCATTGTCAGGCTCACCTTGGTCCCATATATCAATTCATCTTCACTGTCCTCAACCGGAAGTGGCTGTGCGACCAAGTTAGTATCTCATATGTACTGACTTGGTTATAAATGTTACGTACACGTTTACGGACTCGAAACGGCTCCATGAGCGCAGTGTCAAACTCCACGCCGACATTGCAAGAGCCCTTACTGCATTTGAGAAGTGCGGTGATGGCAACTTTGAACTCGTCATCCATCTCAATGGTTGCCGCTGAAGTTTTGCCACCACTAAGCACAAAATGGGTCAGAAATGACAAGCAATGAGGTTATGGACGTACTTCGAGCCGGTCCACCACATTTTGAATCCAGGTCCTTGGTGAGGACCAGGGGCATATTGGTCAGCAAGCTCATGAACAGCAAGGATCGCCTTGATGAATGAAGCGCGACTTGTTTTGTCTGTGATAAGGATATTTCGACACTTCGTGCTCTTGTCCTTCCTCGTCTGGACCTGCATCCTGCCTCCGCATGCACTGGGGACCCTCTCAACAACATTAAAAAGCATTGTCACCAATACAAGATGACCAGACGGATCAAAGACTGTGACTGTCAGTAAGTATTCTCATTCGTCGAAGAAAGGAATAAAATCACCTGTCGTTAGAACATTGCTGTACACAGTGTTGGTGGTACGAACACCATTATCGACTGCTGCATCAGGTTGCACATTCTCAGCTCCGCAAACATTTCCCATACCACTCGCAGGACCCGCATTGGGCTCAGCAGGGATCAGATTGTGTAACAGGGCAGGGACGGGAACCTGAAGTGGATCCGCTGGCTGAGCGACACCAACAGCTTGAACGGGAGGCTGAGCAGCTTGATGTGGCTCTGCAATGTCCACAGCATCGCGTTGTTGAAGTTGAAAAACACCATGAAGGCTCGCACTGGGCAACGGTCCAGGAGGTGCAAGTGCAGGAGGCACCCCAGGTGCATGGAAATCGGGGATGTTGGGAGGTATCGGTGGATAACCATAGCTCGCTCGAACTGCATTGATCTCCATGCAGGAGTGGTAGAACTGCGGCGGATTCACAGTGCCATCTAAACTCAAATATCAGTTTTCTGTTATTGAGAAAATTGTATGGCATACCTGTCCATGCAGGATTCCTCAGCCAGTACTGAGATGCAGGACAAAGAGGATGTTGGCCGGCTGTGGCTGAACCTTCAGCGACTTCGTTCTCCTTGTTCAAGGAGCACCCAGGATACTGTGGTACAAATCTGTAGGTACAAGGAGCATTTTGAGGATGATTCTGCGATGACAGACAGAGCGGAAAAGCCATGATGAGATGACAGAGGATGGCAAATAGAGAAATTCGAGCACCTCTTTATAGACTTTGCCACCTGCACCAACAACACCTTCGGTAAGAAATTTCTTTGCAGAGTACCCATGGCGAGCGATGGAATTAGCATGTTGCTGGAGATGGGAAAGAAGCTCTCACCAATCCTTGAGGAGATGTCGTAAATTGCATGAAAATCGTTAAGGCTTTCAATGGATCGCTGTGAATCCATACGACGGTCAGGTCTGATGGAGTATTCCACATCAACAGAGAAAAAAGGCCCACTTCTGAAGGTTACAGATCCACGATCAAGGCAGAGGAACATAGAGATGAACGCTACTGCCGCCGACCATATACGTTCACCGACACATCCTCGTCATGGGTGTGACAACTGGTCACCTGAAGCACCTTGTAAGGGAATATTTGTCTGGGACAAACAAGTGACCGCGGACCCTGACCTGCAGTTTTTTATGCAAACAGGTGTAAGTCCTTCAGCCTCTGCGACAGTACACTCCAATGATGACGGATGGGCACTCGGATGGATGGACAAAGGCAATAAAGATATGTCCTTCTGCTTTTGTGCTATTTTCACTAACTACAATGCCGACCGAGTGTGCTTGTTAAGCATGCTCGGTCATCATTCCACCAGGATCCCGAGCTGCATGCACCACAAGGTGCCAACTCCCTCTCCGCCATCTTGCATCCCCCTGGGCCCTACCATCCACCTCGCCCATCGAAGAGGGTGCGAAAAGAGGTGGACGTGCTCCATGTCTTCATGACATGGCGCGTGGGCGTCGTGCTCAGTGTAGCATGGTGCCTAGTTCCTCCGATTTCCCCACCGCCATCTCATGCCCTCTCAGGCCCCATCATCTGCCTCGCCCATCCAAGAGGGCGCGAAGGGAGGAGAACACATGCCACGTCACTACGATGTGACATGCGGGCGTTGTGCTTACTCGAGCATGGCGTCTGGTTTCCCCAATTCCCCCGCCGCCATCTCGCATCCCCGTGGGCCCCACCATCCACCTCGCCCATCCAAGAGGGCACGAAGGAGGATGCACGCCACATCATCATGACATGGCACGTGGGCATCATGCTTACCCAAGCATGGCACCTGGTTTTCCCAACTCCGTCTCCACCATCTCGCGTCCCTCTGGGCCCCACCGTCCACCTCGCCCATCCAAGAGGGCATGAAAAGAGGAGGACACATTCCACGTCTTCATGATGTGATGCATGGGCATTGTGCTCGCTCAAGCATGTGTGTGGTTCCCTCAACCTCTCTCCTGGACCTCTCCCACACCATCTCCATGCCCTGCCGTCTACCTCACCCATTCAAGAGTGGACGCACTCTATGTCTTTATGACGTGGCATGCGGGTGCCCTGCTCGACTGACTCCCCCACTACCATCTTGTGCACCCCCGGGCCCTTCGTCCTCTTTGCCCATCCAAGAGGGTGTGAAGAGAGGACGATGCATGCCACGTCATCACGATGTGGTGCACGGGTGTCATGCTCACTCGATGCGTGCTCATCGATGAGGAGATGGAGGTGTGGGCAACGCGGTGCATGCCTGCCATCTCTGCTCATGCCCTGCGTGCCACCCAACTACATAAGGCTTGTCCACTGTCACTGCTATGTAGCACAACCACCACTCTCTCTCTCTATTCTCCGCTCTCCCATTCTCCATTCTAGCTCATATTCACGTTCCTGTTCAGCATGGGTTCCATTTCTGACCTACTGGTGTTCACCCATGATGTGCCCACCAAGTTTACCACATCTCCGACGATGTGGACACGTGCTCTGCAGCTGGTCATGATGTGGCACGCGAGCATTGTGCTCACTCGAGCATGGTGCCTGTCTGTCCTCAGACTGCCTTACTTCATTAGAGTCCGTCATCCTTGATGGCAGTGCATGGCACCCTGCATGACTGCCTCTGATGCAAGTAGATACCTACACCGTATTCAATAGTATATAGAAACTTCACTTAACATAGGTGTAAAATTAAGTGGATGCACTGGGAGCATCTATGACTCTTTCGGACACCCTAGAAGTTGTGCAATCTCCTGTATCAGCCTGAGTTGCTCTCAGGCCCCCTTGATCGCTCTGAGACATCCTGGGAAAGATTGACTTTCCTCACGTGCTCTCAGGGAAAAAGTGATTTTCCTGATGACAAATCGAGGCCGATGCAGCGCTTGCTCACAAACTACAGACCCTGCTTGATAATGAACTTGCTACATTACGATCAAAATATTTGAAGCCTGGAAGCTCTAGATACACGTTACCAGATGTCAAAATGGCTTCAAGCACCAAGGACAGACAGGACCTCGGAAAATAGGCTGTGAACCCTTAGTCTCATCCGGACAAACTTGGGTCCAAAATCAGGCCTCAACCCTTATTTAGTCTGGACAAATGGCCAAAAATTTGTCTTTAAGCCTTATTTTTTGTCCAGACATGCCGATGAGGCTCAACCCTAACCCTTATCCAGGTATAGGGCACTTGTCAGGGTGATGCCCAGCTGACAGCGGTGTTGGCAGGTGCAGACTGTTTGGCAGACTGTTTGGTCCCCAATGAGCCCTTCTCATACACTCTTATATGATGTTACACTGCTCGGTACACAAAGTCTCTCAATACTCTCGATATGTTGGATACATATAAAAGCTCCTTTGCATTTGCAGTAGCATTGAATGCACTAACACAACTTGGCCTTCCCTTCAGGCTGACAATATCACAGAGCAAATGCCCACTCGACGTTTGAGCGCTATATCTCACCAGGGATTTGCAAATTTCATCCATGTCATTCACTGTTATACTAATTCCTGCTGACAATGGAGCTAGTGCAGAGCACGGGTAAACCCGCGTGTGTCCTGACTGGTACCCCTACCCGTACCCGCAAGGGTTCAGTACCCGCATGCACAGGTACGGGTTTGCCACGGGTCACTGCAGGTTTTGTACCCTCATGGGTATACCCACGGGTCATGTCTAATAACAGGTAGTACACAACTATTTACTCCAAAAGAACTATGGCATCCCATCCCTCCACAAGGCCCTCATCTTCCTCTTCGCCCTCAGGTCCCGAAGTAATGGCCAACACATCACTGTCAAAAATGAGACCGAGCTGACTCCACTCCGCAAGGCATAGGAGCGCATGCACTGACTGCGTCGACAGACCGTTGCGGATGTGAGAGAGGAGAAGCCGTCCTTTGCTGAAGAGACGCTCGACGTCCACCGATGTCACTGCAAAAGTTTTTTTAGCACAAGACGAGAGCAGCAAAAAAAAATGCACCAGGGATCGTAAGGTAGCTCATCGCCATATGAGACAAGTGAGGAAACTCATGGTGATGCGCATACCACCACACCAGTGCATCGTCGACTGACTCGGTCTCAGTGGCGAGGTAGCACGTGAGCTCATCGTGCTCCTCATAGGTCTTTGAGATGTTGCGATTGAGGAGATTGTCAAACATGTTGGCTGATGGCTGCCACTCATGTTAAGGGGTATCCCAGCAATTCCATCCTGTGTCGTACTCACCTTGGAAGCAGAGGCAACGACCTCTGGGGCATCCACATTGGGCTTGCACTGCGCGTATGTACGTTCGTACTCCTCGCGAACAACCTCCTCTGCTGTCGTGACCCACTTGGGCTCCCACCCAGCCTGCTTGAAATATTCCAGCTTGTGGGATGGGTGTAGCACTGTTGTAATAATGTAGTAGTTAGAACGAAATAGAATTGATTTTTACTTACCCATCGCAATGCGGTACACATTTGACTGGTCGGTCTTGTTGTAGTACCGGTTAAGTGTCTTCTTTGCGAGGCCCACAGCGGCGTGGATGCAGGGTTTGTAGTGCTCCTCGAGGGACTTGTCTGTCAGGTTCTCATTGATTATATCTATCGCAGAGATAACCATCGGGAGACTCAGCGTCGAGCACGAGAAGTACAGTGTGGCGTCATTGAAAATCTGGAGACATGTCACGTCGAGAGGGAGTTGTTATTGTGACATGTGTGACTCACCCTGAGGATGTCACACAACTGCTCAGCAATGTCGCTCAGCTCGAACTTCCTCAACTCCATCGAGCGACCCGCCGTCATCTCGTCTATAGCCCCTCGGTACTCCAGCGCAAACTCCAGCATTCTGAAGGTGGAATTCCACCATGTGGCCACATCCCTTGGCATCTTTCTCGCTGCTAACTCCAGTTCATCAAGGACCTTCAACCAAGCAGGCAACAGCTTGGTTGATGAATGGATGATCGACGACGCGATCTTCCACAGCTGTGGAAAACAGCTTAAAGGGTATGTAAATCAATTATCACCAAATACTGACCTTCACGAGAACGAACTTCACAGGCCGAACGCTCGCATCGAGCTCCGCACATTCCTCTATGAAGAGTGCCCCGCGTTCATCGTCCCACCCATCAATGTTGTCAGCAGGCTCATCTTCGTCATTCCCTCCTTCCTCTCCTGTATCATTTAATTTGATGTCCTTTGCGAGCTCACGCAGGGAGTTCTCTGCCTCATCAAGCGCGGTGTCAGCCTTACCTTTCGGAACATCGAACTGGCGCAACAACATTTTTGCCACAAGATTGACGATGTGATCAAAACATCGCGAGTGGTTCGCTTGGCCATGGAACAACTCAATCAGGTCATCAAGCTCGTCAATCATCACATCGTTCGGCGTCGCATTATCTGCTGTCACTCCAAGCATCTGTACGAAATGTGAGTTTTCTAGTCTCATCTCGTGATTCATAACTGACAAACCTACCTTGATAGTGATCTGAAACTCATTGAGCATCTTCGCGAACGCAGCTGCGAGGTTCACACCACTGTGAGACTCAGCAACCTCGACAACATCCAGCACCATGCGCAGGGGAGTGCCCTTATGGTGCAGGTGTACCGTGAACACCACAATGGCCTTGTTATTTGGTGATGTCCACGCATTGGTTGCGAAGTTGAGTTCGCCATCGAACTCCTGCCGGTGAGTTAGCACCACCTTCTCTCATGTATATTCAATGCTGACCTGTAACATCTTTGCCACTCTGGCCCAACAGCGCGCGAAGACTAGTGCAGAGCAGGGGTATGGATAACCCTCAAGGGTCAGGGGTAAGGGTATTGGAGGGTAAGGGTAGGGGTATGAACTTTCTGACCCTTGTACCCCTGGAGGGTATCACTGCATATAGTATATATAATGTAAGCAGTAACTGTATGGTGAATAAAGCCTAAGTACAGCCTAGATACAGCCTTAAACTATGTTTACAGAAGCTCTGAAGGGAAAAGAAGACTGTTACAAGCCTTAAACTTAATGTCTATATTGTTATTCCCTTAAATAAGGCAGATATTGAGGAGTATACCCTCAGGGTTTGGTACCCTTACCCATACCCTTACCTCTGGTGAAGGTTATGTACCCTTGGAGGGTAGGGGTAGGGGTACAGCTCAAAGTACCCAGGGGTATACCCCTGCTCTGCACTAGCGAAGACTCTGTGCACATCACGCGCGACGGTCCATCGGGACGGAATCTAATATTCCGGGCACCTCATCTTCATCAAGGAATGGAATCCGCGATCCTCGACAATTGCAAACGGGTGGAGACTCTCCGAGACCCAATGCACAATCTCCGCCCTGTGCGCGAATTGTGAGTATGTTACCTCTGACCCCACTTCTGGAGAACGTACCTGAACTGTTGCTGAGTATGCTGGCGTGTTGAGTACGTAATCTTTCCTTTTCCCTTGCGCTCAAATGATGCAGTTACAGATCCTGAGCACGCGAACTTCGCCACGCATGGGCGAGCATCATCCGCGTTCTTCATCTCATCTGTGACAGTGAGCGCTTCATCTCCCCAGCACGCTTTGATGTGCTTTCTCAAGTTTCCTGTCGACTTCGCATCGCCCTTGTCCAACCACCTTGAAATCTTCATTCGGCATCCCCGGTTCATGCAGTGGAAGACGTGCACACACTTGCCCGATGCGTCGCTCTCGATGGTGACCTCAGGCTTGAAGAAGGCATATGCGACAGATTTCCAGTCCTTGCTTAGCCACTCTGAAAATTTTATAAGTCATTATCTCCATCTCGCCATCACAGACTACTGACCAAGCTCTTCTTCAGGGGTTTCCATGGTGGCCCCATTCGCGCCACCAGACTTTTACCCTTGGAACCCCTCTTCACCCTCATGCTGTTGGTATTCTCGATCTCAACAATATTGGCATCATCATCATCATCCACATCGTCAATGCATGCTTGTCAATCTGGGATTGATTCTGATTGTGTCATGCCTGATGAGGGAGGCCCAGGGTCTTCTAAGTCGATGCAAGCCTTCTTTGACCTTGAGCCCTTGTTTGATTGGGTAGCACGTTGCTTTGGCATATCTGTGATGAATCCCACTGATTGGGGCCCTTGTGCCCTTTTGTACAACTTAGCTCGGTAGTATGCAGTTCATAAATAAGGTTTTCAGACCACCTGGGTGTCTAACAGGTCTGGGAAAGCTCTCAAAAGAGCTCAGGAAAATTCCAGCATATTTTGGGACTAATTTAGGTCACGGGTACTCTCACGGGTACGGCGGGTTGAGGACCTGTACCCCTACCCCTACCCGTGGATACCCTTACCCGTTACCCTCACGGGTTTTGATAACCCTTGCTCTGCACTAAATGGAGCAGCAGTCCTCCTCGATGTACGCCACCCACTCTTTCAGTCTTCATGGATATTGTGGACTTGCTTAACACTGACCCTTCACCACAGTCTGGAATCATCACGCAGGCCCAATGGCTATTTTGTTCGCTTGTTGCCTAATTCACAAAGTCTTGTATCTGCATGTCAAGAGCTTCAGAAGTTGAGGTGCAAGGGTGCGAAGGTTAATAATGAGGATCTTGGTGAGGAGTCATAGATTGTTCATTTTGGCAGCATTGTGTCATAGTGCGGACAAAATTATAATTTTTTGGAGCCTTATCCTGCTATCTGGACAAAAACTACTGAATTTTGAAGCCTTATCCCATCATCTGGACAAAATGTGGTTCTGGAGGACCCTCATCCACCATCTGGACAAAAATCTCAAAAAAATGCTGAACTATTATCCAATCTGGACAAAAACATAGGATTTGGCCTTTCAGTGCTTAGACATTTTTGCCTCCACTGGATAAGGGTTCCTGGCCTATATTCTGAGCCCTTCTGACTCCAACACTTTTGATTCTAAATCTTCAGAATCCCACTCACCTGAATGGCCTGCAAGGAATGAATGTCATGATCACAACACCCCAGAACCTCGATTTCCGACAGAAATGTCTCCAAATTACTCCAGGAGTTGCGGAAAATGCAGAAAGAATGCAATGAATGGATCAAGAAATTAGAAGGATTGGATTTTGGATCCGACGGGCTGTAACAGCGTCAGTACCATCTTTACCGTCTCACCACCTAAATGTAATTGTATGCGAATTCTTGGGAAAATTGATACACGTTCCTATTACTTTGGGTGTGCCAAGCAAAAGCACTGAAATCTCTGCTCTACTGGACTCAGGAGCTGGAGGAATGTTCATGGACAAAACATTCGTTGAATGAATGAATTACCATCAAGAAAAACTTCCAAAACCAATTCAGATTCTCAATGCTGATGGTACTCCAAACAAGTTAGGATACGCAACGCACTGCGTATGGAAACGTACAAAGGCTGGAAGGAAACAGAGAATATTCCAGTACTACATTACCAACCTAGGCAAGGATGAGGTTATCCTTGGATTACCCTGGCTCCAGGCAATGAACCCTCATATTAACTGGGAAATGGGCAAATTAGACTACGATTAGAGAAAACCCACCATTGAAACCATCCAAGATGTTGAACCAAAGGTCAAGAAAGCAGTAAACACTCCCCACATCGGACCAATCGATGACAATGGACGATCCTGGGTAAACGACAATCCAAAACACCCAGAAAACCAGGTTAAACCAGGAGACCCCAAACTAGGGATCCCTGACTACAGGATTGAACTAGAGGACAATGAACTACTCGTTTCCTATATTCAAGGACAACCAGTGTTGGCAATCTTCGATCCACAAAGCGATATGACAGACCCCGAGCGACCAACCCAAGGTGGTAGCAAACCCACCTCAGGACCCTGTATAGGGCGGATAATGAGGGATACGCAATCTGGGCAATTTAGTATCGCCCAGAACACTTGGCTATGTAACACCGGCATGGACACGCTGCTCTATAAGGCTAGCGGGAAATCACAAGAATTGGTACAAGAAGCAATCCAAAAGGCAGGAGGAACGAAAAAGACGCTCAAAGAGCTCATCCCCTCCTACCTAATGAAATACAAAGACGTCTTCGAAAAGAAAGCAGCAGAACAGTACTCGAGCTCACGGGCATGGGACCATGCGATCGACTTGAAACTGGAGTTTGTACCAAAAGATTGCAAAATTTACCCCTTATCCCCTAAAGAGCAGATGGCACTCGATGAATTTTTGGACGAGAATGCACGAAAAGGGTATATTCAACCATTGATATCGCCGATGGCATCCCCTTTCTTCTTCGTAGGAAAAAAGGATGGAAGCCTTAGACCTTGCCAAGATTATCGGTACCTGAATGAAGGGACGGTCAAGAATGCTTACTCGCTTCCCCTGATCACAGAACTCCTCGACAAGCTCAAAGAAGCACGACATTTCACAAAAATGGACCTTCGATCCAGGTATAACAATGTACGAATCAAAGACAGCAATCAGTGGAAAGCAGCATTCAAGACAAATCAAGGATTATACGAGCTGACGGTGATGTTCTTCAGACTTTGCAACTCCCCGGCGACGTTCCAAAAGATGATGAACGAGATCTTCAAAGACCTGATCAATGAAGGATTACGATTCCTGAGGTACGAAGGAATCGTTCTTTATGGGATAGGGCTTCCGCCAGATCTTGAGGGACAGATGAAACGGCCCCTATGCGTGGGAACGACTTTTCAATACAAATTTGTATGCATAGGCTGCACCTAGTCCTGGGTTAGGTCTAGGGTTTAACTACAAACTTTGTAGTCCCTGTTCTTACTATACTACATGTTGCATACAGTCGGTCTTTCAAAGTGATTATAGCGAAAACCAACGCGACTTGCACAAATAATCTACAACAACAGTGCCACATTCCCTCCTCTCCATCGTTACAGAACCATTCATGTCTCCCATCCTAGCTCTTCTGGTTAATTGTTAGTAGTTCATTCAGTGAAACAGATAATTATGTTATTCACCTTCAAGAAGCTTAATCAATGTGTCTTGCAGCATGATCTTCTGGTATCGTTCATAAGAAATTGACTTTGGCTTTGGCCTCTTTGCCTCCACATCTCTAGGTTTCTGCTTAGTATGTGTCATATTTATACTATTGCATGCACTCACAATACAACCTCGACACATTGTTACAATTCCTGAGGTACGAAGAGAATTGTTCTTATAAGCAGTGGGCCTTTGGAGGCTGAGGTGAACCGTGATGCACTTTTCCCCAAACTGTGGGAAAATCTCAGAGATAGAACTTAGCTACAAACATTCTAATGGCTCTTCTTGCCCAACTACAAGTTAAGTATAGATGAACATTCAAAACTGTTGTATTGAAAACCGGCGCGACTTGTACAAATAACCATCAACAGATGCATGGCTGCAGCACTTTAGATTAGATAATAGATAACAGCTCTATCTCAGGGAACATTAAAATTATATTTTATGCAGTGTTGTACTGTGTTTAATGCATTATAACCATCATTATTGAATTAAAACCGAAAAAGAGACCTAAGTAGCACTAGAAGACCTGCTTAGTCAGTTTCCTAATTTGGAAACTGACTTACTAAAGGTACCCATGATTATCTGGACCATGCCTCTAATTTTTCCGCTTTTTTCTGTCTTTTTTTGAGATTTCTAACCTCAAAATACACTTGCCCAGATCTGGAAAGTCAGGAGCCTTTGAAGTTACAATTCTTGAGAAACAAAGAGAATCATTCTTACAAGTGATGGGACATTGAGGGCTAAAAAGGTTGGCTAGTATATGTGTGTAATGACTATATAATATTATAAAAGTGTAATTAGTATAAGTTTTTAAGAACCTTACCATGCCTGATGATATATCTAATTATCTTTACTAGATGATGTAGTATCCTATATAACAGCCTACTTCAAAAAATGACACTGAAAAATGTTACCAACATGCCTATACGAATCACTACAAAAAAGGTTACCAACGTGCCTATAAAAATCACTACAAAAAATGACACTAGAAACTGTTACAAATATGTTTGTAAGAATCACTACAAAAAATGTTACCAATGTGCCTATAAGAACCACTACAAAAAATGACCCTAGAAAGTGTTACAAATGTGCCTATAAGAACCACTACAAAAAATGACACTAGAAGCTATTACAAATGTGTTTATAAGAATCACTAAAAAAAATGCCCCTAGAAACTGTTACAAATGTATTTATAAGAATCATTACAAAAAATGACGCTGAAAACTGTTACAGATGTGTTTATAAGAATCACTATATAAGATGTTACCAACGTGCGTACAAGAACCACTACAAAAAATGACACTAGAAAATGTTATAAACGTGTTTATAAGAATCACTACAAAAAATGACCCTAGAAACTGTTACAAATGTATTTATAAGAATCACTACAAAAAATGTTACCAACGTGCCTATAAGAATCACTACAAAAAATGACACTAGAGGCTGTTACAAATGTACCTATAAGAATCACTACAAAAAATGATGCTAAAAACTGTTACTAATGTGCCTACAAGGATCACTGCAAAAAATGTATACAATAAATTGTTATTATATTATCTACTAACTCCTAGTATGCCATCTGATAATGTGTAGTAAGTGTCCTACAATGTCCCACTATACATTGATAACAGTCTACAAAGTCGCCTACTGACTCTTAGTATATTGTCAAGTAGCATTCAGCAAGTCAACAATAGTCTATTACACTGGGTCCTAATATACTCTTTAGTATCGGTTTGTAATGAGCTTACAATAGTCTGAACATGTCATCTGATGTCACTTTGTAACTAGTAACCTACAATAGTTAGATATGTCACCTAGTGTCAGTTTATATGATGCTTACAATAGTCTAGTATACCACCTAGTATCAGTTGGTAAGGGCCTTACAGTAGCCTACAAAGTCATATATTGGCTCCTAGCATGTTGTATAGTAATGTTTAGTAAGCCTCCTACAATGCCTTATTATACTGTTTATTGAATTCTAGTACACCCTCAAGTATCAGTTTGTAAGGGCCTCATAATGTTCAGATATGTCATCTAGTTTGTGTTTGTAAAGGCCTTACAATAGTCTGAAATGCCACCTAGTATGGGTTTGTAGAGACCTTACAATAGCTCAGACTTGCAAGACCTGTTACCATTGTTGTCATAACCTGTACTTATACCAAAAGTCCGAGCTTGTAGTGCTTAAAAGCTGCCCTACAACAGTTACTAATGAAGCTAATAACCTTGAAGCCAAGCTCTATAGTGGTCCCAGGTATACCTGGTGAATGGCTCTTTAAACAGAAGTGCTGACTTTGAACAATTTGCTGCATGTAGTAATTATTCAGCCACCAGAGCGCTGAGAACGAAAAAAGTGTCGATGCGCTCGATTTTTTGGATCGCATCGACACTTTTTTCGTTGTCCGCTCAAAACCTTAACCAATTTAGGCAAGTCTCTAGCAGCTGGTTCCCACACTTTCAGCCAAACTTGCAGGGCTTGTAGCTCACTCAATTCTACTCGGATTTTGATAAACCCGGTAGGCATTCTGACCGTATTTTTGAGCCAAATCTGATGGTGTTACTGTCAGAACATCAGCATTACTTCCTGCAGTGCTATAATCCATTTTCTCTGTTTTCTCGCACTTCTGCTTGTTTCTTCCGGGAAAAACAAATGTGCACTGCATGTAATAAATAAGGCGCCCTATGTAGGATGTTTAGGTGCATTATAGGGTGATTCTACAATTTAACTGGCATTTTTACGATTTTTCTACACTTTAGGCTGAGCATTCTAATCCAAAACTGAGATATCTCAGCCGGTTATACTCAGACTTCCTTAATTTAAAAGAGTATCTGCACTATTTTATGCATAGATTTTAATAATACTCAGGTCTAAATCTTAGATATCATTACAAAAACTGGAAGTGTCTGGTTTAATGATGGGGTTACAACCGGGCAGACTTGTATACTAGAGGGACAAATAGAAAGTATGGATTCAACAGCGCTGACAAAGTGTAGATCAAAGATTAGTTCTGTTGTAGTATATGTTAAAGCATGACTGTATTAGATTATAATGTAGCAAAATGAATGTTTAATTATAAAAATATACAACTGTAATACTTTTGAATGATGAGTGTAAAAAAGACTAAACACATGTATCAGAAGTGTAGGCCTAATAGATATTAAAATCAGGAATCGTCCTTGCCATGCGTTAGCATTGGCCCACTTCAAGCAAGTGGATGATTGTTTATATGGACGACATCCTTATCTTCTTGTATAACATGGAAGAACATCGACAACGTACACTTCGAGTCCTGGAACGACTCAAGCAAAATGATCTATTTGTCAAACCGGAGAAGTGCACATTCGACTCCCAAGAAGTTGAATACCTTGAAATGATCATACGCCTAGAGCACATTGGAATGGACCCGATCAAGCTAAAAGGAATTCAAGACTGGCTGGAACCAATGACGATAAAGGCAGTCTGTGCATTCATCGGCTTTGCAAACTTCTACAGAAAATTCATTGATCATTATTCAGAAGTAGTGCGACCACTCATGGACCTCACGATGATGACAAAGAAACCAGTATGGGAATGGACTCCCACCTGCCAACAAGCGTTTGATATGCTTAAGGCGAAATTTATCTCCGCACCCGTACTCCTCATGCCAGACAAGATGAAACCATTTATCATCAAATCCGACACTTCGCTTGTGGCCACAGGAGCGGTGCTAAGACAAACTGATGTCAATGGAGATTTACACCCTTGCAGATACCTATCAAAATCGTTTAATCCTGCAGAAAGAAACTATGAGATTTACGACAGAGAACTATTGGGTATTGTCCATGCCCTCGAAGAATGGCATCACTATCTCGATGGCTCGCCTCACCTGATCGTGATACATAGCGACCACAAGAATCTGACTTATTATCGAACGGCGCAGAAGCTGAACAGATGTCAAGCACAATGGAGCCTCTTCTTGTCTCAATTTGAGCTTCGGCTAGTACACGTCCCAGGGACCCAAATGATCCAATCAGATACCTTATCCTGCCTACTGGGAAAAGGAGACTGGGATCATGACAACGAAGACCGCATCCTCCCCCGAGGCGCTATTCGTACACTCGATATCGACTCAACTCTATCAAGATATTCGAGCGCACTTGATTAAAGATCAAGTTGTCCATGATGCACTACAAGCCTTACAGCGTAAAGCACCTCCACCAATGAAATCTGCACTTGATGACTGGAAGATCACCGATGGACTCGTCCAATACCGAGGATGCGTGTATGTACCACTGGTACAACCCCTCCGACATGATATTATCAAGTTATACCATGACACACCTGCCATGGGGCACCCGGGTTCTTATAAAACCCTTGAACTTGTACGACACGATTTCTGGTGGCCTGGACTTTACTCTGCCATATGCATGTATGTGGAAGGATGTGCTGGGTGCCAACAGATGAAAATTAACACACACCCCACTAATGTTACAACGCTCCCCACTTGTGGCGCGTCTTTTCTTTTTCTTTTCCTTGTTCCCTTTACGTTATCAGACCACGTGATCCAACACGTGACTCATTGGAGCGCAACCTCCGATTCTTTACCCAGATGCCCAGAACCCCTAGTCTAGGGTTACACCGGATCCAACTCCGGACCTTCTTCTTATCGCGCATGCAAGACGTGCATGTATGCCTCATCTTTACCTCGTTCTGATACACGACTCGTTATCCCCATTAGTACTGATTATCTCTCACGACCTTACTCAGCTTTCTCATACATATTACTTCCTCGCCATTACCCTGCCCAGATATCGTTTCACCTTATCTAGCCAATGAATGATCCCGCATTACTGCGTAGTACTGCGGATACCTTTTGTATAAATAGACGACCTTGTCAAGCTGGATCTCCATCTCGACCTGGTTACCATTAAACCAGCTTTTCACTTGCCTTTGACTGAGATCGACCGTCAGTAGCAGACAGCTACTACGAGTCATAAGAACGAACTCTGATCGACCTTCAGTGCGAGGACATCGCCAGAAGTGTCACTTGAACGGACTTGTGTCTTAGACTAAGACCTTGTCTCGTGACGACTCGACTAGACGCTCGTGTTTCGCTGCCGCGTAACATTAGGTCGAGATCTTATTACTCTCTGTGACTTCCTAGAGTCTAACAACGAACTACCGACCGGACCGAACCTTGAAGACTGAACGATACACCCGATTCGATTGCTAAAGCACCGTTTGAGATTACTCTGTAATCGAGGTAGCTGAAGGGATAGACTGATCACTCATCTTCGGAGAGGGGTCTGTCCGAGAGACCAATAGGCCGAGGAGGCTGAGGTAATCACTCGAGCAATCAGCAAATAGGTGTATCAGTTTGAAGACAGAAGACACTCTACGGGCTTGTTAGCTGACGACGAACGAACCCACTTAGTTAAGGACGGTGTGCAGTCTATGTGTAGGCATAGGCCACACAGAAGAATTTATCCATGCTGGATTTTAACTACATCAACCCGACCGCTCTTCCAGAGCAGTACCGCGAGCACCTCCCATCCCAAGCAGAGTGGAGCACAGAACGAAACGCACATTTCATAGGAGGAAGGCCTGTATTCATCAGGCCAGACAATCACAACTTCGACTACTCCCCAGAGGAATTTGAAAGGACACTTCCCCATAATCTTGGTGGAATAGTGCTCCAGCACATCGCAGACAGCGGTATAACAACCTCCTATCCAGGAGAAAGACCAGACGCCCCTTGGAACCCCCCTGCCCAGAATCCTGTACCCCAACCGACTCTTGCACCAATCGTACCCGATTACATACCACCGATGGCTACAGTTACCATGGATGAAGGACGTCACCATGCTAGCCAGAAGGAACTTGGTTTTAGAAAACCCGAGATCTTCAACGGTTCAGACCGTTCGAAGCTTAGGGAATTTATAAACCAATGCAAGAACTACATTGCCGGAAATAGCCATGTCTACCAGGAGGACAATCAGAAGATCGCATTCGTGCTATCGCACATGCAAGGAGGAACAGCAGGATCATGGGCACAGAGCTTCATAGAAACGGAACTCACCAATGATGACTTCCTTTCTTATGGGAGTTGGAGAGACTTCACTGCAAGTGTGAACAAAGCATTTGGCGATGAAAATATTGAAGAAACCGCTCGTACCTTGCTGCGTAACATCAAGCAAGGAACTCGTACTGCGGACGACTACATTGCCGAATTCCGATCACTTGAATCCAAGGCGAAACTAGAAGATGCCGGAAATATTGAGTATTTCAAGTGGGGACTTAACGACCCACTCCGACAAAGGATATATGAGATGGAAAGCATGCCCAAGACACTTGACAAGTGGTACGAATACGCCTCGCGGTTTGATAACCAATGGAGATCTGCTCAGATCTTCAAGCGAGGAGCCACTACGATGACGCGAGGAAAGGGCCGATCTGTCCATCGTCCCTACTACTCGGCTTCTGTCAATATCTCGCGCTTATCCCCAGACGAGCGACAGAAGAGAATGAAAGAAGGATTATGTTTCCTATGCGGAAAGAAGGGCCATATAGCCAACGACAGACAATTTCACCCCCAGTCTGGAAGTTTCACCCGTGCTAGAACGATACAGCCCGGGTTAGACACAGACACGATCACATGGATCAAGAAGATGCGAGAAGACCTCGCACAGAAGAAGGAGACGTCGAAGGAAGAAACCAGAGAGGAACAGATCGCCTATGTGCGAAACGTCTTCAACGACATGACTGACGAAGAACGAACCCAATTGGGTTTTTGAGACGACGGCCACTAGTAATGCATGGACCGTCGCATCTTACCGTATCTCCCCTCGTTATTTGTAACACTAGCGGAAATTCAATCACTGTGAATATTTCGTTGGGAGAGAAGGAAGACGTTACAACAGAAGCCTTGATCGATTCCGGTGCAGCCGAAACGTTCATGAACATTCGTTTTGCGGAAGAAAACGATTTCATCAGATGGGAATTACCGAAACCGATTACAGTCATGAATGCAGATGGCACACCAAATCAAATGGGTACCATTACTCATTGCACCTGGAAGATGATGAAAATCGGAGGAAGGAAGATGCTTACTCGCTTCCTCTTGACCGGCATTGGCAAAGAAAACATACTTCTCGGCATGCCGTGGCTTAAACGCCTCAATCCGATGATCAACTGGGAAACCGGTGACTTTTGGTTTGGTAAAGAGGCCAAATGGCCACCGAAACCCACCGTCGAAGACGCACCAGATAAAGAAGTTTCGATTTCCAAGGAAGATGGACTCCCAGAGCTAATCACCACCGAAACTTCCCCTACCTCGTTTGGGCATTCGGAATCTATCAGAGAAATCATGACCGATAACACTGAGCGTGGCGAGTTACCCGCAGTGCGGAATGATACCAAACTAGATGACCTACCATCAGAATCCCCTATGGATCAGCTCGATGACGACGATCTAGTTATATCCTATATCGCAGGAGAGCCAGTCATTGGGATATTTGAACCCATCAGGAAGGAGTCACCTTTGACGAATGAAGAGACTGAAACCGCAGTCTTCACCATACGAAGAGGCCCCGCCATTGGAAGAATGACACACAGTACTCGATCCCCATTATTCTGTAATGCACAGAATACGGTCTTTTACAAACCATCCGGTAAATCACAAGAATTGGCACAACAGGCACACAAAGAAGCATCAGCTGTAGACAAACCCAAAACCGTCGAGGAGTTGGTCCCCAACTACCTCCACAATTTGAAGTCCGTCTTTGAAAAGAAAGCAGCTGAACGCTTTCCAGAAACCAGGCCTTGGGACCACGCCATTGACTTGAAACCCGATTTTATTCCACGCGACTGTAAAGTCTATCCGTTATCGCTCAAAGAACAAGGAGCGATGGATGACTTCCTGGAAGAAAATCTGCGAAAAGGATACATCCGACCGTCGAAATCTCCCATGGCTTCACCATTTTTCTTCGTAGGAAAGAAAGACGGAGCACTACGTCCTTGTCAGGATTACCGATACCTGAATGAAGGGACGGTGAAGAACGCCTATCCTCTTCCGCTCATCTCTGACCTTATGGATCAATTCAAAGGCGCATCGATCTTTACGAAAATGGATTTACGCTCCAGATATAACAATGTCAGAATCAAAGATGGTGACCAATGGAAGGGCGCATTTAAGACAAATCGCGGACTTTTTGAACCTATGGTCATGTTCTTTGGACTCTGCAACTCCCCGGCGACTTTCCAAATGATGATGAACGCACTCTTCAAGGACATGATCGATGAGGGATGGATAGTCATTTACATGGATGATATCCTCATCTTCTCAAACGATTTGGAAGAACATCACGTTCGAACCCGACGTGTACTCCAATGACTCAAAGACAACGACTTATTCCTTAAACCGGAAAAGTGTTTCTTTGATGTTAAAGAAGTCGAATTCCTAGGCATGATCATTCGAGAAAACTACATTGGCATGGACCCTATCAAACTTAAAGGAATTGCAGAATGGCCTGAACCAAGCACGGTAAAAGGTGTTCGCTCTTTCCTAGGGTTTGGAAACTTCTATCGGAAGTTTATTGCCAACTTCTCGGATATTGCCAAACCATTGACGAATCTTACGCGCACTGCCGCTGGATCTCCACCTTTTGAATGGACGACAGAATGTCAGACAGCTTTCGACACGTTAAAACAACAATTCAGTACCGCCCCAGTACTGTTACTGCCTGACAAGGCAAAACCCTTTATTGTTGAATCCGACGCTTCCAAGTTTGCTACGGGTGCAGTTTTACGCCAAGCTGACATCAATGGAGACCTCCATCCTTGTGCCTACATTTCACAGACACTCAATCCAGCTGAACGGAACTACGAAATCTACGACCGCGAACTCCTCGGAATCATTCGAGCCCTCGCTGAATGGCGCCATTATCTTGAAGGCTCTCCCCATCCCGTCGAAGTTCGCAGTGATCACAAGAACCTCACGTACTTCCGTACAGCTCAGAAGTTAAACCGCCGACAAGCACGATGGAGTCTCAAATTATCACAATTTGATCTTCACCTCATTCATGTCCCCGGCACTCAGATGATCCAATCTGATGCACTATCTCGTCGTAACGGACTCGATGACAGTGAAAGTGACAATGAAGATCGCGTTCTTTTACCCAATGCACTGTTTGTGCGGTCCATTTCCCCGACATTATTTGATGAAATCAGGAATCACGCAGCAAAAGACCTCATTGTTCACGAAGCCCTCGAAGCGATTGCGCACAAAGGGCCATTCCCCATGAAATCATCGCTTTCTGACTGGGAAGTTCGCGATGGTGTCATCCTCTACAAGGGAAAGATCTACGTTCCACCATCCGAAACTCTTCGTCGTGACCTCGTTCGACTACATCACGACTCCCCTGCCATGGGTCACCCTGGAAAGTTCAACACTCTTGAACTGTTACGTCGTGAATTCTGGTGGCCCGGCATGTATACATTTGTCTACAATTATGTTGAAGGCTGTGCCGCCTGTCAACAAATGAAACCGAACACTCATCCAACGCGTATTCCTTTGGAACCAATTCCCGCCGACCCACACGCATTACCATTTTCCTGTTGCACCACCGATTTTATTACCGACCTTCCCATTTCCAATGGTTTTGATTCAATTATGGTCGTAGTAGACCATGACCTTACGAAGGGGGTGATTCTTACGCCCTGCCTCAAAACGATCACAGCCGAAGGAACAGCCAAGATTTTTCATGACAAAGTATACTCGCGATTTGGATTACCCGACCGAATCATCTCGGATAGAGGACCTCAATACGCATCCAAGGTCTTCCAAGAGTTAAATCAACTACTCCAGATCAGATCATCAATGAGCACAGCTTATCACCCTCAGACGGACGGAGAAACAGAGCGAGTCAACCAGGAGCTGGAAATCTATCTTCGACTCTATTGCGGAAACAACCCTGAAACATGGGCCGACCGCCTGCCAGACCTCGAGTTTTGTCATAACACAAGGGAACACTCAGCACGGAAGATGAGCCCATTCCGCATCATGATGGGATACGAACCACGTGGACTCCCTTCCGTATTTCCGTCCACGAACATTCCATCGGTTGAATCCAGGCTTGACATGTTGCAGAAGATAAGACTGGAAGCACTAGCCATGCACGAGTTAGCCCGACAACAGATGGCGGACTGAGTCAGACAAGGATCGCCGAAGTTTACACTAGGACAGAAGGTCTGGCTAGACTCGAGGAACCTGAAGGTCAATTATGCCTCGCGCAAGATAGCACCAAAGCGTGAGGGGCCATTCGAAATTGTCGAAGTCATCGGACCGGCCAACTATCGTCTCAAACTCCCGAAGACCTGGCGAGTTCATTCCGTATTCCACGCCGCCCTTCTATCTCCTTATCGCGAAAACGACATACATGGTCCGAATTACATGAACCCACCACCTGATGTCGTTGATAACGAGGAAGAGTACGAAGTCAAAGCCATCCTGAATCACAAGACGTACCGAGGTCATCTGAGGTACTTAGTCAAGTGGAAGGGATATTCTTCAGCAGAAAACTCGTGGGAACCTACCCACAATTTACAGAATGCCAAGTGAATCCTCGATGCATATAAAAGGACCAGGGGAATCCAGTAGAGGAGAAGAAACCCGGAATGACTACCACGACGGTTTTCCTCATCATCTTCCTAATCGTCCTCCACTGCACAACCCTCGCCTTTCTTTGGATCATCCACCGAATCCTTATCAGACGACTTGTCGAACACACACTCTTCACGCGAGACAGCCCGCACGCTAACGGCTGGGGTGATCAGAACGATGCCTGGAACTGATCAGGCAGCTCTTATCTCTGTGGGAATACTCTTTATCGTCCAATGGATTTTCATCTATTTGATTATTACCCAGATCCACGACATTCTATTTCACATCACAGATAACCGCGACCCCCTTAACGACCGAAAGGTATAAAAGGGGGAGAAAACGACATATCATCAATGCCCACTTCCGCTATAGACGACCTTGTTCACAATATACTCGCTGAAGTCGCCTCCACAATTATGAGCATACCCGCATCGCCTATGCTTGTCAATGGAGTACCCTCTCGAGCACAGACACCCTTTATCCGCACCTCATCGCCCTCACCTTCTATCGAACTCAGTCACGCATCGGACGAACAAGAATTTGCCACACGTCTGATCTCGGCTATGCGTGTTCCTGTCGACTTCACAGATATCCTCGTCGCCTTACGAAATTGCCCGCAAGATCGACAAGCGGTGGTTTCCATGCAACGAGCATTAGAAATGGTCGAGTGGATGCAGACGGCCAGACAAGAGCTCATCGCAGCAGAAGAAAGGACGAGTAGAGCCCGGACCAGAGTCGACCAAGTCTGGTCGTTGATGCGCAGTATGGTCACTCGTACAGCACAGGAGATTTGGAGGGAGCATGGGGACGAAGACATCGGACACATCCTCGGATACACCACTAATGGAATACCCGCATCCACTCCTCGCTCGTCGCCAGAACCAATTCCCGTTCGACCTCGCCCTCCTCGTTCGCACGTACCCAGTGGACGATCTCCATTATCCCAACCATCTTTCTCGACTGCATCCACTTCTTCGCGTCGCAGTCATCCCTACAGGAATGGACGTATCCCCGAACAAGGATCACGAACCAGCCGGCGGACATGCTACAGATGTGGAGGAGATCATTATGTCCGCGACTGCCCCCGACGACGATGAAGATCACAATATTTCTTGTGGGACAAGAAACGTTAGACGGGAGCTGATGTTACAACGCTCCCCACTTGTGGCGCATCTTTTCTTTTTCTTTTCCTTGTTCCCTTTACGTTATCAGACCACGTGATCCAACACGTGACTCATTGGAGCGCAACCTCCGATTCTTTACCCAGATGCCCAGAACCCCTAGTCTAGGGTTACACCGGATCCAACTCCGGACCTTCTTCTTATCGCGCATGCAAGACGTGCATGTACGCCTCATCTTTACCTCGTTCTGATACACGACTCGTTATCCCCATTAGTACTGATTATCTCTCACGACCTTACTCAGCTTTCTCATACATATTACTTCCTCGCTGTTACCTTGCCCAGATATCGTTTCACCTTATCTAGCCAATGAACGATCTCCCATTACTGCGTAGTACTGTGGATACCTTTTGTATAAGTAAACGACCTTGTCGAGCTGGATCCCCATCTCGACCTGGTTACCATTAAACCAGCTTTCCACTTGCCTTTGACTGAGATCGACCGTCAGTAGCAGACAGCTACTACGAGTCATAAGAACGAACTCTGATCGACCTTCAGTGCGAGGACATCGCCAGAAGTGTCACTTGAACGGACTTGTGTCTTAGACTAAGACCTTGTCTCGTGACGACTCGACTAGACGCTCGTGTTTCGCTGCCGCGTAACAACTAAACCCCTTCCAATACCGATACCAGCAACCCCAAATGCTCTCCCATTCTCCTGCTCATCCGTCGATTTCATCACTGACTTACCACAATCACGTGGTTTTGACTCTCTCATGGTCGTGATAGACCATGACCTTACGAAGGGGGTAATTCTTTGCCCTTATTTGAAGACGGTCACAGTGAAGACGGTCACAGCGGATAAAACTTTTCTATGAAAAATTTTATTCCTGATTTGGACTATCAGACAAATTGTTTTCTGACAGAGGGACGCAATTCGCATCACACGTATTCCAAGAACTGTGCAGAATCCTGACAGACGAGAATGGTGTTTTGGATAAAACACAAACCAAAACAAAATCCTCCTGAGGTCACCGGACTTGAACAAAGTCGGGAAATATTCCTCAGTGTATTCGTTGTAGTAATCACTTGGTTACCTGGTAGTAATCAAGTGTGAGAGTGTGTGTGTGAGTAAGAGGGAAAGACTGTCTTATAATAAGACAGAGAGAATGACCGAGTTATAAGTGACCGAGTTGACAGATGACCGATTGACAGATGACCGAGTTATGACTTGCTTGATGCCTATAATGCTATGCCTGAATAACACTGTATTCAGGTAAGTATGAACTTGAGTATATACTGACTAGTGACTACTGGGGGTGAGAAGAATGCTCTGTAACGTAAGAGCAACAATTTTCCTCTGGAAGTCCAAGTGGACTTTCAGGGTTTATATACTAAAGAAGGTGAGAAAATCTAAATAATAGAAAAGCGCCTTCAATAGAAATAACAATAGAAAATGTGATAATAGAAGTCTGAGTCATAACAATAAGAAATGACTCTGAATAAAACAAAAGAGAGTGGGGGATAATAAAAATAATAAAGACAATAGAAACCTACCTCGCTATTGTCCTTCTAAGTGTCAGACATTAGTCAGCAAAGATGACCAAGCACTTCAGTGACTAAAACAGACAGAGTAATAGTGCAAACAAGCAGTGATCAATATTTGAGTATAGTATTTGAACGTGTGTGAGTGGAGAGGTTGAGCAAGTGAGACAGCGAGTAAAAAGAAAAATTCCTCATCAATCCTAGACCCACGATGTTCCCTTCCCACTGGATCCCTCAGCATCAACTTCTTCCTGGTCTCCAGTGCATGCGAAGTCTAGCTCATAAGCTTCGCCATAAATACGAGCTCTGGCACACGCAGCCTTGGCAGCTTTGGCCTTGGCTTTTGTTGCCTTATTGTTGGCCTTGGCCTTGGATCGCTCCGCTTGCCAAGCTCGATATCTAGAGTATTGCGTTAGTTATGCAAGTTTTATATTGAAACATGTTACACGTCTGTCAATTCTAGGAATCAGATCCTCGATGAGCACTGCCTACTATCCCCAGTCGGATGGAGAGACAGAATGTGTAAACCAAGAACTAGAAGTATACCTCTGACTCTACTGCGGCAATAACCCTGAGTCATGGGTAGACTGACTACCGGACCTCAAATTCTGCCATAACACTCAAGAACACTCAGCACGGAAGATGTCGCCATTCCATATGATGATGGGATATGAACCACGTGGAATCCCACTTCAAGGTACCCTTCCGACCTAGCTCTTAGCTTCGACATAATCTATATTGTGTAGTGGCTAAGAGCCTCTCAGGTGTCAGACAGACCATGGTACTAATACATGTCCCAGGGCATTATATGGGATTACCCAGGGCAAAGGCAGGGCAAAGGCTGGTCTAATGGCATAATTATTATATGAGATGTCCTATAGTACTAGGGCATTAATAGTTATATCCCAGTATTACTAGTTGTCCCATGGTGCCAGGGGTACATAGAGATGTCTCACTATTAGTAAAAGATGTATTTTCAGGCTATTGTATGATAGTTTTTTTATACTTTGTTCTACAATCATATTGCATACACTCTAATTATAAAAACAGTGACTAGAATACTGTAAATAAGTGTCTTATTTGCACTTTATATATGGTGAAATATTTATAGAAAGCAGGATATCCCATATCAAGTATTGCATATGCATTTGTAATGTTATAAAGACTATATTACTATTGGTAGCATGTACAACAACTTCATTAGCTCGTGTAACAACTAAGACAGGTCAAACAACAATGTTTATTCTCGTGTTTTAAAATCAATTTTACATTTTCTGACATAATGTTCAGACTAACATGATATAATCTTTGGCATAGAGTATGTATCATAGCTATATTACAACTTTCACCAAGTGTCTCAAGAAATACGACTACTCAGTCTACTAATATACTAGTAAAGGAGATATATTCTTGTCATGTCTCCTATCATATACTGTATTTGAATGAAAAAAGAAAGGCATTTGACCTAAGACTTCAGTCAAGTTACACTCAGAAATGCATTCACTGAATGACACCTTTGTATTATGGGATGTCCCTTTATGTGATGGGATATCTCTTGTAAGGACCTGTCACTCTTAAACCTTAGTAATTCAACTGTTAGTATAAATCTCTAGATAATTATAGTAGTTAAATAGAAACTTCAGGCTAAAGAAAAGACTAAATATCTGTGAATCTTAAAATAACATCTTAGGATGTCCTTAAAATGGGAGATCTCATCTTATATAATATGCAAATAAAGTGCTTGTTTATATCACTATAGTCACTGTTTTTATAATTAAGGCTTAGATAATATGATAGTGGAATAAAGTATAAAAAAACTACTATACAATAGCCTGAAAATACATCTTTTACTAATAGTGAGACATCTCTATGTACCCCTGGC